GTTATAATTTCTGACAGAGACCCAAAATTCATGTCACAATTATAATGCTCACTTCTAGCCCAAACAGATACCAAACTACTATACTCAACAGTCTATCACCCACAAATGGATGGCCAGTCAGAAAGAACTAATCAAACAGTTGAAATTGCACTCATCCATCTTCTACTAAGCATGAATGATTCATTGCAATGGCACACACTTCTATCTATGTTGCAAAGATATCTAAATTCAGCAATGAACATCAGTACAAAAACATCAGCATATGAAATACTCTATGGTACAAAACTGCTGACAGTATTAAACTGGCCACTAGATGATCAATCTCATTTCACAGTCAAGATGAATGCTGCTCTACTTCTTGATGAAGCAACAATGGTAGCAAAACATTATTTTCATAAAAAGCATCAATACTCAGAATTTAAAGAAGAAGATCAAGTTTATCTCTAACTTTGCAAAGAATATATCACTATGCTCAGCAAACAACTGTGAAAATTTGGCAACTGATATGCAGGACCTTTTACCATAACAAAAAAAGTAGAAAAGTTAGCTTGCAAACTGAATCTGCTGGACTCATGAAAAGTTCATAAAACAGTCAGCATTGCCCATTTGGAACCAGCCTCAAATGTATTAGATCTCTTTAAACAAACAATCCAATCTCCATCATCAATACAAATTGACAGTCATGAGAAATATGAACTAGAACAAATTGTTGCAGAACATCTCAAAGGCAAAGATACCAAAGCAAAAAAAGAATATCTAGTCTGCTGAAAGAGATATGAATTCCAAGAAGACTTCTGATTAAAAGAATCAGAACTAGTCAATGCAAAAGAACTATTGCATCAATACAAAAATGCAAACAAGCTTATATAATGTTACATTCAACAACAACAACACAAACAATCCATGAATACTAAGTGAATATATAATATTTCACTTCCTCCAAACATTCTTCATTCTACAACTTCATCTAACATAATATCTTTTCTGACATTCTTTAACAGACATTCTCTAGTATTCAAGAAATCAATCTTTCAATTTGTATTCAAGCAATTGCTCAGTCTCTTCAACTCAGGCAACAGCCAATCACTTTGTATTCAAACAACTGCTATTTCCTTTCTACCCAAGCAACTGCACATTCTCTAATTCCCAAACATCTGCCCAGCATGAACATCCTTTCAAATACTAATGCATCCCCAAAAATCTCTATTAGAGCATCAAAGCTCACTATTCTATCTGCATCAAAGACCCTCTTCTGAGCCAAAAAATGACATAAACTCCAAGATCAATGTGAAGTTTCAGAAGAGAACACAGACTTTCAAGCAGGCTATATTCTACAATTCATATCTGAAAATGCTCAAGTCAGAATTCTATCTGCTAATGGATGGAATTTTCAGGGTTCTTCATCACACAATCTTCCACCAGCTGCTTCAGAACCACATCATCTCACTCAGATTAAGATAGAAATGACCACAGACACATGGAAGAACAAGATTATGACAAATAAGTGTACAGAAAACAAAATCATCACATGAAATCACAATGAATGAGTTTATATTCATCTATCTGCCAGAGCACCTTTTTTTGAACAGTGTGATTCAGTGGGATGCAATATTGATGATGAACATGTTCAATATGATGAATCTTTTACAATCTTGCAACAACACACAGCAGCTGCTTTGACTCTACAAACTCAAGCTGAACTAATCAGAGCTGAAATCAACAGAAAACATGAAGAAGAAATGATTCAGTGAAGAGAGAGTCAGATCATATGAAAGCAGAAATTTCTTTGATGAGAATGGTTCAAAAATCACAATATCATCATCTGAACTTCAGAAACAACAGACATGATAATCAATGAAGCAATTAATCATCTAGAGAATCTTTCAGAAGAGAACTTCCAAAAGAAATTGCTAATTGAATACATTGACCACTCAGAAAGACAAGAAATCTGAACAAAGAAATACAACATGGAAGCTTCAGACAACATCTTTGACCCATCAGAATCTGAAGATAACATTCTTGCATGCCTTGATGATGACTTACCAACTAGTCCATGAACTGTCCAAATCAACAACAATTCCATCACACTCACACCAAAACAGAAGCTCAACAAATGTAAAGCTCCCAGCAATAAAATCACCCCACACAAGAAAAAAACATCAGTTAAACAGAAAGCAATTTGAAAGAGTAAATGACTACTTAAGTCTACTGAAAAAGTCAATTCACTGAATGATATCTCTGAACTCAATGTTAATGAGTCCTCCACTGATGATGACATGGCTTCTCCTACATTCTCTGACTACCATGCTAACAGTTCACTTGATTGGGGAACACCTAGAAGCCATCTCTCATCAGAACCAAATGACACAGCAATGTCAACTTCAAATACAGAAACAACATTAGCCATAGAAATACCAAAACACTATGAACCAACACCTCAACCACTATCAGACTCATCAAAGAAAAAGAAAACTGATAGTAATGATCTTTCTGAGTTTACTGATCTTCTCTTTTGGGAACAAGAACTAGTATCTCAATGACTCCAAGATGAACAAGTACTGTATCTACAAAGCAGACAGTTCCCTATCTTTTATCTTTCCATGGACTTTTCAGCAATAAACATGGATGACATACTTATCACAGATGAGTTAGACACAATAATTAAACAATCAGTGATATTAAGTGAATGAACAGCAACACTCACTAAGTATAGAAATGCTCAATATGCCATGACCACAGATCAACATCTCAAATTCTTCCAATTCTTCCCTGAACAGTGAAAATTCAACATGTCAGAGTCAGAGGAATGATGTCTAGTACTTTAAGTTCTTGTTACATCAATTGTTGACACCTACTTCAAAGAACTCTTAGACAAAGTTCAAAAAGATCATCAAGATCTATTACTGAGATCTACAAAATATGAACTCATCCACTTTCTCTGTTGATTCTCTGGAGAACCCATCCAAATACAACCACCTACAGCAATAAAAACAGAAATCTGGACAGCTTTGAATGAAGATGATGTTATAACAACAGAAGAAATTCAAGAATGACTCAAACTAAGCACAGATAAAAAAAGAGACTCATACATGGAACATTGATTCATTCTGAATGATTTCATCAGACACAAAGTGCTACAACTTTCTAACCACCAACAGAAAGCCCATCCAGCTCATCTATGAGCACTAGAACCAACAGCTGAAGATTATCCACATCTAACATGAATTGATGACACTGGCATGCTGGGACAGGATTCAAAAGACACCCTACAAATATGGAAAAACTTTGCATTAAATGGAGGATGGTACCCACAACATCAAATTAAGATATATGCACTAATGCAATCAATCATGTCCATTCTAGCTCAAAAAAAGTTTCTATATCCAATGACACATACTAAATTGATCAATAAAGTGGTCATTGAGAAGATGTCTTTCTTTTTCAACTTTTCATACTATGACTATCAATTTTAGCTAGTGACAGGGCACAGGCTTTCAGTGAGAACACTGATTCTTAAAAGATATTCCCCAGCAACTGACATGGAACCTCCTGTACATATTTACTGAAGTAGCTTAGTTAGTATTAGTCATCCTCAAGCTTATGATCAAAGCTCAAAGGAAGAAGAATAGAACATCTTCTACTACTCAACCAAAATCACATGGACATTCCATAGCTCTTATAGACCAGGTAACAGAGATTTTGATATTTTATGTGATAATTTATAAATGATATGATTACTGATTTCAGTAGCTCTGCAACTAATTATCAAGCTCTGTCATGTTGATATTCATCACCACTGATTATGACAAGCAGTTACTAATAAGAAATTGAATATTAGCTGAATTGAAAGCAATAATATGTCTGCAGATGACTTAACAAAGATCTTGTCTAGATAGAAATTTGAAAAATTCATTAAGCAATTGAGACTTATGAATATTGATTATTTAATAGAGGAGAATTTGCCATCTATGCCACTGTCAAAGCTACAGAGATGTGTTGAGCAGAAGTCAGATGACTTATCAGATGATCAGATCTCTAAAAAAGAAACTGAAGAATTATAGATTTGTCATCTTCTCTTCTTGATCATGATACTGATTTCATTATCTTTGTCTATTGGGCTGATGAAGATTTGCTAGAGGTTTTTCATATGTTTTTCCTGTAGTCTTGGTTATAGCATGTTTGTCTATAAGTATTCTTGTCTTGTTCATTAGGAGCAGACCAAGACGCAATATGATAGATGCTCAGTCACATGATCATCACGTGCTCCTGTGTCGTCCGATACAATCAGAGGTGTTAGTTACGTAATCAGTGCTATTCGAGTGACCAAGCAATGTGAAACTGTGATTTTAGCCTATCATGGAGCAATATCAAACATATTAGGAAATTAGGGCACGGCTGCAGCACCGGAATCGGAATTCAAGATCGGAGTTTGTATTTCTATCTCTCTTGCAAATGTAACTACCTACCCGGCATACTGGCACTCCAAACGCCAATACCACTGACCAAAAAGAAAGCCGCCCCAACAAAGAATGGCAGCCCTAACCCTGCACCGCCGATGCTCATTCCAAACCTAAATGTGGCCGCAAGAAGCGGAGAGGCGACTAACGTTCCTGCAATGCTGACGACGGCAAGCAATGAGAAAAGAATAGTTACTTCCGACGGTTCCACCAGAGAAGTCGCATACGATTGTGTGGCAGCGGAAAAACCAGCAGAGAGTGTGAAAAATAGAAGGGCTAACACGCGTTTTAGCAATTTCATCATGCTTACTCTCAAAAAGGCAGGGATGCATACATAAAATTAGCGGAGCTGGGGAAGCTGAAAGTCCCATCATCATTGAACCCACGACACCAAACACAGCGCTCACTCGAGCTATCCAAAGGTCCGCCTGCGCGGGGAGCATGCGACAGCGCTGAGTGAGTAACGTACTTATTCCCGGTAGAATAAAAGCCAGAAGCGCGAGATTGACACTTGCTCGGAAAGATATGAGGTAGTTGGCCTTATCAATCGTCCATTTCTATTAGAAAAAACAGGGCCGAATGGGGAACGAAAGAAAACGAGCCTACCTTCGATAGACTCCAGCCAAAACGTTCAGATGTATACTGAACCACGAAATCTAAGGTTTCACGAGCGAGCGTGGTGACAAGAAAGGCGACAGTAATTCGCAGGATATCACTGTTCCGAGTCATCATTTCCCAAACAAGGATTAACTGGTTACCGAGACCCCGTTGCTTCGTTTCTGAACCGGTAATATCACGATCCTCCCTGGTTATACTAGTATTTACCGCCCTGGTTTCAAAGTCGGACTCTTCACTATAAATTCTAGCTGAAGGAGAGGCGGCAGATACGAGGTGTTCCTCCTCGTGCTTCGCTGTGTTTGGAATCTGAACTATGAATATTAAAGACAGCAGCTCCAGCGGAAAACCAGACAATAGTGGTGTATAAGGGCTTCCTGCCTCCATCAGAATGGATCCAAGCGGGGGCGCAATCACCTCCGTTAAAAGGCTAGAAGATGCCAGATAAAAAAAAGCCTGTCCTTGCCTATCTCGAGACATGACATCAGAGAGAATGGCGTGGACAAGAGCGGATAAAACCATAGCACCCCCACCGGCCGATTTCAGGAATACAGAGAAGTAGATAAGTTCAAACGGCAGCTGGTTGCTCAGAGAACAGGCGATGATAATCCAAGCTTCGGACATCATCTGGCCAACCATACCTAAGGTGAGCACAAAATTGCGGCCTTTTCGGTTTGCTAGATGACCAAATGGAATGGCGAGGACCAATGCTGTTAAAAAGGGTCAGCAAAAGCGTCCTTTGGCAGCCTTGAGCGTGCATACTGAGTAAATTCTCCCCAATCTTCAGCCAGGCTTTCGTCATTGCCAACTCCGCTTGGATAGCATGTACTTTGCACAGGCTCTCGTCGATCTCTAGAGCTAAAAGCTGGGACGAAAAGGCTCCCAGAGAGGTACCATCAGAACCTCGATCTTGATAGTAGCGACGACAGATGATCGACTCTATCAACCGTGTTTTTGGTGTCTGGCGCATTGTTTCGCCGCAGTCCGCCAACCAAGCGACTATATAGCAAAGAATGGCCACTCGCCATGTCTGCCACCAAGTTAAGATGCCATTAATGAATGGGTCGCTACGGTGCGTGCCCACCGGGCGCCCCAACAGCCTCGAGTGCTCATCAACTTGGTCTTGGGGAGCAGAGTCCATGTTACTCGAGTCAAGTTTTGTCGCGAGGGAGCACAGGCTGTAAGCCAGATACTAAGCTATTACGGACTTTTGTAGGCCCGATCTGCCGCTTGCGGACAGATGCGATTTTACCGTTACATCTATGGCGGGAGACGCGGGCGAAATTCCCGTTGATGCGGCTATCCGGCAAGGCGTGGGGGTCCACCCGTAAGTTAAGCATTTTTTTTGACTCTGGCATCCGAAGCTTGACCAAATATTTAGTTAGTTAGTTAGTTAGTTAACTAAATTAACTGGCCAACCAACTACCAAGTTAGTTGTCCCTTGGCATTGGCGTGACCCTGGCTGATAGATAACTTGCAAGGTATGGTAACTACGGAGTACACTGATACAATTACCTGATTCTTTGACAGAGGCACGTTCACCACCCTTGCAGTTAACTAACTAACTAGATATTCTCCCATGTGTATGCAACATGGCAGCTATATTTATATACGCCGAGTCGTGGGAGGAGAAAAGGACAGCCACCTTCCATCACAATTGCTCTTCCAGTTTAGTTTTCCTCCAGAAACCCTCAAGTGTGATAGAGACTACATACGATGGCATATGCAAAATGCTACAAAGCGAAAGACGGACATAAGTGTGTCTATTTAAATGCACCAAACCTCATAAATCCCTTGGATGCACTTGATTCTTGATTATATCCATTAGTATCTCGCCCAGGCTATGCACAGGCGAATATCAAATTTAGTGGAGGTGTGTATCTGTAGTTAGCTGGTATGGTTTTTAAAATTCATTGTTTGAGAAAAGGCAAAGAAACTGAATAACTCGGCATTGAGTTATCCATGCCAAGTTGTATGTGAATATGTGAGCTTAGAACAATCGATAGTGCAGTATCTCATTCACATGTTTCCTATCCTTTTTCTTTGTTTTTTTTCCCTAAAGATATCTTTTCAGTAATGAGTTTGACTGCTCAACATCATATCCCCTCCATTCTCCAGCTGCCTTCTGCCCCTAGATGTTGATGTTCAACTATCTTCGCATCCATTGTGTTCACCCAAGTCAATATGTTTGTTTTCCCAAAGGAGTCACTGCCAAAAGATCCCGTTTTTCCTGCAGATCTGAAGGAACTCGGGTGAGTGGAATTAATTCAATTTGCTATTCATTTGACAAAATGCCTCGTATACTAACAGAGTGAAGCTACTTCATTAATGAAGATGACCAAATCAGGATGATTGTCGATCCCGAGCAGAAATTTCTCTTCAGAATCAATACCAATGACAGGTATAACGAAGTACAGAGGGAAGCCATGAACAGTGAAATTACACCTATACTCATCAAAAAGGGATTCTAGGGTGGACTAACAAATTCGTACAGCTTGTATTCGCGATATTGTCCGTGCAAGATTGCAGGCCTTGGGACTACAAACATTACGTTTACCCGTTGGAGCAACCACTACGTCGCAGCACGTCCCGATCCTAGCTACTTCTTCGCTAGGAAATCAAACACGCCTGATAGTAGTGTTCGGCGAGCCTACTCAAGACTTGGGAATTTGGGCCTATCGCACTATTGGAAATGAGGGTATAAACGTTGGGTCTGCTGTCGACTTTGCAAAATCAATCATCAGAAACGAGGCAGATACAAGCTCTACCAAGAAGGACCAGAGAGACACAGATTCTGGTCTTATTCTGACCAATCCCGGGCAGCTTGTCTGGCATTGCGGTGGAGAACGTGCTGTGTCTTTGCCGACATGGAACGCCCTTCCAATGCGATATGCAGTCGATCCACCCATGAGAATGGGACCTCAAAACAAAATCCCCGGAAATGAAACTTGGCAAGACCATATCACGTATGTCTTTGAACATGTCCTTGACAAAATGACACCAAAGACAGCCAAGATCGACATTATTGGCCTAGCGGAAGGTGGTCTAGGCGCTATCAGATACCTCGCTGAAAATTGTAAGGCATATTGGCCAAATCACCCGTATTCGAAAGAAATGCAATTAATATGACTCCAGGGCAAGCATGGCGCTCTCGCATCTCTGCAATTTGCCTAACCAACCCTCTTCACAACATCGGCCACCTCGAACCTCCCGAATTCGCCCACTTTATTGCCACTCGTACCCGCGCTTACCTGATCTCAGGACGGCCCCTGGATAGCAATGTTCCCGGTAGGTTGAAGTTTGGTTGCAACTGTTACTCGTCGGGCGAGTCGTTGAATGTGGAGTGTATTATGCCGAGAGCCGGGAAAAATATGCTGGCTTGGCTGGATGAGATGCATAAATCTCCAGGGCTAGAGGAGGTGGAAGTCATTGTGAGAGAGGATCTTGAAAATGAAAAGGGCAAAACGGAGAAAAATGGCAATTTGTGTGGGAGTGATTCCGAGAGAGGCGACTGGGAAGACTAAAGATCGGATATTTGGGGCGTTTAGATTGGTTTAAGAAATGGAAGGTATCACGGATAGTAAGGCAATATCTGGCGATAGGGAGCAACTGCCAGATAGGATGCCAGCATTAAGGTTGATTCAATTATCGTATTCTCACACAAGATGCGTTCACATAGCATTATTATCCCTTCTAAAATCAGGCTGACATGCCCAGCTGCACGTCCGCCTCATAAACGGTAGTGGCCATAACCTCTCCCCACCCACGCGTGCAATCTTCGAACCATTTTCATGAGGCGAGCAATCCCACCATTCCACCCACTCCACACGTGGAATAATGTACAATCGTCCACACACAGAGCACACCCTATCACCCGTGCGTTTGGTGGCTTTCGCGACCTGCATGAGCTGCAGGACAAATGGCGGGAGATCTGGACAATCGTCTGTAGTGCCACTCAAAAAATTGGAGACTTTCGGTGACCGAAGACACGCTTGAAGGGAGAGTTCGCGGAGAGATGGGGCACGTGTGCAGGTGAGTTGGAAGGAGTTGGAATCACCGGTATGGAGCAGTTGACCGTCCATGTTTAAATACTTGATAGAACTGGTGGCAATGTGAAGAGGGCGCCATGCCTGGAGGCTTGGAGTATCATCGGCAGAGCTTGGGTTCCGCCGTAGTCTTTTAGAAATAGCACGGTCGCCCTCTTCAAGTTCCCAGTGCCAATGAGAAATATCGCATTCACGCAGCTGGATGAATGGGTTTGGGTGTACGGTAAGGCGCTTCAGGGTTCCGGACCTCATTAAACCAATAAGCTCCCAGGGGAGGTGCTCTAGCCTATTAGCAGCCACATTGAAATCTAGTAATCTAGTCAAATTTCGAATTGCAGATGGAACCTCTCGAAGTTTGTTTTGGCGTAGGCTCAGGAGTTTTAATCCACTGAGCTCGAACAATTCCCGCGGAAGTTCGAAGAGGCGGTTGTGGGCGAGATATAATCGAAGAAATGGCTCGAGAGCAACATAGAACTGTTGAGGGAAGGGTGTAGACTTCTTATACACTGGTACTCTGGTCAATTGAGCAAGCGATTGGAGAACGTCCGGGGGAATTGTTTCAACGTAGAAGCACCTGGTATCAAAGTATGAGACAACATCTCCAGGTGACGGTATCTTGAAAAAAGGCGAAGGGGGTTTACATACGAAAGGTCCACATTATCCTTGCCTTCCTCAAGACAATGGTTCACCGCGGACCTGACATGTCGCTGGGCTTCAGTCTCCATGCCTTCCGCCGTTCCAATAAGTCCCCTTCTTGTACCAGTATCTTCAGACATGATAGGTGACGGAAAGCGGTAACAAGCAGCTGAGCACGCACATACATCTTCAGTAAACTCATCTTCCATTTGCCCGGAATTTCCAAGTATTGTCTCGCTGTCAGGCGGGACTATGGGATCCGAGCTTAAAGTCGATCCATCATCACTGCCCATCATCCAGACGCCACTGTCCATATCCCTTTTGCTTTTGAACGCCGTTCTGCTTCTCTTTTTCATTGTATTAGACAGATCCTCGCCCCACCAAGTACCACGGTACCTTCGCTTGCGGGCCGCATCACTGTCGCAGACGCCGAGCGTGGTGGACGAGTAGTTTTCTACTGCGGGTTGGAGTTTATCGCTTGAAAAAAAAGGGGGGTCGCTCGAAGGTGGGCCCGACAACTTGTCATAATTGAGCCCCGTTGAATGATGCTTGAAGGAAAACGGCGGTGCATTAGTTATAGTTTGAAGGAGAGGGCGTCGCGCGCGGCGAGGACTGGAAACGGAACGTGGAGGAAGGTCAGGGTCCATTGGGGCTTCAATTGATAACAAGGTCTCTGCTATCGTATAGGAAACAATGCCATTGTTCTTTCAAGGGTTCTCACTGCAGGTTCTTATACCTTTTTAAACTGAAATCACCGGATTTTCAAGCGATGCACCTGTTTTGGTACCAAACTTTCTGATGACGCGACGACTCAGCACGTGATAGAATAGTTAGTTCACTAACCAACTACGGAGTATGGAGTATGGAGGAGGAGTACCTGTTACCAAGAACAAACAGCTTTGTCAGCACAAATCCTGTTAAACACAAGTCATCCAAGCACCTCTGGCGTCCTGGCCCTCCGCCACACAAATGTGGCCTCTTCGTCGCCCGACCAGGAATGCCTAAGTGAGCTAAACTTTTTGAATTGATCTCTGGTTTCGGAGCCTTTTCCTTTAAAAGCGATCACAGCCTGCCGTTTTTCTTACAAGTAGCTATCCACCATCCTACTGTTACGAGTCTAATGCATAAATGTCCACCAAAGGAATACAGGAGAATAGACAAAATGGTATCTCCGATTTGAATCCAAAAATAAGAGTTCATCCCCAAGAAAAGAAAAGACAACTTTGAGCGCTTTCAGAAGAGCAGAAACAAAGTAGAATTGCAGCAGTCGTTCAACAGTCAGCTCGATCAACAAGGTATATCTCGATACTTTGGCCCTATCCCTTGATATTGGGGCGCGCCGGCCCGCCCAAGGGAAAGACGCAGGTCCTTTATTGCTTCTATTGCAATCCGAACTCGCCGTGACGAAAAACCACAAAACGCACAAGAATAAATATCGTTAAAAAGTCTTATCAACATGCAAGCATCAACTTTATTTTCAGAAAATATCATCTCCAAGGCCAAAAATAAAGAGTCAGAAAGGGTAAAAAGTCATAAACAAAATCATTTTGATAAAAAGGGCCTTGGAGGAGTGTTTAGAAATTATGTATTTGGTGACACATCCGAAAAAGAAAAATAAGTGTGTCAGGCCGAAACGCCGTGTAAAAATGCCGTGGCGGGTATCATCGAGGAGGCACCTTGTCGGAATAGGGATATCTCATACAACCGGATCACGATTCATCCCGGCAGCGACGACAGTGCCATTCCGAAGGCGGCCACCAGTCTTGCCTCACGCGAAGCCATTTAATCTATAGCAGAGTACCCAACACGGCCACGAACGAGCCAGCCAACGCCAATGCAGGAACGCCCTTGGGGAAAGAAGCAGCAGCGTTATTTGAAGACGAAGTGGGTTTCGGCGTGGATGTCGTTGTTGGTGTTGTTGACAGAGAAGAAGATGTCGACTGAGCGCTGGCGACCGTTGAGACGGCCGTGCCAGAAGAGCCGACAGAGTGAATAATCGTCATAGTCACAGTTTGTGTGGCAGTCCTGGTGGAAGTGATGGTTTCCTCAGCCAGAACCAGTTGCGATCCGATCAGAAGGAAGACCGCAGTCAAGAAGCTCACGAGAAAGCGCATGGTGAAGGATTTGAATAGATGTCTTTGCGTGTTTGGAAACCTCTTCAGTCTGTGCGGGACGAAATCAACCCGCGAGGAGGATTGATATAAGGTAAAGAACGGGAGATCGATGCGCCTAATGACTAGGGCAGCTGTGGGCGACTACTGCGACAAGCAAAGGGAGATATGTCCTAATTTGAAACAAAGCGCCGGAGGGCTAGGTAAGAGAGTGACAGGAACTCGGACGGTTTCAGGTTAATGACGTGCAAAGGAGGGTATGGCCTGAGACGCAAAGGAGTGAGCGTATCTCAGAAAATGACAGCTGGACGTGGGAAAGAGAGAGGCAAAGAGAGCGCTGCTCGTGTGCTAGTATATAAAAAGGACGGGAAGGGAGGGGAACATGGGCGGCTTGCCGCTGACCCGCGGGAAATGAGGCTTTGCGGAATCAATGGTACGGCGCCGTATTGCGCCCGATCGGCCAGCCCCGATCTGGCCTAGCGCGCGAGGGTCTTAAGGCCCCGACCGCGTTGTTCCTTGCCAAGGCCTCCCTGAACGGGCTAGCGCCAGGTACCGCCCGTAGCGCTGTACGAAATCAATCGGTTTTGTCCGTCACTTTGGGCCGTATCGATACCGTGATTGTTCGATGATGTGGCACTCGGCTTTGCGGCGGGCGAACAATCGCTGTGGCCTCTTGCGCCAGAAAGCGCCCGTCGATCGCTGGCGCCAGCAAAGACGAATTCTTTGCGTCAGCCTGAGCTTATTTTAGTTTTTCTTTTACTTTGCTTTATTTTTTTTTTTACGCTGAGTTTTCACTTCGCGTGATGGCGACCCCTGGCAGCTGTTAGCTTCACATGCGGTTTGGGCTACTTGGCAACCCGCAACAAGCTCCAATTATTCTTCTCCCAGGGCCCCTCTTCCCCTGCAAGTAAGCAGAGAAATACGCCGGTCACTTCTTCGTTGGCGATTTGTTTGGGTTGTGTGACCACACCGGACTTATTCTTATTCGGTAGTTCTGGGCACGTCCAATCGCGTACGGGGTAACTAATCCGTACTCCGTACACTGACCCAAAGATTTGCCCAAGAGACCGATTCTCGGATTCCGAACCTCCTTCGCTCCCAATCGCAAGAATTTGTCCTGCCAATAGCGAGGGAACCCATGGTCATTTCTTGTTTAACAGGCATACCCTAAACCCATTCGGCGATGTTTAAAAGTGTTGACCTGGGTGCTTGGCCTGTATGTTTTGGACCAGCATCAATAGCATCAAAGGATTATTAAGAATTCGCGAACAGAATGTTACCATATAATTTCTTTGGGGTGCCTCCCTTGCGAGACATATTTTTCTTGTTGGCTAGGGTACTTACTCTGCACTTTGGCTTCAATCAGACTGTCGAAAAAATTCTTCAAGAATGACATTTTGCATTAAGGTACTACGAGTGGTGTGACTTGCGCGTGCTCACATTGAACTCCTGCTTCAAAAATTTCTGGGACTCCAGAGGGCGCTCACTGTACCAAGGTATATCTGGTCTTGTGGCTACCCCTTTCATTTCATACTACCTGTCAGGTATGCTGTTAGGGAAAATTCAACTAGGGTCCTTTCCTAGCTTTCAATATTTTATTCCGTACGGAGACGTCCATACAGACACAAATATTGAGCCGCCGATAAGTCTAGTGAAACACCTTTGGAAATACTACGAAAACTGCCTGCCGTGATACGGGAACCTTGACTCATTTTTTCATCCCGCCGGCCCCTTGATGCGGTAAATATGCGCAATGAATAAAATATGTAGGATCGGACTTGAAGATATTTGGTTCCTTTTTAGTTTGTTTGCTCTTTAATGCGGCTGCTTTTAAAATATTATATTTGCTCAATATTCTCAAATGGGAAATTAATTTTTCGCCAAAGACTTACTCTATCGCGCGACTTTCGTGACCTGCCAGACAGGCAAGCCAGCCTGACGCTTCTTCCTAGTAGAGGACGTTTTGGGGTGGAGGCTGTAGGTGTTTATTGCCGTTAGGATAAAAGGCCAGTTAGCCCTTCATAATATATCTGTTCCCGTCGCAGTATTCCCACGAAGAGCTTACCACAAAGATAAAGAGAGTGCTGAAAATTCTCCAAGGAATAAAGACAAATATCTCATGAACATATCAAATCGCTGTAGCTAGATTTTCTCCGACGCATAAAGCATGTTGATGGGAGCTTCTACGGGCTCTCATAATATGCTGCGCTACTCCGTCGCACGGTTCAAAGTATAGTTGTACCATTTTGCTGAAATTCTCCCAAGAACGCTATTGTAGAATACAACGAGTAAAGGTGTATCTCAAGTCGTGGTTTTTTTTAAAAAAGGGTACCAACCATGACTCTAAGTTTATTCAAACCAATCGAACTTGAGCAGCTCGTAGAATCGAGCATTCGGGATCCTGTGGATATGCGCCCTGTTTATTCCAACCTTTTCCTGCTTCCTAGTATCGCATTCGGCGCTGGACCTTGTAGGAAGCTGTCTGCGCCAATCACCCGTTACACTTGATAAGCTGCAATGAACCTATTATCATACCAGTTGTAGAGCCAAGTGCCGAGCTGGACTCCTCTGCTGCGGAACTTGTATGCCAGTAGTCTCTTCAGAGTCCGGTTTGATCTATTCCCTGTGGAGGTGTCGCTGTCAAGAACATCAAGCCTGGCTTCCGGTGGACTTGCTGTCGGCATATCTTTAGAGTCTAAAGGCCCCTCCCTCCCCAAACCATCTTCAATCTAACTGCCCCTTTGCCCCAAGGGAAATCGGCAGGAAAGCAATAATCCTTGGCATCCCATAGTCAAAGGGTTTTTCGATCAAAAGGAGTTGATCCATCTGATACTCCTGCATATAGTCATCCTCAGCCTGGCCTAAAGACTCTGCAACTTTCTTCTTGAGGTAAATTCGTACGCATTGAAATCTTTCGAGCCGAGGGTCTCCAAAATGTTGGAAAACGGAAACCGAGCGCTCGATGATGGAATCGTATATTGAAATATCTGGAAGCATACATTTTCCAGATGATAAAATGCTCTGGCGAGGCACGAGTATTCGGTGTTTGATAATGTATGTACGAGAGGCGTTTATAAACTGGAGGCCGTTGTTAAGTGATAAGGTTCTACTCCTGGAGAAGCTTGCAATGAAAAACTTGACAACGTCGCGGAAATCCAGGACCCCGTTTTCACTGAATTTCGAAAAATCATATATTCCAAGAGGCGGGGGTTGGCGGAAATGCCAAAGAAATTCTAACGCTGCCACTTCCTGCTGGCGTTTGTCAAGTTTGCGAAGCACCTGGAACTTGAATACAAGCTTCGACTTTCCGCTCCAGTTGTAGAAGCAACACAATATTAGCCGATAAACGCCAAAGATTGACCACTTGCATTTGTACGCGAATGGTGGCTAGGATGTGATATGGGATGATGAAGAATGACGAGCTAATAGGGCTATTTAGGTATGCTAAGCCGTTAACGCTTGACCAACATCATCTAGACCACACGTCCCTCGAGATTTGATATTTTGCAATTCACGGTCTAATCAAGGTACAGAGCTATAATTTTGTTGAACCCCAGCATAACAGGCAGAGGCTGTAGCCACTTTTTTGCTTCTGCCGGTATCAGATCGTTGTTATCAAAAGCTGAATCGAATAGTTCTGCCAAACCGCTTTTCATGTATTTTGAGCCGAAAGCGGTAATGGCAATGGGAAAAAAGATACCAAAAACGCCGTTGGTGGAGTGGACTCAATGCAAGGTGCGAAGAGGTCAAAGACAAGGAGAAGCTATGTATATACAGATGTCAACACAAAACGGCGATGTCATTAAATCATTGTATAGATATAGCCTCCCTAAGGTGAATATAGAAGAAGCTTCTTTTGAAACCTTTTAAGTAACCTGGTATTGTACATCGTGCAGGGGTCGACATTAGTTGCGCTGAGCGCGGAAGGCAGCCTGGGCCGTAGAGAGCATAATTGGCCGGCGATGCACTCTTGCCCAAGTGTTATATGAGCTCGGGTGGCCCTCCGTTCGGATGACGCTTCCAATGGACATAAAGAACCTGGTTTTGGATAATCATGAGTGACTTATCTTGCAATAAGTTTTGGACGGAAACGAAAATTCTGAGGTGCATACCCAAACGTAGCCGCTGAACCGGCCATATATTTACCCAAAGTTCGCATGATACCGTTAGGTCCGGCGCCATACTGGAATATTGAAACAGTTCCTACACTCGATGTTAGCTGCCATGCAGGGACTTTGACGGGAGCTCGACCGAATACTAACCGATAATGAATCCCATTATCAATCCAACAGCTACAACACATGCAATCAACATCTGGAGTAAAATAGAGAGAGGTCCATCAATACTCACAACCACCCATCATGGCACCCATTTTCACTGGCCAAAACACTGTTAGCCGGAGCTGACTGAAAAGAGGTGTGGGGACGCGAACACTTATCGACGGTCGAGGGACCACGCATTCCTCCCCCGCTTGGAGCTGCTACGGGTGGCATCTTGAATATCACTATCTTGAGGTGCTGTGTGAGCAAACCGCTGAAGCCTCGCTGTCTTCCATCGACTCACAATCCCGTGCTTTCTTGTTGAGCTTCAGCTAGTTAAATGACTAAGCCGGCCCGCACTTCCTGTCTGTTTTGGTTTAGCGCAATGGCGGTCATCGCTTCGGCTGATTGGCCCGCCGTCCAAGGCACGTGATGCTCCCTTTTTGGGCTTGTTTTTAGATTTCTTGCTCTCCTGCGCCAGCACAACTGCTCGCCCATCACTCAGTGTGCCTGGGGACCCTCTCTCCATTCCTTGCCAGTAGCTCTCTGAGGGTTGGTCGTTGTTGTGGATGGTTTGGTATTGCTAGTGCATTTTGGTTTCCTGATCCACAGTCTCCCGCATTACCTCTTGCATAGTGGCTTCTTTATCCCCTCTACACTCCCAGAGGCACACGACTTGTTGCGTACAAAACAAAGAGAGTCTCTAATCTTCTATCCTGGGCCCATTAGTTTATAGTAATGTTAGTATCGAACTTTACCTGTTGCTTGCTCACCTCCGAGACTGTGAATGCCCATGCAGTGCCCGGAGCTGAGTCTTGAAACATGAACCAATTCACTAACAACAAACTTCTGTTTGAGCATTGCCAGACCACACATCCCATTCCATCAGCTCCCTTCTATGCAGCCAGCCATGTTCAATCGCTCTACGTACCCTACATACCAATAATTTCAGGAGTTCGGCGCTCGGCAAGCTCAACCTTGACCCAAATTTCAACGTCGGTGGTGATCCTTTCCTCGACCTACTCCCTCTTCCCTAATGACTGCTGTGGCATCTCCTCCAAGTGTGCAATCTGGCCCGCGTATAGGATGGTATCCTACTAGTAACGGCGGTCAGGGTGGATTTTCCTCTATCAACGGTGACGAGGTTTCACGCCCATTTATGATCCGGAAAAGTGTTCAGCGAACGAATTCTTCCTCGTCTATTTCATCAACTTCATCTTCGTCTACATCTACCGTACGCCCACAGCCACTTAGTAATGGTGGGCCGCCGCAGCCCACACCCGAATCGAATAACGCAGGCCCTGCAAAAAAACAGCCGAGATATATCTGGTCTGGGTCAAAGGCGGAGCCTGTTTCGGCGGTGACGAATGCCCGCCCTCAAGCCGTTTCTGCACCACCCACCAGATCTGCTGCTTCCTCAGCCATGTCTGCTCTACAACAACCATCTCCCGTTGTCCCATCTCCGCATGGAATTGCCCCACCGCAGCAAAATGGTGTCCGTGGCCCGAATAGACCTGCGCCAAGCGAACCCACGGCAATCTTGAGCTTGGTGCCACTAAATGGCACATTCGAAAGAAAGCAGATTACTGTCCCATATTTCCCAGATGTGCTTCGGATGGGGAGGCAGACAAATGCTAAGACCGTCCCGTCGGCTGTTAACGGCTATTTTGATTCCAAGGTTTTGTCAAGGCAGCACGCAGATATCTGGGCTGATAGACAAGGAAAAATATGGATTCGCGATGTCAAGTCTTCAAACGGAACATTTGTTAATGGACACCGTCTCTCTCCCGAAAACAGAGAATCGGAGCCTCATGAGTTACGGGAGCACGACACCCTTGAGCTGGGAATTGATATCGTTAGTGAGGATCAAAAGTCTATTGTTCATCACAAAGTATCTGCAAGAGTAGAACATGCTGGGGTCTATGGTCCTCATATGAACATTTTGGATCTAAATTTTGGTGACATAGATCCTACGTCTGGCGGTGGTTTATTTCCTCATCACCTAAGTCAACCTTTAAACCATACACGAACCCGACAGAGTAGCACCTCTTCAGCTGGAAGCTCCAGGACTGCCACAGGAACCAATGGCCCACAACTAAACGCCTTACAGCAACAACGCCAAATGAACTATTGGCTGTCTCCAATATCCATTGAGCAGGTGGTCAAGAAACTTACAGTTAGAACATTTAAACCCCATTCCTGTCACTCTCAGCTGACCATAGATTCACAGGCCGAAATGAAACAAGCAAAATACCATACCCAAGACCTGACCAAAACAAATGACTTCGTGTCGCATTTAGCATCGCGTGACGGTTTGGAAAAAGAGCGCATAAAACCTTCCCCTACTGATGCCCTTCCGGCAAGCCGCCAGATCAACGGACGACCTAAAGTTCATAGAAACGATTCATTTTCCCGGTTTTCTGAACCACCCGCTCCTCCTCCACAGCAACCATTACCAGAGAAGCCCGATGTAGCTTCCCGTTCCAATCCTCCTTCAGTAGTTTCTAGCTCGCCATTGAAGCGATCTGACACAGAGAAATCAAGGTCACCTGCAAACTCAGTTCGCGAATCCAGTCAGATATTATCGCTTATAGAAGCCCTGACTATTGCCAAGAAAGAGTTGGACTTACAAGGAGCTCGGGTCAGAGAACTAGAGGACCTTCTCCGCCACGAGCGAATAGCTCGTGAAACCGCTGAGGAGCGTGCCCGAACAATAGAAAATGAACGTTCAGAATTAGCACCAGAAATCGTACCTGAGCCGGAAACTATTAAAGATGACGACGAGATTTCTGTTACTACTGTCGTCGAATCCGTTGATGAAACGGAAGCCAAGATGCCAGTGGAGCCCGAACCACAAACTCACGCGCCAGCGCTGGAATCTGTCACTACGGAACTACAACTTCGCCTAAATACTTTAATGTCTGAAATGGATGAGATGCGTAAGGAGGTTGATAAATACAGAAGCTCAGCGCAGCGAGCAGAAGATGATGCGGCACAAAGTCGAAAAACGCTTGCAGAAATGGTTGAAAACGTTCGCCGGGAACGAGCAGAAGCGGCAGTGACAAGTACATCGGAACTCGGCGGGCTGGATATCACAAGCAACAGCAACGCGGTATCAGAGAAGGGGGACGAACCCATCAGTAACGATGTCATGGATGCCCTTTCGATGCGCTGTCGATCCCTATCACCCACCCGCATGCAAGAATTAGAGCGCGCAGCCGTCGCGTTTGCAGAAGAGCGACAAAGGCCCAGCATATTTGAGCACTCTGCCCCATACGCCTCGATGATTGGCGTTGTTTTACTGGGAGTCGGAATAATGGCATACTTGAATGGATGGCCGAAAGGAGATAGATAGCTCACGATTTTCCGTCCTTGGATGAGGAAGTTCGGTTGCCGCTATGGCCAGCATTAATGAGGAAGCATCGCACCGTTTTCAAATGAGAACAAGACCATAGAGTTATGTACGCCTAAATCCCCTTCTTTTGCCCTCATTCTCGAACCACTCCTCTTCTGTATCCCATCTTTTTAGTTGTTCTATTCCGGTTGTCATTGATCTACCAGGATTTTGCCTTTTGCGAGCGGGCTTCGGTGGGCATTTGGAATAGCGATGGACTCACTTCAGCTTGTATCTTGTCAATATGTTCACCTTGTGCTCTTTTCCATATATACCTTCATCGCTCCTTTTGGACGTTGTTCCAATTTCCTTCATCGATCCCTTTCCCTTTTGAATGAACGACCCTTATTCTATCCCAGTGATGTTTTACTTCTGGGATGACAGGATCGATAATGATTGATATTTTCCTTTTGGTGCCTCTTATGATCTTGCTTTGTGCTAGAATGCACCATCAGCTCGCAGGGTGACCAGAGCGCGGTTGTCTTTTTTGCTATTTTGACACTTTCTAGTTTCTTCACCGTCCTCCGATGAAGATCTACCACGATCCTTTTACTATTTTTTTTGAACGAGTTCCTGTCCCTTTTCATTTTTTGAGCTTGGTTCTTTGTAAGTATGTACGTGCATGTCAATGATGTGCTGGGTGGTGTGATACGGTGCAATACCTATTCATTATGATTGCTTCAAACCCTGTTCATTTTTTTTTTTTCGTATGGCTATAGCCCGAAGAAAGTCTCTCTATTATTGCTGCACAATGGAGCTGGAAATAGCTGAGAAATATGGGGTCTTAGTATGAGCAGAATACCGCCATAGTAAAGTTGCGGTACGCAAAAAAAGCCGACTAGGTCACTGTAGGTTCCATTACTATCATGGCCGGGAATAGGCGCTTTGGGGGCTAAGGTTTGCGTTTTGGAAGACTTAAGAGCTGCTATATCCCGAACTTCAGGATTCGCAGAGTACATGACGACGCTCATAACATAGCGTCGTACTGGCATAATCTTAACTATTATCAAACCCGCGGATACAACACGAACACCACTAGAACCACTGGGCGCGAGACAGAAATTGGTTCGATGCTGCATGAAACAATAATGGTCACACGTCTCGAGACCCTCGCGTTGGGAGATTTGCTGCGAATCGTCGAGCCACCGACCGCGATCTTCGCCAAACAAGCTCATTGAACAAAGCCACGTCTGCTGCCCCCTGTGGCCACTCAGAAATGGATACCGTGCAGAGTACGAGGTCTCAGGCGAACAAGGCCCTCGACGCCTTGCACTCGGGCCTACTAAGTTAGTTAACTAAGCGCGCGCATCCAGCGACCAGGGATATCCAGCACTACCAGCCTGTCAACTGCTGAGCAAACAAATGCACTGAAACCAACGCTGCTGCGCCCTGGCCCATGCTGCAATGTGTGCAAAGCTCATTGAACCATTTATTCTAGGGTATAATGCACCTTGATGCGCTGGCATACCACCCAGGAAAACGGGACAAGGGGTGGAGTGTTGGGTCAGGTCTCCAATAAATACACAGTATCATTCCAGCGCTTATAGGTATGTGTGCCTGAATGCCCATTTGCAGCTGTATCTCTGCTCGAGACGGACGCCTCCCGAAGACACGCTCTGTTTCGCCTTGCCCGGCGTTGTGTCCAGGATGGGATGCTGGATTGCCCTGCCCATTACTCTTCCACAAAGGACTCAGTGATCTATTCAAAGAATGAGTTTGGAAATCTCCCAGAAAATATAAAAACTGCAATCTGCCTCTGCTAAACAGCCTGCTTGCTACTGCTTTTCATCTTCCACCTTTGCCACTGTGCCATTATAATGTCCCACACTATCGCATTCCACTCGATATTATATCCACCTACCAATGATTTTCCTATGGCTGCTACCGCCGAGAATATTGGTACCCTCATTAAAACCGATATCACAATTACCCTGATTCCCGACCTTGTCCACCAGATCCTTTCTCAGCCTCCATTTGTTTCTGTTCCCGGTGTTTTTAACATCCGCGACATAGGCCATGTCCCGATTGTTCGTCGTAATTTCATCTTTCGCTCCGGGATGCTCTCCGGCATTGAAGCTGCCGGCAAAGCCAAACTCATATCTGAGCTGCGAGTTAAGAAAATTTTTGACCTCCGATCCGCCCCTGAACGCATGAGATTAGGTACTCCGCACATTTCAGGTGTCGAGATCTGCTGGATGCCAGAGATACGAGAGCCAATGCTGATAGACTTGATCCAATTTGGTGCTGAGGACGGCGGGCTGAGGGCGACGTTCCACCTGTATGCGGATATCTTGGAGACTCATGTGCCTATTTTCCGGCAGGTTTTTCAACATATTCGAGACGAAGGAGATCAACCAATTTTGTTCCATTGCGCAGGTGAGGCTATCCTTTCTATTATAGTGGTGTGCAGTTTATCTTACTTGTCTGGTGGGTAGCTGGAAAGGACCGCACCGGTGTACTTACCGCACTCATTCTGAGTCTTGTAGGCTGCTCCCACGGCGCCATCGCCTGGGACTTCAGCCTGACTCGTATTGGCGTGGAGCCATTCCGTGAAATAGTTTTGAAAGACCTCCTTTCGAGCGCGGTCGACTGTAATCCCGAGTTGACGAAGGGAATAGTGGGGCTTTGCAACATCAACTTCGATGCCATGATTTTGTTTCTACAACAGCTTGAGGCAACCTATGAACGTGGTGCGGAGGGGTATGTCATGAATATTCTAGGTTTCTCAAGTGAAGACGTTTCCATAATCAGGAGAAACCTATATGGCCAATAAAAAAGTAGATACCGTATTAAATTCTAAGAACCAATATCAATTCAAGCTGCTAGACGTATATTCTAGAGCCCCTAGGTATCTCGCATATTTTTTCATCTAGATAGGATGATTATAAAGTAGGTACACATTTCATTCTGCTAGCAAAGTGCTAGAAACTCTCAAGTTAGCATTATTTAAACTTAACTGTGAACACAGATAACTGTCCGAAAACCGAAACGTGAATAATGAATAATCAGACAATTTTAATTCCGATGTGCCCCCCAATTTGGCTACCAATATTCTGGAGCTTCTCGAAACTCTTTGTCAAAGCCTCAACGTCAAAATTTGGTCCAAATCTTCGAATAATACCTAAGTAGGAGTGCCACTTTGAAAGGTTTGGATCCATATATGGCGGTAGCCCAATGAATGGATTTCCTTTATCATAAGTCTCGAGAATTCTTATTGCCTCCTCTCCCCCAGGGATGAGTTTCCGATATTGTCCCAACCATGCATGTACGCCATGTACAGCACTTTCAAGAGCACCCACAACCCATGCGTGATGAGGACTCGCGGCCTCCCCAATGATCATAAAATCACCAGAGGGCTGAATCAACTTGCTCCACATACCACTGAACTGCTGAGGGCGGAAAAATGCAAAGGCTCCTGCAGCATTGGGTTCCTTGTACCAGTCAAAAGCATAGTGATCAACATAGTTGTCGCTAATCAACTTGTATGCTTGAGCTTCCGTCATATGATCGCTCTTATGAAGGCGGGCCAGATCACGAAGCAGAAGTTCCTTGAGCATGACCTCATCCCGGACTTTCTGCTTATGATCGCTATTATCAGAAATCAGGGATGAACAGCGCTGGGCATCTTGCTGCCATGTATACGAACAGAGTAAGACAGCAGATTGGGTCGGGGGGGTCATAGAGATTGTACGACGGGTAGACACAGGTACGGAGATTTAGATCAGAATGGCCGAGGCCGCCGAGCTTGATGTTATTTTGTCCTAAATCGTGGATCCACCAAGCACGTTTGAATTTAATGCCAACTTTGGCAGATGCTCCATATCCCAGAGATCGCATTGCCTGTTTAGTGGCATAATTAAGACGCGCTTCGCTGGTATCGATTTGCCTTAGGCAGCCGAGAGGCACAGAGCCGAAAAGTCCAGCATATCTCAAGGGTTTTGGTTCTCCTTTGACAGTGACTTCCATTTGTAGTGAATTAATGGCCTTGATTGCGGTCACTCGTCGCTCATAAGCTGGCTTGTGTACGAGCTTTGCTTCCATTCTCTTGGCAAGCTCTTGAGCACCTCCAAGAATGCAATACCACTTAGTGGCATTGTCGAATGCGAAGTCTAGTGATTCTAGCACAGTCTCACTATGGGCCTGATCGTACCAATTGGTACCTCTAGAATAGTCGTTAGCGCAATTATGAAATGTCTGTCAGGAAGGAGCACAAACCCATTAAATGTTTCCATCCATTCAATGGTATCATAGTTGTAAGGCGGAGGTGGGATTCCAGTGGTAGAAGAGACCCACGGATGTTTTCTGAATGGAGTTGGCCAGAGTCATCCTATATTTGGTGCGAAAATACTTACAAGGCTAAAAATTGACGAGTACTGTACGTGTCGTACTTCATCAAAAGGTCCCAGCCAGAGCGCCCTGGGGGGGTTCAACTGAGCATCTCGCCTCAGTGCTTCTCTCAGAGGTTCTATGGTACTGTTCATAACGTCATCGGGTGTATGGCGGAAGATTCTGAGATAGATATTTAGTATAATATTCATGAGTCCAATAATATATCATACCCTGCTGGAATTGTGTTTTTAGTATTTATTTCAAATGGGTCTCCACTTTGTGAATGGATGTGAACGTCATTGTAATTCCCCCACTTGGTAATGTCATTATAATGCCATGGCTCAGGGGATCCAGTATCGCCGTTTTTCATGTAATATGGAATCAAAGATCCTTTAGGAGGTGACGTTTTTGGATCTTTTTTTTCCAGACCAAGCTTATTAAACAGAGCGAATAATCTAGGCGCTGGTCAACCAGGCTTTATAAATAATTGCTGATTGCATACCTTTGCATAATAGGATTCTCAGGGAATCTCATAGCACCCACGTCGTAATAATCGTGTGGCTCGCTGCTAAAATTGTATGTGTAGAGCCTTCCTCCGACCCGGTCTTCTTTTGAGGCTTCCAGGATGTCATATTGGATTTCAAACTTTTTCTTTTTGAAAACCTGCTCGTTAAGATAGTCAATTATCAAGCCAGTAAATAGTCCGGCGGCACCAGCTCCAATTATTCCAACTTTGAGAAACGGGATATGATCGAGCTTTGGGGCACCATCCAAGGGGACCGGCGGTGGGGGCAGGGAGTCATAAGTCTCTCCGATGTCGATATCTAGGTTTGGTAGGAGTTTTTTAGCCTCATCAAGGACTCCTAAAACTGCATTGTTGCGAGCCCACTGATCTCTAAGAGAGATGGGAGAGGCTTGATTCAAAGACATCGTAATAGCAAGATTTTCAATATTCTGTACTATTTGTAAGACTGTGGTTTGACACCAAAGGTAGACACACAGACACTCTTGGGCTGGAAGATTGCTTTGCTATTTAACAAACAGCTGCGAGGAATAGAGTTGTCCGGAAATTCAGAGTATTTGCACGAAAGCATGAAGTTGGGATTAATGCTGGCATACGGAATACTCCGTATTTAGGTTGGAATGCAAGAATTCTAAATTGAGTAACGCGAAAATCCATCCCAGGTTGTTTTTAGGAAATTTACCCAATAAACATAATATATGTAGTACACAGAGCTCTGTTCGGCGTCATCTGCTGACGCTGCTCAGCTCTGATTGAAATATCTGGGATGAATGCGTTTGGCGTGTTCACCAGCGGTGCCAAATTCAAGGCCCAAATTTGAACCGGGCAGTCCAGAAGGATGGATGCTTTTCATTATTACTGGTGTTCTCCCAGCTTATTTTCGAATGCCTAGGGAGAGGAGTGGGCTTGACCTCAGCCAGCCTTTCGGAGCGGACGGCGACCACGGAAAGGATGGAATGCAGTTGACCAATATGTGTGTACGTACGGAGTAATTTGACCAGATATTGGACATTATGACTAACTACAGAATGCTCCGCAAGCAACTCTGCAGTCTTTGGTGAGGTATAGTTTTGGAAATTCTAGGGTCTCGTCCGCAAATGGGAATGAAAAAATACCGACAGGCCACTTTGTAATCAAAGTTAATTTTTTCAAGAGCGCGGGGTTTCATGCCTTGTACTTATTTGTATCACTTCTTGAGAAAACCAAGTTGAAAGAGGTATCAGGGATGTCCGCTCCTTGCGACAGAGCCATGCACTCTGATAGCAGGCAGTTTCTTGGACATCAAGGAGGGAAACCGCAATTTCTCGGTATGAGACAGCGACCGGAGAGCGATTTGAGAAGTTTTAGGGTGCACGGGGTTCAAGTGTGACTGGGATCGGAGCCAAAAAAAAAAAAAAAATGAGCTCTAGCAAGGTCATTGCATAGTTGACTAGTTATATGATTGAACTAGATCGCCTTTGCAGAACGAGGGGGACATACCTTGATGCGCTGGGGCTGCGGCCCACGGGGTAGAAGACGGCCAGGCGTTGTCCTTAACGGCCGGGCGCCGGGGTCGACACGGCGCTTTGGTCGCTGTGGTGTTCCCCCTTCCAAGGTATGCGTACGCCTGGCCATCGGACGAACCCAAAAAAGCGGTCAGACGTTACGGGAGCCCGTTAGTAATTTTAGAGTGCGAGACGGGTGCTGGCCACAAGCATTTTCTGCGTTCATAGCCAGCCTCGGCGCCCCTACGTGATAGAATGGTCAACGATAGGATCCGCACCGAAGGAACAATAATGGAACATTCCTGTGGGGATGGTTCATAGGGCCTGCGCTCGATAACGAGCTGTCAGCAGGGGAAAACGATCAAAGCCCGTAGGCCTGCGTGGCTTGTGACAGCCTTTCTATGGGTTGTAGGTAGTGTTCTCAGCAAGGCGTGGTGAAATTATTAAGAGCCAGCGCGGCACATCGGCTGAGGAGAAGCGACTAATTTCTAGGCCAAAAGGATGCCACCCACCCCCTGAGCCAAGACCTCGAACGGTGTTCTGCAGCTTCGCAAGGTGTTCGACTGGGCGCTTTGCTGAATATAGCCTTCATCAGACTCTGCTTCAACGGGTACTTGGGCATATCATGCTTCCAAGCTTCTAATATTGCGCGGATCAAAGGGCTGACGCAAGAAATGAGACCAGGCGTGATGCTGAGCTGCAAACGCGCTCCGATGCGCCGCTTAAAACAGGAGTCTGGGCGGGTTCGGATAGGGATCGCCCGGTCACACTCCACTGGCAAGCCGTTCCTACACCCCCTTCTTATATAAACATACCTGGGGTCAGCTGCTGTGTAGAAATCTGTGCTCATCACCAACGCCATGCATGCAAGCACGCTGTTGTACACACTTCTACTCCGTACAGGTCGCCCAAAATTACCGTACACAATATGACTCAAGGCCCTAGCTTCTATATATGCTCCGTATAAGTTCTCCGTACTCCGTACGGAGTACGGAGTAACTAATATAAGTCCACTAGGAACCCCAAACCCTGCGATTCTATGCATGTCGAACGTTGAACCGGGGGTTGAGCTTCCAGGGGCTTGGCTAAGAGTCGTTATCTAACGAGTCGTGAAGAAAATTTGTACAAGTCAAAAAGACACGGAATTTTTTTTTTTTTTTTTTTTTTTTTTTTGCAGCACGGAGTATAGGGCTCCGGCTCTAAGAGAGACCTCTATTGAGGTTTGCAGATTCGGAGCCGCTAGTAGTAGTGAATTCAAGAGCGAGAGTCTTGAAAAGAGTAGAAAGAACATAAGGCTTACTGGGGTCCCCTGCGTGCGGGATCGTCAAGGTTCCATTCCGAGGTGCCTAAAACGACAAGGGGGCGCGTGTTCCTTCAGTCACAGCAAAAGCACGGCTATTTTGACGAGTTCCTGTCATCCTTCGGTGCCGAACTTTGGGGTTCTGCGGTTTGCCCATGAGGTGACTGTCCGGGGTAAATACTTAGGGTGTTGAGTTGATTCGAATTCAAGCCGATGATCGCCCTGTTTCAAAGTTCACCGGTTTCCTGTCAAACTGGACGCACGATGCTTCTTCTGATCTCGACACGTCATTTTCAAAACTGAGCTATCTCCACGGAGTAGTAAAGAGGGTCTGCGAATAGGGTCTGGTCACCAATGGGGCAGTCGTTGGCTTCACAACACGCATGTGGCTTTCTCGGTGTTCGGTGCGTAGCGACTACTGGACAGGGCTTTTTGTTTCGTGTGGGTAGCAAGAAATGACCAAGAGTACGGGGGCCGTCGTATACTCTTCTGAGATAGGTTCGAAGCGCCGGGCTAACGCGGGAGACGTAATTTCTAGTGCAGTAGGATGCATTATCCCAGAGCTGCTAAGCATCAGGCTTTCATGGCGCGAATGACATGTTTCCGGGTGCCCACACGCCAGTCTATAATAAAAATTTATTATTATTGTGTATTATTGTAGCCGTGGGCATCAGGCCACCCGACATCGCCGGTGTGGTCTCCAGTCGAGACCGTGGAACTCGTTGGCTGCTTGCTCCACCAGGCCGCTCGCCCGGCCGAGGTGGCCGTAAACGCCACAGCGTGTCACGTGTACCATGTGTCAGCAGCCGTGGAAATTAGGTTTGGCTACCACGTGCAAGGGGCCGCGCCAGGCCTAACAAGGCTAGCGTGCCGTGTGTTCTTCCGATGGCCTCCAGATCACCCGCCAAGCGTTGGGATCGCCTGGCCTGCTTGACCTGTCGCCCGCCGGCCATGAGGCCCCAGGGGTCATGGCGCACAGCCAATATGGCTGCAGGCAGCCCGTGTGATGGATAACGGACCGTTCTGACGGATCAGACAGCTATCCTTCGACGGGGTTGCCGAGCATCCTTCTCTCCTGTTCTACGAGTACGAAATTTCTTCCACCACCCTACGGATAGGCGGTTATTTTTATCCGGAGCTTCGTTTTGTCCCAAAATACTACTGCTACTGGCCTTTTACACGGCCGCAGGAGCTGGATCTTTTATTCGCTAGCTTGACCGGTGGGGGTAACTAAAGTTTAAGTGCTGAAGCTTCATCGATTTTCATCCGAGTTTCAAGAAGCAATGTTGCTTTTTGTTCGTTTTTTTTACTTTCTTTTTCTAATCTTAATATTATTCTCTCACTTCTCTTCCCTCTCTCGAAGCTATATTATTCCCCTCGTTTCTGTGTTATATGTGTTTTTAGAAACCTGTCCGCTGCTGGGACAGGTCCAAATTTATGATCATTTTATTTATTCCAATTCTGCGACCAGTGCAGACGGTCCAAGTCCGCCAAAAGCTCCCTTGATTTACATATTATTCTCTTCCGCTCCCTCTCCATTACGGCCATGCCGCCTGCCTCTAATATTCTCATACTAGGCGGCGGTATTGCAGGCATTGCCGCCGCCCTGGCACTATCCAAAGAGCTATCTCCTCTTGATCCAAACATAAATATCCGGCTATTTGAACTCCGCGATATCCCCTCAACGAGTGGTGGGGCAATTAATCTTACTCCAGTGGCTCAGAGACACCTGGCCCAACTTGGGATTCTCGAGGAGCTTGACAAGATGGGCCCCGATGGAGGTGTCGATGTGGATGGCATAGAGTACTATTCCATTCACACTGGTCGAAAAATGGGCTTTATCGACTTCGCTGGCAAGAAAGGCCAGGGATACGGCGGATACAAAGGCAGACGAGTGATGCGTATAAACCTTCATCTCGCTATGTTAGCCGCCGCAGAAAGAATTGGAAACATTTCCATCGAATTCGGCAAGAAGGTCATCGGAGGCATGGAAACACAGAAGTCTGTCACCATCCACTTCGCCGATGGATCTAGCGCGACCGGCGATATAGCCATTGGCTGCGATGGGGTCCATTCCAATACGCGCACTAAGATAGTTGATCCTGAGAGACCTTCCGAATATACCGGCATCTCATTTATCCAAACCACTATTAAGACAGACCAGATAGACTCTCCTATCCATTTTGAGGCTACTGCAATGAATCGATCACGGCGAGGTGCTCTATTGACAACATTCTGCGATTTAGAAAGAACTGAGATATTTACCGCTGGTTTGGTACAGATCGACTCATCGCTGCTATCCAACGATGCCTGGAAACAAGAAGGCGCTGGTAGTTACAGGCCGCGGTGGACCCCTTTAAAGGCACTTCGAGACGATATTCGTGAACGATTTGGAGAATCAGTGATTCCTTGCATACGGGAGATTGTTGACAAGGCTGAGGGCTGGTCGATATACCCAGTTTACCAGCTTGCGCCTGGAGGAAAGTGGTTTACAGAGAGGATCATATTATTAGGGGATGCTGCCCATGCTGTTAGTATGCCCTCTTCTCCATAGACGTTGCAAAAAGCTGACTAGGGAATTTCAGATGCCTCCAAGAGACGAATCCGCCGCATATGCCCTCGATGATGCGATCTTGCTAGCACGAGTCCTTGCTATCTATTATGAACACCCGCTCCCCGACGCATTCCTCACATATGATGAACTTCGCCGAAAGCCCATCAATGACGCCTACAGGGATTCTAATGCCGGATGGGCGAATAATAGAGATCACGGCAAGTGGGCTTGCAGGCTTGAAGAGTGGCTCACGCCGTGGCACCTTCGGCGAAAGAAGCGGGCTCGGGTCGGTGCCTGGGTCTTTGATGCACAATCCGTACCGATTCCTTCGCCGAGGGTTTGGAAAGATGAAGATTCATGGTCGTGACCAACAGACATGCCCATTTGTTTCTATGCTTTCACATCCATGAACACCAAGAAAATGCATTAAAGGGCGTCTGTTAAGGAAAAGCGAGAGAAATTGGCCCAGTCCCAGCCAGTTTCCTATGTGTGCCTGGGAGGTTGTATGTCATACGGAAACACCAATCCTTTTGCTGTTCTTGTTCCTCTCTTTTTCAATATTTCTGAAATCATTATTAGCCTGTATATAAATAGATTCCCCATGAATAGCTCCATGTATTTACTTTGCCCATAGTTCCAGCCCATGAGCAACATTTTAATATGTTTCTTTAACCCACGAGGAAGAGGCGCCAGCAATTTAGTATTTACATTTTTCGTCTATCCCCATGGGATACAACCACAGACAAAGAACTTGGAAATCTGCCCATGAACGAAGTGCATTTCATTGACATTTGCTATTTACTACACCGCATCTTGACTATCCCAGAGCACCCCAAGGTTTGAGTGCTGTTGAGAAACCCGGCAAGAAATTTCAGCTTCGCCACTAGGCACCGGGTAGGCTAATGGTTTAAAGCTGGAAACACCTTTTTGTCGGGAATGCATGAGAGATCCTGATTCCAAAGCGAGTGGCGGTTTTGTTTTACCCGACGACATCCAGTGGGAGTGAGCAAGGGGTTCGTTGGCGATGAGTAGTTATAACAGGCATTCGTCTTCCTATCCTCTAGATCCCAGTCGGCACCTGTGTTAGATTTACCCACTAGCTGCGAATCGTCGATGACACAGCCCTGTCACAGCTGTCTTTTAAGGGCGAATCCATCCAGCGCTTTGACCGCCCATAGTCGGTGGAGTGTTTATAGGAGTTGTTTGAGGTTCCAAGGGCCGCGACAGCCACAGCCCGGCTAGCTTCTTTTGGCCTAGTTATCTAATAGGCTCTCCTGTCTTCTCCGCCCTGATCCACGGATCAATCGAGAATTCCATCCATCGTGATCGATGCTGTCAGTTGGGCCGCGCGGGCTTGACGGGGCGGCCCATGGCCTGTTTTACCAGGCCCCTTAGTCTGCTGTGGAAGCCGTCTGACCGCCTGATACAGCACAAGGTCCCCGTGCTGCAAACTCAATAGTGATACCCTAAAGTCTTGTCTCCTGCTCGGCGGCTGGATGTCATGACTAACCGACATCGCGCCTGGCCGCCATCTGAGGCCCGTCTCCCCGCGGACGGGACGGCCTTGCGACCACTAGTTCTCCCGGGGAAGGCCCGGTGGGCCGCCCTGTAGCTGCTCCCTGCTGGTGCCTGTGATACTGGCCCTTTCCGGGCGGCACGGCGGAAGCTGCTTGTTCCCCGGCAAGGGACAGCGAGCCTGCCAGGTGCTCCGTTGCGCTTGCTCTGTTGTTTGTTATTGCTCTCAGGCTTCTCCGATAGAGGAGGTTTGGTCTCTATCTTGTCTCGCGGCGTCTCACTGCATCCGCATTGATCGTATACCTACTGGGCTGTATACTTTCAAGTATACCATATTCGCGTCTGTTTTGTTTGTTAATCGCGCTTTGTTCCTTCAGGTATCTGTGACCATGCATACTCAGTGGGTCAAGATCAGCTTGGCCCTTCTCTTAACCAAGACTGCCTCCGCGTCTTTTAGCATCTACGCCAATTATGACCACCATGCTATTGCTGCAGCTTTGGGTATCTCTTCCTATTGCCTGTCGGCCCTGTATGTCGATCTTCTTCTAGCACCGAGGCCGCATTCTGACACCCTGCAGAAACCAGACTGTTGAGTGCGACCAAGCCAACGCCGCACGGGCTGCGAGAGGCGTGGACAACGATTGTAACATCCCCACTGTTGCCACCATGACGTGCTCTGATACCCTGCATTTAGATTGGTCTAAGGAAAACCTCACTGCCCTCTGCACCAATACTTGCTCCAACTCCTTGGCGACATGGCTCTCAACTGTGGAAGCCAGGTGCTCTAGAGATCAAGTGACGGCAAACGGTATTATTTTTGAGCCTAAAACGTTTCCTCTGAAATATATTTCGGGCCACGACCTTGCCTGTCTTCAGGATAGGTAAGCCTTGGGGGTCCTGGCACCAATATTCTTTTTTGCTGACTCTCTCAAGTTCTGAAACCTTTTGCATTCTCGAATCCCAGAAATGGGACGGTAACGCTAAGATCAAGTACGTGGCCCAACCCCGAGGATGAAAAATGTTGTAACATTGTAAATTACAGGTGGGATATGGAAGTTTGCTACGATGAGGACCCTCCAGAATTTTGTGATGAGGAAATGTTTTTTGACGAAGACCAATCGGTAGCCGTCACAGACTTATATCATCAAGACCAGGTAGCTCGCTCTTCCATTTTCTCTAAGAAAAATCCCAATAATAACTAAGATGCTCACACGCCGCTTCTAGTATTGTAGCGAATGCTTCTTGTTGCTTTGGAGACAACGCTTGCTTTCGCCTACACTGCCACCCGGTAATTTTACAGACTACCTCATTGATCAATTTAAGGTGTTGGCGGATACATGTTCTACCGACTTACCATTCTCAACCTCCGCCCCAACTCTTATTCTTGGGCCCGCAACCGCAGTCCCTGATGCTGGCCAACGAATTAGAACAAAAAATGCCACTACTGCTTCCAGTGCCCCTGCTGCACCTACCGAGGCTATATATAAACGTTCCATTGCCCCACGTGTGCCACTTTACACTACTACAGGTTAGAAAAAGAGTTTCCCTCTTTTTCTTTTTTGAATAGTTCCGCATGCTAATAATAATACATCACAGCTGTTCCGCCCAAACCAACCCAGCCTGGCACAATTGCCGCTTGTGGTGCCTATTATGAAGTGACCGAAGGGGACACGGTGCGGATTTTCCTTCAGAAACCAAGACTCTTCGCTAACAATATGAATATAGTGTATATCCATTTGCAAACAATTGTATGAATCCGTATAATATGTTTAGCAACGAAGCTGACAGCTAGCCTTTCCAGTGGGATTGATTACGTAGATTTGCTTAGCTACAATACCCAAGTATGGTTGTCTTATTAATCTTGGTTCCCATACTGATGTTTTTATTGTCTAGCTGGATGATGGTTGTAATAATCTCTGGAAAAACTATGCCATTTGCATAGGGCCAGTTACCACACTGCCTTCTACTACGCTAGAAGCACCGACCACATCTAGTTCCTCTTCTACTGTACCTCAAACTACCGTTTTCCCCGAGCCTCCTCACAAAATAAGCAAAGACGGAAAATGTAGTAATCTGATTAGTTGCGTGGGATCTGGCTTTGGTGATTGCTGTAGTACTAGTGGTTACTGCGGTTCGGGACCAAAGTGGTGTGGTAAGTCTTCATGCGGCCATTGTCATTAACTGTTATGAAGTTTATGCTAATATCAAGGATAGGCCCGGGTCATTGTGTGTCTGGACTTTGCAACAACTCGCCCGGCCAAGTCACCATAGATGGGACTTGTGGACCCAGTTTTCCGGGAAACAAGATCTGCCTGGGATCTGGATTTGGTAACTGGTAGGTAAAATAATAGATTTTCTCTGAAAATGCATCTATTTTTAAGTATGCCATTTGAAAATCAATTTGATGCTAACTTATCTTTTAAGCTGTTCCAAAAGAGGTTATTGTGGCTCAACAAAGGATTATTGTTCTGCTGAAAACTGTTTCTCCGGCAAGTGTGAGAAAAATAATGAAGATGAAATTGATGATATTGATGATGATTTGCTTGATGACAAGAAACAAGGAAGAAAGGCTACCAAGAACAGCACTGATGTAAAGCAAATGAGGAAGTGGAGGAGGTTAAGACTAAGAAGACGCAGTGGCATGTAACATTCTGCCATAGAGGGGAGGATGGCCTCTCATTATGGAATTATTCTTTTTCAAGCGCATATTGTTAATACGGAGCGGAAAATGTACGGCAAGAGGTGTTTAAAATGCACTGACTAAAAAGGAGCCGACTAAGGATGTTTCAATAGTGGAGAAAAATTCGTTCTCCTTTCCATCTCGCGTCGAAAATACATTATACTTAGGGATTAATCCTAATACTAAGTTATCTCTCGCGCAAGTGAGCTCCTATTATTTACTGTCAACTATAAAATACAAACTGGGATCGTATAAAATGTGTAAAACAAGCTTCTGTCTAGTAGTACAGACATGATTTCCAAATTAATGTATGTATGAACATACATGGAAACACAGAGCCCTTTCTATCTAGAAAGCTATGGAGGAGATGGAGGTATATAAACTAGGGACAAATGTTAGTTTCAGAATACAGCATGAATTTTATGTTGCCTTCTTCGCCTGATTTCGAGGTTTTGGTGCCGTGGACATCGAATTTTCTAGATTCGACGCCCACAGTGCTGCACCCACAGTATTCGTATACGTGAAGGCGAGGGAAGCAAATGGTATGATCTCCAGAAAAAATGCCACGGCACCAAAGCTATTGTAATATAAGCATATGCACTACAGTATGTCATATCTTGCAGGTAGATACCTTGTATATGCGGCACGATTCTTCTTGAGCCAATCTTCCTTTTCCTTCACATTCCAGCCCTTTAGCTCAAAGTATCTTAAATGTGATAAATTGCCCACCCTTCTCCCTTGTCCAACGAAGTAGATGAGACTGCCTACCACGGGGACAAAGTTCAACGGTAGGTATATTAAGGACCTCAGCCACACTGATAAACCACCTCCAACAAAGGGTCTGCGCAGCATCCGTCCCAGCCGTGCCATTGGGTCCCCCATTGACATGTTCAGCTGCCGCTCTCGCGCTACCAGCGCTGTTTCTCCACGAAGTAGTAGTGTCCCATCAAAAATATCCGTCAGCGAGTCACGCGAAATGAAGCTGCGGGCCAGGAAGTTGATGATTGTGGAACTTTCACTTAGGACGAGCAGAGCAGCAGAGATGGGTGCCAGGGGCCCGTTCGTAAAAGCTAGAATGGCAGTTTGCGGTATATAAGTGAAAAAGAACATAGATGCTGTGACAGCAATGGAGAGAGTTACTGTCGGAGCGAGGCTGGACAGTAATGGTTTCCATAGCGAGCGGTGGGTGAGAAAGTAGATGATGCCCTGTGATGGGGAGTATCAGATGGGCGTGTCCTCTATAGTACATAAGGGATGACGGGAACCGAGTACCTGGAAGGGATAGGTATATGCCCCTGAGCGAATGCCATCTCGAGCGAGAATACTGATGGCTTTAAGGTCATCTAGGACAATGGATTTGATGCGATCGATAATGGTACGATTGGCTGTCATGGTAGAAATGGCCCACCTGCTTAATGTTGCTTTTCAAGCCGAGAGTAGTGGGAATTGTGTGCAGGTCGGTTCCCCGGTAGTCCACAGGTATCCCAGATGGTAGTTAATTAATTATGTAGCTACTGATACCAACCGCAGCCTTGATTAAGTAGGTTGGTGTGGTTTAAATTGAAGCGATGACGCTCAAAGGGTCTTAAGGTTACTGAATATAGTTAACTAGTTAGTTGGTTACCTAACTCTATCAGGTAGCTTTACTTTTGGAACAGGGATAACTAGTGGTTTTATCATAAATAAGATTTAGAGTAGCAACTTCCATAGCAACTTTCTCATCTGAATATGAGTCACAAACCTTCCGAACCATCCATGCTGTGCTATGACTGAAAACCACTTTGACACCAGCATTTTAAGAGCCATGATGAAAAGTATCGACAAGTTGACAAGGAAGGTTATTTGGAATGTTGACACCCATGGAAGGGGTGACCAGCTCTATGGGTTTCGTTGACTTTACCAACCCAGAGCTTGCCCTGAGTCTCATGAGCAGCATCAACAACCCAATTTGTATCCACAGCAAAGCCACATTAGATAAAAACACCGATTTTCTGTTTAGCAGGGGATAGATTGACTAGACACCAGTTAGTTACCACAGGGGCAGGCAGGAGGTGAAAACCATAACATACGTGGGCAAGGTATTTGAATGTGCATACTACTTATCCGGAATCATTGTTTCACCTGTATAATAAATAAAGATCGCGAGCAAGTGTCTTGATTGATCCAAAGACATTCAGACAGCTACCCACCACTGTTCGGTGGACTAACTAGGTACAGAGAGGAGAGCAAGTGAATACCCAACTAACTACTAGCTTCCCGTGACTTTGCCAAGCCTTTAGTAAAGCATTGGAAGAATCCTGTCATCACTTGTTAAATTTCATCCGCTACGCCCCGGAGGAATTTTGAATTGTATGAAGGCAGAGATCACTTAGAAGATACCGTAATAGCGAAAATTCATTGAATTAGTTACAATCGCTCTCTGGGATTATTTTGGAAAGCCATAGTAAGATTGAACATTTTAACCCAAGACGAGGCCAGCCATCACCTATTACTCCAAATTGAAGCTCCGTATTCCACGAATTTATCATTTCAAGGTCGGCCGAACAACACCCAAACACCGCTTATGTCTTACTGCACTATAGCAGCTATGCAAGAAGAAATGCAACAAAGGAGAAAAAGAAAATGAGAGGCAAGTGATTAACAAAGGGGCCATAATTTTTGGAAGTGTGCAAGAAAAAGCAGATTGAAGGCGGATCATCGATCAACGATTCCTATGGGGATGGGCGTGCCTAGGCTGATGCCACATCGAATCACCACTTAACGCGGATAGGCTTAGATTTGCAAGATTTCGCCAGCTCGGCTGTACTGTCGACGCGTCAGAATTCCCGAGCAACGAAGTTGACGGGCTAGCTCCACGCTCCAGGTCAGAGTCCGGATCATCGTCAGGAATGGGAATTGTCGATGTTGGAGAGTCGTTTCGCATCTCCGCAATCTGGGCCTGACCGTTCGTGGATGTGGGTTCAGTGTCCTCAATCCGTGCGCCAGATGCAGCAGCTCCCAGGGAGCGTACAACATCCCCTTTGCAAATGGGACAAGTGCGCCGGCGTGTAGTAAGCCAGGGAGTGCTGAGAGATGTCAGTACAGCTGTATATTTTATTTTTATTGCAGGTGTAAAACTTACATGCATTCAGCATGGAATTCGTGGCCACATGGCAAGCTCATGACTCTACTTTGGCCATCGATATACTCTTCCAAGCATACAACGCACTCAACTTGCCGTCCAGTATATTTACGGCGCCATAAAGTGGATCCTGATTGGGACTTTTCAGCCCTTTCATGTCCAGCGCCTAACGAGTTGGACGAAGCGGAAATAGGGACACATGTTTGAGAGCGCGGTCGTGGGCGTGGCGAATGTGACCGGGAGTTCGAGAGCAAGGGGGACGATGGTGATGGAGGACGAGTCGTTGGTGTATTAGGCGTGCTAATCGTCGGGATGGAATGGTAGGTTCTCACGGGAAGACGATCGACGATAGCTTTCGGGGCACGCCACCGACGGCGTCTAATTCGGGACCGAAGCAATAGAAGCGCATATACAACAGTCAAGGTAATTAGTGGGCTGACCACTAATACCAGTAACGTGTCGAAAAACGGGCTTGTTGACATGGTCGTCGGAGACAATGTTACCCACAGACCCTCATGTTCAGTTCCCTCTCCAAACCCAGCCAGGGCGGCTCGAGGTATGTTGAAGGCTCCATGAGAACGTCTGGTTTCGGACAGGCGTCGATCGGATTCCAAAATTGATCGCTTATCGTCATGTACTGACTTTCCTAAGCCATTCCACCAGTGTCTGCCCTGACTTGTTTCATCTCTTCCAGAACTAATTACACCATCGTCATTTCTAATAACCTTATACTCCCCACTTGCTGGGGTAATACTTTCGCCTCCAAGGCTACTCCAATCCTTGCCCTGGTTTTTGAAAGATGGTTTATTAGGGCTTGGTGTCGGGGAGGTAGTCGACGAAGCGCTTGTACTGGGTCGAACAGGAACGAGGTCAGGATCACGCCAATCTTGAACACCAATGACAAACTCGCCGGCACTGGTAATTGCTGAGCTATCTGAAGGGCTCCCGGCGCGAGGTGGTACGTTAACATCCACTGGCTTACTGGGTGACATTCGATGTTCGGACTTGAAGTCAAGGTTTCCGCTACTTGGTGGCCGGCGGCTATCCTCATGAATATTTGAATGATGGGCATCATGCAGAGAGGGTCGTAAAAAGGACGTAAGGGACTTGAAATACCCTCTGTGAAGAGCTTGGGAAGAGTCGACGTTGGACTTTGCCGGAAGTGTAATGATTGGCTTTGATGTGGTCTTTGTTGCAGGCTTTCCATTCTTTGAGCCCGGGCGATTTTTACGCCTCCCATCTAAAGTAGCCTTTGAGACATCCAGTCTCCTGTGCGACGGGACCAGTGAGGAAAGAAGGTGGGCCGTTGTGTAGGAAGTAAAGACAGCTGGAATGGACACATTAGATGTATCACCACGCGCATACATCGTAACAAGCCCGCCTCCTCGGGTATCATCACCGACGACTAAGGCAAGGCCACCTCTCCGCTGTACCCACTTCACCTTTTCCAAAAATCCACAGCCACCTCTGCTTAGCAGAACAACTTTTCCAGATATTTCCGCCCCTTCTTGTAACGATTGTATATCAGCATGGGTAGAACCTCTATGTTTATCATTCAAATTGTGCACTCGGTCTGAATTCGGGTTCTGCGACTGGTGCAGCGGGTGATGCAGGTGATCATCTGTTCCGTCATCCTCACTAGGACCATTTGCTGCTGGAGCTCTACTTTTGTCATCACTGCCTCGTTTTTGTCGATTGTTGAGGTTGAGGTGTGCTTCAGACTTTTCGCTGCCTCGATTGGCCTTCTGATTTTGAGACTGGGGGCCGGCCCCAGGGCGTGTAGTCTGACTGCCGCTTTCCCACCCAGGTACATCAGAGCATCCCAGTTCGCCTTCAGCAGCCACTCCTACACCGCCGCTCCGCAAATTATCGTCGCCAAATCCACTTCCAATCCATAGGGCACCGCTTAAGCCCTTCGATGGCAAAATGGGCCCAAACGCAGCAGGCCGTGCTAGAAAGAAAGTTGAATTATCTTCCGTTAAGCTGATTATCGCAGACGGAGGGAAAAGGGCAGATGGCGCATGGAAGGAAAACAACGCTCGTAGACGGCTAGTTCGCTGGATATCCGACGAGGCAGCTGTAGTATCGCGTTTAGGATGCGCGGAGAGAAGTGAAAGAGTGGTGAGTAGGATGGGAAGAAAGATAAGGCAACCGAGAAACAGAAGCAGCCGTGGCGGCCGCATCACGATGATAATTTATGTAGGTATTAATGGCGGGATATGGCGAAGTCAATGAGTGCCCGATGCTGCCGGGTGAAACGGGCGACCATTGAGCGTGTTGCGATAGGCTCGCCAAGGGAATTGATGGACTAAGCAAAACGGCGCTCTCCTAAGACAAACCTGAAGTGCAGGAAGAGAATAGACGCCGTGACTGCAGGGCATTCCTCTTTATACCGGACGAGAGCTGCAGAAACTGACATCCCAGGGGCAGCGGGCGATGATGGTCGCCGGATTCAGTTTGGCACCGCGTGTGTTTGGACAGGATGACTCAGCCACGCTAGCTCCAAAACGGGCTGGGCGGCTGACGTCACGGTGGCATCACGTGAATGGGCAGGATAGCGGGCCAGAATGCTTATATAATGCTCTTAGAAAACTCGCTGTGTTTATCGCGGCCGAGAAGCCAAAAATCATACAGACATGTATTGATCACCGCCTTCTTCTGCATCTTTCCTTCCTCTCACGTCGCCCGAGAGCCGGCAGACACTCTCGTTTATTTTACATTCGGTCTCGAAATTCCACTGCCGCCAGCCAACCGTGTCGACTATAACCCTCCTACCGCTCCCATCAATCAAGGGGGTTGGGCTAAGGGCAACTTCATCCATGAAATCCTCATCGTCGGCCTCACTTTGGGGACTGGGGCTTCGCGAAGGACCTAACGTACTGTTCCCGAATCCCTTAAAGGGTACCGGGGAGAATCGGAAGTAATAAATAATGCCATCGACCGGGTTAACATACGGCGCGTAATTTTCGTGCCTGTCTGATTGCGGTGTATATTGATATTCAACCTCCGGGCTATCTAGGTTTCCAGGTTCATCAGAGTCTGTCAAGGTGCTGCTCGACTGATGGTGTGCTGGAAATTTCGCATTCTGCATTTCAGACATGCGTTGATTTGCTTCCCTCTGCGCTCTTTGAGCAGCCCGGCGCTTTCTCTCTCTGGAATAAGGCATCTCGCCCCAAGCAAGAATCTGATCCGGTGGTGTGACAGGCTCCGGTGAAATAACTCCAGATTGACTTTCAATCCATCGATTATCCGCACTCATTTTAGCGTTACAGCTCTCCTCTTCCAAAGACTTTCTAGGGAAATGAATATTTCGACATGAAATATCCTTACCTTTAGCTGAAGAAGCTTCCATTTGCTCTATCCTGGGCTCCGATATCTCAGAAATGTGTTCTATGAAAGGTGACGATGTCACAGAAAATATAAAAGAGCTCTCCTTGTCAGAGTCGCTGCTATTATACTCAGCCTTCCTTGCTGAAAAAGAATTCATGAACGCCAGCTCAGTTTTTATCAATGTTTGCGCTACAATGTTAGTGAAACATATTGACATTCACAGGATTATACACTTACTTGATCGGTCTTCCGTGAATAATTGCCTGCTCTGCTGAATATCTATTTCACAGTCTAGCAGACTAGACTGTTCTCCATCAATATCAGCTGTTTCTGTGCAAGAACCACAATATATCAGTGCCAGTTTCTGATCCCTTATTTCATGCACTAGCCACCAGAATTAGTGAATTCAATTTCCCTTGCAGCTACGCGAATATCCACTCACATATGTTTCCAATAGTACCAGTATTCTCTTCTCCATCTCTGACATGGGGCCAAACACTAGCTGCAAGGTAATTGAAGACATATTTCAAGCCCAGCATACCAAAAGCACAACCCATTAACAATGGGATTGGCCGTTTGATTGCTATCGCTCCCCCTCTATATTCTGTCCTCAGGCATGACACAGAAGCCAGAAAAAGAGTCTTCCCAAAGGCTTTGAAAATCAAAATCACCCATTCCCATTTCCTCATTCCGAAGAATACGTGAGCCCAGGGTTGTTGGAGACCATCCATGTTAAATTCTTTTGAGTGTATACACCCTTGCAGCTGTCGAGTTGCCTGTAACCAAACTTCTAAGGCTTCACTTTTGTTGAGCGTTGGAAATTGGATAGGTGAAATGAAACCCTTTTTCAGAAAAGATCATTATTCATAAGGGTAATATATGTTCTTGCTTTTTTGCAGAATTAATAATGTATCAAAAGAGACAAGGAGAAATAGTTTAATTGGCTTTTGTACCGCTTTTGTAATGTAGTACAACAACCGGCACTTTTAACCTAGATAAAATACAAAACGAAGAGCTTTTATGCAATGAACAGCGCTTATTACATTTCTAGTGGTTATATCCATCGATTCCAACAGATGTGCAGCACGTTATGCAGAAACTTGAAGACTAGACCTATTTAACCAGTTTCTCTACTGACCATAGGGCTAAAACAAATGATACAATTTCCACATAATGTCAAGACAGCTCTCTATCACCAATGTCTCGTGGCCTCTGTCTTCCAAGAATAACAAATTTCGGGGTATTCTTTTGCCCTCCATAGGCCCTTCATGCTACAAATTCCATGATAAGGTTTGCTCACCTTTTCTCTAAAAACCCCCCCAATCTCGAAGAATTCAGACTCAGAACTTAACAAAAGATCGGAGGATATATACCATATCGGATGGACATATATATCATACATGTTATATAGTTGGTGTCAATGCTAGTCATGCATTCTTACTCCAAGCAGCTTCGGTATCTTTTTCATCTAGCAACATACATCCCCACCTTTTTCTAGACAACATAAATAAGCAATATCAGATTCATTGGATAGGGAGGTGAAATGTGATATTGTAATCATGATTCGTGCTGTGTCGTAGAATTGTTATTATCACTCGCGCGCAAAAGATAATTCTATCATACTCTGCATTTCCATTCTCATGAAGTTAGCATTGTTCAGCTGAGAGTGAATATTAAACGAGATAAACAGAGAATACTGCGGGAAAGAATATACAAAGGACCTTCAAGATCCAGTGCAGAAGCACATCAAAATAAACAAGTGCATGAAGATAGGAGCTAGATCGCCGAGACTCCTGTGGTGAATCTTCTAGCATGCCCAAAAAAGACACACGATCTTTATCAAGTTTTCTTTTCATACAACACTTTCAGCCCTTCATAAGGATGAGAACTCGAGGTAGCCATTTCAAGTCATTCCTGCTTAGTTCAACGCCTGATGTTTATGGGACATATACTCTTGTTTCTCTCTGTGTAGATCCGCAAGTCGCGTCAACGAAATAGGCAAGGAGGAGAATTTCACTATCGTTCGGAAGTCGGCTTTGGCTTCATATCTTGACTTCAGGTATGTTTTAGAGCCATTTAGCGAATTGCAAAGCTCTAGAAATATACCCAGGGCTAATAAGATGCCAGCAATTTCAAACTTTCTGTTCTGGGGTTATCTCGCTGGGAATATTCGGAAATAAATCAGCAGTTCTTACACTAGGAACAACAGATCAAAACATTGCGCCGTAGCATAATCAGAGACATGGAGCACCGCAACCCAAATCATCGTCTTCCTCGATCTACTTCTCGCATGGTGGCGAATACGCACACTCCTCCAAGGGCTCATCCGTTACGCAATGTCACAACAATCAATGCGGGGAATGAGATGAGCGGCTATTATGGGCCACAACAGTATCCCCAAGTGTATTGGCAATATCCCACTGCCCATTACCCAGGTATTCCAGTCGCACCAATATTGCACCATCCACAGATGGCGGTAGTCCCCGTGGTGCCTCATCTGAATATGCAACCGAGTCAGAGCATTCCACGCGTTATGGGGCCGGAGGACATCAGCCCTGCTAAACAAGAGGAAAAGCTTATGTACCGTGAAAGGCAATGCAATATTGAGGCTGCTCTCAATATTCCCCTTTTTCCAATTAGCCCTCTGAATCCAGACTACCCTAGGCATACGGCGAATTTTGGTTTCACCCACTATGGCTCTGGTCATGTTCACCCTTCACATTTTGGAGGCGTATACAGCACTATGTATCCGACGGGTCAGTATTTCGTTCCTCACTATAACGACCAATCTCTGGCAAGTCCGCATGCACATACACCGCTTCAGGAGGAAAATACTCGCCGATATTCCCAGGAGGGTTCCCCATTAACACCTTCAAAACGCAAAGCATCAGGCTCAGCTCGTCGGCGGGCAAAAGCCGCGACATCGGAAAATAAGTTGGTCCAGAGCAACAAGGCCGGAAATTCCCCCAATCCTGCTAGGCGCCTCACAACAGAACCCACAGTAAAGTCTACATTGCACATAAAGTCATCTTTGGGCTCTCTTCAAGATCCATTTGTTACCCACCCTAATCCTCACGCTTGTGAACCTCAAGAGCAACCTAGACAGGCAATGACCCTGTGTGAGGTACCCAGGCACAACCCCATTGAATATATGGCGAATCCACATCAGGGGAATTCTTTCCAGCATAGCGAAGGGATCGTTCCCAATGAGCCAAGGACACATCAGCAGCCTGGGATGGCGCGAGCGCCGATGCCGGTAAGCTTGATGAACCCCGTTGGATTTAACACGACTCAAATTCCCCAGGCGCAGGGAGAGAGCGGCCAATATAATCCTCCTGAAAGCTTCACACCGTGGTCGGCTGCACCAGGCGGACCTATTAATCTCGCAACCCAAGGAGCCCCAAATCGAAGAGTCGCCCATCCAGAACGAATGATACCACAACCCGTCCCTGGCATCCTTAACTCAGAACTTCTTGCAGGCATTCCTAGGCCTGACAATAGTCACAGAGTGGCCTCAACCCTTGCTTGGTTTCATACAGATAACCGTGGCGAAGAGCATCACCGTCATCAAGTCGACAGAATTGCCAACGAGGATCGTGAGCGGCGTAATAGAGAATTGGCCGAGCGTGGACTACCGCCAGTCACTAACATCCGAGCCGAGGCAAGCAACTACCTCCTTGGACACCTTGCCGTCAACCTTCAATCATACCTTGTCGGTAACAGGACCGAGCAGGCCAGAAACTTCGCGAACTGGGGACCAGTGCCGCAACAAGCCATAGAAACCAACAAAGGGTGGACTTCCTCCTATTTTGGCAATATTGGATCTCCACCTTCAAAGGATGCAGAGAATATCCAGGATGATATGGAGAAGTGAACAACAGCCAGCTGATACTTTCCTCAATGTGGGCAATAGTTGTGAGTCGAGAGTTGACGTGTGTATTTTAAAGTTCGTGCAGTCCACCCTCACGTGGATGGATGGCTGTTCCATTTGTCATCTGCAATGCTGCAAACAGTTCATGAAGCTTCTGGTATTTTGCTTGCTTTCATTTTTCACAGTTACTCAAGTTGTATGTTCCTGTGGCGGAGATTTAGCTCGCAACTACTCAATACTCTGTAATTACTTCTTTTCCATAATTACTTGTGCAGAACATGTAACTAACCAATCAACTAGCTAGCTAAAAAACTATAGTTAGTTAGTTAGTGATTAGTCAAGTAGTAAGTAAGTCAGCTAAAAAGGATAAGTTTGTTCAACTAATTTGAATGAGCATGGCAGAATGTTAACGAGGCCGTGGATTCATTATTAAAAGTTAACTATACTCCTTGCACCAAGAATAAGCCACCTATATGTAAAACACAACAGCTTTGCGGAATACTGAAGGGGAATAATTTATCAGTGGCGATAATTTCAGAACTCCCAGGGCCAGAAAGTCTAGTTGAAGGGGCATACAAGCAACCAGAGGTTTAAAAAAGAGAACAATAAAAGGCGATAGAAAATTTTACGCTCTTGAATATGTACGAAGAATTATATGGAAAGGAAGACTCAGCAACCTCTTAGCAAGTGACGAGATTGACGTAATTATCGTAAAGGGTAGAACAAGCTAGGACCATTCTATGTGGATGGAACGCTGTGCCGACGACTGGTGAGGTACGGCTATGATGTAAGAAGCTGCCGTGTGGTTCGAAGGAAGAAAGATACGTCCCGTCAACGTTAAAAGTTTTGACTTCATGTCGGTTGGTGCCACTAGATAAACACGTCAGTAAGCTACAAGGAACGAGTAAAGACAGCATGTGCTTACACAGTGAATACTGGAGCATGCTCATGCACACTTAGGGTTCTTAATGTGTCCTTGGTAGATTGAATGTTATCAAGTGGGCTGTCCATTCTCAAGTCCCAGAGTTTAACTTCGCCGTTACGGCTCCCGGATATGAGTTCTCTCACCCCGCCCCGTTGCATGTGTACGTTTGTAATCCATTGTTTGTGCTCCCGCCAAACTTTTACCATAGCATTGGTAGTTTTCAGGCGCTGATCAAACACACGAACGGCACCATCACCAAATCCGGCAATGAAAATATTGCCCGCAACTTGGTCCGAAGTTAGAGATGTAATACAAGAGCCTGATCGAGCAGAAATATCCTATAGGCAGAATGTTAGCGCGAAACCAATCGTAAATAGCCATAAAATTGAAGAAAAAGGCACTTACTGTTGTGCACACTTCCGTTGCTGCATTCCAAACTCGAATGACTTTCACGTCCCCAGCAACTAGTGCCTTGCCTTGTCCCTGCTGCCAATCCAGAACAAGGCCAGCGTTTTTATTACTTGGAATCAACTCAGGTAGCGCTCGGAAAGCCGTAATAAGTTCGACTCTCCGGTCAGATTCATAATTGCGGAATATCTTCAAAACTCCATCAGAGGAGCCAGTCATCAATAGAGCTTGATCATCCTCGTTAATAAATCGGACTTCATTGATCCTAGAGCCGAGCGGGTTGCCATTGGAAAATCGGTTAAGTCGACTATTTCTTTGCCAGTCCCATATGCTAGAAGCAAGTTAGAACGATTAAACATGTGAGTTAAGGATTGATAAGTACCAAATAGTGTCTCGATCATCGGCAACAGCTAAATGGTCTTCAAACTGGTGAAAACACATTTTTGCAGGCTGACTAGGATTGGCCATTAGAGCCGATGTGATATCCCACCGACCGTTTCCGCCTCTATCTTTCATCTGTTGGGTTTCAAAAATTATCCTCTCGTTCCTAGCCCGTCTCCATAAACGTTGGTTGTAATCGGCACTTCCTGGCTCATCTGGCTCGCTGGGCTTCATTTGAGGTTCGCGAAAGTACTACAACACTTGTTAAAACAATCTTTTGGGTATGGTAGATTCAACTTACTTCTGTAGACCAATCGAGAAATTTACTTTTTAACGGAATCGATAGCTCTTGCGATAAGTCTCTAGTCTTGAAGTTCCTAGAAGGCGGCGCGGGTGCTTGGCCATACTGCCCAGCAGAGACTGGTTGGTCGTTGACTTCAGGAGGTCGAGTCCATTCAGGTGGTGCACGGCCGCGAGGGGTAATTGTCATACGGCCTTTAGGCATCATTGCCTTACCAGGAGGGTTCAGTGGCGAAGAAGGACGCTGGTCCCCCGCAGGAGCGACTCCAAAAGCAAGATTCTTCAATGATGCAGCCACGCTTGCTGTTCTTCGTAGACTTAATGAAAAATATCCTTCTGGCTTCCCTGTAGCCTGGGAAGGCGTATCGGGTCTGCTTGCTTTCGATTCGACAGGCTCGAGAAATTGGGGTCTCTTGGATTTGGAACGTCTATGTAGTTCAAGAATTTCATCGCGAAGAGTCTGAGCCAGTGTGCCCATTGGGGAATCCAAAAGCGTCTTGTATACATAATCGACAATGGTGGCGGCCTCCTGGGCCACTTCTTCTTGCGGGTCAACAGAGGTTATAAGTAATAATCTCCAGAGAGAGCCGTGAATCGTATTGTGAGACACACCGCGGTCAGGAAGAGGTGGTGGCTGGGTATCTTTAGAGCCTGACACAATATGTTTAAGAAGGTGCTTTTCCTCCAAAAGCTGTTCATAAGCTGCAACCAAAAATTTGTTTTGATATCGCTTAGCAAAGGTTGATAAAAAGACTAACAGCTCTTTTCGTACAAGAACACTTCCATCATTTCCCATCGGAACAATGGTGGTCGCAAGATACTCCTCAGTTTGGGCAATTTGGTCTGTTAGGTCAGGTATTCCGATGAAGCTTGTCAACGCGTGAAGCATTGCCGCCCGTACTTCGGGTACAGGGTCCAAAACAAGCTTACATAGCTTTGATGGGGCCGAAGATCTAATTCCCATCCATTTTGCTTCCGGGAAACTCAACCACAACATACTTAAACAAAGGCAACACCATTGTCTCAGAAGCGGATTCTCGGTATCAGTTAGGTGGTGAAGGCAAAACTCTATGAGTTCTGGAGAAAGGCACACATTTTGTCCCTGGGGATATTCTTTGCAGAAAACGGCAACGATGAACGCGCACATAGCACGATGTTCACTGACATTTCCCACAGGGATCGGAGTGCCAGGATTCAGAATGTTAATGAAATAATGGATACCATTATCCTTGAGCAAATCGCTCTGAACCGTATGGTCAACTGCCATGATCCTTGCCCATATGAAAACCATTACAGGTTTAAGCTCCTGAGCAGCGCTTTGTAACAGTTTCACGACATAGGGAAATATACCAATACTCAAGGCCAGGTGAACAGCCCAGGGGCCAAGATCAAGGAACTTACTCAAGAGAATTAAAGCTCGCAGACGATGCGCTTGGCTCAAGAGTACCTGCAACACGATTGGCAGCTGGTCTGGAGGATTACTCTCGGTAGGCCCTGCAGACAAATATACCTCGAAGGCAGTAAGCTGTTCGGAAAAAAAGCTGGAATGCTGATATTCGTAAAGTTTCTTCCCTTCTTCGTGTTCAAGTAACGCCGGAAGCTGAGAAAGGACCATCTCAATAGCCAAATCCCAGCTTTGCCATAGTGGATGGGTATGTGTTTCTGGAAGTTCGGGAGAAGAAATCGGACAGCAGTCATGGGTTCTCATAATCCTTTCGCTTAGGAGAAAATTCCTAAATAACGCTGCCACCATGAGATCTTGACGAAAAAGTTTTTTGAAGAGCGAACGTGGTAAAGTGTTCCAAGCGATGGTGTCCGTAATTGCGGTGAAAATCCAATTGAGCTCGCCAAGAGGGCTTCGACGGTCTTGAAGTCGCCCGGGCACCTTTATTTCATCTGGAGGTGCTCCACACTGCAGTGGATTTTGGAGCATAAAATATCTTAGGGCGATTTGTATGGGGGTGGTTAAGCAACAGGTAAATAGGTCAGCGGGGAGATCGGGGTTTGTTGGCAGAGACTCAGTCTTGTCACAAGCAGCAAGAATAATGCAGTCTCCATAATTTTGAATTGCTGCATTGGAATCTTTTCTGCGCACTTCAGCATTCTCCTTTTCATGCTTCTCCACAAATTTATGGAAATTCGTGACAATGTGGCCAGCGTGGGAGACATCGAAAACAAACAAGCTTGGCCCTGCAAGCCAAGATTGCAGGTCATACAAGGAAACAGGAATATATTGGGTGTAAGTTTTGTTAAACACCCATATTTCTCCGGATGGGGTTGGAAGAGGAACTCCGTGACCATTGTAGTGAAAAAGAACCCTCTCATCCTTGGCGTTTCTGCGTAGTGAAATACAGAATTTTTTCGTTTCTTCGACAGAAGGGTCCAGATATTGCTTATACCGAGTACGCAAGCTTAAGGTCTCATATTGCTCCTGCAGCTTCTTACCAATTTGTTCCATCACTTTGTTCTGGGCACCACTAGATGAAGTCGGGTCAACCCAGCACTCCAGCTTCGCACTCGGATTCGTCTTTACAACGTCGGGGGGATCAACTCCAATATTAAGGCAGATAGCAAGAGCAGCAGACACTGTCTTGAGGCGATCTCTCATGCGCCAATCCTGATTTAACCAAAGACCTGTTTGTTCCTTTGGGAATCCTCCAGTATCATGGCGTTTTTCATTGAAATACATATAAAAATTCTGAAAGAATAAGTTTCCACTAGGCAATATCTCTAAAAGACTGTAGCAACACGACTCACAGAGTTCAAAAGCTTCAGATACTCGCTCGAGGTATATTCCTCTTGCCAGCCATGTCTCAGCTCAAAATCTTCCCCATCGTCCTCTCCTGCGCCATTTTCCTGGCCAATTTGGATCCAGTGTTCACTTTTCGCTCGAACGAGAGTTGGAGTCGGTCGCGCACTTCTCAACGGCAAGTGCCCGGGCCGAGCTGGTTCCGCCGGAGTTGTCGCGCCAGACACCGGAGTATTCGAAACATCGATATGTCCATTTCCTTGGAAGGTTACAGTCTGAGATCTGCTGTGATGGTTCATCGATGGGGCGCGAGAATCTGTCGGTGCAGCGTCATACACCTCGACCTGAGGCTCGAAACTGACGCGGGCGGACTTGGCTTGGATGTTCCGCCCCATTTGTTCAACAGTCTGCGGTCGAGTCCTCGCATTGATATACATATCCAGCTTGGGGTCCCTCATCATGTTCAATCAAACCATCATGCACCCTAGGGCATAGGAGGGGGAGCTAGAGGGAAGTCGAAGAGGTCTACCACTACAAGAGCGTAATTAGCCTAAGAACGCGGAAGGGCAAATAGTTAAGGCAACCCTTACTTGAGCGCCCCCAATAGTATGGCGTTAGTTGCTAATATTTTAAAATAGTTTATATAAAAATAGGGACGTAAAAGTTCTCGATGTAAGTTGCTCCAGCTGGGAGCGTTATCGACCGCTAATTGACCGCCGCGAGCTTTATAAGGTGACATCGTTGAGCTGGAGTTTAATTCTGCGCTAGCCAAGTTAGAGCCGCCGGATAAACAGTAAGGCCGACACATCCGGCCCCAATCCGACCGGATGTATGTATTATGCGTCATTGAATTCTACGTCTATTGGAAGCCGTTAGGTTAGAAACAGATCATTGGCTGCTTATGGCGTAGCTATCATATACAGTTGGAACAAAGAAGCAAGGCAAAACAAATAACAAAAACCAGACGGGACCACTCGTAGGTCCAACCAGCTGGCAAGAATAGAATCAATACCAAGTCGCCTGGCGAATACTATCCGTATGTAGCCGCGGAAGAAAGAAAAAGTAATATAAACAAAACTGAAAACAGGGATATCTGGATAGTAATAGTAAACAGAAGAGAAAAGGGGGGTCGGAAGAATTAGGCCAGCAGTCAGCCACCAGCGGAAAAGAAAAAAAGACAAAACATAGGCGCGTGCATGCACATAAAAGAGAAAAAGAGGTCGCATGGAATTATGTCCAATCCACATCCTGTAAATGAATACATCCATCCTGTGCCAAACAAAAATGGAAAATACGTAGGCGAAACAGATATATGCCTGAATCCAAGGGGATGAAAGCACATGAAAAGGCAAATATAATTAGTGAATTAAAAATGGGTCCTGATGCAATGCCGAAAAGCGATTTCATTTCATAACCACACCAAGTCCCTATCAATCGAAATGGTAGCTTTTAAATCATATTTGGTTGCGTCGGGCTTGTAACCGCAGAAGAAGCTTTTTTCACAGCAGGAGTGGTAGCAGATGCAGATGCAATTGCCGGAGGAAGGGTTGGAGTTTGTAATGGCGTTTCAGCACGGGACTCTTCCTCATCGAGTCGTCGTCGCCAGCTGGCAAAGCTATCGCTCAATCCTTCTCCATATGTCTCTTTGGTGGGGGTTCTTTCAAAATCAAATTGGTTGCTGAGACGATAATTTCGCGACGTATTTTCCCAATGGCTTCGAAGTGCGTCGAGTTCGCTAGCAAGGGAATCGAGGGCGAGCGAGCCACGATGGTCGGGGAAGGAGTCATCTTGAGAAGCAGTACTACCATCTGTCGAGCGCCTTCGTGTCGGGGCAGCATGGCTAGAAGCGTTGCTTGTAGTGCGGCTGATTCCATTGGAGTTGCCGACAAGCGACTGCCGGCGATAATTAACCACAGACGACTCCACTTGATCAAGAAGCATGGTAACCTTTTTCTCGGCGTCGATGGCCCTATTTTCGAGGAGAGTGTTCTCCTTTTTGAGTTGATCTAGCTCCACTTTTGACTTATCCATCGTCTCTGTGAGCTCCTTTCGAAGGGACTCATACTCTGAGCGTGACTTATCACGCTCCGCATTTGCCGACATCATATCACTTTTGACCTTGACAAGCTGACTTTCCAAGGTGGATATAGATGCAAGCGACTTTTCCTGTAGATCGGAGATCGATTTTTGCAACCCGGCTTTCTCCTTTTCCCAGTCTGAGAAATTTTCTTGGGCTTGTTTTGGGGATCTTTCTGGATTTTTCAAAGCATTGTCCAAATCAGACTGAAGTTTAAGCGAGTGTGCCTTGTACTTGCTGAGTTCATCTTTCATCCGCTTCAACATCTTTTCGGTTCCTTTCACATAGTGAACGGCTGACTGATAGTCATTCTCCAGCTGTTCCACCTTCTCTTGGAATGCTCGGTCGGCTTCTTGCTCCCTGAACGCAAAAGTCGCTTTCATTTCTTCATGGGCTTTCAAGCTGTTTTGCAATTGCTGTTCTAATTCCCTTAGTCGTGCATGCTCCGGCGTACCAAATCTTGATCCAGGAGAATCTAGAAGGGGAGATCGTCGGCTATCTGACATATTGACGCCACGTTCACCCAGAAGATCTTTCAAGGCACCGTGTTGAATAGCCAGAGCACTGGTATCTCGTTGCTGGCTTTCCAGATACGACTTGACTTCTCTGACTTCTGAACTCAAGGCTTGGTTCTCTTTCAATGTAGCCTGCAGCTGTCTTCGAAGCTGAAGCCCCTCCCGACTGCTCTGCTCCTGGTATGCCTCTAGGCCAGCAATCCTTTCTTCGGCGCGTCGAAGTTTATCAGCAGCATTATTAGCAGCCTGTTGGCTACTCTTGACTAGTCCATTCGCGCGATCTACTTGGACTTGCAATGCAGAAACACGTTGATCCACAAGGGAGCTGTTACTTTTTTCCGAGTCATAAGATGACGCACGTTCCAGACCAGACAAGAAAGCCGCTTTATGGCTCTCGGCCTCACGAGCATTCGTTTCTGCCAGTTCCTCTGCCTCCCGCAATCGCCGAACAGCCGTCTCCAATTCTGTGGTTCTCTCTTCATGTTCTGACTTTAGATTTAACAGCTTTCTTTCGAGCCCCTCTCTATGTTCTTTCTCGGAGTCTAGCTGTTTTTCCATTAAAGATGCTTTAGCAGCTGAAGCGTTAACTGCTTCTCGAAGGGAGCCGAGGTTTAAATTGTAACCTTGAAGGCGGGATGTCGATTCTTCTAGTTTCTGTGAGAGTTCAGTTTTATCAATTTCATAGAGTTGAATCAAGGATTCGGCCTCTGAACGACGCGTAGATTCCTCTTGATGGGAAAAGCGAAGTTGATGCAGTTCCGCCCGTAGTTGCTCAAGTTCAAGGCTGTTGTTTTGAGTATCCAATTCCCCAAGTCTTCGATTCATAGTTTCATGGAGCTCCTCTGCCACTTCTTTTGCTTTTCTTTCCTCTTGAAGCTCCGAAGTTAGTAATTCCACTTTTGATTTTAACTCGCTCTGGGATGCTAGGGCTAAGGCAAGACGGCGACTAATTTCAGTGGTTCTATCCCCGAGAACATCGGCTCCATCGCGCTCAATTTTGTCCAATTGGGGCGTCCCCGAAGGGCTTACCCCTCGTGCCGCTAATTTTGCTCTGGCAAATGCTGCTTCGTTGATAGCAACATCCCTTTGATGCTCGACTTCGGCAACACGTTTGGATGCGACTGCTGCTTGTTTGTCCACATTTGCTTGCATTTTCGCTAATTCTCCTTTCATCGCAAGGAAGGCTTCGACGAAAGCGCGATCGCCCTCTGCAAATGTAGCCAGGCTTTTTTCATCTAAGATAGTAGGGTTTGGAGTTGGAGAATAGCCCGCTTTTCGCGCCAGCGCCAGCTCCGCCGCATACCAGGCGTTTCGACTTTTCATTGTCTCAATTTCTTTCGTGAGAGCTTCTTGGTGTGGAGTCAAACGGGGTGATCGAGGTTCATCGCCGAAATTACGAGAGTTCCTATAACTCCTGGCCTCTGAAGCAACAACGGCATCATCCACACTGTCTACAGAGCTATGTCTTTGTTGCCTTAAAGATCTTTGTCGAGACGGTGTACTTACTAAAGGCGCAGCTTCTCCAGCCTCCATAGCTCGAGCATTTCGAACGGGCTGGGTTGGGGTTCGTCGTCCATTGCCAGACATAGGGCTTTGTTCGCGGCCGGCCTTGCTATGCGTACTTCCATCTCGGGTTACGGGAGACTGTCGATCCTTCTCAGAAGCCCTTATCGCCCCCACCAGGCCTGGGGGAGCTCTATCCTGTTTTATAGGCGGCTTTCCGCGAGGGCCCTGAGATCCAGGATGTGGACCTACAGGATTCGGCGGCTGTCCGGTTGGAGGAGGCCCCGCAGGCGCTTGAGCAATGGAAGTCCGAGGCAAACGCGGCCCTGGGCCACCAGCGCCCGGACTAACGACGTTTTCTCGACCCTGGGGAGTATGTGGGCCTCGTTTTTGCAAATCAGGAGTTCCATTTTGGCCTTCACGTGAACTTCGACCCGAAGGCCCGCCTGGTTGTCGGTCATTGGTAGGTACCCTTCGAGGGTGTTTGTCGCCAGTAGGGGAAGTAGGGCTCTGCTCATTTGGATATCGAATTTTTCCAGTGTCCAGCACGTACACCAAACCAAGCTCATGGAAATCACGCGGCTCCGAGCTGGGTTCACCACCAAGAACGATAATTTGTTTCCCAGAAGCGGTCATTGTGTGTCCGGACCTCGGGGATGGGCCGGGTCCCATGTTATGGAAAGAATACCAGCGTCTAGTCGTGATTCGGAATGCTGCCAAGTCACCCAAATCCATGCCCTCGTCCGTGCGCCCACCAAACACATACATCACGTCGTTAACAAGCGCAGCGGCATGGCCTTCTCTAGCAGCAGGGATAAAACCAACATAGTCCAACTGTGACCACACATTTGTCATAGGGTCATAACACCAAACATCATTAAACCACTGTACGCCATTAGTACCACCAAACCTATCTTGACATCAGTATCGACTTCTCTTCATCATTTCCAGTGGACTCACAGATAAAGCTTGTCATTGAAAGAAACAATAGTGTGGTTAGTTCGGGCGGGGGGAACCTGGCCTGGTGGCGGCCCCCCTTCATGGCTGTTTCTAACAAGAAACTCCCACTTATTGCCCGGGTTTTGCAAAGCATTAAGGTCAAAACATATTAAGTCATTAAAAAAAATCCCTTCCACTTGACCGCCAAAGATGTATATTTTAGAGCCAAGAATGTTCAAAGTATGCCCGTATCTCCCAGCAGGCCTTGGGCCTGGCGGCACGGCACGAGACCATTGGCGGGATGCTAGGGTGAATAATTAGCTTTGATGTCCACAGACAGAAAAAGGATGAGAAGGATACACACAAGTATTTAAGAAGTAAAGCGTATCGTCGAGAGTATCATTCTCGTCTATTTTTGTATCCCCTCCGAACACAATAAACGCATTTCCAACCAGTAAACTAGAATGGCCGACGCGGGGGCCTGGGCCTTCGGTGACAGGTGTAATTGGGAAGCATGAAAGATTGCCGCTGCTGCTTTCTATCATCCATAAGTCGCCTTTGACTGTAGTCCCATCCACCAGACCTCCCATTAGGTATATATCACCGTCCTCCGACGCGACAGAGTTGACCGCAGCACCATATCGAGGGAAGGGAGTCGTTTGCGGAGTAGGGAAATTTAAGCGACGTTGAGACCAAGGGAAGAGGGCAGGATTGGGGCCTTGGGGAGGCGTTCCAGGGTTCAAAGCGGGTTGTCTTAGTCCCTTTGGAGATAAATATATATGTCAGCTTCACGTAATGGAGCGTGGGCTTTACCAGCTCGGCAGAGGGCGGTTTAAAGAACTGGCTTCCAACTGACCTGGGTCTCAGAATCTGCTCTATCTCGTCTTTGTCGAGAAGGTGGCTGGCTTGGAGGGCCCATAGAAGGGCCTCCTGTCGAGTTGACGGGAATATTGGGCCCGGCGACAGGCGGACGGGCAGGGCCTACTTTGGCATCCGCATCACGAGGGACGCCATTTATAGCGGGCGCAGGAGGCGGCGTCGGCGTCGAGTTGCCCTCGGCTGTCTGTAGGTTTCTTGACGTCTGGGAACCACCCTGGGAATTGTTGTGCTTTTTTGATTTGAAAAGGAACGCCATTGTTCAATTCGCCCCGACACCGCGTGCCGAGAAAAAACCGGGGAGTCTATCAACGGAAACGAAGGGATTGGATCAGAGGGGGGCGAAAGAGCAGTCGGGATGATCCAAGGGCAGTTACCGTTGGTCGGCGGGCTGCTCAAAGCAGCGGTAACCGCGAGAGCAGCGCAGCGGAAACGGAGTCGGCGCCGATCGAGTCTCGAGACGGTAGCAAGCGAGAAGGCGCCTCCGGGCAATTCTGAACAGTTTGCTCGTCGGGGTTCGTTGGTCCTGGTAATTTTTGCAGTAAACACTCCTGTTCCACGGTTGGCTTGCTGTGTTCCTGGCTAGCCTTGCAAGGAGGTGAAAGAGCGTGGCCAGCGGGACTCGACGGTCAATGCGAGACAATGAGGGCATCTGGCATGACGCAAGGCGTAGAGCTGGGCAAAGAGAGCAACGGAGCTACCGGGAAGACACAGGTCCGAATCCACGACGGGCAGGGCAGAGCAGCAAGCAGAGAGGCGAGCGATGGAGAACTTTCGCTGAGGTCGCCTTTAGGGGTCTGGTGCCAAGCCCCCTGCCGGCTCACCCCATCCAGATTACTTCTGCGCCGCCCCCAGACCCCGTCGTCGTCAGGCCGTGCTCCGCGCTGCTGCTGCTCGCTCGTCTGCAGGATCGTCGCCTCGACCGCGTGGAGCGATCATGTCCCTGGTCATGCGCCGAGGAGGGCTTATGGCTTCTACACACCGGCTCACATCGCCAGACGTTGGCTAGACTCACTACACACAGCATGCTGATGAAATGATTGTTACTAACAGGTTAGTTAACTAACTGCTCCGTACTCCGTACTTAATCAGAGCAGGGCAGGGGCCTGCGTGGGCGAGCAAACCAGAAGCCGCCAACTGCAGTTTTGTGTGTGCGCGAAATACTACACTCGATCTGACAGGCCAGGATTCAGAACTAACTATGGAGTAGTAGTTATGTACCGCAACCCTGCAGATGGGTCGATACGCGCCTGGCTAGGCCACCGCTCTCCATTCTCGATTGGATATTTCACATTGGACGATCGTGGAAATGCTCGGGTTACTGATGCAGAATATTCTGTGTTGAGAAGTCTTATTTGATTTGCATAGTGGAAAAGGCAGCCGTAGGTATACCTGAACACCGAAAGTGACGGCATAACTACATTTCGGGGAGAGGGGAGAATAACCTGGAAACAGCCAGCTTCGTCTACTCAGTGGCAGCTCTTCCCATACTTTTTCAATCGCGAGTAATTATAGGGCAGTGGGGCGAGGAAACCTCCAAGAGCTGAAGCTCCGGCGGCTAGCCAGAATTTCGGATCTCCAAGAGCTACCAAGCCACCAGTCAAATGATAGTCAATCAGATTTTGGACTGCTTCCATCCCAAGCATCGAGACCATGCTCATTCCCGTCGCCATCTTCGCCGCTGTTACCCAGGTGAGCTGGTCGCGGCCCATTCGCAAAAGCGCCGTTTCAAGAAGAATCGACGAGCTGAGCCCAGAAAGCACTGAACAGACACGTTGTTAGACTTGAAGTTCATTCATGGGTGGAAGGCCTGCCGAGGCACGGAAGGGTTATGTCTGCATGTATTACTTGATATTCCCATCACCCACCCGACTGCCATGTCAGGATAGTTAGCCTGTAGAAACCACATCGCAGAGAAGTCTCCAAGAGAACAGCCTATCAAGCACCGGAAAGTGTTGATTCCCGCGCGTTGCCACAAGTATCGAGACGTCCAAAACGCCACAGTCAGCGCAGACTCTGTCGCCGAGCTTAATTGCTGCTTAGAGCATGCGGCGCGAGTATTCGGGAATGCAGGCAAGGGAGAGGGGCTGAATGCTACTGGAGTACAACGTGTAAAAGATTTCGCTGAGCATCGGGAATGAAGCCGTGATAGCACTGCAGCCGGCCGCGGAGCCACGAGCGTTGCCATCTGGAGATACGTTGTTAGGCACACAGGTTGGTTTGGGCGAAAGTTGACATACATATATATTTAATTTAAAGACCAATTGAGTTTAAGATGGTAGGTGAATTCATGGGAGATTGTTAAGGAAATAGTGCCTAAAATGTCAATTTTCATATTCTAGCACTTCCCAAACTTTATAGTTGGTTAACTACATAAGTAACTAGTTAAGCTTGAAAAGACATAATTGCACATACTACAGCCTACAGCTGGGGAATTATAAATAGATGTCGAGTACGAACTATCTCGCAAATGCCGCTAGCCACTATGAATTGTCACATTGACTAGCTATATAAACCCTGCCATGATAAACACCCGCACTTGAAGCCAGAGGTGAAAGAAATGGATAGCAAAATCTCCACGGACTATTCGATATTCGAACGACAAATGGCAGCCTTCTCGGAGTTAATTGCCGTGTATATCACTCAGGGCAGTTTCATGATTGACCAATTTCAGGTGATGCTTTATGGATGGAACAAGGTCTGTATCGACATACAAGGATTTTGAGGCCGGTGACACATAGTCTAGCCAGTGACTTCGCCGTACATTAATCTGTAAATCTTTCCGGCGGCATTAATAATACCAGGGTGCATCTATCACCTACTCGGTGGTTAGAACCAGGATAACAGGACCTATAGCTTGTTAAAATTAACGATTCACGTAACTAGTACGGAGTAGCTGGGGTATCTTGCGGAAAGTAAAGAGAGGAAAGCTGAAAGAACATCATTGAGGAGATCTCAAGCAGATTTAGCCGCTAATTGATCACTCTGTACTTCATGCATAAGTGAAAGGAAACCAGTAATACCAGAAGACGCCTCAATCCGAAGAAATATGGCTATTATTGATCGAAGGTCCAAAGACGGTTCGGACAATTTATACTCTGCTGGTTCCAAGGCATTCGCAGCAGCAATTGGTGTTGGTAATTCAGCAGGCATCATTGCAGCTAAATAGAATAAGAACCTTATCTTTTTGACCTTCGCAGTGATTACTTACAGCCTCCACTATTTATAGAGGCTCAGCCGCAGTAATAATTCAAATGAGTAGAAAGGATCACAAGAACCGACAAATACTGCATTTCTTGGTACAGCTCTAGGCTTGTCAGCGATTTTTGCCATATTTTTACATTTTTCTGTGGTATTTTGTAGCACACCAGCATGCCGATGCCACCCGCTGCTTCTTAGGTGCCCATGTTACTGCAAAAAGGAAATGACGGTCTTGCATTGAGAAGTACGCTTTATAAGCCAGAACGAGAAAGGTATCGTGCAAGATGCCTCGCGAGCGGGAAAGCGGAAATGGATACGGTTCGAAATGTGTGGACAGCGATTGACCAGAATAAAAGAGGTAGACAGGTTTCCTCAATCTACCGGTCATCACTCTTACCAAACCAGAATCTCGAAACCGAATGAGTTCAATCGTCCCCAAAAAAGAGGTTCCACACGGTCTCCATCTTCTCCACTACCGACAGTTATATATACGGCTGCTGGGGAACAATGCTTTAACAACCCGTGCTCCGACGGTAACTTTTTCGATGATAAAGCCTGTGTTATGGCCCTATGTACGTCGTGTACCCGGCTGACCACACTTGCCTTAATGACCAGAATAATATCGTGGTTTGCGTTTTTCAAACTGGAGGGAATAATGTATATCACCGGATATATTAGTGTGGATCTGTTTGGGGAGGTGAATTAATGGTAAGCCTTTCCTGCTATGCTATGCATTGGCGTGGTATTTTGGCTAAGAGTGAATAGGGTCTCTTTGTCCTAAGAGAAGCCATTTTGTCAGCTAGAACCTTCAGTAGCAAGTCAGATTCATTGTTGGTGACTATAGATTTGTAAACAAGAGAATATACTCCAATTCACGTTTGATCACATCAACTTCGGAGAGGAGAGGGAGTCGGATACACTTAGCGTATTTATCATAGGCTCTTTATAGGAGATAACACAAACGAATATCTCGAAGCTTCCGCAGACAACGTGTACGAACCATCTTTCCAGCCTCTGAAGTTGAGTTTCTGGGTCTTGCTAGAAATCGCTTAGGACCGGAGACCAAGGTCTACCAAGGCGTCTAGGTAGGGGCTGGGGGCAAGGAGCAGTGTTGGTTGATAATCAACAGTTTCAGTGCCAGGGCGTCTCATAATAATATGCATTTTTATGTCGTTCCCGTGTATATAGCTATCGTCAGAAGGGTGTAGCACTTGTTGCCAGTGAGAAAACAAGCCTTTTTGGATGGAGAAGGGTAGGGAGGGTCCGGCGACGGGAAGGAAGTCCGGAACATTTCGGAATAAACACCGGCAGCAAAGACAAACGTGCAAACGAGGCGAAATTGAGCCGAAAGGATAACTGTGGTGTGCCTCTTGTACCGTGTGACTGTTGATCCCTGACCGCATCGTAGGATGGAGAGGTGGAGTGTCGGGTTTAGCGCCGAGCCCCGGTCTGCTACGTTGGGCCCAATTTAGGGCAGCAAGCGAAGGGTGACGGAAGGAGAGCATTGACACAAGTTGGGTATCAGCATGGGACATGGGGCAGACACGACTTTAAAGCGCCACTGCATACGAAGCCCACTAACAGATGCCCATTCTAGTGGAAATCGGGGTGCGACGATGTACTCCGTATGTATGTACAATTTAAATTGGCGGGGCGAATGGTGAGCCGCAGACTGCTCCCCTAGCTCAGTATCGTAAGTCTGAGGGCTGACAAGTCGGACTCCGCAATCTGAGCGGCATATACTTGGCTAGTCAGAGCCTCTACTGTTCGTGTATATTGGGTCCCATCACGGGGCCAGCCGGGAGAAGACACGGAGGATTGCGCCCTTTCTGTTTGATATGGTGGATTGCTCGGGTGCAGAGAGCCAGGCCAGCGTCCGGGCTGCTGCACAAAGCAGGCATCACGATATGGAGCCACAATAGCGCCAACCAGTTGACATCGCAATCAGAGCCGCCCTGGGTTGAAGCGGGCGATGGCTTCTGACATCAACGCACAGCTCGAAGATGCGGGAAACGGCGGTGACTGGCTGAGGCGATGTGGCGGCGGGTTTTTGCGGCACTCTATTGGGCAGCTCTCTCAATGATACAGCCAATCACAACGCCGCAACTATTAATACTAGTTACACGTGACTCGCATCACTGCCCAAAATCGCGTTAAGCCTAAAATGGCAAGGCTCTGGCTAAATGCTGAAGGAGAGTCTCTTGGCGGGACCACCTGCCTCCCACCCAGCCAACTCACTCATCCCTCACTCGCTCACCTTCAACCTTTCCGCCTTTTCCTCACCTCGCCTTGACCGCCGGTTGTCATCAACCTCCCTCTCACTCATTCTCCCTCCTGCGCTTCCCCCATTTAGAATTTCCTGCTGTTTGTTTTGTGAGCCCTTTTGTTGATTATCTGCATGGGCATTTGTTGTTTGTCGCCGCCGAAAGACAATTGCTCTTTCATGACTCTTGGGCCTTGGTCGACGCTCTGAATTTCGCCGGCCCTTCACTAACACTATTCACTGCACCGCCCTTTGCTGTTATTTCTCAAAAGGTATGTCTACTACTACTCTTTGTGATCTTCACTAAGACCTTCCTTCCCTATTTCCCACCTCCCTTGCCCCCCGTGACCTCGTCATCTCTTTCACCTTGGCTTCACACTTTCTGGCTCAGAACATATTTCTTGACAGCCTCGTTTTTGAATCACTAATAAACTAACCCATTAGTCGGGGTCGTAGGTTGATTTTTCCCCCCTTGTCACGCTTTCTCGACGTTCATCGATACGACACTGTATATCTTCCGTGGACGATCAACCCAACCACCCGTCATTATAGATTCGAATTTGCATCTATAAAAATCCTTCAAAATGACGACCATGGTCAGTTCTCTATAGGTTTCTACGCCTATCGTTGAGAGATAAGGGATGTTAACAGGCATGCTAGGACCTTCGTGTCGGTAATAAATACCGCATCGGCAGGAAAATTGGGAGCGGTAGTTTCGGTGACATCTACCTCGGTATGTCAGCATCATCACAAGATCTATGACAGTCGACTTACTTGTCTCTAGGAACCAATATTATCTCGGGCGAAGAGATCGCCATTAAGCTTGAGAGCGTCAAGGCCAAGCATCCACAGCTTGAATATGAAGCCCGTGTTTACAAATCCCTTGCTGGTGGCGTCGGTATTCCCTTTGTCCGTTGGTTTGGTACAGAGTGTGACTACAACGCCATGGTCATTGATCTTCTTGGACCCAGCTTGGAGGACTTATTTAACTTCTGCAATCGCAAGTTCTCTCTCAAGACGGTTCTTCTTCTGGCAGACCAGCTTATTTCCCGTATCGAATACATTCACGCCAAATCGTTCATCCACCGTGATATCAAACCCGATAATTTTCTCATGGGTATTGGAAAACGCGGAAACCAGGTCAATGTTATTGATTTTGGCCTGGCGAAGAAATACCGCGACCCCAAAACTCACTTCCACATCCCATACCGTGAGAACAAGAATTTGACTGGCACTGCCCGTTACGCCAGTATCAATACTCATTTGGGTGTAGAGCAGTCTAGACGTGATGATATGGAATCTCTGGGCTATGTCATGCTATATTTCTGCCGTGGCTCTCTCCCATGGCAAGGCCTTAAGGCGGCTACAAAGAAACAAAAGTATGATCGTATTATGGAAAAGAAAATGACCACCCCAACTGAAGTGCTTTGCCGCGGCTTCCCCAACGAATTCGCTGTCTACCTCAACTACACACGTTCGCTCCGCTTCGATGATAAGCCTGACTACTCATACCTTCGCAAGCTCTTCCGTGACCTCTTTGTTCGGGAGTCCTTCCAATATGATTATGTCTTCGATTGGACCGTTTATAAGTACCAGAAAAATGCACAGGCGATTGCCCAGGCAAGTGGAAATGCAGGTAATGCACAGGAAGAGGATGACAAGCCACGTCGGCACATGCCTGCTGGTGGGGCTCCTGGTGTGATGCCGGGCGTTAAGCCTGCTGGTATCCCTTCGGCCCGCCGTAAGATGGTCGAGCGTATTGGTGGCGATTCCCACGACACTAACCGCGCCGTTGGAAGTGATAGGATGTGAGTATCTGCAACCTGAGTTTCCGAGTAAGGAACTCTTTCTCCTGCGCATTTGGTGTTTTGTATGACGCTAGCCATGGAGGTTTGAATTCAAGAATCTGACTAATCTCATAGTCTTCGGCGTTAGGCTTCGTTCTGCTTCTAGAGGTGCTAATGTGAGCCCTGGTTACAATGGTGCTCCTTATCATCGCTCGAAGCGGGATGATGGTACTGGTGCTAATTGGTACTGATTTCGATATGACGATGGTGCGATGTTTTACGAGCCGATTGTTTCTTCTGTTTGCTCATTCATGATGCTGCTCCATTTCATATCGAAACCCAGGAGCCTTGTGTGCAAATTGAATGCGGCACTGCCAAAGTGTGTTCTGTTTTGACCTGGACACCGAAGGCCAACCTGTTCTGAAATCTCTCCTCCGTCCATCATGGTTTAGCCCTCCATTCGATTTTCTTGTGCTCGCGGCCATTCAATCTCGGATTCTATTTTCGATGGATCCTCAGTCTGCCTCCTTTATCAGCCAGACTGGAGCGTCGACATTTTAATTCCCCACTCCTCAGATTTCCGATTTTCGAATTGTGCTCTAGTGCTGTTTATGGGATACTTATCACGGGGACTCAGAACACGTATTTCTTATTTAATTTGGGCGGTTACTTACGAAGCAAGCTGTTGGGCTACAGCTCCATGGACCTGCCTTTCAGCGGTAATTTGTTGATGGATTGTGGATAAGAAATGTAATTTTCAAGGCGGCTTTACCAATTTTCAACGACCGTGGTAAATCCGGCCCAACCCTCCCTCATCAATTCCCCTGCTACATTACTATTTCCTTATGCTTTATTCCTCATATTATGTATTCTTTTGCTGCCCACTCTCCTTTTCAATTTGTCTCCTATGTTCTCTCTGTTTTATGGTTTATCCTTTTTCTTTGCAAGGAAATTTATCCAGGGGACGAGGTGTGACGACTGATATTCGGGGCAGAACGACCTGCGAGCTGCGTGTATGCCGGTCTTTCACTGGTTATCTCTCCATTTTTTATCTATGTTTCCAGATGAAGGCCTTCTACACTGTTGCTTTTCTGGCCTGGGCCGACTGGGATGAAGAGAGTGGTGATGGATTGTTAGGGTTGCTTCCGGGGTGGTCAATACTTTTCCTTGCATTTCTCCTTTGTCTATTGTATTCCCTGCGTTTGCATATTTGCTCTTTGACCAATATCGGCTGTCATATGTGTTGAAGGGAAGTTGTGTGGACTAGGAGTGCATGCGTGGGGATGTCAGCGTGCCTGGGGGATCGATAATGGCAGCCTTGAAAACCAGTATTTCCTAATGCTTTGATATTAGTTGTGCTGAGCTAGTTTTTATTCCTTAATGATCCCTCTCCGACCATGCCCTCCTCTCCATCTCTCTCCACACCTTGCCTCCGACGAGATCCTCAGGCTCATCCCCCCTGCTCCACCAACCCCGTCCGCCCCCAAGGCGGCACATCTGGCCGGCACGGCGACCTAGCGAGTGTTGGCTGCGTTGCCCCAGAACCAAGGCGCAGAGCAGATATTGGCGGCAGCGAGCTGGGCGATAATAATACGAAACTCCCTGCTTGCATTAATAATAACAGGAGAAGGAGCGGCAGACGCAGACGCAGACCCTTGTTGCACGGCCTGCGGACTGTGTTTCTGCAGCGGCGGCTGGGCATGGCGGTAGGGCCTGTGCAGCTGCTCTTCGCCCGCTTCAGAGGCTGGCTCTGGTGCCAGCGCGGGAGATCTATTGCTTGTGCAGAGACGTGTCGTGCCCTGCAATACTGTATACGTATACGGCGTAGTCATATATTGGAGCTACATATGGAGTACGTAGTTAGCTAGTGAGTTTCTTACTCCACCACTGCGATGCCGCTCCCAGCCATCGCCCGCTGTCCAACACGTACGCTCTTCTGGGTCTACTACTCTACTCAGCTCTCCCCGTCTGGCCCTCGCAGGATCGTTCGTTAATCAAACGAACAATAATTGGCAAAAAGCCTGCCGCACCCCTGCTCCCGTTGACGCTTTGCCCTGGTCGGGCCGCTGACTCTCGTTCCGCAAACCTTCGCTGTCGCCCGGTTTTTGAGACCAGTCAATCCGTTCGCCAGCTTCCTGCCTTCTTCTCCTTCTCCTGCTGCTTCTGGTCTTCGTTTTCTTACTCTTCTGCCTTGTGGATCTCCTGTTCGTGTTCTGGCCTTCGCGTGTGTGGGCTCGTCCCCCTTTTTCTCCTGCAGACGCACGAGCCTTGCGCCGGTCTTCCACCCCCTCTTATTCTCCACTGGATACGTAACTGCTTCTTGTTCCACACTCATTCTGCTGGCAAAAGGAGGCGATTCTAGACACCTCTCCTATCTTTCTCTTCACCAGCATGGATTACAGCTACTACGCTTCTGCCCACCCCCACCAGGCCTATCAGTTCTATGGCCTTCAACATCCCCAGCCTGGAGCGCCAACCGCTGAGCAGTTTCAAGATGTCCCGCCCATGGTATGGCCTCTTTTTTGCCTTGTGCCCAGCGCTGTCTGTAGCTGTCAATGCTCCTTGAGCTAACTTGCGGCTGTCTTTCGGGCGCAGCAGCAGCAAAATGGGTTCCAGACGTTCCAGCCCTATGGCTTTGAGCCTTCTGTGCACGGCGGCCATCATGTCCCCGATATCCTGCCTCCCGAACCATTTCGGACTGAGTTCCTAGACCCTACAAGTCATGATTCGAGTGACAACAAGCTGACAGACTCGTCTGTTCTTCATCCTTCTACTGCGACGGAGAACAGTGATGAGCCCATACTGGATCCTGCGCAGAACCAGCGTAGTAGTAGTGAGGAAAAGGACAATTTGACGCCAGCACAGAGTCGTCGAAAGGCACAAAATAGAGCTGCGTATGCCACTTCTACTCTACCTCTCCTAGCATAAAACTAACAATCGGTCCTATATTTATAGCCAAAGAGCTTTCCGTGAACGCAAAGAGCGTCGTGTACGAAACCTGGAGCAAGAGCTCACTGAATACAAACAGAATATGAACTCTCTCCTCGAAGACAACGAATGCCTCAAGCGTCAGATAGCTAAAGTTGCCACTGAAAACGAGATCCTTCGTGCCACATCCTCTGCCAACCGTTGCTCTGAGGGCCACCGCGAACCCTCACCCGTCACTACAGGCCCCATGAGATACTCGCCCACTGATTACCCCCTCCCAACCCATCACAAGAAATCCACTCCCGTTCATCGCATCAGGGTTCATGAGACGACGGGCGAGAAGCTCTTAGACGCCTCAGCTACGTGGGATCTCATTGTGAACCGTTTAGCGGATGAGAAAGTTCGAGTTGATGTGCAGGATATCTACAATCGGCTGAAAGGCCATGCTATATGTGACGGCACTGGGCCTGTGCTTGAGGAAGCACGTGTCAAAAGAGCGATTGAAGAGAGTATCGCTGCAGGAAAGGATGAACTTATCTAAAGACTTTAAAAAAAAATAAAAATAAAAAGTAAAAAAAAAAAAAATAAGAAGAAAAAGCAAATGGAGGTTTCTCTCTAAAACTGTTCGATGTGTTTCAATTGTCTTATCTACTGGCTTTTGCTTCTTATATGACAGGGTATTTGTTATTTCCCTGCTTGGGAATGCTTTTGGCCTCTCATTTTCGGGTATTTGGTGATGAGTCCCTCCTAGAAGCAAAGCCGGAACTTTTCTTTTTCTTTTCTTTTGATTTTCCACTATTACCGGCCATTGGCCCTTTTTCAGTTTTGGACGTCGATGAACAGATGATCTTGTTTAGCCTAGGCGCTATGGGGGTAGGTTTTGTTTTGTGTGTTGAACATCATTCTGCTTTCTTTCCTTTTGTCATGTTTTTCCCCTTTCGCCCCGCTTTATTCCTGTCTTGTCGAACTTGCGCACATACCAACCTAGAAACTGATTGGTTTTCTTTTTGAAAAGAAGAGGGTCAAGAATCTTAAACGACCCTGCATGATGATACCGGATGTTCCGGCCATGAACTACGTTGATTGCATGGTAAAGCCGTTACCAGGGATTTTTCCTGGTTATGGAACAGTATCTCATTGCAGCTTCCAGGCTACCGCAAATCAAACGGGGGCTCGGCCACTCCCGCTCTCGAATGGACAATTGATTCTAACCCGCAGTTTTTGCGCTTGGACTCAAGACAAGGGGCAATTTATGCATGTCCGATCTGTGTGTTGGCCGGATGTCAAGGGTTGAGGAATCGCCCGGTGTTTGTCTTTTGTCATACATTGTATAATCCCCGCTTCATCGGTCTATTTGCATGGGTGACCCGCCTTAGCCGGTGTATGGGATACAACTTGGTATGATATATAGCGGTTTGGTCTTTATAGGCATCTTCAACTTAAGAATTCAGTTGGTTTTTTTTAAGGCACGAGTGTCCGTGGGGAAGAGAAGAATGTCTGTTCTCCGTTCTCCGTAGCACCTTTGCATGGATCGGCGGCGCGATGGCCCTTGTAACAGACGATCCTGGGGTATCACGTTGCTTGAGCGGCGCGGCGGAAACGAAGGGACAACATATGTCTTCAGGAGAGCGCCGAATGGCGTTGGACACATCGTTGTGCCGAATTGTTCTGGCCCTCGTCAGAAGTTGGTTGGTGAAGTACAGAGTATTCCGCGTCGAGTCTGTTATCATAGCTGTGTAGCACAACACGACCTTCTTTATCCTCCCAACGCATGAGCCCTGATTTCTTCTGAATCTCTTTCCAATCTTGAGACCCTTTCTTCTTTCTGGAAAATCCTCTCCTGTAGGCTCGCGCTCTTTGATCCGGTCTTCAGCTCGTATATTTCTGATGTTAAGTTGTGTATCTCTTCTCGCATCACAGCAAATGATTGATATAATTCTTTTGAGGGAAAGCAAACCCCATACACCTTACAAACACAAGTAAATTCATCGGGGCAAAGTACCGGCTTTCCCGTAAATACATACTGCCAAAGGTACTCCCACACACGCCCCGTGAGTCCATCAGAAAACGACGTACGAAGCACCCAGTCTCGCCAAAAAACATATTTCGGTAGCGGAATGGAGCGAATACGCTCCGAACTCACTGCAAACTGACTACAGCACGGCTGGGAAACGACATCAGGTACGGGCTCCCCGTGAAACAGCTCTCTCCACGCCTGTTTGAAGATTGCTGCCTGGGGAATGTTCACCAGCGTGGCTTCGTCCTCATTTTTGGCGTTAGGATGAATGTGATCAGGGCAGCCGGGGTGATGCGAGCAGCGCAGGTTCACGTAACCCTCGTGGACGACGTGGCCAGGATTCAGCCGGTTGACCATCATCTCCGAGCTACCATCCAACACGGCATCGTTGTGCCAAGTGGCATTGTGAGCGTGCATAAACAGTGTGACGTTGCGCAGATTCTCGTAATTGTCGATGATGTACGTGAGGTACGGCATCATCTCATTGCCTTTGTTTTTGATAATGAATGGGTCGGCCATCGGGTCGTCCACAACGTAGACTGCGGTGGCGATGCTGGGGTCATTGCGCGCGATTCTGTCGACCCAACTCGTGTCTTCAGCTTTTAATTTCGCGACCACCAGTGCGCGGGAATAGTCGCTAGCTGGCCATCTCTCGGGCTGGATGGCTTGTCTTGATGGCTTGACTGGACTGGGCTTCGGAGCGCTCTCGTTGTGGATCTCTATCAAGCTGGGTAGGCGGAGCTTTGTTGCGAGCAGAGCGAAGAGCAAGACAGTGCAAATGGACAGGGACAGAAGTCGGCATGCACGGATTGTTCCTCGTCGCAACATGGCTTGCGGTTGAGCATCGACAGCTTCGATCTGTCATGTACTCTGTAAAGGTATTTCATACAAAATCCTGGTTGCTGATCAAGATCCGCAAACTGCTAAAACTCAGCCCTTAAACAACTCGGAGGCGTCGTCATGGAAGTTCGTATGTCTCGTAACTCACGGCTCTATGGTATGTGTACGTATAGGTACAGTCCTTATCACGTTGTTACCTCAATGGATTTTCGAAAATGTAATTTGACTATTGTTTGATAGAGGGTGTTTACTATTTTTTTATTTGAACTACTTTACATATGCTAGATTCAACAGAGAAAATGTGGGTGGCGACAGAACCAATCCAATATATGTTCAGGGCTTTCAAAGACAGTGAAGATGATTTCAAACTCCAATAACCCCATGCAAAATATAGTTCGGCAGCTGCCAACAAACTATAGGTGTTGTTTATGTTATACGTGTTTAATCCCAATCATCAAGATATTCTTCGTCACTGTCATTTCTACGGGGCATATCAGACTGTTTTTTAAGGCGACTGTCACTTTCTTCCAGCGCACCCACAGCCACAAGAACCTTTTCAATATCTGTATAGATCTGTCAGCATTTATTTGGCGTATATAATGCCGGGAACGAAAGATGTTTTGGCCTAAGGTAGTTTAAATTGAAATACATACCTTCAATTCTTGTTTTTGAGCCATTAAGCTCTCGAAGCGTGACAATTTGTCTTTTGATATCTCCATCCTTATAGATTAAAATCGTGGGGGTGTTTTTCTCCGGGTAGCCCTCAATACACATTCCCGCGCGCATTTCGCAGAATTTTATATCTCCATACTTGACGGCAAGCTGTTGCCATATTTCGCTCAGTACTCGGGATTCGACGTTTGTTCCCATTGATGAAGTAAGGTTCACCATGACAAAATACTGCGACGACGCTTCTGTAACTTCTTTGGAGTAATCCGGTTTTTGGAGAGGGTATACTTGGTTATGGACACTCGCTTTCTGCAATTGAGAAAGCTCCTCCATACGCTTTTTACTATGCGCCGGTTAATCGACTGTGGGGGCTTAATGGCCCGTGTAAAGGTCGAAGTCATGCATACCGGTACTTCTGGAGAAATTCTTCATCTTCGTCATCTTCTAGCGCATCTAGCTCGTCAAGGTCTTTATTCTCGAGTCGATTTTCATGTTCTCGCTGCCGAGCTTCCAGAATTGCTTCTTCAATAATTGGTGTAGGGGAGGGCGGTTTCTCGGGTATAATTCCATGTTTGCGGAGTATGTCATTCCTGGTATGTGTGAGAAGCAGTACCAAAAGGCAACCTGGGAGACAAGAAACTACCATTCAGTATCAGCGTTAGGGTCATCAATAGGAACATTCACAGGCATATCCATTTTGTAAAACGCAGCCAGAACAATGCCATTGCGTGTTGGGTATTCCGAGCCTAGAGCAAGCCGGAGGAGGGGAGATTGTTTGCACTGTTTGCTCAGCCACTGTGGCTCGCTGGTCCACACAAGTCGAGCCGGGTCAAGGCAACGTGTATCTCAACTCCCAGACACCTCGACGCCGCCATCGCCAGTGCCATTGGCCTAACTCGCTGTTCAGGATCCCGCTGCCACCAGACCATGATTGCACAGTAGCTACCTAACCAATCCGCACGACCGCTCTTTCCACGCTCCCCACGCTACTGCCCCTGGCGGCGTCAAGCTGGCCCTAACCCAACAAAACACCGCCTTCACTCGACACCATGAGCTACGTTAAGAAGGACGAGGATGCCGACCAGACCATGATGAAGTTGGATAGGACAACGGTTTTTCAAGATGGTTGTAGCAGGCCTTCCGTAAACGATGCAGTGACCCTTTACTGATACATAGCTCGCAGCACGACTATTCAACTCCTCTCCGATATCCCCCCGGAAATGCCGTACCCTTCTAACGAAAATTGCGGTTCTCATCTTTACGGGGGAGAAATTTCCTACCGATGAAGCCACCACGCTTTTTTTTGGGATCTCGAAGTTGTTCCAAAACAAGGATCCGTCCTTGCGACAGATGGTCTACTTGATTTTGAAGGAGTTGGCTAATACCGCCCAGGATGTGATCATGTCGACTTCCATAATTATGAAGGACACTACTGTTGGGAGCGATATCCTTTATAGAGCTAATTCCATCCGAGCCTTGTGCCGCATTATAGACGTACGCTAGGTTTTCTTTTCCTTTTTGAGCCATGTGGTAATTGACTGACCATACTAGGCAACTACCGTACAAGGTATTGAACGTCTCATCAAGACCGCAATCGTTGACAAGAACCCCTCCGTTTCATCCGCCGCCTTAGTCTCTTCGTATCATTTACTCCCCATCGCTAAGGACGTTGTTAGAAGGTGGCAGAGCGAGACTCAAGAAGCAGCAGCAGGCGGGAAACAATCATCAGGCTTCCTAGGGTTTGGAGGGAGTCATCAGCATCCACAGGCTCTATCGCAGACTAGCCATATGACCCAATACCATGCAATCGGCTTACTCTACCAAATGCGCGCACATGACAAAATGGCTCTGGTAAAAATGGTCCAGCAATATGGAGCAGCCGGTGCTGTACGCAGCCCTGCAGCAATTGTTTTGTTAGTGAGACTAGCAGCAAAACTGGCGGAAGAGGACCAAAGCTTACGAAAACCAATGATGCAAATGTTGGATGGCTGGCTGAAGCATAAACACGAGATGGTTAATTTCGAAGCTGCCAGAGCTATATGCGATATGAGAGACGTTACGGATGGAGAAGCTGCCCAGGCTGTCCATATCTTGCAGCTTTTCCTGTCCTCTCCTCGCATTACGAGTCGCTTTGCCGCAATTCGAATTCTCCACAGCTTTGCTTCTTTCAAGCCACATGTTGTGAATACCTGCAATCAAGATATCGAGTCTTTGATATCGAACTCGAACAGGTCTATTGCGACTTTTGCTATTACCACACTTCTTAAAACCGGGAACGAAGCGAGTGTCGACCGTCTTTTGGCTCAAATTTCTGGCTTTATGGCAGATATCACGGATGAGTTCAAAATCACTGTCGTAGAGGCTATTAGAACTCTCTGCTTGAAATTTCCCAGTAAACAGGCTGGTATGCTTACATTCCTTGGTGGAATCCTCAGGGATGACGGTGGCTATGAGTTTAAGAGGAGTGTGGTAGAGAGCATGTTTGACCTCATTAAATTTGTTCCAGGCAGTAAAGCAGATGGTATGCTACTACTTTCATCATATAAACTTCTCAGCTAATATCCTTTCCAGCTCTTGAACACCTCTGCGAATTCATTGAGGACTGTGAATTTACAAAGTTGGCTGTCAGAGTCCTCCATCTGCTTGGGGTTGAGGGACCAAAGGCCCCAAACCCCTCGAAATATATTCGCTGCATTTACAATAGAGTTGTTCTTGAGAATGCTACCACCCGTGCTGCTGCCGTCACAGCACTTGCAAAATTCGGTGTTGGACAACAAGATCCCGAACTGAAGCGAAGTGTGACTGTACTCTTGAAACGATGCTTGGATGATATTGATGACGAAGTCCGTGACCGTGCTGCTTTAAATCTGAGGTTAATACGAAAGGACGACGATATGGCAGAACGTTTCATAAGAAATGGTAAGCGCTATTTTCAACCGTATACATAACTTTTCTAATTCATCCGCAGAAACCATGTTCGCGATGTCCACATTCGAACATCAACTGGTGATGTATGTCACATCAACAGATAAAGCAACATTTGCCACAGCTTTCGATATGTCTAAGGTTCCAGTTGTCTCCCACGAGCAAGCGTTAGCAGAGGAAAGGACGAAGAAACTTACTTCTGCCACACCCACTATCAAACCGCCATCTACTACTGCTGCTTCTAAGCAAAACGGTGCTGCTGATAGCGCCAAAGCTGCCGCTGCAGCTACAGAGAAGTACTCCGAACAACTTTCACAAATACCTGAACTTAAGGCCTACGGGGCACTCCTCAAATCATCACCCCCGGTCGAACTTACTGAAAGGGAAACGGAGTACGTGGTCACAGCCGTCAAGCACATTTTCAAAGACCATATTGTTTTGCAATACGACATTACCAATACTCTTCAGGACACCGTATTAGAGGATATTTCTATAGTTGCATCTCCTTCGGAGGATGAAGAGATACTCGAGGAAGACTTTATTGTTCCGGCGCCCAAACTGGAGACCAACTCGCCTGGGATTGTATATGTTGCATTTAAGAAGATCGATGATGAAAATACTTATCCTATCACGTCATTTACCAATGTATTAAAATTTACCAGCAAAGAGATTGATCCGACGACAGGAGAACCGGAGGAAACGGGCTACGAGGATGAATACCAAGTGGAGGATCTGGAACTTACGGGTAGTGACTATATCATTCCCGCATTTTCCGGCTCTTTTGATAGTATATGGGACGAGCTTGCCGCGAATGGGGAAGAATTCAGTGAGACTTTGCAGTTATCCAATATGAAGGGCATCCAAGGTACGTCGCTCTTAATGAGCCTTGCTTTGCTCTCGCTGACTAAAATATAGATGCAACCGAACAACTGATTGCCGCGTTATCGCTTCAGCCACTTGAAGGCTGTGAGATCGTCCTAAGCAACAGTACTCACACATTAAAGTTATACGGTAATTCGATAACGGGGGGCAAGGTTGGTGCATTAGTTCGCCTCGCATATACCGCCAAATCTGGTGTGACAACAAAAGTGACTGTACGGTCTGAAGAAGAGGGCGTCTCTTCTCTTGTTGTTGCATCTATTGCGTGATGTTTAGCATTCTTTTGCTCCGAATGTATCTTTTTACCGTCTTACACCTTTAATGCAAATATAGCAAGTCTTTTGTGATGAGTGCGGGGTGGCGGGAAAAACATTCCCCGTGTCAAAATGGCCCACGATTTAATTGTTAGCCCATGCCGAATTTCTTCTTGATATATATCGTGGGGGAAAACAATCTTTCTCCTTTGCAAGTTCTCGTTTATATAGTCTTCTGGATGGTCCATTATTGGTCAGACTTCTCTTGCTTATTATGGTAAGTGACTCTACGTGCACAATATTGTGGTAGAAAAGTATTTTACATTACAAGGACTTCTATCGAAGCAGTCTATCGAAGCAGTGAATGAAGTTACGTCCTATCTACTTTAAACAATATGTACATGTGTCTTAAGGAAATACGTAGCATCCCGTCGAAATCTCACCACTATCTAATTTACGTTCATCGTAACCGGCTCGTTTGGCATTAGCCATTAAAACCTGATCAAGGTCCGCATATTCTGAACTCCAGTGAATCTCATGAAAACCAATGCGTCGAAGTTTATGAAGAGCACCTTCAAGCGCACGGGTTAATGCGCTGTGTGGAAACACCCATGTCGAAAAAGATTTCCCAAGTTCAAGAATTTCCAAATCGAGTTTCATATCCAAAGTCTCCATGGCTGGAATAGTAGTGGAATTGATATCGCTTCCAGGTAAACTAAGAAATGTTAATTTGGGGACCAAAGGAAGGAAGTCAGCCATGATTCGAAAATGAAGCTTGTAGTTGTCGTCCGTGATTCTGAGACGACGTAGATTTTGCCGAAAGAGGTCGTTTTCAAATATGGCGAAAATAGAGTCAAGGGTGAGGCGTTTGCACCCATGTAAGGTAAGACTGGATAACTTTTCGGGCCAGGAGAAGCTCTTGGAGAAATCAGGGATATCAGCTGGGTCATCACCGCCGAACTGCAACGTTGTGAGATTTGGGGGCCAAGGGATATCGTTGGAGGAAAGGGTCAATGATGTCTCTCTAGGTAGGCGAAGGGTTGTTAGGCTCGAGATAGATTTGGTGGCAGTTTTAATTTCGCTGAGTGTGAGCTCTGTGACAACTAAGGAGAGGTCTAGAATGCGGAGCTTTTGGCATTTGGCAACTGAAGGGAGATTTATTGACCTAGAGGGGGTCAGTCTCAAAGAATCCGTTACAAAAAGAATATTCGGTCTAAACTTACGAAATGGAATATGCCGGGGCAATGAAGACTTGGAGTCCTTGCCTCACGCTTCGAAGGAGCCGGGCGGTCAAGGAATTTGTGCTGTGATACACAAGCTCAGACAAATCGAGTCGACGCACATGTTGGCCCAGCTCTCCCTTTGGGGCATATAAAGGGTCGTTACTGGTGAGAATTGTAGTAAACGTTGTATAGTGTTTGGGGGGAATCTTAGGCTTCTCATATAGGATGGGGGCTGCCATCGACCACCACTCATGAGATACCAGGCAGCATGATGTCAGAGTTTCATTTGCTTCTGGTAAATCTTGGACAAACGACAGGACTAGGGATATTATTTCTGGAGGAAGATAGATCGCCTGGGCCGCCATGTCTGCTTGTTTGCTTGTTTTCAGCGAGGTTGAAAAGTTTTGAAGTTGTTCAGAAAAACATCATAAACTGAGATGAAACAACTGATAAGATAGGAGGGGTAAAGTACAAGTCAATTAAAACAGTACAAACACAGCAAACATTGCAAACTGCTGGCCCCTTATATAGCTCTTAGTATCTGGAATCTGGTCATTTCGTCTCCTTATGACAGAAAAATATTCTAAACACCCCCAAGGGTGGTCTTTCAGTAGCTAGAGAGACATCTTAGTTGCTAACACACAAAAACAGGGAGTAGAGTAATTTTTTTGTGGAACCCATCGTACATACGGAGTACCAAGTGGCTATTTGGTAGGTCATATCTAGACCACCTTTCCAGCAGTTTGGATACCGCTGCGCATTACTTCGTGTTGATATGGGTCAGAGCAAGGGCCCCAAACCATGCGCAGCCAGACAACTGTTCTTCCGCTAGCTTTGCAGAGCTCAAGACTTTAGATGGGGTTTGTTTTTCGGACGTGCTATTCCCATTAGTATACTCCGTACGTGTGCTTCAAGCTTGATTTTTCAGCAGGTTTCGTTATATGTAGCTCACTGCTTGAGAATAGTTGTCTCAGTTAGCTCGCCCTATATGAGCTGTGAGCAGTGATAGACCACCCTGGATTCGACTTTGGTGACACCTGTGTCACTACCAATCTGTGGACTCAGGAGCGCTTTCTCACTGATCTTCTTACCAAGTCGCCCTGGGTGCCGCCGCGACCTAGAAGTTCAAGTCGCACATAAATAACTGTTGTCGTGATACTCGGAGTTATGGACGGTGATTATACGGAACTTGGAAAAATGGGCAGATTGAGGGGGAAGTGCTGGTTAGTCCTGCGGTCGCTAAACCGTCACACCATTGATTTGTGTCCGTTCAAATCTATTTTTATGTATTTTGATTTGTATGGTTGTCAGAAAAGATGTTCAGTTAATTCTTTCTGTCCATACCCTTGTTTGATCATTCTAGATCACTAACTACAGAATACGGAGTCAGAGGAGAGCTCATTATGAAAATAGAGTTTTATTCTAGTGAATTTTAGGTCATGTCATGTGGTCTCGTGAATTCTCAACTTTTGGCCGCAAAAGCGACAACAGCATCAAGGAAAACATCACAATAAAACTGGAAAACATGCTAAAAGGCCTTTCCAATTGCAGAGCCAACAAGAGGGCAATGCAAATGAAACTGCATCTGAGGGTAAATGCAGGCAGGCTCTATTCCACAGCAGATATGCCACCTGGCTGCATAACCGGGTTAACGCTACCATTCCACTGAAATTTGAATTCTGCTCCAAGCTCTTTCTTCATCGCCGCCTGAACAGCTTCCAGCACGTTCGCAAAAACACCAAAGTTTGCTGGGTTCTCTTCATCATTGTCGCCGCCCTGGAAGATACCCGTCCGAACCAAACAAGTGTTCCATCCGTACATGTTGCCTCCGACGATATCTGACTGCGGGTTGTCGCCGACCATATAAATATTTTTTGGCAAGGTATGTTCCCCGTGGATCTCGTTCATCCACTGCTTCATAACTTGATCGGCGAATGTGTACGTGGCCAGCTCCGGCTTGCCATACACGATACGCTGCAAGTCTTCGCCAGTCAGAGACTTGTACATAGCTTCGATACCAATGCGGAACAGGCCTTGAGTCAGACGTGGAATTCCATGCTCTGTTGGCATGAGCAAGTCACCCTGGGAGAAAAAAATGGGCAGGTGTTTACCCTGTGGAACTCGGGACTTGGTCTTGAGCTTGCCATTTTCGCTGAGCAAAAGGTCCATAATGATCTGCATATCGGTTGCGTAATCTCGTGAATCTGCGAATACCATGATTGCTTCGAAGGTCATCTTGTCGAATTGCTGGATTCTTGCTTTTTTGCGGTCTTCCTCTGAGAGCTTACTCCATGGAGAAATAGTCGGATCCCATGCGAGAATGTCCTTTGGAAGCACCACATTTTTGAAGCCATAGTCTTCAGCAACTTGCCGAATCTTGAATCCATCACCGCCCACAACAAGTACTGTCTTATAGAATGCTGCCAACGCTTGCATTGGGGTGTGGGATTGAATGAATTGACTAGTGGAAACCGGTGTGCCGAGGATGCGAGACAATTCCTCCACGCGAGCAGATTCGGTTTTCCCTCCACCGTTTGTGAGCAAGATGTATGGAATTTTGATTCCGAGCTCATTGTCGCCGTTGAGAAGCTCCATCACTCGGGCCGCTTCTGGAATGAGTCGATCTCCGTGGACTAACACACCGTCGATGTCGAATGCGAATGCCATGTTCTTAGCAGCTTCCACCTTTTCCTTTTCTAGGTCTTGGATCCGAGATGCCAGAAGGCCTCGCCTTGCATTTTCAACGTCTCGGTGCACCGATGGGGTTTGGGCTGCGCTGGGGGAGGTTGGGATTGGAAGAGTCATGCCGAATGAATTTCGTGAAGCTCTTCTTTGCTTTAACGATGGTGCAATGCTGAGGTTGTGTATCAGAGAGCCAGCATCACTTGTCGAACTTCTTATAGCACGAACTTCAATAGTATCTTCTGCAGAGTGAGGGTGTGCAGGAATACTTATTTGAACTCCCTGAGCGATTCGCTCTGCTCCCTTCTCTTCACCGTTATGGCTCAGTTGAAATTGTTTTTCGTGACTGCTTGTCATTGTCACTAGAATGAATTCTCTTCTTAATTGAATTGTGAAAATTTTTTTGCAGGTGTGTCAGTTTTTTCACATTATTTCCCGGGAACTCACGGAGAGAGCCGTTAAGTCTTATATTCCAAACCTCACTTTTAAAAGATTTTCCCAGGCGAAACATGGGGACAATTCAATGTACAAAGATACTCCACCTACAATGTGTAATTTCTAAATATTATGATCTCTCAAAGATGTAAAGGCTTATTACTAACTCTACTACTTACAATGCATGTCTTCATCTCGGATATGGTAGATGCGTGGGCCCGATGGGCGGTGAAATGCTGCTGGTATCATTGTTACCCAGAGTGAGCAGAAGTCCTGTACATACTCCTTCAGTTAAACCATGACGTTGGGGGCAGAGAAGCTCCACTATATCCAGACAGAGCCCCCTGATCAAGCCACCAATGAAGCCTCACTAGAATAAGAGATCAAAGAACATTTAGCTCTCTGGGTGGATATGGGCGGCATCCTGTTTATGGTACACACTAATTTTCATCTCCAATACGACAGGTTCGCATCCAAAAGCGGCATTATTCTCTTCTTCTCAGTTACAGTTGAGTTTTCTGGAACCTTTTGGCCAAACAGAGATCATAAATCACCGTATGGTTAGTTGGGCGAAAAATGCCGAAACACTACCCTGTAGAGTTCTTCCTTCGCGGAAATAACCTGCATTCTCAGGCAGAGACTCTGTGGCTCTCTTGGTTCCGTGAAAACTCTGATGCTGCTGGCCGTTGATATTTCACTTCATACTATTTTGCTTGTGCTTTTTAGGTGACGCTTGCTTCTGGGCATTCACATTGACGGGAGCTTAACCTTGGGTGGCCAGGGCTCAGGCTATTAACCTCCAACCTCAGGATTCTGTGCAGTATAAAAACACTCTGTGCGCATCAGCTCTATCAATCTTTGAAGCTTGTGCTGACCCTGCTTTTCTGGCTGTTGTGACCCGCAGGCATCATGTCGCAGGCTATCACTTTCAAGCTGAGCAACGGCGTTGCGATTCCGGCGTTGGGATTCGGCACCTTTTCGAACGAAGGCGTTAAAGGAGAAACCTACAAAGCCGTCCTTCATGCTCTGCGCGCTGGCTACAGACATCTGGACTGTGCCTGGTTCTACATGAATGAAGAGGAGGTTGGCGAGGGCATCAAAGATTTCCTAAAGGAGAAGCAGAGCGTCAAGCGATCCGACCTGTTCATCACCACCAAGGTCTGGAACCATCTGCACGAGTTTGAAGAGGTGGAGTGGTCATTGAACGACTCCCTCAAAAAGTTGCAGCTGGAGTATGTGGACCTATTTTTGGTTCACTGGCCGATTGCTGCCGAGAGAGATGATGATTATATGCCGAAGATCGGCTCGGATGGCAAGGTATGAAAACTTGTTTGAAAATTCTTCTAGGAGTGATGCCTTAGGAATTTTGAATGGTAACTAAACTACTCCTGAATCTTCATAAACAGTACGTCATTAAGGAGGAATTAACCAAGAATCCTGAGCCGACATGGCGTGGCATGGAGGCCGTCTACAACGCTGGAAAGGCCAAAGCCATCGGGCTATCCAACTTCACCATCCCCGGAATCAAGCAGGTCCTTAGCTTTGCAAAGGTCCCGCCGCATGCCAATCAGATCGAAATTCACCCTTTCCTCCCCAACACTGAACTCGTCAACTTCTGTTTCTCCCATGGGATCCTGCCCCAGGCGTACTCACCCCTTGGCTCCCAGAACCAAGTCCCCAGCACTGGTGAAAAGGTCGCTACCGATCCTACTCTCAATGCTATTGCTAAACAAGGCGGGCATACGCTGGCCCAGGTGCTGATTGCTTGGGGACTGAAGAGGGGCTATGTGGTTCTACCCAAGAGTTCAAACCCAGCCCGCATTAGTAGCAATTTTAGGGAGATTGAGCTGACGGAACAGCAATTTGAGGCTGTGAACCTTGTGGCTGAGGGTAGGCACTGTCGTTTTGTGAATATGAAAGATACTTTTGGGTATAATGTTTGGCCCGAGGAGGAATAAGGTGCACAATTTCAAATGACTTACACGGCCTTCTCCTTTTCATCCTTCAGAGATGCGATATGTGCTTCCTGAGACGGTCTTTTAAAATGATACTAAGGCAGTTAGAAAGTTTAATACTCCAATTGAATTCATGCAAATCAATTTCAAGTTCTCTCCTGATCAGCACATAGTTACGGAGGTCTCTCAGAAGCTGAACTGCGTTAGTTGAATATTCTTATTTGTGTACCTGAATTTATACTTTTATCAGTCAATTCTATATTCCATTTTCAAGCTCTAATGATCCATTGTCATTCTCTCTAAATGTATATCTGAATCATCAAAAAAGCCCGTCTCATTCATAAAGCGGCCAAAAATCAAATGGAGAAGATATACGCTCATAAATATTATCTATTGCCGCTCACTCATTTATGTTCATCCATAAATTTTTTATGGAAACTGACGATTCTCTCCACCCAATCAGTTCCAGGGGCAAGGAAGGTGGTGCGGAAATGGTGCGTTCCGGGCTTTTGACCGAAGCCAGATCCTGGGACGAGGCAAACGCCAGTAGCGTCAAGAAGGCGAAGGGCGTAGAATTCATCGGGCTTGCGATTCGCTGCGTTTGCAGCATCGAATACTTTAGGGGGGAAGGTAATGGAAGGGAAAAGATACATGGCACCCTATAAATTGTTAGACTGAGGCAAGATGCCGTGGCTAGGGTGTCAAAGGGGAAATCTTACCTGTGGTTCTTGACATTCAACACCTTCCATTGCTTTGAATGCCTCATACAGAGCCAGAGCACGGTTTCGTAGGCCAGTTGAAATGGAGTTATACTCCTTTTCATAGAGTTCATGGCTTGGCTCCCCTGGCTTAGGGGGGTTGACCATTAAATCAACGAGGCATTGGCCAATAACAGGGGGGCAGAGCATGATGCTGATAAACTTATAGATCTGTTCCTCCACCTCAGGGTTAAATCCAACGAGTTCAAAATAGCCACCACGGTGACCACATTCGCCAACCATGCCTTTTGACACACTATGCAATGATGCAAGCTCAACATGATCATAGTGTCCAGGTGATTGCTGTTGTAGTTGTCGTAGTCTCTTCTTGAATGATGTGAATTCTCCCTTGAAGACATTTGTTTGATATACTTCATCTGCCATGATAACTAAGTTTTCCTCAACAGCAAGATCTATTACCTGCTTTATGGCATCTGAGCTGAGAGATGCACCTGTAGGATTTCCTGGATTGATCACCACAATGGCGCGAACATCTGTGCCCTCTGATTTGGCTTTGGCAACAGCAGTTCTGATATTCTCAACATCTGTGCCCCATCCCTTTTCTTCATCCAGGTAGTAAGGAACGCATTTTGCATTCAGAAGGGAGAGGGTGGCAGTGTAAAGAGGGTACTGTGGGATAGGGACAAGAACCCCACTATCCTTGTTGGCACATAAGATATTGAGAAGAGTGTTCACCCCTGATGATGCTCCAGCAGATAGATAGATATGTGAAAAATCAGCAGCAAAGCCGTCGCGCCGTTCAATGAAATTAGCCACACTCTTTCGAATTGCGGGAGCGCCACAGCTTTGACTATAAGCACCGACACTCTGAACATCCTTGAGAAGATGTCTTGCACGGTCAATGACATCCTGCTTGTATCCAAATTCCGATTTCAGGACATCCTCTTTTTCCAGCAATGCTGGGTATTCCATGACACTAAGGACCTGCCGGAAGAAAGTGATGGGTTTCTGATCGAGTTGCTGAGGGTTGCCAATATTCGCAAAGATGATCTTGTCGAAAGGCAGTGTGTTGTCTCCTTGTTCCAGCCTGACTCTATATTCCTCTGCCTTGACAGCCAACTCACCACGAACGGCGTACTGGGCGGCTATGACATTGGGATTGATGTTGCCCTTGTTGAGACGACCAGTTGGTAGAGAACCCATTTTGCTCAGGTAGGAAGGCTTATACGGCACGGATGGGAGACACAGGGGAGAAAATTGAGGGATGTCTAGAAAAATTAATTGAAAAAGAGAGAGACAGTTAGTCACCGCTGCAGCTTTTTATTAACAGCAAGAAATGGAGGGGCAATCGCCTGATCCTCGCGGGGGCCGGCGGGTGAACACGGAGATGGCCCGGAGTTAAAGCGGTGGAAGGATTTTTCTCATCATGTCCACAGAGAGTCTTACCTGAGAGTTGTCTGGTGAGAGTTGCAGATGCTCCCGCAGTCCTGAATGCGCAGAAGGAGAATGGACAAGTAGAGGAGTCAGCGAAAAGCCGAGACGGCCGAGACACGGTTGAAGCGCGGGCTGAAGAACCAAGGGGCAGCATGGAGCGGCAAAACCGCCGGAGTTCGTATTGCTAAACATGTCTGCGATCTCGGCCCGGCGTCTTTGCGATGTTTCGAGAGCTGCTTTCATGCTGGATTCGCGGTCAGAGCGTTGAGGTTGTCGTGGTCGGCATGCCGAAGTGCGTCATGGTCACGTAGACTGGCGCTGGTAGCTTTTTCCCCTTACCCGTCACCCCTAACTATGTAACTAAGGATGCGGCTTCACAGTCGCAGAACGTTCAACATATCATGGCGAATGCGGCATTTCGCTCTCCGTGGCTGGGCTGGCGTCTAAATACCTGTCTTCGCACTCGCCAGACCATATTCTCTGGTCCCGCATTGCGACGGGGCTTCAAAGACAACGCAGCGTCGCGGCAGACAGCCCCAGACTTTGCCTTTGCATTCGAGTATGACCACGCTCCTCACAAATTCCCCCTTTCCACTTGAGTTCCTTTTCTAAACTATTGTCAGTATAGATGGCGTCCTGCTTCGAGCGTCGAAACCGCTTCCTGGGGCCGCAAATTGCCTGGCGCTCCTGGAAGAGCAGCGCATTCCGTTTGTCCTCCTGACCAACGGCGGAGGAATATCCGAGTCGGAGAGAATACACCAGCTGAATTGCCGTCTTGGACTCGAGCTCCATGAGAGCCGTATTATACAGAGTCACACTCCTTTTACGGAATTGGTGGACGGCAAGAAGGAGCAGGAGCCCCTGGAAGATAAATGCGTGCTGGTTGTTGGCGGGCCGGGGGATAAGTGTCGCCATGTCGCCAGAGAGTATGGAATCTGCTTCATGGCTAGTCTAGGGCTGTCTGACATTTAAGGTAGATACGGCTTCAAGTCCGTGATTACTCCAGCCGATATCTTCATGGCGCACCCTTCCATCTGGCCATTTTCCCAGGGATTCGCCGATTACTACAAAAACGTCGTGCAGCCCTTCGAAAGACCGATCAACGGCAAATCGCCAGGAAACCTCAAAGTCGACGCCATCCTTGTCTTCAACGACCCCCGCGACTGGGCGCTGGACATCCAAGTCATCGTCGACCTCCTCCTCTCCCACCAGGGCATCATGGGCACATACTCCGACCAGAACAACCGCCACGACCTGCCCAACCGCGGCTACCAGCAAGACGGCCAGCCCAAAATCTACTTCTCCAACCCCGACCTGCTGTGGGCCGCCGCCTACCATCTGCCGCGACTGGGCCAGGGCGGGTTCGCGGCCGCGCTGGAAGGGGTGTGGGACGCGCTCACGGGCGGTGCGGCGGCCGGCGTCCGCTTGCAGAGCACCATCATCGGCAAGCCGCACCAGTCGACGTATGAGTTTGCGGAGAAGCGGCTGGTGGAGCAGAGGGAGAAGGCGTTTGAGGGGGTGCCGCTGGCGCCGCTCCGGAATGTGTATATGATCGGGGATAATCCCGAGTCGGATATCCGCGGTGCAAATTCGTTTCAGAGCGTTGCTGGGGCGGAGTGGACGTCGATTCTGGTGAGAACTGGAGTGTATAGTGGAGAGGAGCCGAGTTGGCCGCCGAAGACGATAGTAGGTGGCGTACAAGATGCCGTCCAATGGGCGTTGAAACACTCCCAGTGGTCAGCTCTGCCGGCCTAAGATCGTGTTCGTTATGTTATTTTGGTTTCACAGTTTAGCGAGGGAGTCTAAGCTATTAGGTGTTTTCATTTCATTACGCTCCAGGCGGAGTAAAACTACCTACAATGACGAATAAACTTCCATATAGAATCAAATATAAAGTGGTCACAAAAAGAAGGAAGCGTCGAAACAAGCGCTAAATTAAACGAAGAACAAGGAAATTCGTAACCTGACATGGAGGAAAACAAAATCTATCTGATCTCATTGTCATCAGAGAACGGGCCGGTATTTCTAGGGGCCGGCTTGCTGGCTGTTTCAGGAGTGCTTTCCAAAATCTGATTGGAGGGTTGGCCATTATGGTGCCGGCGTGTAGATTTATTTTGCGGTTCTATACTCTGGTCGGCGGGCTGTGAAATCTCTTCCGAGATTTTTGACGAGGCACCCAATGGTTTTGTGGAGGACTTGCTATCTGCAAAGGGGCTTTGGTCCCCCGTGGGTGACTCGTCATCAATAAGGGTGATGGCCGTTGAAATTATTGATTCTCGAGTCTTGGCTGTATCAGCTGGAAATTTGGTCGTGAGATCCTGCGACTGCGACGAATCGGGATATTCATCTCCAGTATCGGCGGTGTTTGAAGTAGGTTTTTTGGACTTTGGTTTCTTAACGTTGATAGGGCGCGCTACAGCAGTACGGGCAACGATTGAGCTTGTGGGCATTTTGTCGGATTTGTCCATTTTTGAAGCAAGAGCATTTGCCTTGCTCATTTGTGACACCGTGATGGCAGGTACCGCAGGGGTTGCCATCGTCGGAGAGTCATTTGGCGATAACATAGGACTATTGAGACCGGATTTCACGCTGACCATAGCTGCCTTCGCCCGCAAGGCTTGCTGGGCAGGTATGGGACTGACAACTGCATTGTTTCGGTATATGGTAGTCGCCATGCTGCTGCGGGCCAAACTAGGAGCAATGCTCCTGCGAGTATCATCCGAGGTGCTGGACCAAACGGAGTCTCGGATATCGCCAGGCATGAAATAGTGTTGATCGTAGTGTCTTTGGGCGGCAGGGATGGGCGGCACTGGGGGAATAGTTGATGGAGAGTCCGGAGGAGAGCGGTTGGTGACGCCAGGAATGTAGGCGATCTGAATGACATTGGACGCGCGAGTCAGGACTGTGGATGCAATGGAGCCAACAGCAGACATGCGTCCCCTCCGCTGGGCAATGAATTCCTCCTCTTGCTTGTTGGTGACTTCCGGAATCCAGTCCTCATCCTTGTCGGCTTTGCGTTTCTTCAAGCAGTACCACCCTACCACAACCAGGACGATAATAATGGAGATGGAACCAATGACACCGCCGGCAATGGCACCGGCGTTTGGACCCGATGGAGCAGGAGGCGGGGAGATTTCGGTGGAGGGTACGCAGATATTTCTCTGGCACGATTCGCAGGTAGCTGGGCGACTGATGCATTCCTGGCCGTTGGGGCAGACGGGGCAGGGGTCTGGCCGCTCGGGGCAGCCAACAACACAGCGACGGAACAGGCGTTGCCAGGAGGGAGCGCGCGAGACTGACGAGAGAGCAGGTTAGTGGGCTGAAGGGGACGATGGGCATTGTGCCAGCTCGTCAAGCTTACATTTGGGCAGCGCGTCCATGGCTGAGGTGGAGGGTGTTTTATTTCGGCTGCCGAGAACCAGCGCAATGCGGATCGTTGTGAGGAGTGACGGCGTCTGGGGCACAGTATACAAACGAACCAGCACGCCAGACGCGAAAGAAGAGTGCAAAAGGGACCAGCCGATCAACAGAAGAACAATAAAACGAGCGACGAGGAGGAGGACCGGGCAGGGCAGGGCAGGGCAGGACAGCGAGCGTGGAGAGAGGGGAGACGCCGGGCAGATCGAAGTTGGCGAGAGGAGAAGAGGAGAGACGGGCGGCGCTAACTAAAAGGGGCCGCAAGATTGAAAGAAACGGAAGCGGCATGGCGTGTTTCGGCGGCCAATCACGGCGCGCCCAGCCCGCGGCGTGTTTGGCAGGACGCGGCGAGGCTCAGCCACGCCCGGCCAGACCAGCCGGCGGCGGCGGCAGGATCGCGACACGGCCGAGGGCGACGAAGGGCCCAGGAGGGCAGGCGGGAGGAGATAATAAGAATCCGTGATGGTACGGCCAGGGCCAGGTGGTCGATGGTGGCCAGCAGTGTCGCTCTGGTCGAGAAACGCCGAAACAAAACACCGCCGTCAATGCGCACGACAATAATGCGCGCTGTATCCCGGTCGCACGTCACGCAAGGCTTCGCTCTCGCAGCCCTGCGCTTGTTTCTGGTTGAAGGGCCGCCAGCCCACAGCTTGTCGCCAGTTGAAACCGTGCCAGTTTCGAACGCAGTCAAGCTTTTGCTTCATCGTTCTACGCGGTACGCCTAGCTACGCCGTGGCCTCTGCTTGCAGACTGGACAGCACTGCGTTTCCTGTCCGTCGCTTCTGCTTCCTCACTCCCCGCTCACGATCGTGCCTTCGTGCGCTGGCTCCAGGGCTTGCCACCGGCATGTGATGCATGCTCGTTGAAGACACCAGCGATCCTGCCGGCAATATCGAGAAAGTGTGCTGAGGCTGGGACCGGGATGGTTGGACCTGCGCCGGACTGGCAGATGCCCAACAGACCCAGGCAGCATGCTGGGCTTCATTCATATTGTGGAAGAAAGGAAAGCCCGGGAATTGAGCTGTTTTCAGTAAGGTTGGTGAATTCTGTCCTGCATGGCGAGGCAGATCATCTCCGGATCCAGACGGCCTTGACTCGGGGGTGTATGGAAGAAGTGTCGCACGCTGGAGATTGTATGTAGATCTGGTGCTGTAGGTCATCCTTGCTAACGGTTGCGATATTTTTGGGACAAGCCACTCGCCACATCTGCACGGGACGAACTATGTCCCTGGCAGCACGTCTCGGACTGTGGCTGTTGGATGCTCAAAATCGGGAATGATGGTAGGCTTGTTTCTGCCGGGAAATTCTTTGTGTAGTGCCCAAGACCAACAGAGGGTTCTGGCTTGATTCCTATGTCTATCCTCCCTGCTGGGGCGGGAAGGGCTTCGCTGAGCGGGATCTCTTTCTAGGCAAGGTCTTCCGGCTTCAGCTCGCGCAGATACGTTCCTACAAACCCGATATAAAGTGCAGCTGCGACGTTATCAGAATGTTGGTCTGTACGTTGGCCAAGGCGCCCAGGAGTTCTCATTTTCATTTCGCTAGTGGCTCTTAAGATTACCTGCTCTTGAGCACCTACCAATCATCAAGCGATAGTCCAGCATCTGAGTCTTGTCCAGACCCAATTGCCCGACTTCATTTTCTAGCAGTGACAGCTGCACCACTTAAACCCAGTCTTCTACCCTGAGAAATGGAGTTTTTGATGTCGACATGCACTGGGCAGGGAAGCCATGACTATTTTGTATGGCACCGCAAAACATACAAGGCCACGGGTGATCAAGTTGACTTCAGGGTCGAGACACACTTCACTGGCACCTTGGTCCTCATATGATCGAGCAGTTGACTTTTTCTGATGTGGCTGTAGCAGCAATGTCATGTAACTGCTAAGTATATATCTTGACAGCACAAGTCCTGGTGTGGGTAGTATCTCGTTAGCTACATAACAACATAACTACTTGTCGGTTTAATTCTGCACGATCCATGCAAGTGCATCATACCAATCACGTTGAATCCAAGGCCGATGTTGGCCGACGAACAGGGAACTTTGAACATGAACACCATCAGCGACGCAATTGGCGGTGCTTCGCCGCCGTGAGATTAACTACTGCGATCAGATCTACCCAGCAATATTGCATGTTCGTGTCACGGCTTAAGGCAAATAGACCAGAGAAATGACCCAATGCTCTGCTAGGGATGGGTAGAAACCCGGATGTCATCCAGCGAGAACGCGCAGAGTTTACGCTGTTCGGTGAGACCCGCTTAGGGCTCGCAAAATCTCGGCGGGGCGGGTGATGGCGGGGATGATTTATCGCGTGTCCGCGGGTGGTCAACGCCGCTCCACCAGCGTCTTCTACTCTGCTTTTTTTTACCTTGCAGTAATCAATTCCCTGCGACTACGTGTATACTGTGCCTATTGAATATCCTCTCTTTAGCTATCCTGCCGAGCACTTGAACCGCAATCATGGAAGAGTCCGCCACACTACCCCACCACCCGAAGCCCGACGAACAACAGCAACAACAAACCGATGGAACGGCCGCGGAGGGCTCTACACCAGCTGCTCCAAGCAAGAATGCGTTGAAGAAAGCTGCCAAAGAAAAGGCAAAGGCTGAGAAGGCTGCCCAGCGCGCCGCGCAGGAACAGGCCCAGGCCCAAGCCAGTCAGGCCGCTGATACCGCGAAGGACCTGTACGGAAAACTGCCCGATAACGACGAATTCCCCCAAGTAACGAATTTCTCCAAATTCGGCTCCGAAGACTTTGAAGGCAAGGAGGTTACGGTGGTTGCCAGAGTCCACAATGCCCGTGTGCAGAGCGCAAAGCTTGCGTTTGTGATGTTGAGGCAAGAAGGAAAAAAGGTGCAGGCTGTGATCTTCGCCCAGGAACCGATTTCGAAACAGATGGTAAAATGGACTGGTGGATTGAATGTCAATTCGATTGTGCAGGTTACTGGCGTCGTCAAAAGGCCTGAGATCCCGATCAACTCAGCTACATTCAGCAATATGGAGCTACACATAAGCAAGGTCTACATGATCGCACAGGCCTCCCAGCAGCTTCCAATGCAAGTCAAGGATGCAGAGCGACCACCACCAGAGTCTAATGAGGAGGGACTGGTGGATGCCGAAGGTGCGCCAATTGTGACTCTTAAGACCCGTCTTGACAACCGTATTCTCGACCTTCAGACGGAAACCAGTCAGGCTATAACATGGATATCCAGTGGCGTTGCTGAATTATTTTCGGAGTTCATGTTGAAGAGCGGTGCTAGATGGATATTCACGTCCAAACTTAACGGATCAGCTACTGAAGGTGGTTCTGACGTCTTTGAACTGGGGTACTTTAAGAGAAAGGCATATCTTACCCAGAGTCCTCAGCTTGGGAAACAAATGTGTATCGCTGGTGATATGATGAACGTTTTTGAGATTGGTCCTGTGTTCAGGGCCGAGGAAAGCAACACCCATAGACATCTAACTGAGGTACGGAGTATATTAAACTCAATTCAATATCTCGGATGAAGCTGACCTTCCTGCACTCTTTTTAGTTCATTGGTCTCGATTTCGAAAGAACATTCCAGCGTCACTATCACGAAGTTCTCAGTTTTGCCGAGGAGCTTCTCGTGTTCATTCTCTCGGAGCTGAAAGTGCGGTACAAGGACCAAATCGAAACTATCCAAAAATCCTACCCCAAGGCGGGTGACTTTCGGCTGCCAAAGGATGGCAAGGCTCTTAGACTAAAATATATGGAGGGAATAGCATTATTGAAAGAAGCTGGAGTTGATGTATCGGAACAAGAGAGATTCGAAAACGACCTCACAACGGCCATGGAGAAGCACCTTGGAAGAATTATCCGTGAGAAATATGATACTGACTTCTACGTCCTCGACAAATTTCCCAGCGCAGTGCGCCCCTTCTACACCAAAGCCTGCCCCGAAGATACCACATTCTCTAACTCATACGACTTCTTCATGAGAGGCGAAGAGATTATGTCTGGCGCACAACGTATCAACGAGGCTGAGGAGCTGGAGGAAGCTATGAGAGCCCGCGGCGTCGACCCCAACGGCGAGGGGTTCCAGGACTATGTTGGCGCTTTCCGACAGGGTTGCGCGCCCCATGCTGGCGGAGGCCTTGGGCTGAATCGTATTGTAATGTTCTTCTTGGGTCTGCCTAATATTCGGTTGGCCACATTGTTCCCTCGTGATCCTCAGAGGCTGCGGCCATAGATGGATGCCACTGGTTAGGTACCTAACTAATGACTTAGCATAGCTAAAGGGTAGGAAAAGGACTGTAGCGCGATTAGATAAAATAACAAGAAACAAAATTTCAGAAGAAATCAATTGAAACGCATCACAGAGTAATCAAACGGAACTTCATGCGTTTGGCATGAACTGACTGGCGGGAATGCCAATTTTTTTTAGTGTCAAAAAAGCTTCAAGCTCCAAGAAACACTTTTGACAGCTTTTGATAGAAAACCATCATTACAAACCACCACGGTTTCATGTCCTTGGACGCAATGTCCATAAAACGCAAAAATTTGACGTTTGACAGCTCTCCAGACGCGAAACGGTCTCGCATTTCTGCTGATGATGAACAAGGCGAGGGTGTAAGCTCATCATCAGAGTCAATTAAGGCTACCAGCAAGTACCCGCGCAACGATCCGGTCTTTGGTCAGAAACACGCGTTTCCAGGCTTAGAAGACGAAAACGACGACGAGCTTCTCTACGGTCCTCCCGAAGATGGCCTGGAATATCTGCGCATGGTTAGGTGAGTCGCTTCTCAGGCCCCCCTTTATACGCTATCCACTGGCTAAGTTTTCTCTTCTGCCTTTTTCTTTCTTGCCTTGGTTTAGATATGCGGACGTGAGATGACTGATGATTATTTTCCGCACCCTCCTCTACGGGGCGCTATTTGATATAGATCTGAAGCGAGGACTCTGCCGTCTATTTTTATTGCACCGAAGAGCGTAGAAGGTAACAGGGAAGACCTCAATGGTGATAAGTCAAATGGAGAAAAGCATGAAGTTGAAACAAGTTATGAAGGGTGCTACGCGAATGGTGTCTACGTTGCGCTTCCTACCACCACTGATGGAGCTGTTGCGTTGCAGCAGGCAGACAACATCGAGCCCGATCCCCAGGAGGTGTATTACAACCTTCTCCGTCACCGATTTCTCCTCTTACGGTCAACTTTAAAATGTATACCTCCAGCCGAAGCAATTGCGGCGCTAGATTCACAACATCCGATCACGTTCCCAGATGACTCTAAACGAGCGCGATTCGAATGGCGCTTGTTTGTACAGAATGTTGACCCACAGATGGTACAAATTGCTTGCATGGATCCTGACAGTGTGCTGCGCGCAATTGCTGTTGTCACGCGACTGATATCTGATGCTGCTATGAGCGGCGAGATTGCGCGAGTGACGAGGTTGGCAGCTTGGGCGTGGGGGCTTCTAGGCCGGTGTCGGGAGGTTGGGGAAATGAGCAGCGAAGAGGTCGCGGATATTCGAGAATTAGGGAAACGAGCGGTGAAGATTTTAAATAAGATCAGAGAGGCAGAAGCGCAGAATTGCCCCACTGAGGCGGCTGGCGAAAACGGAGGGGGTATGATAGATGAAGGAGGGAAGGATAATGTTGCTGCTGAGAACAGTCATGATGCTCAGACCGGACATCAAGATGAATACAGCCCCCCGAGCGTCTTCCCTGAAGAACCGAACCAACTTCATGTGGGAAAAGTAGCAGCCGACTCCGAACCTACTACAACTATGAACGGCACGTTAAACGAAGCAGACGAGCTTGAAGCCGCCAAAGCGCGGCTAAGAGCTAGGCTGGCATCTGTCTATACCGAAAGTGATGTTGACGCTGGGAATATTGAACAAGAGACCAAAGATAATGGTGAAGCTGTGGGAATTCGCAACGAAACGCGCGCAATGCTGGACATGATTATCAGCGTGGTTGGCGAATTCTACGGTCAGAGAGACCTTCTAGAATCTAGGGATCTCTGGGAAGAAGGAGATGGTGGCTGGTAGTTAGATGCCAAAGAGCGATGTGTACATGAGCAAACAATGGATATCTATCGTATAAGCGCTGTGGCTTAGTATCTTTTGTAGAGTTCTCTGGCTGCCTGTTGCGCCCTAAGCTGGGCGGCGTTGTGTCATTGGTGCCCGTACTCTCAGGGACCTTTGGCGTCAAGCTCACCAATTCATCAACACCCTCACGCCCCGGAAAACAATCCCAGGTCGCCGCACTCGCGAACCACGTTGGTTTGTTTCATTTCATTCTAGATCGGTATTTCGGAGACGTCTTACAGATATTGTATTTCTCATACCCCTTGTCTTCGGCAGCTATGGCGCCGCCCATCGAGTTATCCATACCAACAACAACTATCTCTAACGGTCCCAAACCCTACACGATATACAACGTTGCAATAAGATTACCTCTCCGCTCATTTACTATCCAGAAGCGCTACTCCGATTTTACCTCTCTTCATAGTCTACTGGCTGAACAAACCACCCTTCCTCCGCCTGCTCCACTCCCTCCAAAATCATGGCTGTCGAAAACCACAACCAACCCTACACTCCTCGAGGAAAGAAGAAAAGGGCTGGAAGCTTATCTTTCTGCTATAAACGAGTCAGAGGATTCTCGATGGCGTGACTCTAGTGTCTGGCGAACGTTCCTCAACCTCCCAAGTGCTGTTCTGAGCAACACCCCTTCCCGAGCAGCGAGTCTACATGCTGCGATTACTGGTCCCGGTGCATCGCCCATAACAGACCCTACAACGTGGCTGGACTGTCATAGGGATGTTAAGTCCCATTTGCATGACGCCAGGCTACATCTGACGAGAAGGGATCAGGCCTCTGCGCCTCAGAAGCAACATGAATGCTCTGCGCAGGCAAAGAGTAGCTTGGTGAAAGTCGGAACTATGCTGGCGGCTCTTGAAGATGCGTTGAAAAATATGGGAGATAAGTCAGGATGGGGTGGGGCCAAGCTTGGTGACGGAGAACTGCGACGACGGAAAGATCTGCTTTCCAGTGCTCAAAAGGAAAAAGAAGGACTGGAGAATCTTCTTAATGCTATGGTTGCGAAGAGTAAACTAGACTCTGCCGTTGCGTCCATTAATGATAAGCAGGCCCTTGTTGGGACCAGTCAAAATAAACCCAAGGTTGGGAGGATCTTAGGCAAGGAAACCGATCAAACACGGCAGTTGGATAACGACGGTGTACTGCAGCTACAAAGACAGATTATGCAGGACCAGGATGATGGTGTTGAGGAGCTACGTAAGATTGTGGCGAGACAGAAGGAACTCGGCATTGCCATTAATAATGAACTCGAGGTTCAACATGCAATGCTAAACGTCGTGGATGAAGATGTTGAGAGGTGCGCAATACATAATCACACCCATGTCCAAAAACATAACTATAACCCCTTTTTAATCATCATTATAATACTCATCATTCTAATATAATTTCTAGAGTCAACCGCAAAGTTCAAATTGGCCGGAAGAGAGCCGATAAGATATCTTAATGGGGGTGGCTTAATCACCACATTTGCTTCTATTCTACATCTAAGAATTGGCACAGCATATTTCATGAGCGATCTGTAAGAGGGGCATAGGGGAGCTAGGTTTTCATGTGTTGATAGAAATGCAACTATGGAATATACCCAAGTTATTGATTTGGTTTCGCTTTAGACCCCCGTTCGCAAGAACACCAGTAATGATGGTGGCAGTATAGAAAAATATCTATACTGGGATGAGATTTGAGGATAGGAACTATGAGCGGGGTTAGTTAGCAAGAATATACGCGAAAAGTGACAGTACTTGCCTCACGAGCCTCTTCCTCTGTGACGTCTGATATATCCAAAGACTTTTTGTCAATCAGACCCAATCTATTCTTTCTAATAAGCCACCACATTTCTCTTCTATCACCCCCTAGCTGATCATCCAGTAGCCTTTTCTTCATTTCCCGAATAAAGTCATTATATAACCCTGGTTCTTCGTATGCGACCAGCTCTTCCCTCATCGTCCCAATTGCCTCAATCGCTCGATCGTAATTCATATCACCAAGGCTGTGTTTAATCTGGCCCTCGATAATGGAGGACATCTGCTTGACAGCATCCCCGATTGCACGAATGTCTTCTGAATTCGCAAGGGTTTGTTTGAATTCCGGAATAGGGTTTTCAGGTGAGATCCGAAGCCGCTTCTCGCCACGGAGAAGTTCATCAACGTTTAATCCTGAGAGTGGTTTCTCCGCATCCCTATTCCTCTTTCGACCTTTCATCTTAGGAGGTACTATCAAATGTTAAGATTAAACTCGAAAGGAAATAGGGAAAGTTGCAAGTAAAATACCCTTTTTCACAGCAGACGCTACGATAAGATCATCAAGCGAATCTTTACTCTTTTCAAGTATACTGTTTGCCGGCTTTGATAGTTTTTGCAATACTTTAGGCAAAACTGGGAGAGGTTCCGTCGGATGTATCGCTCGCCAACGAATTGCCTGATCGATTCGATGGAGAAGTGGAGAAAAGCAATCTTCCATTGCCATGGACTCGTCTGGATCTCTATTTAATTTATTAGTAACATAGTACACTGACGTATATACCAAACATACCCGCTATCATCAAGTTCAGAAAGATCCATATCCTGGACGTATTTGCCCATAGTATCAAGAAGATTCTGACTAGGTAAATTTCGATGTTCTGTGACCACTTTACCAGACACTGTGATGATCTTGTCCAATGGAGGAAAACGATACGATCGTACGTCTTCGGCGAATGGCAGCTGTACTTCGAGAAGGCATTCAAAGTCTGGCTCAATCGATGGCGCAAGGAGGACTAGCAAAGGGGCGTTGCCATTTTTAGCTACTAGTCTGCCAATAGCATAACAGTCTACTTCAAAAAGGGCGTGGATTATAGCCGATAATGCGAGGATTGCTTTGTCGTTTGTCTTCTGCGCTATGATGACGTTAGCGGTCGACATATTCATATAGCGATCGTACTAAAATAAGAAGAGTCAGTGAGAAAAGACGCCAGGATTAGGGGGAAGGGCCATACATTTCCACTGGCTATAAAGCCTATAAACTCTAGAGCAGCTTCTGTATCCAATCTTGTTATATTCTCGTCAGATGTACTAATGTGTACGGCAGTGCGGCCGTATTCATATCCTTTAGCAAGATCCTCTCGCTCAACGTCCTTTTTCCCACTAGGGGAAGTTTTGTCGTCCACCTGGTAGGAGCGCACGTTCCTGACGCTTGTTAAGTTACTGGTAGAGCTTGCGTCTTGATTGCTTGATTCCAGATTTTGTATAGTCATAGAAGAGTCTGCAGTATCATGTTCTTTGGATGTAGCCGTTGAAATAACAAACGCACTCGCTGTAGGAGGGCGTGCTACATATGTCCGGTAGTATCTTTCCACTTGTACCGTTAAAGCGGTGTCGTACGCTACAGAGTCCCCTAACTTTAAATCGCCTTTGAAGGAGGGTATCCCCCTTACTACTTTCACTCGTGGCGTAGCCATTTCATCAATCGCCTGGGAAATAGTGCCGTACATCCCTTCGCAGTCCTCTACCAGTTGTTTGAAAAACGACTCGTTTTCAGCCTTGATATATTAGTACTTTGAGCGGTTTAAAGACATTTTTCTCACTCACCTTCAACGAATTTTTATCTTCTTCCTTAAAACCAGATTCTGGATCATCAAAATCAACACCCCTAAGTTTGTTTAGGGCTATTCCGAGTCAAAGTAACGCAACGCAAGAACGTACAGAATAACAAGCTCAATGCCTTCTTCTTTGATTTTTTCAATAATCTTGCTTGTATCATCGGTATCCATGGCACCTTTACCATTTGTAAGAAGGATTATTTTCCTTTTGTACTTGAGACGTCTGCAATACCGCACAATCATGTCAATACCCAGAACAATCGAAGATATTGCTTTGTTGTATTAGCGGTGGCTAGGAACTTTATTTAGATCGGATTAATACCGTCTCCTTGATTTGTATTGCTTGGTTTTATTAGGTTCCGAAGATTACGGATATCAGGCATCAACATCCTGGGTAGCATTGAATCAATCTGGTTTGTACTCAGAATAGCACAGGTACACATACTGTCCAAGCTCCTGATATACTGATAGATGTGCATAACTCTGATCGCCGCTATCATTTATTATGGGGTTTAAAGAATCTGGACAAGCGTCAAGCTCCGACTAAGAAGAAGAGTATGGAATTCTCTTACCATCTGTGTTTAGGCCTATCACCCCAATTGTGGCGGTTTTTCGGCCTGTAGCCACCTGTATAGTATATGAGCAGTTGTCAAGGAGAACATTTCAATGCTTTTAGGGTGAACTGACAGTTGTCGTAATTTTATCCCAAGTATATAGCATCGTCCAATCTAAATCAGATATGGACCTTCCATTATGGCATTCACCCATGGACTTCCCAACATCCACAATATACACAGTTGCCTCTTTGTCAGCCATTATGCTGAGACTGTGTACTGATTAGGCTGAGAATAAGACAGAAATACATCTGCAGGCTCACCCGGCACCATCAAATCGTACTTCCAGGCAGACGCGTGTTACGGAGTCAGGTTAACACGAAAACACATGATATGACATCACCTGGATGACTCAGCTAGTTAACTAGTTAACTACGGAGTAATTTAGCAAGAAATGGACTTGGTTATCCCAGATTCCTCTCTTAAAGTCCCCAGTGATTACCTATTAACGACATGGCGGGCCAACACAGCACTCTGGCACAATTCCATATCATTAGGTATTGCCATTTTGCACCCCTCTTCTATAATAATACAACAAAAACTAACCATTCCAGCTATGGGACGCTACTTGGTGCTCAAGCTTATCAAGTATGTGTTGAAGGCGACCTCATACATGTGTGAGCTAACAACTCTCCAGTCCTTTATAGGCGGGATTGTCGCCTATAAAAGTCTTCCTCGACCCCAGTTTGCTACCTTGCAGGCGTCGATCTTTCCGATATACTTTGGCCTACAGACTTTTTTCCCGCTGGTGGTTGCTGCCACTTATCCGGGTGAGCATTCGTTGGGAGTTTCTGGCCCCTCGGGATTTGCTGGTGTTTTGGCCGATGGCCACGGCGTGTCTACGCTGCTACCACTGACCCTTACCTTGGTCGGCGGCCTCGCAAACTTGCTCGTTTTTCAACGAGCAACATCTAAAATAATGGGCCAGCGGAAACGGCAAGGTTGATCATTGTTTATCTTGGAAATTTATCCTCCTTCAACTGACATGTATTTCAGAATCTATTGATGGGAAAAAATACTATGAGACTGGTCCGCATTCGAAGGAGATGATTCAACTTAACAAATCCTTTGGGCGAATACACGGCATTTCGACCTTGGTTAATTTTGCAGCCTTAGCCGCCACTATATACTATGGCAAAACTCTTGCCGACCGTTTGGTCTAATTGGGTTTATACATCTGGATTGGCGTTGGTCGTGAAATCCATAATCGATTTGTGCAAGTTGTATAACCTGTAACATAGTCATTACTTCTAACAATGGTGGATGATATTGGAGGATTTCTAGGCGGCTTCTTGGTCCTTCATTTTTTTTCCTAGGGGCGTAGGTTGTCACCTACGCTCTCATGGGATGCCGGGTTTATTGCTGCCAGTGAAATACTCGTGGCCTTTTTGCAAAGCCTTGCCTTCTTCACTTTCTTGGCTGGAGTCCGGCCTACAACGCACCTGCTTTGTCTCTTTCTTATTTTAACTTTTGTCTTGTCGCTTCCTTATAAAATCTCGGGTGATTGTTCTGTAAGTCACTTCCAGAATTCAATGTGCAGCTCATTTTCATTGGAGCTATACGCAGCATAATGTTAATGTCATTTGCGTGCGTGGGCTACGCAACATTTAAAAAGGAGATTTGTTCCTTTTTGTCTTCATAATAGGTGAACCCTTTTATCTTCATTGTTGGGTACTCACTATTGTGGTGGCTCACCATTTTCCATCAGCCTTCAGGGTTGTTCCGACTCCTTGGTTGAATCTGTGTTTATACGATCTCCATTCCATAGTATTTCTTCTCTTTTGTGCACCCTTTTTGGCTCTCTTTCCGCTTAGAAGCATTTCATGCAAACATTTTCAGGTCTAATACTTTTTTCTGGCTGCGATCGAGTCCCCATTTTGATGCATCTAAACCAGACGCCCATTACTACGCTGACCTAAAAACCCGGAGAATTGTTACCTTGATCCCTTTCGCTGGAGGCAACTCTATCAATTTACGCAGTATGTTCTTGGTCCAAAGAAGATATTCCCCTCTCTTTTTCCTCGGCTATGCTTTTCTAACTAGTTATTCCTTCGTAGATCTTCCGTTGGCAAATACACGGTTGGCATGGATATTATTGGATTGCTAGTGTTTGCGATATCGATTGCGTTCTTTGGGGCGTACCAGACAATTCTATTTACGAATATTCGTCCCGAAATAGACTTTCCTCTTCGGCTTCGTGGGGGGTTTCGACTTGGCTATGTGCTTGATCTAGTTGGAGACGCCTTCAATCTCCGTACCTCTTCAGGAAAATCTGCATCAACATACACAATACCATCTACTTCCTATACTCACACAACTACAACAAACCCACATGCCAATGCCCCAACCTGTCCTTTAAAACCAACTATATTAGTGGAGAATCTGCCTCTCACTAATATATCAGCTTCAAACATATCTCTTATTACTAAAAAGCTCCGTTTGGCAGTCGAAAGGCCCATGGAAGCAGCCAGACGCCTGGCCAATTGGACCAATGAGGTATGGAAGCTTTCTACCGGTGCTCTCGAATGGATTTTGTCAGCATCACCAGATCTCATGCTAGCGTTTAAGTTAGCTGTGTATTTGTTTGTGGGGTGTGTTGCGGTGATCCTGATTGGGACTACGTCCATTTTTTTGGCCGCTGTAAATCGGGAATCCAAAGTGATAGGAGCAGAGTTTATGAAAAACGCTGCCGCAGGGAGCAATGCAATTTCATCCGTAATATCACAGGCAAACGCCCAACAAGGCACGTTTGAGGACGCGATGGAAAACCTGAAGTCAGAATTGAACCATTTGAGAGATCAAATGCGTAAGAAATTTCTCGAGGATGAAGAGGAACTTACTGAAAGGGTTCGAGAAACAGAAAATCGCCTCCGCTATGCGAATGATCGATCCCGTCAAATAATCGAAGCTGTCATCAATTCATCACGGAAAATAGAATCTGGCTTTCTTTCTTCAGCTGCAAAAGAAGAACTCTTTAATAGACACATTATAAATACCAAAGAAGAGCTGAAGGCCGCCAAGAATGATGTTTTGGCGAATGTGATGGAGCTCAGAGACTGGCTCACAACGTTTAAGAGAGACTACGAACATACTATCTTCGAATTACGTGATGAAACTATTAGGGACTACATGGAAGCCTTTAATATAGAAAAAGCGCGACTTCAGAATATGATTTCGATCGCACGAAATACCATCAATGAGTCTTCTACAAAGCATGGAATCGAAACATTGGCCGAAAAATTACGGAGTCAGCACAGTGAAATCAGAGAACAGATTTTGGTTGCTCAAGAAGACGCTCGTACAGTGGGGGAAAAATGCAAGGGGGTTGCAAGTTGCATACCCGCACTCAAGAATATCGTTGAGGATATGAAGGTTAGTTCACCCTGGGTTTATACTTTATAAAAAGTATGCAGGCTCCTAAGTTGATGACGGTAATTTAGGACCAGCTATCCATGCTTGCGGAAGACGTAGCGCAAGTCCAAGGTAATCTTTTAGGAACAAGGAGGGAGTTCCTTGCGAGTCAGCATGCATTGCTCGAGGCCGACGCTGCCCGAAAGTCCCAATGTGGTGATGACGAAAGTTCAGTCTCCAGGGGAAGACGTTCTCGCCGCTATGATGAGTATGACTTACTCGAGTCAAGAGATTCTGGTAAGGGTAAAACGCCGGCAGTGGCAGGACCAGTTTCGGTGGGAGCTTGGGAAATGGAGCATGAGGAAGAAAGCCCGGGTTTTGATACCGAGGAGAGCTCGAGCGAGTCAGCGGGGTTGGGGCAACAAGCAAAGCGGAAGTGTGTCAAGGACGACCGTTTACCCATTGAATCAGATGAAACAGCTGGGGATGACGACATTCAAATTATCGATATTAACCCGGGGCTGCAGATTAAAGAAGCGCCTACCGACGATTTGAGAGTAACGAACGATATTCCAACTACTCTGCCGTCTAGGGTTGAATAGTAGGTATGTCATTGAATAGTACACTACTCGATTGCCTTATCGAAGCTTCTTAAGATGTGAACAGCGGTATTGGGAGATGCATAGCTCACCCTATTCCAAAGAAATGAGGTGTTTTAACGCTAGAATATCCCTTGTGCATTCAACTTTAGCTTTAACGAGGGATTCCGTTCCATTTTTGCATCATGCCATTATTAAAATTAGGAACCTTAAACATCTCGAATTCTAAGAGCAACGGTAAGCCTACCATCGATTAGGAAAGGGTGTTCTAGCGAGCTGCCCTTGAGCCGAAAATAGGCTATATGTAGCGGACAAGGCCATCAAAGTACCGTAATAGTATTACTATCTCTGGATATATGTAGTACTGGCTAAGGCGATTAAGTGCATGACTGTAACGAAATAGGGGTAAATGTAATCCGCATAACTAAGGCTTAGTTTCACTCAGCTTATCTACGCTGCTGTAGAATTTTGGTAATGGCTCCAACTTTTGTCGCAATACCCAAGTGCGGAAATGCCATATGCTATTCTTAATTTGATACATGGCATGTTTCCTTGTAGGCACTGAGAACACCTGGTCCAGCTCCTCGAGGGTTAGGGCTAGAAATCGATGCTATGTTAGCGCAGATCAAGGAGTAATAAAGATAAATTGGGACAAACCTTTCGTTTCGGGCACAGCCAGGAGTACCAAGAACCAGCCGATGACACACCATCCAGCGTACCATGCAAAGGCTCCCTGAGGTTTGAACGCGCTGAGTAGATGAGGCCAGGTGAAGGAGATGACGAAGTTAAAACTCCATGTCACAGCAGTGGCCCATGACATACCCACTTCACGCACATGTAGCGGGAAGGCTTCAGCAGAATATGTAAAGGGCACGGGGCCTGCGCCGGGGGAATAGAAAACTTCAAACAAATACAGACCCGCCGTCACCATTCCTAGTCTCGTCTTGCTTTGGCTGTCGCCTGTTTCAATCCAGAAAGAGAATCCAGACCAAAGCAGCCATAGAGCCAACCACGGAAGTGTGAAGAGGAGAAGGTTTCGTCGACCCCAAGTGTCAATCGTGAAAAATGCGGGAAGAGCGAATAACCAGTTCAAAATTCCTGTACCCATCGACGCAAGTAGAGCGGATGACATGCTGAAACCAGACTCAACAAAAATAGTAGTAGAGTAGTAAGCAATAATGTTGACACCGCAGAATTGCTGCAGCCACATTACGATGGTTGATGCGACAGTTGCACGAGCATTTCGAGGCACAGTGAATAATTCGACCAGCATGGAAAAGAAATTTTTACCCCGGTTTACTTTTCTCTCCAATTCAACTCCGACATACGCGTAATAGAGGTCACGAGCGGCCTGGAGCTGTGTGGGCCGGAGGGCACAGAACGACTTAAAGGCTTTCTCGATCTTATTATGCTCAATGAGCCATCTGGGAGATTCGGGGCAGAAGTAGACCTGGACGCAGACTATAATTGGAAGAACGACGGTTGAACCAAGCATCAGCCGCCACGCAAGGTCCGGTTCGAGCCCGCCGAATGCCACGCCTATTATATTTCCAAGCATAATCCCAAATGCCGTCCACCTGAAGATATATTAGTTCAGAGATTTTTTGTTTAAAAGGTCGTTGAACCCACATTTGCCACATCATCACTAAAGCACCACGAATGGGTGCCGGGGAACATTCCGCGGCATATACTGGCACTGTCGACGATTTTGATCCGATTCCCAGACCCAGGAAAAAGCGAGCAAGGAAGAGATTGACCCAGGAATTAGCCAGCCCTTCCCAAATTGATGCGAGTGCTGCTATCACACATGAAATAAAGATTGTTCCACGGCGGGCCGTGTATCGATTCAATGGCTCCGTAAGCCAGCATCCAAGGACGGCACATGCTAGGTAAGGCGCACCGACAATCAATCCCGTCAAATTGTCAGCCATTGCTTGTGAGAATCGTCCGCCTTGGGAGTACGGCTTGATATTGAATCGCTATCATCGTGTTAGTGAGGCAAAAATGGCTCTGTGGGGATCTCCCATACTTCCAAATATAACCTCTGGGCACCGTTGTTGACAGTCTCATCCATGCCTTGCACTGCAGCCGCAACAGCACACATAACTATTCTCCGAAAAGCTATGATTAGTCTGCATGCACGGTGACGGGTGGTGGTGGCACCGATACATACTGGTTAGGTGATACAAGGCCATGGGTTGCGACCATTTGTGCGTCTGCTCTCGGGTCAATGCCTCTCTATCCGCATCATCCAGCTCCGGCAAGTCCATGGCGCCTTCGGGATTTTGCGACACCAAAGCGCCCTTTTTAAAGGTCTCAACATGCTCCGTCAGGTTGAATTTTTTGCAGAATTTCTCTACATCAGCCAACAACTGCTCACGGGACAGCTGTGCCAGTGGGTTCTCGAAGATAGCATTCAGTTTGCCAGGTGCGGCTCGACTTTCGATTTCGTAAAGAGCATTATGGCCCTCAAGTTTGGGACTCTCATCTTCGGTGGTCCGTTTTTCGAGCTCTGTCATCTCGTGAAATTCGTGAAATTCGCGATTAAACTAAGTAATTAGTCTATAGAACGACCATAGGGAGTACGCTGCCCAGAATTCCAAGGCGGATGATGGATACTCCAAGGAAGCCAAATCTTTAGGGCTGGAAGAAGCTCTACGATTTCACAGTGGGGTTATCTGCCCTTTTATGAACCATAGAGATGTCACCGGTACCAAGGCAGTTTAGCCTATATCATGTCCTTGATTCCCCAGAATACCGGGATAATAATACAGTTTGACCACAACATACGCCGGAAAGGCCATCCGAGTGGCCTAAGAAGCGTGGAGGAGAAACGGATTTTTGGCCACCCACACAGGCTCTTCTAGGATGAGAAAGGCAAAGCCATGACGATCATTCCCACAGCGGGGAAGGCGATGTGCACGACAATCCAAGAAGAGCCTATCATGTGGCGTGTAGAGTTAACCGCTCAAATGTCTTGTGTACATGATCTGCAAATCTGAGGCACGTTCAACCCGGGAGCTGAAGTAGGCCGTATAATTTATTTCAGCTCAAAGCAACAAATTGCATCACTGGTCCACACCAAGTACAGAGTAGAAAGTACTTCTTCTACCTGCCCTTTCACGTAGATGAAACACCAGCAAGTCAAAGGCCCGGAAATGGAATGCCGCTCAATCGCCTTTCAAACTCAACCAATGGCTAGGCGGAGTTATGTCAGAACAAGGATAAGTTGTCCAGGTCTTTATTCGCATCCACAGATTGCGTCATAGTGTCAGCCCAAGGCTTTTGCGATGCATATGCGCAAAGTGCAGCTAAACACGAGCAGCACAATCCAGTAGTCCCGAAAATCCCTCCTTCTCCGGTAGACGTCCCCTTCCATTATTACCTTCCAGCGGTGTAACAGTTGATTCGGTTGTGTGGACCGAACAAAACTGCATCATTGCTATAGTTTTTGCAGGGCCGTCGTTTACCCGAAAGCCAGCTTATGTCATCATGTAACTAGTTTAATTACCTAAGCTAATCTTATTGTTTGGGAGTCACATGTTATTTCACGTGTCACGACTTAAAACCTTGTCTCAACCTCCACTATGAAAACAGAAGGAAGAAAGGGGGAAACACACAACCCAGCGGACAGCGCCTTCACAGCCACAAAGGAAACGGTCTGAGAATCCTTGTTGTTGATAGCAATTGCTGAAAGGAGGGTCTTTCTTCTTGCTTGCCGTTTTCACCTGGACTTGGAACCTCCTTGCCCTTCATATGGATTCTCCAGCATCATCTGTCCACATCTTTGCACCGATAGCTGGGTTTGCCTGGCCTTGCGGATTATTGTCAGAGTCCTACTGAAGGCAGACAATTTTAGGAGTAACTGAAATAATTTTACTCTTAATGATGACATCTGTATGGAGAATAACTCGTTCTGACTTACCTTTGGATAGTCGCTGCCTTCCCAATGCCGCAGTCATTGGGATGTATATACATGCCTGCCTTTGAATGCTTACTGCCTTCCCAGTGCCATATTTTGTAGGGCGTACAGGCATACCCGGCCCCTTCCACATTAGTACCGTCTGTTTTTGCTGCATGTCTACCTTCTGAAAGAAGGGACATTCCATGATGGCCTTTGATGCCGCCAAAGCTGTCGGCCTCAAAGCAGGCCGCGGCCTTTTTTCATTCCGCGCGGGTGTGATATCTCCTCGCGCGTTGCCTCTTACCTTCCTATCACTACCCAGTTCTTTCCGTCTGGCAGCTTGTAAATCCTGCCCAAAACGGACAGTTCCATTCACTTCCCCATTGCGCCTGCCGAACTCTTCGCTTATTCTCCCGAGCGCGCCTTCCGCCGCTCAGTGTAAACAAACACTTTCTGTTCTCTTTCTCTTCTTTTTCTCTTTCATCTCTCATCTCTCCATCTCCATACTTCCAACCATCATCTTCTCACTCAGCCTTCCACATCGTGACACTTCTACGCTGTTACTGCCACTTCTTACAGCCATTACATTACCTGTGCTTTCAACTGCTTCTCCTTCAGGATCTCCAGATATACCACAAAAACAAAACAAAAACAAAAACAAAAAAAATGGAGCCAACAGTGCTTGTGATGCTTTTTGCCGGGCTCACAATCTTGAGCAGCTGGCTCTCTGTGCCGTTGACATCTCTTAATCCACAAAGACCAATGGCAGAGCGACTTGCAGCGTCATTCCAGCTCACTGCTGCCGCACAAGGTGTATCAACGCTTTGCTGTCGCTTCAATCAGCCTGAGTTCGACTTTTTGAGCGTGTTAAATCAGACGCTGCCGTTTACTACCCCTGAGCATAGGGGGTCTCATGCTCCTAGCGTGGCAGAAACGCAGGCTGAAGAGTCAACGCCCACAGCTATGGTGTCGAGCTTGTTAATTCCAACGCCCACCGCCCCTTTTGGAGGTGCCTGTCACATTATGTACGATGGCGTCTTCGATAACGATTCGGAGTATCCTGAGTGGTTTCTTGGAAAATTGAGATTGCTAGTCGAAGAGAACATGCGGCGGCACCCTAATATTTACACGGTAGCCACTGTCTGGTTCTTCCTACAAGTTATTGTGATAAAATGCTTTTCTCGTCGGCTTGGCAAGCTTACATATGACTTTCTCGAGTTGCAACGTCAGCATCTAAAAAAATCTGGTGTTACGTCGGCCCTAGAACCAGTTCGAGAAAGATTGGTCGAGCTGGAGAGTCGCGTCATTGCAACGAACGACAAGCTAAGCTCTCTCGAAGGACGACTCAATGACCTAATGGCAAACATCAGCGAGTCTTCGCCCCAATTTCCTAAACAGATGGAGAATAACACAGACGAAATTAAAACCCGGGTAGATCAGCTTGTCACTCAGTTGGAGCAGCTCCAAAATCAGGTTTTCAACCTTACCAATGTTTCTGAGACGTCACAACATGCGACTGAGATCGAAACCCGCAAAAGGTTTCCGCAGCCATTTGAAGATCGGATCCCAGAATTGAAATTATCAACTGAGCACTTTGAGGAACGTTTGGAAACCAATGTTTCGGAACTTGAGAGGCGACTTGAACATTTGAATAATAGCATAAATGGTGATATCTCTAAATTGTCTTCTCGGGTTCAGGACCTGCAAACCAACTTTAATAGGTGGAAGGAATCCATGGTGTCGACCACACACTATGCGAGTTTAGAAACCGACTTCCGAATGCTCAAACAAACAGTGGACGCAAATAAGTGGGCCTTACCATTGGATGAAGTCAAGGACAATATCGGGTGCTTGAACCAGGAGTTCCTCGAATTCAAGGAGAGTTCGTTTGGCTTAAAATCAAAACAGGATAGATTAGCCAGCGACATCAACATTATTAGTCAATATATTACTCAATTACAAGCCACCCAACCGTGGAAACAGGCCGACGCCGCGGCTGATTCGCATTCAGCAATAGTTGCTGATATCAAAAACGCAAAACAAAAAATCGAAACACTTTCGAACACCATTCGATGTACGGAGGATACTATCGATCTCAAGTTGAAAGAATCCTCCAAGGAAATGGAGCGTATGTGGCGGGTTGAGCTTGATAATCTGCGTAAACAGAGTGCCGCCCTTGAAACGGTCCACATACTATCCACTCGGGTGGATGAATTGGGAACTCGGGCTGAAAGTTGCAACTCCGAGATGCTAAAGGTCAAGGAGATAGCAAAAGAAGCAGAGAATTCAGCGATAGGCACCGAATTAACTGTCAGACACATTGAAAGCAAACTTCTAAAAACTGCAAACGACATTGAGGGCTGCCGCCGCACACTAGTATTTGTCGACAGAAATTTGGTCAAAGTTGCTGATGAAACGGGAGTTACGCTTATTAACGAGTTTGACCCTCCCTCCAAAGCCGAAGTCAAGGTAGAAGAACCTCAAATTCCCCATCCTGGGCCGAAGGAGGCGAAGCTTTTGGCATTGCAAGATTCTCCTGCCTCTAAGGACTCTGACGCACAGCGACAGCAGTTCGATAAAAAAGACGAGACCCCATCGACTGGTTCTGCTCTGTCAGAATCTAACAAATCCCTGAAAGAGGCAGAGTTAATCGTCAACCCACCCGAGGCCCCAACCCCGGCGTCCGACGATTCAAAGCAACCCGGGCTCGAGGCCAGTAAATGGGCCCCTGCCAAACCAAAAGAATCTGAGAAGGGCCATTTTCAGGTTAGTGAATCGGCGACCATGACGCGAGATACACAGCCTGAGGAATCGGAAGCCAAAACATCTATTACTACCGACCCCAAGGACCTCGAAAAATGCGGACTTGGGGCTAGTAAATGGGCAACTGCAGCACTTGACCCACGGCCTGTGGGCTTAGAGGCGAGTCAATGGGCTACTTCAGATCCCCCCAGCTCCGCCGGTAAAAGCCAGAAAAAGGGCAACTCCTCAAAAAAAGGCAAAAAGAAGTAATTCTTCGAATCTGTCAGTATGTAGTCCCCCTGCCAACCTTTTTCCAAATCATTTCAGGCTAACATAAATTCTCCAGGCTTTATACCAGGCTTTGCTTGTCTTCCAGTAGTCATGTAAATTGTATGGTAAATTATTCCAGCATTGGATCCCGTATTGTCCGCTAATATGGATTATAGAGCTATCTTCCCCCGGCTTACATCCCTACCATGCTGTTTCAAACCATGCTTTTCCTTTAAAAGTCATGTAAATTGTATGGTAAAGTATTCTAGCATTGGATCCCTTATTGCGGGCTAATATGGATTATAGAGCTATCTTCCCCCGGCTTACATCCCTACCATGCTGTTTCAAACCATGCTTTTCTTTTAAAAGTCATGTAAATTGTATGGTAAAGTATTCTAGCATCGGGTCCCTTATTGCCCGCTAATATGGATTATAGAGCTGTGTTCCCCGGGCAGAGGCCCCAACCTACTACCAGGCGATCATGTAGCCTTTCTAGTAATTACCAGTATGCATACTACTGGTCACTAGGAACTGAATGGCAGCACATGATCTTTCTGTCGGCTGTGTATGGGATCCGAAATCATTGGGGATTTTGGATTGTGTCATCGGGCGTTTTAGCCGGTGGCTTCTAGGCCGAAGTGTGGAATCTGTTTGTCCCACGACGGTCTAAAGTATACATTTGCTTTGACGGTTAGTACTGCTTTTTCCTCAATCTCTAGGACACCCACTGACTTTATAAACCCCACATTGAGCACAGGCTAACTTTTAGGTTCTATACGTACTTCGCACGGTCAAACAGATCCACATTTTAGCTTCGACTAAACTGGTTGAAAAGTTCAATGATACGATCCGAGCTTTCTGACGATTTTGGATCTTGTGCTTGGTTGGCGGGGAGATCATGTGCTGCTATTCGGATCCCAGTGACTAACTAGTGTGCATACTGATAATTACCAGAGAGGCTACCTGGTCGCCTGGTAGCTTTGTACTTTGGTGAGTGTATGAGTGAGAATGATGTTGTGGCGATTTTGAATTCTTCGTGGTTTTTTGACTATGCTTGTCTCAGCATAGTTTGGGAAGGAAAGATTTTAGGGACTCGCTTTTATTGTTTTCTCTCCTTTTTGCTGTTACATTGAAATTTTCTATCTGCCCAATGCTGTGTGTTTCCCAGTGTTCGAAAATTGGCTCTAACCCACGTTATGTCTATGTTTGTCTCAGCATGGTTTGGGAATGTTTTAGGGGCTTGTTTTTATTGCATTCTATCCATTATGCTATCAAGTTTTATATCCACCCAGTGTTACATGGGTTGTCCGGTGTTACACCCACCTTTATCAGAAATCAGAAGTCAAGGACCTCAAAATAGAAGGCTCTCATCCTTATTAGTCAAATAATTGTCTGTAATTCTCCGAAATGTTGTTTTTACACCCTTAACTACTAGATTCTAAGGCCCATTTCTTGTCGTCTAAGTCGATAAAATGTTACTCACCCTGGTCAAAAACATATTTTCTACAAGCCTGTTTGAGGATATCCATTCTCCGCTGTGTGTGAACAAATACCCGTCGATACATCTCTAAGCTGTCATTGACAACCTGTCTTCTAGTCAAGGTGCCAGCACATATATCGCGCATACGCAACTCCATTTCTTTCCGTAAAAATGGCTTGCAGAGACTGGGACAGTCAGCCAGATCGAGTACCAAATCATTATATCCTTCAACCAAGGCCACCCCAAGCTTTGTTGGAATGAATTCATCCACTGAATTCCGGCTATTTCCATTGCGGGGCCTAGTTGCAACGTATTCACGTTCTTTGATGGTGTGGATGTGATCTGCCATTGTAGCATCCGTTCCGATGCCATTAGCATCCATGAGGCCAATTAGCTCTGGCTCCGTGAGATAATTTGGAGACACCGTTTTACCGTCTGTGATGTTTGCCTCTTTGGGCTCAAACATTTCACCAACAGTGAATTTGGGAAGTTCCTGGCTGCTTTCCCATTTGTCGTATACGTATATGTCAAGATAGTTGCGTTCTAAAACGACAAGTCCCTTAGCATGAAACTTCTCGTCTCCATAGTCAATATCAACTTCGCTTGTTTCGCCTTTCGCGTCTTCGGAGCAGCAGGCGAGAAATCGACGGACGACAAATTCGTATATGCGTCTTTCATCAGCGTTGATCGCTGAAGGGGCTACATATGCCACTGGGTGAATTGGGGGGTGGGCTTTGTCGTTGTGGCGACCTGAACGCGGTTGTTGGAATCCGCCGTTTACTAGGCTATTAGCTGTTAGCTCATTTACGACGTGACAGTTATTTGAATTACCTTTGAGCATATTGACCCCATGTCGTATCTTGAACTTGCTTTTCAACAAGCTTTCTCAAATCAATCGCTTTGTCAAATTGGTCTGTTTCGGTACGTGGATAACTTATGAACCCCTTAGTATACAATGTTTCTGCTATCTATCAAGAATTAGCAAGGGCACAGAAGCGTAGAAGTATAATATTCGTACGCACTTTCATAACCTTTTTACTATCCATGCGAAGAAATTTGCTGCCCATCATTTGCAAATCGACAGTCGTCAGAGGTAGAGGGCGCCACTTCTTCGTAGGCTTTTTGTTAACCTTTATAACCTTCGCTGTTTTGGCATCTAAACATCTTTCAAACAATACAACCACGGCAGCTCTATCAAATAAATGACCTCGGTTCCAGCTAAAGTTTACCGTCTTTCCTTCCCGGGCATGTGAGACCTTTATTGACCAGAATGGCTCTGGTTTGAAGTTCTTTACTCGAAAGTACCGATCGACGACAAACCCCAAAGTGGGAAATTGGCACGAGCCTTGGAAATATCAGAACTTGTTCAAATAAAAATTACCAATGAAGCCTTACCGTAACTAATCAGGCGTTTGCTGAGAGGATCTCCTAAGGTACCAAGTTGCAGTGTTAAAAGTCGTGTAAAGGCAGCTCCTATCCTGAGATCCAATTCAATCCTAGCGGCAACAGCATTAGCCAGTCGCTCATCAAGATTTATCGGGTTCTTTGCTGCTCGCATCACATGGCTAATGGGTGTTAGCAGCAGTGTCCAAGATGTAGGACTATTGAATCGCTAACGCTTTCTCTGTATTACTGAATTTGGCTCTCCTAACTTCAATTCCAGGGTTACCCTTAATAGCTTCGGTTCGTACTTCTGCCCCAATATGTTCTCCCTCACGATCGCAATCAGTCCAAATAAAGAGAGCATCCGCCTGTCGTGCTTTATCTCGAATATTCTGAGCGATGCTAACTCTCTCCTAAGGACGATCAGGATCAACATTTTGTCCTTCTTGAGAAACGGCCAGAAAAAAGAGTCGTACTTTAGCTACACCTTCAATTACAGGTGCATCGAAAAGCTGGGCAGGTGGGCAAGACTGCCAGTGCCTTAACTGTGGTTCAAAGTCTAGCTCTGTCAAATGACCAATGACGCTGGTCATTGTGACCGTAGAATGGCCCCACGGAGGGCCAAATGCAAATTGAAACTCATAATTCTTAACATACTTATTGCCGCGAATCGATACCTAAGGAATTAGCCAGGTTTCTATCTTTCGGGCCATGCTCTCCCCACCGTTCTGACTGAACCACCAGAAAGATGCTGAGCAACCGCCTTGGCGATGGCAGGCTTCTCTGCAACACATAAAACTCTAGCACCCATAATACTAGCGCCACCACATATGCGCAGCGCGCCTCACTTAGCTATGGCTCATTGCGACGGCGTTGTAAGTCGTTGGACGTTCAATTGCGCAGTTGCGGCGCGTGTGAAGCGTGCAGACGCGTTAAGCTCTTTAAGCGCGGACGCCAAGGATCCAGCTCCAGCCTTGGCAGTGCGACTTTTTCGTCAACAAGCAACGAAACGTTCAAGCGGCTTCGACCAGCCGCCTCGACTCCGTCCAACGGCCCACCATGGCACTGCCGACTCTTACATCGTTACCCGATTGTGCGAACTTCACTCTTAGCGTCCAGCCATTTCTCTCTCAATTCAATTCGCTGCACACTCGGGTTCTTGAAGCAGGGCGGGATTTTGAAGCTCTCAAATCTATCTATATCGCAACAAACCCTCTTGTAACCGCTGTCGCATTCTCGCTGTTTCTCGTGCCGCTGCTCTTAATCGTGTCAGAAATTAACAGAAATTACTCTCAAGTCGATCGTTTATGGAGCATTCTTCCCTCTGTCTACAATGGCCATTATGTTCTGTGGTCTTTCATGAATGGTATCTCGACTGAACGCACTTGGACTATCTTTGTCTGCTCCTCAATCTGGAGTGTGAGTCTCTCAATAAATTTTCTATTCCATTGCTTTTGTACGATGCTAATAATTGAACAACTAGGTACGTCTGACTTACAATTATTGGAGAAAAGGCGGCTACTTGATCGGCTCTGAAGATTATAGGTGGACAATTGTGCGCGACAAAGTCAACAATGGTTTCATCTTTTTCCTGTTCAACATAGTATTCATTTGTCTAGTACAGTCCCTTCTTCTCTTGTCAATCACCACCCCAACCTATATCTTCCTTCTGTCAAGCACCGTCAAATCTACACCGGCATTCGGATTACCTGATCTCGCCTTTTCCCGGGCTATGATATTCTTTATTGTCCTCGAGTATTTTGCCGACCAACAACAATGGGACTTCCAAACCGCCAAACAATCCTACCAACGAACAGCTAAAGTTCCGCCAGAGTTCAAAGATGTTTTTTCAGCCGACGATCTCAACCGCGGGTTCGTCATCAGTGGACTTTGGTCATGGTGTCGCCATCCCAATTTCGCTGCGGAACAGGCTGTTTGGATCACACTATACGCATGGTCTTGCTATACGACTCAGACATATGTGAACTGGAGTGGGATCGGCGCGTTATCATATGTTTTGTTATTCCAGGGAAGCACAATTCTTACCGAATCGATTACGGCTAGCAAATACCCTGAGTACGATGATTATCAGTACTTAGTGGGGAAGTTCATTCCTATTCCATGGCTAGGTTCCGGGCATGAGGCTATGTCAAAAAGGAAGAAAAATTCTCACAAAGTCTCGGACGAGAAGAAGGTAGAATAGCTGGGTGTTTTGAAAGGACAAAATAGTCTGTTCGCATCGCCGATTATATGCTGAGACCTTCCTCTCATCCTATAGGAAAATTGTTGCCATGTAATTTATTGGTTATCATTTCTCAATACTATTGTATCTCTCAGTAACTCCATTCCCTTCTCCAGTATTCTGAGACACACCCTTAAATCACTTACTGGTGGGCAAGGATTCGGCACATTTCCCATAAAAAAGCTCTTACGGAAGCTACGAGAAAAATAGAAAGGAAGATATCACAAAATGCTCACTACTATACAGATAAACATACCTGACGTACTCCAAAATAATGGGCATACAAGGATGAACAAAAAGAACACCACATGAGCAGAGATCTAGCCACAAAATGTCCAACATCCGTAAATGGTACAACACACATGAAATGCCATCAGAATGCTTGTACCCTGTGCTTGTTCCTCCACTTTGCCACGCCAGCTCTTGTGGAAGCTATTTTATCTTACCGGTATTGAAAATAGGGCGAGGCTGAATAGAGTTTGGAATGGAAATATAAGGTAGATATTGGGTAGACAGGAGAAAAAATGCAGAGGGGTTTAGATTGTACACACAATACATACACGCCGGACATGAAGGGGGGATAAAATGATAGGGGCTTATCGAAGTGGTTAATAAATTCTCATGAAGAAGGGCTATTTTCCGAGCCCTTTTCGGTCATATTTGGGCCTTCTGTGGGTGGTGGGGGAGGAGCGATCGTTCCTCCGCCTTCTGTTCCATCAAAATACTTCGCAAACTCTCCCGACTCAGGCCACTCCCGCTTACCAAGTAAGCGCACAAGATCATCGCGAGAAAGAACTTCTTTCGACAATAGTTCCTCAGCGACAAGACGGATTTCCGGCATTTTTGACTCTAATAAGGTACGGCATTGCTTATAGGCTTCGTCGACGATACGTCGGACTTCAAGATCGATGTTCCTGGCCGTTTCTTCGGAGAAGGGTTTGTGTAACTGTTGCTGGTCTTCCTCAAAATACAGGTATCCGATCTTTGAGGACATTCCAAACTTGGTAACCATAGCGGTCGCTAGGCGAGTGACCTTGTTAAAATCATCACTCGCACCGCTCGTTACAGTGTCAAAATGAAGTTCTTCGCTAACACGGCCGCCAAGAGTCATTGCCATGCGGTCCATAAGTTGGTGAACATTCATCAAATAGGTATCACCTTGGGCGGGTAGGTATTGGGCATAGCCTAGGGCTCCCTGACCACGAGGGATAATGGATACTTTCAGGAGCGGGTCTGCATACTTGAAGTACCAGCCGCAGATTGCATGGCCAGCTTCATGATAAGCAACAGTCCGCTTTTCTTCTGGTGATAAGACGAGTGATTTTTTCTCAAGGCCACCAACAACTCTCTCAATCGCTTGCTCAAAATGCTTCATGACAACACTAGATGCGTGTTCACGTGCAGCTGTAATGCTTTAGTCTTTATTCAAAAGTTTTGACAGATTTCAGAGCAGTACGTACCAACTAAAGCAGCTTCGTTCACACAGTTAGCAATGTCGGCGCCAGAAAACCCAGGTGTTAAAGCAGCAAGTCTGCCCTTTAGATATTCCATATCCTCATGCGTAACAATCTTTTTTAAGTGAACACCGAAAATTTGCTTACGACCATCCATGGTGGGCCGATCAATAGCAATATGTCTATCGAATCGGCCAGGGCGCATCAGGGCTTTATCAAGAACGTCGGGTCTGTTGGTACCAGCAAGAACAACAACCTGCTCTGAGGTGTTGAATCCATCCATCTCTGTCAGAATCTGGTTGAGGGTGCTCTCCCGCTCATCGTTACCACCGCCGAAATTTTGTTTGGCTCTTGACTTGCCAATGGCATCGATTTCGTCAATGAAGATTATGCAAGGAGTGTTTTTTCGCGCGTTTGCGAAAAGATCACGAACACGAGATGGCCCAACACCAACAAACATTTCCACGAACTCTGAACCGCTGACGCTGAAAAATGGAACGCCAGACTCGCCGGCTGTGGCCTTCGCTAGTAGTGTCTTACCGGTACCTGGTGGGCCAGAGAGGATAGCACCGCGGGGAATCTTAGCGCCTAGCCTTTGGAATTGTTCAGGCTTTTTCAAGAAGCTAACAAACTCCATGATTTCCACCTTGGCTTCATCCATACCAGCAACGTCAGCGAATTTAGTCTTGATGTCTGTCTCATGGTTAAATCGTCGAGCCCGGCTTTTGCCAATTCCAAAAATACCACTTTGTCCGCCTGCACCGCCAGCCGCACGCCTTGAGAGCCAAAAGAAAGAACCAATGAGCAATATTGTTGGGCCAAATGACATCAGGGTGGCTAGCCATGCAATTTCATCGGAGTATGAGACGGGTATTCGTTCAGAGCTAGGTATACCAAGTTCTCTCTGTGCTTCATCCAGCCTTCTTTCAAACGACTCGACAGATCCAATGGAGAAGTAGTAATAGAAGTTGGGTCGACTGGCGGGTGAATCTGGGTACATGCTTGCGACCGCTTCACGGTGAAGCTCAACGCGGACTCTATTACGGTTCACAACTGTAAGTTTCTCAACAAGCCCCTTATCAAAAAATGTAGTTCTGAATTCCTGCCACGTTATATCCCTCGTTGTATCTCCAGGAAAGAGGCTGCGGTAGATATAATACGAAACAAAGGCACCGATTACTAGATTGAGACCGTCGGTTCGTAGTTCAAAAGGTTTAAACTGCTGGCCTTGCTGATTCTGCTGGTTTTGCTGGCTTTTTGGTTCACCATCCTCTTGTTTTTTCGACTGTTCGTCGTTTGTCTTTCGCTTTACGCCAGAACTCTCGAAAAAATCGTCTTTTAGCTCGCGATTCTTCGTAGCTTCCATCAACACCTTTTTGCTGAGTACTAGAAAGAGTTTCGAAGCCGTCGCAAGGGAAATGCCATTTGGTCGATCTAAGGTGTCCATTAGCTCCTTAACCTCAGGCGGAAGTCCATTCTTCTTAAAGTCCTCCAAGCCATTTTCGATTGATTTTAATTGCGACGGCGGACTATGCTTCCTTGCCAAAAGAATCAATCTATCAATCTGCTCGATTTCTTTCTTGCTAGCACGATACTGCGGCGTTTTCGATTCCGCGCCGCTTGCCGGCGGTGTTGGTTCGGAGGAAGGCGTCTTGTTGCCATTGTGATTCGAGCCTGGTAATTGCTTATCTGACGATTCCTTATTTACTCCAGATTCATTCTTCTCATTTTTTCTATTATCACTCGGTGGCTCTGGCTCGCCAGGGTTGACTGTGGCGTATGTTCGCGAACGATGTACGGATATGAACGCGGATAACTGAGATTGCTGAGGTAAACGTGGTCTCGCGCTTCGTGTCGCAAATGCCGCACACTCTGCTGCTCTCCTCGAGTATCGAGCGAGATTGCCTGGCCGCCGCAAGAAAGTGGCCATGGTCGAGCGAGAGGGACAGGGTGGTCGGCTAATGGAATTGATAGCAGTAGGTCACGGAAAATATCAGCCTGGGAACCCGGAAAAAAACCCCCATTCACCAAAACAGGCATTCATACAACAACACAGACAAGATGCAACAGACCTCACGCATCACCCTCGTCGTGGAGGTTGGTTCCATCTGCGGAAGATCGCCGGCTCTCTGAATTTTCGCCCAGATGCTGACTCATCTGCCCAGTGGTCCAGAGCGCCAAGACACATACTTCATCGAATCGCCACTCAAGAGAAGCGAAGAGTGCTGAGTGAGCACAATTGCGGGCGTGCTGTGGACCTTACGACTTACGTTCAAATTGACTATCTTCTACTGGAAGCTGAGTACAGAGCGAACCGGCTCGCAATTATAAAAAAAAGAGATAAATTGAAAGAAAGGTAGGCCGAGCCCCTATCATCAGCTATAATACATAGATACATAACAATAGAGAAATAGTCGGGTACACTGACATTTTCGAGTCTTTGTAAGAAGTATTATCCTTCAACAGAGTGGGGAAGCAGTAATAAGCGCGTCGGCAATCGTAGGCCATCTGTCCCCAGCACAACAGGGCAATTTGTAATAATGGGGAAACAATCCCAAAAGAGCTTGCGCCGCCGTGAAATGTAACACTCTGCAATCCGACCAAAAGAACGCCGCTTAAATTAGAGAATCCACCAGGCGTCTACCGAATCGAAACGCCTTCATCTTAAATCACGTTACCATCCATCTGGTCATCCATCCATCACAGGTCGCATTCCTAGTCCAAAACACTGCACCGCTTTTAAAAACCAACCTTTCACACGCGTACAATCGAAAAACAACATGTTTCTTTGGGATCATTATGTCGATCCATCATCTCCAAACTGAAAGTTGTTGTTGGGCATTTCTGCCCAATCCCATTCTAACGTCATTGGCATTTGCCATAGATCCTGCGGGACGAAGGGTTGCTGGAAAGCGGAGATATCGATAGGCAGTGGATCTGCAGGGAAAGCTTGTTCTGAGGTTAGGGTTGCTGTTTGGTTCAACGTTGGACCGCCCAGTAGTCCCGAGAAATCCTGGTTCAAGCCTGTAGTGCCTTTTGGAAGAGTTGTTGGGATGTTCTCTGCTGTAGTAGCTTGAAACATCGGTTGCTGTTCCGGTTGTGACGCCGGAAAACCGGCCATGGCTGCAGTTGGCGGCGGACAGTTATTAGGGGCTGCCATATATGGAAATCGCGGAGATGTTTGGGTAGACTGGGGCATCACTGGCGGTGATGTGACTGCAGACAAAGGGACATCGGTGCCGGACTCGTTTGGTGTTTCAACAATACTATTATCGTCTGCAGTTGCCTTACGCTTTCTTCTGGCCTGTGACTCTGTCTCCGCACGGTCGAGGACCACTTTAGCAATTCTTTCAAACTCTGAGCAGACACTAAGCATGCGTTTCACACTGCCATTAGATTCGTCCGTCGCAAGCTTTGACAGGAAATTCACAACCAAATTCATCAGCTTCACATCTGACCGTGCCCGGGCATCTAGTGGGTTTTGAAGAATATTTGCGAAAAGGGTAACAAGAGCAGAAATGGGAAAGTAAAGAATCAACCTGTGGTTTAAGTCAGCCTTACAGTCTAAACAGAGCTTAGAATTCTTACCAAACACAAGCAAAATCGCCTTGCGGAATGTATTTTATTAAATTGATCGATGCCCTAGCAGCAGAAACACACAAAACGGCCGAAGAAAAGACTCTTGGGTTCAGCGGCCTGGCGTTAAGTCCCTGAATTGCATAATTTGAAAGACGGCTCGTCCAGTATCCATGGTGTACCGACATCCGATGGATTGTTGTCAGGCAGTTATAGTAAGCAAAATGGAGGACGACTATGGGTAGGATCAAAGGTCGATGGGTAGTTTTGATTTCATACTCGGGGCGGAAGTCTAGGGGGATGCTGTCCTTCCAGTCTTCGAGCTCTCTATCAAGCTCGCCGATCGTGTTTAGAAGTTCTCCATCTGACTGACGTGCGGCTTTCGTGGAGTACAGCTGCTTGTAAACTTTGCTTTCGATGGTTCCGAAAAGACACATTAAACGGAATAAGTTGACCTTGCTTTTACCGTCTGAAAGAGGCACATTTCCAATGTTGTCGGGAGGATCTTCACTAGGAAGCTCGACATTCATATCGTCATCGTCTTGTACTGGTGGGCGCCCTGAACGTAGACAGATACTAGAAGCCAATCAGTAAATGTAACCATCAAAAATAATACACCAAACCCTACTCTTTGTCCAGCATATATGCTATCCAGAACACTCGTTTCCGTTGTTCAAGCTCAACTGGGTTCAAGCCAAATCCGGAGCCTCGTTTATGTAGACCAATACTGTGGGAGAGGCGAATGGCAGCAGCAACGAGGAAGAAACTAGGCTGAGGGTTGGGCGTTCCTTGTAAAAAGAGAGCCTACGATATTAGACAAGGCAAATTCTCAAATCACAGAATGACAGGTATCCACTCACCATCCCAAGGAGTGCTTGCACACTCAAAAGGTCAGTATTTCGCATAGTAAGCTCCGTCAAAACGCCCATAGCATTTTTCAGATATAGCCAGGCTTTCTTATCTTCTTCTTGGGGGGCAAGATTGCTCATGACTCGTAAACGGTGCGCTATGGCTAGGGCAACATTGATGCTTGCCCACCATCCCGAGCCTTCATAAGGGTCCCGTGAGTATTGCCTCTCCACCAAGTGCATAAATGTTGGCTCATGAAATAATGGGAAAACACAGTTGAAATTCTCAAAATAATCTCGAAAAAGAGATAGGGCTTCGTCTCGAGGTGGCAGAGGCTTGAATACTCGTCGAGCAAATATGTCGCTAAAGATTTCTGGTTTCCAATATATCCATTTATTATCGTCTATGTAGGCGGACGATATCATGTCCTCAAATGAAGAGTCACCGGTCTTCTCATTAACCCACTGTATACCTTTCGGGGAGAAAATCGAGAATCCAGAAGAGGACCCTGCAAATACGTTAGCATAAGTAAAAAAAAAAAAAGAGGCGTTTAACAACAGCATGTACCAATGTATCTAGTCTCCCCACAATTAGTAGTGACCAGCGAGCACATCATATCCGATAGTGAATCCAACTCAGCCTCCGACTCTTTCTGAGAATCCGGTGAGCCTGCAGGGCTCCGCGGGCTAAGATTCGACTCGGCGCGGGGGGTGGAATGGTGGGACGATGGCCCAGGCATCATTGGAAGCGCAGAGCTAGGTATGGAAGGCATTCTCGACGGCTGTGATGCTGAAATTACAGACCTATCTGCAAGCCGCCGTTCCAATGTACCGAGATCTGTCTTTCCACCGTCCACCTCTGATAGCAAGCCGGACAGTCGCAGCAGAGATTCCATGCGGCCCAAACGGTTTTCCAAGCCTTCAATATATTTAGCTCTAGGCCAGACAGCACAGTATTAGCATCGTTTGACACAGATAATTGAAATATACATGCTAAGACGCACGAATAAACATACCCTTTTGGGGGGTTTCTTTTCTTTTCGACCTGCGTAAAGATGCATTCCGTCTTATAGTTGATGCAATGTGAACATTTTGGCATCTTCCCATCGCACTTGATCTTCTTCTTGCGACACATATCACAGGCCTAAAAGAGCTCGTTCGTCAGACACAACAGCTTCCAAAGCAGGCAATGAACGACAGACCCTAGCAATCCTTCTCCGCTTCGCATCGTTATTGTCTTCCAACCCCCCCATCATCTGCTCTTCTGAGTACACGGATCCCATTGTGGGCGGGGCTGGAGAGCCTTCCGAATGGCCAAACATCTGCGGCGGCTGACCTGCCAGCTGCGACATATCAAAGTCAGGGCCATCTGGCTTTCCGCCGCTGAACTGCTCCATGAGCCCGAGCCGCCACGACCTAAGATATTGCCAGATGGCGGATGCAACCTGGGCCCGGGCGGCCTATTCTTGCCCTTTGACTGCTCCGGAGACGATCCGCAGCAAGCACTGGTTTGCGGGGCGAGGAGGAGGAACTGTCTATCTGCACGTGGGGCCGGTGACAGATAGACGCGAGGGTTTTGCGAGGCCAAGGGGTGCAATGGGTGACGGCGTGAGAGTCCCAGCGGTACTAGGCGGACAGAGATCCAAAGCGCGGGAGCAATTCGAGATATGGGGCGTTGGTCGATGGAGGCGAAGGTGGTAAAAAGTGGTATGTAACTAGCTACGCTGTAGATGGCGTAGAGAACTAACTACGGAGTATCCAAGGGCGAAAGCTTACCAGGTGAACTCAGTCGGCAACACTCTGCCAACGGCACAAGCTCGCACGCGCAGGGGAGCCAGGGCACGACATCCAGAAATTAGTCAACTATGACAGCGGCGCCCCCCCCCCCTATCACACAGCCCAGGAATCTCCCTTGCTCCAAGAACCCGTCCGCAGCCGTTCCAGAGAGCCCGCCGGTGATCTATGGCTTGGCATCGATCCAGGCGAAGATCCGGTGTGGATGAAGCTATTATTATTTCTTTCACAGCCAGTACGACATTTGGCCTGATACGGCAAGCTGCCCGGGGCCTCGAGCAGCTCGGGCGAGCTGGCGCGCCGCGTCTCATTGGCAGCCTGCGCCCCGACTGTGGGAGCTGTTGAACGACGGCTCGTTGTCTGGCGCGGGAAGATGGATCCTGGGAGAGGATCTGGAACAACAGCCCGCTCACGATGTAACTGATAGACTGACTGGCTGAATACTTACACTACTAGCTAACTATACTGCTACAGAGCCAGGGTTCAGTAGACGAGAGCCGTGCAGACTCGACGGCTCTCGTGCACCAAACCAATGCCGCCAGCCTGCCTGTGCAACCGAACCGGCTCCCAACAACAGCCTCCAGACGCGCAGACAAAGGCGGCGCCAGGGATTAGCAAGTCGGTGAGAAATTAATAGGCTTCGACCGCTGCTCCATCCTCAGCCACGGGCGGAGTCCATGCGCTTTCAGGCAGGGGAGAATAAGATCATAATGCGCCGCCAGGGCGACCTGCTGTGCTACACCTACAGGCAGCACAGCGTCTTGCACACAGGATGCACGCTGGCCTTTGGGCCCGGGGCTGTTTGTTATTCTTGGGAATCGGCGCTTGGAGCTTCAGGTCAGATTCAACCCAGGGCTGCGATCGCACCTGGTCACTCGCCGCTCGCTCCCAGGAATGAATCATAGCTGGCACCGCAACCTGCTGGTTCTCCTTATTTTTATTATTAATCCCTTCCGATCCAACGCCGAGATCACTAATGGCCCTGGCGCGCCTTGTCGCCGCCCACGTCCCGAAGACGAGCAAGCTTCCAAGCTTAAGCACGCTCAAACAGCCAGTCACCACGCGGGGCCCAGTCGTTTAAAACGTTGGGACATACCAGGGCTGCACTGCCTGCGTCCTGCTGTAACTCACTGGAACCACATGGTATTCCGCGGGCGTCAGCTCCAAGCAGCGAGCACTGTAAATCCCGCAAAAATAATATGATAGTGCCGTGTCAATCATCGCAGCTCGTGGCTTTCACACCAAAAGATGACGAAGATGAGTCAAGCCGCCGTATTCCCCGTATTCGAAGTCGGGATTGGAAGAAGCTGTCGGGATAGCTAGAGCGAGACAAGGCCCCCGGGGCAGGCCGAAGAACTCTATCAGGTGGGAATGTCTTAGCCCACCATCAAACGAGAACGTCTAGAAAGTCTTTTAGGCCTGCCCCCCGCGCCTCAAGGCAACAGCATTTCACCCGCGCTTGATAGGCGTGGCTGCAACCGGCGGTGCGAACGCGCGTGCGGGCTTTTTCTTGGTTGGTGTTTAGTAGTTGGCTTATCAGCACTAGTTAACTAATGAGCAGGACAGAGTCTCCATCAACTGCCGAAATTGCGATGTGCTTTTTGAACCCCATTATTATTAGCATTGTTCCTTCAGGTCATCAGCGGGTTTTCAAAGCCACGATGATGGCGAGGCCTCCAATATTATTATTTACTCTCCAGGTGTTACACAGCGGCAACATGGATGGCAGGGTGCAAACGTAGACCCACATCGTTACGGCCGCCTGTCGATATTTAATATGCATGTTCGACAGCGTTGTGTTGGACATACGGAGTACATATTTTGAATCCCAGGATACCTTGATAAACACCAGGAACCCGAGGTTCACTAACATCACAAGGAGAGTGGTTTACCACGTTCGTGACTCTATTCATACCCGTGTTAGCACCATGAAGAAAATGACAATTGCTCTCAAGACAGCTCTCAAATTCTGGCCATGCCGGCGGCCCGGCATGATCATTTGTCCGTCTGCCTGAGGCGATCGACAGCAATGTGATTGATAACAAAAATGGATGCAAAGGAAGTATCGCCCATCTCATGGTTCTGTACTACGGCACGTTCAGCCGAGACCGTGTTGATTACCAAGCCGGAGTGCAACGTGACCCGGAGTGACGGATTGGGCATTGCAGAGAATAATCTTTTCCCATTACCCCCCTCACTCGGCTACAGTTAACTGCTACATGAATAATGACACACGGAGAGTCCGATATGGGTCTTCGGGCAACTAGGTGTATAGCCTAATTTGGTACTCTACGCTGGTATGCTGGCTCAGCACCGAGTTTCAGTGCTTGAAATAGAATCGATTATTGTACGGAGGATGTCTGTAGTATTCGTGGTATTTGCAATCCAAATTTTCCTGGCTCCTGGACATAAGCAACACTAGAAGTTGGGTGGTTGGACGAATATCAGCTTAAGCTTGCTACCAATGAAACCACATCACACGGGACAACACGGCAAGTTTTCAGGCAGCCTGTGACATGTTCCCTATTTCTACACCGTACGCAATCTAAATTCCGTGTTTATTCAGCAAAGACCGACAGCAGCCAACAACATCTAAAGCTCATTGCGCAGGCGACGCTCCTTGCGAAGAGCACGGAGTTTAGCCCGAGCCTCGTCAAGTGGGATGAGGCTGCCCTTTGCTTGGGATGCAGGATCGTCGCGGTTTCTAATATTGACGGTGCGGGTCTCCTTTTCTTGAGCACCAACAACTGTTGATCAATGTCAGCTAAGGTGCCTGTAAAGGCGAAGGCAGTTGTAAAGAAAAGAAAAAAGCAAGCAACATACCAAAAATAAAGTTATACTGAGCCAGTTGGCCACTGCGAATCTTTTTCTGTAATGTATTGCCACTGACATCAATATCAACATTTAATTTATCCCCCCGAAGAATTCCCTGGAGCTCCTCAACATAGTCATAGACTGCTGGCATAACAGGCACAATGAGTATTTGTCGAGGGCTCAGCCAGAATGGCCATTTGCCGCCAAAGTGTTCAATCAGAATACCAAAAAAGCGCTCAAAACTACCAATAATGGCTCGGTGGATCATCACGGGCCGAGCACGTCCAGGTCCCGAAACACCCTCATCTGCATCGGGCTTGCTGCTATTATCTTCTTTTGAATCTGCAGCTTTTTGCTTCAGCGATTCGCCTGTCATGTACTCTAGCTTAAAATTCTGGGGAAGTTGGTAATCGAGCTGGATGGTGGCACACTGGAACTCTCTCTTAAGGGCATCCTGGATCGTGATGTCGATCTTTGGTCCATAAAAAGCGCCGTCACCTTCATCTATTTCCCAATCTGAGCCCTTAAACCTGGTGAGAGCTTCTTTTAGTTGAGCTTCAGCAAAATCCCAAGTCTCAAGTTTCCCGAGATATTTCTCCGGTCTAGTGGATATTTTCAACCTGAAGCTGAACCCGAAGAGCCCGTAGATGACGCTAAGAAAATCAAAAAGGCCCTCGATTTCTTGGGTGATCTGTTCCAGTCAGTAAATGAACTCGGTCTGGAGACGACTCAGACGGCACATTACCTGATCTTCGGTGCAAAAAATGTGAGTGTCATCTTGTTGGAATTTTCTAACACGGGTCAACCCATGTAAGGCTCCAGAAGCCTCATTTCTATGGAGCACACCAAAGTCTGCCATGCGGAGTGGCAGTTCTCGATAACTTCTCTCACGGTGATTGAACATGATGCAGTGACCAGGGCAATTCATAGGTTTCAAGGCCCATTCTCGTTTTTCTACTGCAAGTTTAAACATATCGTCTTTGTAGTGGTTCCAATGGCCGGAGGTGCGCCACAGGCCAACATCATACATGTTAGGTGACTGGACCTCTTGATAGCCTCGTTTGCGATATTCCGTTCGCAGCAGTTTCTGCAATTCGTTGAAGATTCTCGTTCCGTTGGGTAGAAGGAATGGACAACCAGGAGAGACGTCGTCAAAGAAGAACAACTCCTGCTCTTTGCCAATTTTCAGATGATTACGTTTTTCGGCTTCTTCAAGGAATTTAAGGTGATCTTGTAAAGACTTTTTGTCCGGGAATGCAACGCCGCGAATACGCTGTAAAGAATCATTTGACTGGTCACCTAAGAAATAGGCCGAAGAGTTCTACCAAAAGTCAGTGGCGAGCATGTAACTCGACTGGTGATTACTTACCTGCATAATCTTCATGGCCTTGATCTTTCCAGTATTTTGGATATGTGGTCCTCTGCACAAATCCACCAATGTGCCACACCGATATACGGTGCTGCTTTCACCTTCGATAAGATTGTTGATATAGTGCATCTTGTACTTGCTATAGCTGAACATTTTCTTTAGATCTTCTTTGGAGACTTCCAACCGATCAAATGATTGTTTTTCTTTAAAAATCCTGGTTGAGCGAGAATCCAATGACGGCCAATCCGACTCTTTTACAACTCCACTGTGAAATATTAGCCGGAGCACTGATATTGAACAATATACACCCACCTGTTTGGCAAGGCCATATCGTAGAAAAATCCTTGCGCAGTGGGTGGTCCATGAGAAAGCATGCACCCATACTCGCATTCCGCAGCCTCGCCTAAAACGTGAGCACTAGAGTGCCAGAACACCTCTCTTCCTTCAGGGCTATCAAACGGGAGGTAGGACACCCGGCAATCTTTCTCCAGCGGTCGATCCAAATCCCAGAGCTGTTTGCCGTCAAGCTTTGCAATAACCACATTGGCACTAAACTCCTTGGGAATATCCTTTAAGAAAGAGCCCGGGGTAGATTCCCATGCCTTGGCAATAACAGTCGCTGGGGAGCCATCACCGATATCGAGAGTGACGTTGATATCGAAACGGGGTCTGCTCTTCAATCCCTCGTCTGCAGCCCTCTTCAACTCATCAAACAACTTATTGCGCTCAACGATAAAGTCTGGAAGTGGTGTAGCGTCGGGTTTTTTCCCCTTGCCCGCTTTCTGCTGAGGGGTACTTTGAGCAGCGGGGGCTGAGCCGGCGGAGCGGTCAGGAAGGTCAGTTTGGACACCCTCGGAGATAGAGGATTTGGAAGTTTCTTCAGCCATGTCGAAGACTCGCTTGGGCTCTGGCCGTTCACCAGCAATCGCTGTTAATTCTCTTCAGTCGCGCAACCATTGATCCTCCCATATAGATGACTTCGAATTTAGGTTCTCCGCGAAAGCGGTGAGTCACGTGCCACTTTTTTTTCACACTCTTAGCCGAACCTAACTTTTGGCGAGGAATGGCAGCGTAACGAATACCAATTCGACCTTTCCAGCACCGCGCTTTTTGCCTAGCAAATTATTGGCATCATGTCCTTCCGAGGAGGCAGCAGAGGCCGTGGGTTTGGCACCGGCGCTAATCGAGGTGGCTTCGCTCCCCGTGGAGGTAAGAATGCTAGGAAGTTTTATCTCGAAACAATTTATCATCAGATGCTGACTAGACTTTTACCAGGACGAGGAGGAATGCAGCAGTCATTTGGCCCACCGGATACTGTCCTAGGTATATCTGAACAAGCTAGTCTCTGCTACGTAGACGGAAAGCTGATTTGGAGCTAGAAATGGGGTCATTCATGCATGCTTGTGAAGGAGAGATGGTCTGCGAATCCATCAACCCCAAAATCCCATATTTCAATGCGCCGATATATCTCGAGAATAAGGTACATCAATTTGCCTTGCAGCGAAAATGCACCTGAGCTAACAGCTCCCGGTATTTAGACGCCAGTCGGAAAGGTAGATGAAGTCTTGGGCCCAATTAATCAAGTATACTTCACGATAAAACCGCAGAACGGCATCGTCGCTACATCATTCAAAGCTGGCGACAAGTTCTACATTGGGGGTGACAAACTCTTACCTCTGGAGAAGTACGTGGTCAGAGAATGCCATTTACCTTACTGTGTTTCTAATATTCCGGTCACAGGTTCCTACCAAAACCTAAGCCACCACCAGGTATGATAGCACTCTTGCTGGTACATTTATGATCATGTCTGATGCAATCATCATAGGGGTCTCGAAACCTAAGAAAACACCCGGCGGTGGGCGAGGTGCCCCTCGCGGAGGTAGGGGCGGCGCCCGCGGTGGACGGGGAGCCCCAAGAGGAAGAGGCGGCTTTGGAGGCGGCTTTGGAGGCCGCGGTGGAGGCGGAGCTAGAGGCGGAAGAGGTGGCGGCTTCTCATCGCGCGGTGGTCCAAGGGGAGGCAGTCGTGGTGGGTTCCGGGGTCGCGGTTCTTATTAATTATCCCTTTCCATGGCGTTCTGGAGTATGTGCGGTTTGGGAGTTCATATATGGATACAATGTCGGCATACAATGCTGTCTGGCCCTGTATTCCAGCAGGGTTGTGTAAAAATAAATGAAAAGTTGCGGTGTGTTGGCTGATGCAATTCCCATGCGACCTATGAAGTAGGATTTGCCTGGCTTGGCTGGCCACTCGCACTAATAAAGCGCTTATGTATGACGTTTCCTCACAGCCATCCAAGGCCTGCCTGTTCGTGGAAACCGCTTATAATCTTGTTGCTCTTCATCACACAATAACCTTCCTTCTCCCACAGCTGGCCATAGCTGTTTCTTCGAGGCTCAGTGCCATTTCCAACGCCGTCGTGTGCTGCATCAATCCCAACCACAGGCTTGGCAATGTCCCGCAGAAGTTCTATCCCCAGCCCAGGTGCAATGGCCACTGCCGGCTCAAAGCGCGAAAACAACCAAAGTCCCGGTCAGCTACAGCAAACCATCTTCACCTACGAGAATTGCAATACTGATATCTCGTCAGCCCAAGATAAACAAAAAATGCTGCTCGCTGCGGATGCAGGGCACTTTAGCATGATCAGGTTTGTTGCCTTTGACATCCCAAATAACAACGCCAGCTCATGCGACCTTCATGATAGGGCCCTTCACCTAGCGGACCTGATCACAGAATTAAATGGTGAGCATGTCTTTGACCTATATTCTACGCTCGACTCTCCGACTTAATACGCTAACTTACCTGAACAGGGTTTTGCGGAGGTGCGACCTTTCTTCCGCTACGTTTCGCTCGACACTCCCACTTACATTGATGCGTTTTAGTAATGTCGATATTTTCCTCCATGCGTTACTGTCTCGGAGATCCATCTCAATTCAAAGATTTATGGATTGCATTGGCGTTCATGCCTTTTGGGCTGTTTTTCGACTTCATGGACGGGAAGGTCGCGAGATGGAGAAGAAAGTCATCGCTTATGGGTCAAGAACTCGATTCTTTGGCTGATTTAGTGAGTGCTCTCGCCATTAGACTTGATGTGGTATGTGGGAGCTAACCACCATATTCGTAGGTATCGTTCGGCGTGGCCCCTGCCGCTGCCGCCTTTGCCATCGGGATGCGCACCGCCCTCGATCACGTCTTCCTTACATTCTTCGTACTTTGTGGCCTTACTCGATTGGCTAGATTTAATGTCACTGTCGCCACTCTTCCCAAGGATAAAACTGGAAAGTCGAAATATTTTGAAGGCACCCCCATTCCCACCACCCTATCAATCGCGGCAGCAATGGCCTACTGGGTCTCAAAGGGCTGGGTGTTAGAAGATATACCCTTTGGAGTAATCGCACGCGGAACGTCCTTTGAATTCCACCCTGTCGCGGCCGTTTTTATTCTTTGGGGCTGCATGATGGTTAGCAGGACTATACATATACCCAAGCCGTAATTGGATTGATTTACGGAAGTGTAACAGAGATACCCGCGCTGCCTATGTCGAAAATCTGTTTTTTGGAACTTGATCCTCAGTATGCAATTTTGCACTTTAGTCTATTGCTAGAAGGTTATGGGAGATGCTGCGTTTCGGTCTATGGCGTGGTCGTCACGACGTATTGCATAATAATGTTTATGACAATTCTTACTAGAAATTGCCCTTAGCTTAATTCAAAATGGGTTGTTACCCACTCAAGTCAGCAATGGCTTGAGTGGGAATATATAATACTAAGAACTTGGGTTAGAGAGCAGGGCCATTTAGTCACGCATGGTGAGCTTGGGACACCTATGAAAGTCTCCGTATTCGCTTTGAGAGCTCTGCGAGTCCTTGATCCAATAAGAAACACGACAATGTAGCTGTTTCGTACGACTACGCTACACATGCGCGAGAGTATGCTAATCTAATACTCCCCTACCTAATAAAATCTGCAGTTTAGTCCTTCTCCCAACCGTTAGTCCCTTTTACGGTTTTTGATTTAGATATATTCAATAGTACTTGATCTCCGGTCCTCATTGTCAGTAGAGACTCAGGTAGGTAAGCCTCGCGGCTTTGATTAGATATTGTATCTGCCAGCGACAAGCGATAACCACTTCAGAAGGTCTCCATAAATAACCCTATGAGTACTCCCCACAGGGGCAAATTCCTGTCATACCTTATATTATATTCACTGCTCGTAACCGCTGTAGGACACTGGCATGAAGAACCCATTTAAAAGGCAAGGTGCAAAGCTTTGAACAACCAAGTTTGAGAAGCTCTGTGGTGAATTGAGATGCCAGCATCTTGAACGACTTGAGGGTAGCTTGGGACGCTTTTAGGGAGAGAATGTCCAACGGCACAGCCACTAGTTAAATAGTGAAGCAGAGAAGACGCCTTGCATTATGTATGTACTGACAAGGCTAAGGACGCCTGACCAGCACTATGATAGGCAAATCGGCCGTACTCAGGGCGGCAGCCACGAGCGTTTGTGCCCCTGAAGCCACACCTTAAATTTCAGGGCCATGCGATGATTTTCCTTTTTTCTTTTTCTTTTTTTTTTTTTTTTTAATTCGATGAAATTGATGCAAGGTCGTGGAATCCTTACAGGCTGCATATGTATAGGGCGTGTGGTGTCCAAGCTCTCTCTTTGCCGGCCTTCACCTATTCCTAATGGGCTGATTTTGTCCACCAACCCATTTAGTGGCTGAGAGATTTCGGGCAGTATTTCCGAGATGGCACCAACAAACACCAGGAGCACAGAGGATTCCTGGTCGTTTCAAAAGTGGCTTGAGCCAGGGGTGAGGGTACTCAAGCGCCCGAAGTCCACTTACTCCTATGATAACGGACTGTAATGCCCATGGCCGTTGTCCCTCTCGGTACCAAAGATGTACAAGATAGCTCGTTGCACGGCGCTTCCATCATTATTGATTTTACAACATGCAGACTTGGTGTCTTTTCTCAGCGGTAGGGCGCGCAACGGTTGAAACCATAGACAAAAAATACAACTGTCACTACGTCTGGACTCTGGTAGTTGGTTCGTGGTCTGACTTGACAAAGGTCGGTATGGCAAGTTTTGAATATATCCTGCCTGGAGAAGTGGCAGAGGGGACGGGAGACGCTGACAAACAGCGCCAGTCACAGAGGAACGGTGTATCACTAGTTGAACGTGGTCATGAACGTGAAACTCACTGACTTTCTTCAAATTAGTTGTGATATTTTAGGAGCCGGAGTCCGGAGTACTCCGTACATGGCCGGAAATTGCTCAGTCAAGCTTTCAACGATGTATCGGGGATACTTATAGGTACACTTGGGGTACCTTTTTAGTATCTTCTATCCATCCCGCCGACTGTTCAGTCCAAAGCTGAGACACGTTTCAATACACATAAAACTGGCAGAAGAATGAGATGTTTGGGCTTCTCTCGGCATTCTCAACAGAGTGCTACAGGAGACATGTCGAGTCGGCGCGAGAAGACGGCCCCTCAGCATAGAGTAGACTTTCCAGAATTCGCCATTTTTGAGAACTTCACGGGAAGCCGAGCACGCTCATGAATTCTGGAGCAAGTTTCGCCTTCATCGGCAAGGTTTTCTGCCAGGGTTTTCGGTAGTATGTTAGAATTTACTAGGGTTGCGCTCATCGGGCGAAGAAACGAAGTCGACAGGTCCACTCGTCACTCGATATTATTATTCTTCTCCCTCTCAGTACAGCATCATTAGTATGTATCACGGAAACGGCATGGGCGGCGTCTGAAGGTCACAAGCAAGTAGCAATCAGATTGCCCGCATTGCTGCACATCGAGTTCGTGGCAAGATGGTGCGACAGCGCCACCAGGCATGGAGAGAAAGGGGAGGAGGTACCGAGCTAGCCTATTATGGCTAGGCTTGTTCCTGGCCCACGCTGCGTATGGAGGACGCCGTACCGTACCGTCGCCGTACCCGACCCCAGAACCGCCATGTAATGTTGGCCAGACCGCCGCCAATCAGAGACGGCGCCTGAGGCCCTAACGGTATCTGCCCCTCCGATACGCGTATCACCCCCGGCTTGGCCAATCAGCAGCGGCTGGCGCGGCCCCTCCGCACACAATACCAGCGGTACATACACATGCTGTACGCGGCGCCGATCGTGTTTACGCCCAACACGGCTAGCGCGGCTGGCCTCGCCCGTGATTCCACCGTCCAGGAGGTTTCACCCATTATTCCACTCCGACTGCCACCACCGCCGGCCAACACCTCACACTCGTTTCATTTTGCTTCTCAAATTCAACTTCTGTCTGTCCTTTGTTATCCCAACTCATGGGCTGCCGATTCTCCCATCAGGTCCAGTTCCAGTCCCTAACCGTGCGAATGGTTTGCTTTTGATTTCGCTCTTTTTTTTCTCTTTGCCCATCCTGTCGACCTTTTGGTCTTGGGTTCCAAGGCCAACCGTGCGCCCTCGTCGACATCTCGCCACTCTTTTGACTATCATCCCTCTTTCATCGCAACCGACCGCCAACATCAATTATCAACGACTTACGAGGCTTGATATTGAGTAGGATCGAGCCTTACGAGTTTATCGGTACCCATACTCCATCGTTATTAGCGAGGAGACGATTATACCCGCCAGGAAATCAGACGAAAGCCACGATTAAATCCAATCGTCGATCCGATTCTTTTCTTGCCCTCCGAACCTTGACTTATCAATAAACACACAAATTACCATTTGCACTCGGTTTTGCTGCTTGGGCAAATTCTGCGCGCAATAACGAGTGACGTACGTCGGTTAAATGCCCACGCTTGCTTGCCCTTCCTCAGTTGTATAAAGGGGCTCCAGCGACGTATTGAAACCGGCCTTTGGGGAAGCCATCGGGGCATCCCACTTTGTTTTAGCATTCCATCCACTCGTTTACCTTATTTATTCTACACTTCGCACAGACATGAGATTCCTCGTATCAGCCGCCACTTTTGCGGCTTCGTTACTATTGTGTGCCCAGTTTTCAACTGCCGAACCCATTGCCAGTGCTGCTACGCCTTCGTCTCCACCCGCACCAGTGACCTCATTGATAGAGAAAGGATGCTACAAATCAGTCTCGTCGATGGAGAGCCAGGGAACGTTTAAATTTCAGTCTCGTGGATATTGCAGAGGTATATGTGTACCCAAGGGCAAACCTGTCATGGCGATGGGGAAGGGTTCGGAGTGCTTTTGCGGGGATAAGCTACCAGCAAGTTCCCAAAAGACGGACAACAGCCAATGCCAAATCAAATGCATCGGCTATAATCTTGAGACATGTAAGCAAACTGTGAAAATGTTTTTTAATAATGCTCCCACTAACCAGATCTCAGGCGGAGGAAAGGATGCATATCAAGTTATACTTACGGGACTAGAAGAAAATGTTGATGCAGAGGATGATAAACCAACTTCGACTTCCACTACCCCGCCAATGCAAACGATAACAAAGTCCGGCGAGACCGTTGTTGTAACAGCTGGGACTACTGACGCCCCGCCAAAGAAGGATGATGGCCCAAATAAGGCTGGCATTGCTGCTGGTGTTGTGGTTGGAGTACTTGCGTTGGCGAGTCTTGCGGGAGGGGCGTTCTTCTACATTAAGCACAAGAAACGACAGGAAGTGATGGAAGAATACCGTCGGAATGCCACTATCAGCAATTTTGTTGCTGGGGGCAAACCGTACTCCGAAACATCGACGTCCGATTCAAGATTGGACCCTACTCTTATGTCCCAGCGTCGACAAAGCAATGGCAGCATTGCCGATGATCAGGACTTCTCCAGGAGAATCCTCAAGGTACCACTACACTATCTCCCTTTACAAATAGAATTTCGTCTAATCTTCGCAGGTTACAAACCCGGATTCTTCGCACTACTAAGCAACCCGGCGCACCTTGCACTTCCGGCCCATAATGCGCCATGTGTATTGTGGATGTTCACCTGGATAAGGACAATACTAAATATCCTATATCTACCGCCATATGTGCATTCGTTACTCTCCATGATATTCTTCTGTCTTCGCTATATCCACTAGTTATTGCTGTTATATCTTTTTTTTTACTATTATATTTAACGACCCCCGCCCGTTGGTTATTTCTCTCTCCGGCGTTTATGGCATCTGAAGCGTAATTACGCGGGATGATACGAGAATTCTTACTGTCTATCCTTACCACCTGACACGTCTTACTCGATTGTATGGATAGCTTGGCTGTGTTAGTGAAATGTCGTGTGGCTTATCCTGGTATTCCTGGGGCTGGGTCATGTAAGATCAGCCAAAAAACTACTACTTAATGTTTCTAGTGATTTTACTCGTATTCGAGTAACTACTGAATACCAAGTACACTGCTCAATATCTTTTTCCTATAACCTATTTTCTTTTTCCTAGCTTCAGGGAAATATACTTCCAATAGGGACACTTAACTTAAGAATCTTATGTGGAAGGATAGATTCGGCGTTTCTGCATGCTTTTTTCGCTTTCTTCAATCTTCACGTTAAGAAATGGACTAAACATACTTATGTTGAACCTGAAGTCTCCAGTACCAGGTGATTTGTTTAGTTATTTCGTTTAATGTTCTACTCCGAAGATTGAATAGTTTTGGGTTTATTCCGCATCTCCTCAGAACGACCATGGTTCGCTTTCCGTCAAGCTCAACCACAATCCGAATGGACACGGGGTTTGCCAGAGGAAATAAAAAGGCTATAAACACATTGACACTTATTCGGTGCCGGAATGCCAATTGTTCCATGCAAATTTAGTATTATCTTTGCTTTCCTGTTCCCATGAAGTTTCTAGAGGACTGACTCTACAGAGTACTTGGAATGAAAAGAACAGACTCGCCAGCTTTTAGTATTTGTGTATGCACCATGCTCTCTGGGTTTTCCCGGCCTCTCATCAGATGTCGCCCTTGAAGAATTTACCGTTTGCCCAACCGGCTTCTATTTGCGCTCTTTTCTATTGTACCGCAGTGTTGTGATGATTACGTTACTCTAACAGTATTGGAAAGGACCTTTGAAGGAAAATGACCAAGGCTTCTTTCTAACGTGAAAATTTCTTCAAGATCCTTCGAACAACGAAAGAAATGGAGGAACACACTCACGAAGTTGACCCAAGGGAATTTTATGCTATCCTTGGACGTGATTCCGCCTAGGCTTGAAAGCCCTCAAGATGCCCAGAGCCCCGATGTTATCTACTTGAGAATTTGTTATCGGGTGTCATCACGGGCACTGAATACTTGCTCTTCGCTACTTGAGCAGGAGGCCGGGGATTTAGGCAAGAGCAAATGTTCTTCTTTCGTACAGTCGATTGCATGCCCGCCAGAACCATTTTTGTTCATCCTTCATCATTGTTCCCCAAACATTTCAACGGGTTTAAGGTGCTTGCTTTCTGCACAACTGTGTAGATAGATAGGTTATGTTGTGGTACCATGCATTGAAGGGAGTGGGATATTGCGGGAATTTTTCAGCCAAGATATATTTGAGAAGACGATCATGATCACTTTATGCCTTGACACAGGAGAGGAGATCTTGACGTGTTGAATTTTCCCTTCCAACGGGTATTGTCGGGAAGAAAATCCTTTTATTTTCGTGCACAGAGTTCGATGGCTACTTATCAAATGGCTCTTTGGACATGTGCCCTCTTCAGAATCGCTTTCAAGCCAAAGCCTCATATATCGAGAACAGCTGTTTGCAAAGGAACGTCAAAAGCTAGTGCAAGAATACGGAGTACATTATCAATGATAGCAGCCGACTTAGCCATTCAGCTAAAAAGGTGAACACCTTATTCGGTGTAGCCTGCCGGTGCTGTTGTCTTTTCCCACACCCTGTCTCTCCCACAAGCGGTTTAAATCACACCCGGAGCCCATCAGCAGCTTCAGGGAAGCAATCATCCGGGCTGCATATATTAATCGTCATATACACCTTTCCTACTTCCCCACCCTTTAGCATCAATTTTTCAAGAATACACCTACACTCATACTATTATATACCATGAGTTGGCTCTATAAAGTCACTGCTGTGCACTAACACTACTCTCTGTCGTCGATGCAGGCCAGTTCATTGCCCCAAAAAAATCTCGAGGACGAGGTTAAGGATTCTTACATCGTTGTTATGAAGAATGATGTCTCCGACCAGGATTTCAACACACATAAAGCCTGGGCGGCCCAACTTCAATCCGCAGAAAATCTTGCTAGGAGACGCACACATCAATTTCGTGGTCCTAGGAAGAGCGATTCCAAATTGGAAAATTCAGGGGGTACGGCGGGTTTTTTACCAATAAGATAGCCAGGCAAATAGCACAGCATAAAGATGTAAGAGATACGAAGCTATGTCCTGAGACTCTGTTGTATCAACCTGATGGGGGTTATATGTATCCTATGTCCAACCTTCCCATCGCTTCCGTCGTGCAGAATCCGATTCCCCAAAGAAGTTCGAAATATCAAAATCACCATTTTCCCAACGACGCTCCGAAGATTTGAAATCAGATGCCTGGGATGTTCAAGATTTTGCTCCCTCCTGGGGTCTCCGTCGAATTTCCCAGACAAAAAAAATGTATTCAGCTACATTTACCAAAAGTCAGCCGGAGAAGGTGTTACGGTTTACCTTTTCGACAGTGGCGTGGATGTTTCCCACCAAGAGTTTGAGGGTCGTGCCACTTGGGGTTTCAGCAATGTTGATAACTGTAAGTTTAATCATGGTGGCCACGGTACCCATGTTGCTGGTACAATCATCGGGAAGGCCTTGGGAGTTGCAAAGAAAGCAAAGCTGGTATCAGTGAAAATTCTTGGTGACTAACCCTGTGGTGTCTTCAATGCCACCGGAACGAAACAAGGCCAAGAAGGCTGCCAGTATGAGCTCAGAAGTTTGCAGTCGATGACATGGGCGCTACAACATGCCCGTCAGCACCAAATTCCCCCAAAGGCCATACTTGTATTCGAAGCCTCAAGCTCCAAATCTCTTGCTCTAGAGCAGGGCCTAGCTGAAATGTCGGGGCTAGGATTTTTTTGTGGTTATCCCCTCAGGGAATGAAGATGTGTGTATGAATCGTCTTGTTTATCTAGTTGGATTGTTAGATTTCATTAGGGACTCGCACACCTGCGCTCTCCCCAGGGCACTGAGGGCGCGTGTGTTATAGCTGCTAGTATCAGGAATGATTCTGCATTATTGTGGTCTAATTACGGCCCGAAGGGTATGTTGCCTGCTACACCTTACCTGCCAAGTGGAAACTAAAGTTCATATTACAGTGGATCTTTATGCCCCTAGATATGAAATCCCTTCGGCCAGAGCTGGAGGAACTGTGATAATGAGTGGTACCTCATTTGCTGCCCCTCATGTTGCAGGGGCTGCCGCATGTATAATGTCTGCCGAAAATATTACTTCGTACAGAGTATGCGACCGACTAAAACAGCTTGCTATTCCAATCATTAACCGTCGACAACTGAATACTACAAACCTACTACTTTACAGTGGTAGCGGCAAGTAGCTGATGATGAATTTATGGCAGTACTTGTAAGCTATTATCTTCTCCGATTCTACTGCTTTGAATCCCTCAGAAAAGGCCGGACGGTTATGGATGTTTAAACCAAATAGGGTAAGAATGGATGTGCAGAAAAACTCATGAGTGTCAAAGCTGTCAGCTTTCGTAAGCATAGAAGATACTTAAAGTATTAATACTTTCAAGATAAAATTCTGAACGATTATATTAGGATGATAAGTACGTAAATACATTTAAACAAGACATTCTAAGCCTACCGTAGAACATACTTTGTGGGTTGCACATGGTACTAAAGAGCCACCGTAGTATGGATGCCCTGTGCATATACAGAGCGGCTAGCTTGCTTGTCTATACGGGGGTTCGCCTTTCCCACCTGATATGACTCGGTTTTACAGGCCCCGAGAAAAGAGATGAGTAGTCAGTTGCCGGTACCCCTTTCATCCCATCGACGTTAAACAGCCTAATGTGGCGCACCATAGTCGCTACAATAACAGTGAGGTTGACATAGGCAAATTTCTCGCCAATACAGCGATGCCGACCTGCTCCAAAGGGGAGGTAGGGGCTGGCCGTGCCCTTGGATACAGCGCCGTAACCGTAGTCAACCATCTCGTCGTTGTCCTCATCCCGATCTGCCTGGTTATTATCCCAGCGATGAGGATCCCATAGTTGGGCATTGGGGAAGTGTTGGTCACTTAGTGCCGTAACACCCGGGGAAGCAAGGAGGGTATGCGTTGTAGGGATAACATAGGGAGTACCGGGAACAGATAATGGGTTTTTCACCTTGCGCATCAAGGAGTGGATGGATAGATGCAGGCGAAGCGTCTCCTTAATGACATTTTGGTGGAGTGGTAGACGGTTTAAGTCCTTGTATTGGATTGGCGCAAAACAGTTGTTAGGGCCGCTATAGCCAAGGTTTGCTACCTGTTCCTGATAGAGCTCCTCAATCATCAGAGGTTCAGACGCCAGCCGTAACATAATCCAGGAGCCGATAGATGAAGATGAGTGCTGGCCTGCCATAAGTAGTGTGATCATCATGTGAGCAATTTCCTTGTCAGGGACTGGGTGTCCATTCTTGTAGGTGCAGCGCATTAAGTTCCAAATCATATCTGAAGACTGTGTGACCTCATCTCCCGCCTGACGTCGCTTGTTTATGATATCCATATAAATGGCACGCATTCGCGCATGCGCAGCATCTCGCTTTTTATTATGCGGTAAAGGAGCCCATGGGAACATGAAATTTATTGGGGTGAACCCCTTGTCCAGGTCATGATACAATTCCGCGAACTCAGCAGTCAATTTTGAACGGACCTCTTCGCCCTGTAGGGCTCGGGCAGCAGTAAAAATGGTAATCTCAGCCATGGCAGCCGAAATATCCACCACACCAGATGCACCGTGAAAATTGGGTGATGTGTCTAGGTAATTGAGCACCTCTGCTTCAATGAGCTGGACATGGGATTCCAGTGCTGATTGGGTCAACCCGAATTTGATGAATTTCTTTTGCTCCATCAGCTTAGAGTTGGGACAGTCGTATACCACATCAGACCCAAATACTGGAGTTGTCAAAGGGCTGTAGACCTCCTCTGCATTTACATCTTTCAACTTGCCATTGAGGATAAACTCATTGCCCTGCACACCCAAGTAGACAGTGATTCGGCGGCCTAGAAGGACAAAGGTGAAAATATCGCCATGCTGTATTGATGAGAGAATCAAATAGTTAGCCAATATTTAAGTAATGCTGTGAAGTGATGAACCCTACCTTCTCGCGACAAGAAAAGAAAAACTTATAAGGATCTATTCCGTAGTTGATTGTGCTGCCCAAAAACGGAATCCAGTGGAAGACTAGAGGGGGCTGAGTTCTGTTCAGTTTCTTAAAAAGCCACTGATAGATGAGATTAAGCCCAATGACCGCCAAGAGCCCGTAGGCTGCAATATTCGCCCAAAAGAACATAGTGGATGGTGTAAGCACGCCCACGTGGATGTATGGTTGAAGAAGACAGTAGAAAAAAACAAAGGCACCCAGTTAGTAGGATGGAACCTGTCAGTCAGCGTTCAATAATTTCCTCTTCCTCCTCGATATCCCCCTCTTGGGACACGGCTTCGGTCTAATAGGAGAACATCGTTGTTATACATCAGAGCGGCCAAGACCCAAGGCGCTGGTTTGGGTCCACTGTAATGATGCTTATTTTATGTGGGGCGGCATAACAGGTTCCGACTGGCTTGATATCGGAAGTTAACCCTATTTGGTCTAGTGTTTCTCGGCAATTCCCTTTGGGAGGTGGCCTGATTTTCTGACAGCCAATCATTAGTTGGAGCTTCGTTAGGGTGGTGCAGCACTGTCGATACAACTGCTTCAGATTAATAAGGTAGGAGCATTGCAACTAACAAAGCTCAGATGAGTGGGACACGGAACAGCTTGTATCATGTCATAAAGCTTGGCGATATCAGGCCCTCACCGCAAGCCCAGAGAGTTGGGGTTGATTAGGCTCATGCGGCTCAGCAGCGATGGCATTTCTGACTTATCGTCGCCATTGTTAAGCTGTGAATTGAAGCTGCTAGCTTCACAGAAAATAATACAAGGAAAGGCCTCATAGGGTAGGCGGAATTTTCTCTCAAAAAGGGGTGTCTACCAGCCAAGCTGATAATGAACTGGCATGATCAGTTCTGGGTTAGTCTTGCCTGTGCATTAGAAGGATCCAAGAAAGGCCACTTACAGAATATCCATTAATCAGGCCAGTGCGGCGCCACTGGAGGGAACTCTGCCTGGTAGTGGAGCAAGTCGCACCGTAGCTGATGCATCAGCGTACTCCGTACAAAGGCAAGCCACCACGAGCCTCATAAAATCTTAACTAAGAAGGCGAGGTCTTTGGTCCTGGCGGGTCGGCAGTGGCTGAAGATAAAAAGTCCGGGCATGGTAAGAGGAAGAAAATATTTTAGAAAATTGTTGGTATCAAGGGCTCTGAATAATAGAAAATTGAAACAAAGGCCAAAGTACGACAGAACAAAAAAGGAAGGATACGTCGTAACGGCGGGCATCTAAGAAAGCTGCAAGAGATAGTTTTGAAACAAATTGCTTAAGCATTTTTTTAACGAAAAAAAGGTCTGTTAAGTATTCATCGCATTGTTTGAAGCCTCATAAATGCCCCAGAAGACTCCCATACACGCTGCTACAAGAAGGTCCACCATTTTCTGCCCTTCATCTTCGATGATCAGCTTGCCCAGCTTCGCGCAGTTTCCTCTCATTCCACCACCAGCTCGCTCCCTCGCGAGACTCAAATCTAATCGATCCTCATCCAGTGGGTAAGAAATCGGGTCACTGTTGGGTTTAGGGCTGTTTACTTCTCCCGCATGCTGTGCCGAGCTAGGGCGTGGAGAGGTAGATGGGAAGGTGGGAAGATTGAACCGAATCTCTGCAACAGTAACGGCGGAAGAAGTTGAAGATGATGACGACGACGAGAATGAGGTATTCGGAGAAGGTATGACGTGTCTGCAGCGTATAGTGCGGCAGTTTACGCCAGGTCCGAAAGTACAAGTGCCGTTCCACGGTGATGTGAATGCGTAGTTACCCCTGAGTTTTACCGGATATGCTTTTCGCCGCTGTGGGCTGAATTCGATAGGTTCATATGAAATGGGATAGTTGACAGGCGTTAGTGTGCGCATAAATTTGAGCGGCCCGCTGCGAGGGTTGGTTGGCTTGGTAACTGGTTTAGGCTTGGAGTTTGAGGTTGGGTCACTGATTCCAAAATCTTCGAAGGAGATTGGTCTATTATCTGCGAGCTTTTTATATCCTGGTGTTGTGATTTCAATTGTCATCGATCCATCAGACGTCGCTTCCGATGGAGCTGCGCAATTTGTGATAGTGCCGACGTTCCATTGGTTTCCATATGTAGGATCTCGACGTATAAGAGTGATGTGAAATGGGGAAGGAGGAGAAATCTCTTGAGGCCCTTCATCACTGCGACGGGTTTTCTGAAATAGGGGATTTGTCCCTGGTTCAGCTGTAAAGTTTATTAGACCTCCCAGCCGATCTTTTCCTATAGCTTTTGGTTTGAAGATAGGGCGCGCAGCATCCCAGTTCGGCCGCCCTGGCGTTATATCGAGGCTGCTTCGTAGACGATGAAAAGTTTCTCGAACTGGAGAGGTTCCACGTGGCATCCACTTTCTTGTATGCCTTTCGTTTGCCTCAGACGTGTCTTGTTCATGGGCGACAGGCCGTCTTAAAAGAGTTGGAGAGTCCCAAAGTCGAGAAGTACGAGACTCTCCTGCACTTTTTGTTCCATTTCTGGGATGCGTACCGGTGGATGTGTGAGTCTGTGCATTTTCCTTGTCGACAGCACCTTTCGGTAATAAAAATTCCGCGCCGTTTGAAAGAGGAAGGGTTGGACTTGGTGCTTTCGCTGTGGGAGTATCAGGGGCCGTGCTAGGAACTGGCTTTCTTTGCACGCGGTTCAGCATCGCTAACATCCCCTTCTTACCACTCTCATCCTCTTTTTCACACCCATTGTCACCCACAGTTTGTTTCTCCTGGCTTACTTTTCTTTCATTCTCAATGTCCTCTAGAAGAACATCATCACCAGGCCCAGCGACATGACAGAAATATAAAGAGGAATTTATCGAATCGGGAGATATGCTCGACTTTGTAGGTGGTTTCAGCGGCGACAAGAAAACATCTGTCCTTTATACGGTTGGGTGACACCCCGCAATATCAATTAGTTGTGCTCTTTTATCTCTTATCGCAGAATCAAAATGCGGGGAAGGTGTAGTATGTATATACATACCTTTACTTCCCGGCACCCTCACAATGTACAGCACCAAAGGCTCCCGTCGCTCTTGGGTAGGGTTTCGTGGATAATTGGGCGGGTTTGAGGCGAGCGTGGTGAAGGAGAGGAGGGATCGGGCCAGGACAGGGTCAGAGGGCAGCGCGGGCTGATCCTGGGTTCTGCGCGCCATTCATGCGGGTGCCTGACCAGATCAGGGGGTTTGGGTTCGGGGAGGAGGGAGGGAAAACTCTGGGAAAAGGAACGAAGTCTATCAGGGCAGTTTGCATTCGGAGTCTATGCGGAACGTAGCTGCGAGGCTGAAGGGGACGATGTGTACGTGGAAGGGGGTGCAGTTTGTGCGTTGGGGGCTGTTGTACCTCTGCATAACGAGCAACCTGGAAGAAGAAAAGACGTTCCGCATCTGGAGCCCGCCCGCGTGTGTGTATATAACTATGCAGGGACTTCACCTCTGGCTGCCTGACGGTCTGACCGGAATGGCGGGCTTGTTTGCCTGGAGGCTTGAAGCTAAATATCCTGCAGGCGCACTTTGTTCGCGACGCGTCGACTAACCAGCAGAGCGCGACGGATCTGATCCTTGCAAAGGATAGTTAATCAAAATGATGTCGCTTCGTTGTCGTCTTCGCCTTCGTCGTCCTTGTCGCGTTCAGCCCTCTGTCGGTAGTTGGCGATTTGTTGCTTCAAGCAAGGATGCGGCCCAACAACAGGCGACCAAGAAGCATCCGACAGGCCATGCAAAACCGACGGCGTTCCAAATTCGAAGCGAGCAGTGCTGCGCCTCAAATGTACGACAGCTCCTTCATTATTGCTTCTTCGGCAGCGCCACCGCTAAAGCGGTGTACATATGGCTTCGGGTGGCCTTTGCACGGCGTTCGTTTCGCTGGTGCCTGATGGCGGCTCCACTGGCGGCTTCGCCGTCCAGAAGTTGGAAAACGAGTACCGTAATTCCTAGGGGGCACTTCGCAAGTCAGTTGACTCAATTATTATTCTGTTGCCTGATAAAAGGCGGCTCTAAGACCTAGTCATTCAATTCCCTTGTCATCATCTTGTTCCCTGCTAGTATTCTAAAAAAAAACATGTTGACTAGTGGTGCTACACCGCGAATGGTATGTAGATACATGTCTATACTCCGTACCCCACAAGTATATTATGGTAAGCTGAAATATAATCATCTCGATATCTTAGGAGGCGCAAGCTTCAAGATATGTACTCCTCTCGGCACAAAGGAGAGGGGGAAAGGAGCGCAGGGGAAAAAAACTCATCCCCATATGTATGTAGGGTGTGTTAAAATTTCGAACACGGGTAGCATATCCTGCCTCCAACCGGTCACCCCAGGCATGTAGACCCGCTGAACGCCAAAGAACACCCCCCCAAAACAAAATAAAATACAAGCAATGACATGCTTTCTCGTAAAACAATAATAAGGAAATGGCCAGTAATAACGCTCACAAATTGCAAAAGTATTCGGCTCTGTGTCTATACCGTGTTCTCAGGTCGCTCTCCAACCGCGATTATTGGAACCGGAAGGCCTCTGTCGGGGCTTTGTAGCACTAATTGCTCGTGCCGTCGTGCCTGGAGATAATTGCTGATCGACCGGATCAAAATCAACCATCCAACAATCATGAGAATATAGGAAATCCACTCGCTTGTGCTGATGCCTCCGCTCGGAGAATCGCCCGGATTAAAAGTGCCACTGTCAGGGATTGACCCAGGGGCAAAGTCGTGACTATTTGGATTTGGCGGGACAAATTGCGAATCACCGGATGACGAAGCGGGATCCGAATTACTGCCACCAGGCTTCATATAAAATCCGTATTGCACTAATGTGAGGCCAAGACCAGCTCGACTACCATTTTTGGCAGCATGGGTAGTGTGAAGAAGATATGTGAGGAGAAAGCCAACTAGTTGGAAAGAGGTGGAGATCATGCCATTCCAGGCAAACGAAAATACGGAACCGACAGGGAGGCCGTCAACATATACCTCATCTGACGACATCCCAGGTGCGATGATAGTTGTCTCCCAGTATGGAGGGGTGGCGTCCGCAGCGGCTTGTTCATAGCTCTATGCAAACGTTAGGATATGAGCATATATTCCAAATGTTTTTAAGTGAGGGGCATACTGGTGGTAGGTCTTCTTCCTTCTCGCCCCGTTCCGGTTTCGCGTCCAAGTTTGCGAACACGCCATCATTTGCGGCGGATCGTATCACACGGGGAACGCCTGAGAAGGTTGAGTTACCGTAATTAGGTATAGAAGCAGTCGTGCGCGTAGAAGAGCCATGGGTGTCGCTTGAGTTTTGGGTTCCTACGTTGCCCTGGCCTGGGCTGCCCCTCATAAGCCGTTGTCTATCATCGACCTCACCTTCCCCATCAGAGTCTGGTCCATCATCGCCAAATGTATCTACTAGGGTTTGGTCGGCATCGTTGTGTAAAGGATCTTGAGAGAAGAGAGGCCTAGAGGAAGACGACGAGGTTCTGGAGTGGAAAGACGGAGGTGGTGAAGCTGGGATAGGATATGGGGCGGATGTAACAGGATTTACGGAACGGTCGTCATCGTCATCAACGCGGTCATCAACCTAGAGGAAGTTGGTTAACGAGAGCGCTTCAGCAACAGACAGGATCCATTGTGAGTAGAGTAATACTTACGCGCTGATATCGATGGGAGCTCATGGCCAAGAGCAAGAAAAAAGGATATTGAAGAGGAAAATATCTAGTGTAGGACTTAGGAAATAAATAGCACAGTGAGAGACTCAGAAACGAAATAGAGGGCAAAATCAAAAGGAAGAAAAGGCCAAGGGTGAGGAGAAGAAACCTCCGGGGGTTCCGTGGCGACTCAGCGCTTCGCAACAGGTTGACGTCGGACGACCGCACGTGATGGGCATCATGCACTAGGCTTAATACGGACTAGCGGCCCCGCGACTGCCTTCAGCCAATCTTTTGCAGTGGAATTTGATTATCAAAATGCAGAGCAGCTTCGCCATGCGCCTGAACAGAGCTTTGCAACGTGGAATTGGGCTGCAATACTCATATTTGACACGCTAATTGTAATATACTCTGCTCACCCTATCATTAATTCTTATTGCAAAGTTTTCTAGTATAGCATCCCTCTCGTCCACCGCAATGCAAAATGTAGGTGGATTTATATGCCTTCTCTTCTCGCCATGCATAACACCGATTCTAACCCAGCACTCTACCTGCAGCTATCCCGCTCCCAAATAACGAATCACATTCGCCGGCTTATCGCCCGCTGGCCCACCGACGCTCTCCGCCCATCCTCAATCTCTGTCCAAACTTTTTTCCAATCACGCCTCACACCGCCGCCGGCCCCAGAAACCCAACCCAAATCGCGCTGGTCGCAACTCTTCCGTAAATCCGCACCGCCGACCCCTAGTCCTACATCTCCATTATCTCCCATTTCAGATGATGCCCCTCTCCTCTCGACACAGAACGTAAACGCACTGTATTCGCTACTGGAGAATAGATACCAGAAAAAGTATCCATTGCCGAATTCGCTTCGATATCCAGCTAGTCAGCCGGCTTATTATGATACGCTACTTAAGGAGTTTGAGGAGGCCCCACATCGAAGTGTCCTAGGACGGCTACGGAAGAAACTGAGCGGTGTTTTCAGGCTGAAATGAAAAGTGTATTCTGCATAGGATTTTGATGGGCATTGGGTTGGCCACATTATATAATTGTAAAGTATTGTGACCTTTTACGGTGATAGTAGATCCATGGTTTCTATGTGATAAATATTATATGAATTACCCATAAATGCCTTCAGCCTTGGTGGGACAAGTCGCGATTTCAGAGCTCCATTATCCAAAAGAAAAGAAACCACCGCAGCTCGGAATCACCACCGGGAAAGTTAGGGAGAAATTTTGATGAAATCATTAATCAAAATATAAAAGCCAAATGGTATATCTTATCACTTACATGCACATGCCATATATATCTAATGAAAGCAAAAACCAGAAAGCAAAACACATGGCATATTTACAGGAGCAATTTCGCGCTAAAAGGCTCATCCTGCCATTTCCAAAAATGGGGTGAATGGTATCTAAACCATAGATTTCACATCGTCAGCAACCTTGAAAGGCGCCTCGGTTTTCGTGCGGACTTCATCAACAGTAACACCTTCAGCAAGCTCAATAAGGGTTAGACCACTTGCGAAATCGACATCGAATACACAGAGATCGGTGATGATTCTGCTAACACAAGCGCGCCCAGTGAGGGGGAACTCGCACTGCTTGAGAATCTTGGGGTTTCCTTTCTTATCGGTATGTTCCATAGTGACGACGACTCTGGTCTTAGATGGGTTGGAGACAAGATCCATGGCACCACCAAAACCCTTGATCTTACCGGGTAACATCCCTAGGAATTTGTGTTAGTAACGTGGCATAAGTGAAACAATCCCATGTGAAAGAAAGGGCTTACAGTTGGCCAAATCACCCTTGGCACTAACTTGCATAGCACCCAAGATGGTCAAATCGATTCGTCCAGCTCGAATCATGCCGAAAGACTCATCACTACCGAAGCACGATGCACCTGGTAGCAATGTAACAGTCTCCTTACCAGCATTAATCAAATCAGCATCCTCTTCACCTTTCTTGGGGTAAGGTCCAAGCCCCAGAATACCATTTTCTGATTGCAATTGGACTTCGACGGAGGAGTCAACAAAGCTAGGAGCCAGCATTGGCATACCAATACCCAAGTTAGCATACATTCCGTTCTTGAACTCCTTGGCTGCGCGACGGACGATGCGTTCTCGTTTGCTAGCTGTGTCTCCTTTGCCGAGAGCAGACATATCGGCTTCGTCTCCTTCTTTGGCGTAAGTGTATTTTTCGATCTTCTTATCAGTATGGCTCTGGATAACGCGCTTGACATAGATACCAGGAAGGTGGACTGCAGCGGGCTCAATGTCGCCGACCTCGACAATGTGCTCAGCTTCGACAATTGTCATCTTAGCGTTGCGGCCCATAGCTCCGTTAAAGTTCTGGGCAGCGTAGCGGAACTGGCAGTTTCCAAGCTTATCTGCTTTCCAGGCTTTAACAAAAGCGTAATCGCCCTTGATAGATTCTTCCATGACATAGCTTTTACCGTCGAAGACTTTGACATCCCTCGGTTCGCCGTACAGAGCTACACTGCCATCTGGGTTGTTTCTGAGGGGGAGTTCGCCAGTCTGGACCACTGTTCCGAAGGCAGCTGGGGTGTAAAAAGCTGGAATTCCAGCACCACCTGCACGGCATCGTTCGGCAAGGGTTCCCTGAGGAGTCAATTCCAAATCAATCTGCCCCGAGAGATACATGCGTTCAAAAGTCTTGTTCTCGCCGACGTAGCTAGCAATCATCTTCTTGATCTGTCCACTGGCAAGAAGAAGGCCGAGGCCAGCACCATCAACACCGGCATTGTTACTGACAGCAGTTAAGCCTTTTATGCTTGGTGTATTGTGGACAGCATCGATCAAGGTATCTGGCACACCACAGAGACCGAAACCACCGGCCAAAAGTGTGGAGTCAGACTTCATATCCTTGATGGCCTCTGCCGCCGACGGCACGACCTTGTTGATCTCATATCGAGCAAAGGAGCTGGAAAATGCACGGACAAGGAACTTTTGGTGCTGATTCAACTCAGATGGTTAGCTCGACAACTTGATAATAAAATCAACGCCTAGGCACGTACTTTGGCCGGGTTGGCAGAGAACTGCCTTGCAGCTCGCAAGCAGTGAATTGAGCTTCGCAGCTGCATGGTGGGCTATGGATATGTGTGAAGGAGAGTGTTCAACCAGAGGGTCTTCCCCGCAATACGGAATTGCGACCGAAACGCTGAAGAGGATGCAAACCAAGCAAGCACAGAGTTAAGAGTTGAGAACAACGCTGAATGAGAGAACGGACAGGTTCGAGTCCTGACACGGCCGAAAGCTCAGCCAGACCAAAAAAGCGCCAGCGGCTGTCTTTTGAAGTTACCCACAAGCGTCCCGAGCGGCGAAAACGCTCGATTGGGGAAAAGCGCGGTAAGCTTTTGGAGAAGCAGCAACAGCGCTACGGGACCGGTTCACGGTAGATTCGGCGGAAGACACGCGGTCCTTGAACCAGGAAGCCAAAAAGATGCAACAATGCAAAACAGAGGAGTTATTGAGAGCGCACCTATGACTAACCTTCTCCCACGAGTAATTAGTATTGGAAGATAGGAAGGGCGCAAGAGCAAGACGGCCAGAAAAACCGAACAGCAAAGAGGGCGGGGAAGCGGCTGTCGCGGTTGGGGTTAAGCTGGCGCCGGCAAAAGTCGTGTGCCCAGACCTGACACTCCCGGATGCCACCTCCGGGGATATGCTCCGCAAGCACTCCCTGGGTCATGTTTGTACAGCTCTGTTGATGCACCAGGACAATCTATGCAAGTAAGGAAAATATGACATTCCCTTAATTACATGCCAAATGTGCTGTGTGGCCGAGTAACAGGATGGTATTTCAGGAGATTCTGGAGCCTGTGATGGTACCCGAGGGCTCTAACTACCTCTGCAACCCCCAGCCAACCAGAGTGCCTTCCGTTATTTGCCGCAGTTGCATGCGGGCACCTTCGGCAATCGGCAGCACGCTCCGGCACAGGTGCAGAGATGCTGTCAGTATGCAAACAGAGTCGCTGAATATCTTTAAAAATAATGATACTTGTCCTTTCCTCCCGATTGACCTTTCCAGTGTCTAATAGCCGGCTGCATGAAGTACTCCGTAAGAAGATACCGATTGGCTGCGTTTGACGGGACTTAACTCCGTTTGTAAACGCCGCGCCAAGACACTTTGGACCATCGGATCCGACCCCCGAACCGGATCCGGAACAACTAAATTACGCTCATGATGTCAGGGCTACTCCGTATTCGCCTGATGGAGACCCTTGAATATAGTAATATCTTGTATCAATTGTAGCCCTATCCACGAATACTGTGCACCGAAAGAGTAATTTTGAGTCCTACTACACCAACGCCATAATGCCAGACCTATTTAAACCACACACCCACCCCCTAAACTCTGATTTTCCTCTAGATTTGTCCAGTAAGCGCCGACAATGAACTTTCAAGCAATAATTGATATAAAACCATGCAAGCGCCTGCAATGACTAACCACATAAGCCTTTAAAGGTCCATAAATAGAGAAAAGCATGGTTCTTGTAAAACAGTAGCAATGCAAAGATGGATATAAAACGTCCAGGATCATGAAACAAATGAGAAACTTCGAGAAGAACAGTCTTCCTTGCTCTATTTCCTTTTCTTACGCCCAAGTCTTTTTTTCCTTAATATACTAGGTCTCTTCTTCCTGAGGCTTCCGTTTCAATGGGAGAGGGAGCCGCTTTGGAGATGGCGACGGCGATACTTCACGAGTAATCACATGCACACCTACCATTCCACATCAAGTATGTCAGTAAAGTCTTTCGTCCACGAGCAACGGGCTGGTGGCTCATAAGACGGGATATGATGTTGGCCCTGGGATATCATGATAGAATGGGTTGATTTCCTACCTTGACTAGCCTCTGTATGGCTGGAAATTTGAGGGGCGTCGTGCATTTCCACATCTTGATGCGGGGCCTCATGGCGGGCGGGAGCTGGGGCTATTGGCACAGGCTGTCGAATAATTGGTCTGGCCGAGCTCCTAACTTCTTCTTCTTCTTCTACTGGTAAATCTGGAGAAGCCGAATGTTCGTCCGTTACCGGAGAGCTTACCGGAGAGCTCGTGACGTTACGACAGACTGGCTGAGCAATCCGCTCTTTGAGCATGTTGTGTACGTATACTAGGAAATATGGTGACGCTGACTGCTGGCTTGTCTGAGACGCGAATATGGTTGATAGATGCTCTACTTCTCGTACCATCTCGTCGTTGTATTCGCGCCACATTCCTTTGGCAAAATCAAAAATGTATATCCAATAGTGGCCCGACGATTCGGATCCCCGGTGGATGAATATAGCATACAGGTGATAGGCAATAGTTTTGTGTTCGGAAAACTGGTTTTTCAATATTTCTGTAATTTCGCCAATTCGATGATCAATCTCTTTGTATCGAGGTGTCAGCGTATCAAGATAGACAAACGAAATAGACCTAACGGTAATATAGCTAGCAAAAGAAAGGAACGACATACTTTGTATTTCTGCACGAGCCACTGTCTCCAACCTGTCAAGAAAATTTATCGTTGTCTCATCGAATTGAACAGAATCGTCATCGTCATTATTATTAGAATCGTCGGAGGCGTTTTGCAACTCCTGCAAGTCCCTTAACTTGGTACTGAGCGCGTTGAATAAGGACGGCAACGACTTATCGGCCTAAGAATGATTTGAGAGGGTGTCAAATGTCGTTGGTGATTGGGTAGCCTTACCTCGTCAACAAGCAGGTGTCTGCGCTCCTGCAATTGCCGTAATTCCTCCTTAAGACGCCATCTTTGTCGACGAGTATTTTGAATGAAATCGCCTTCCATTGTATCCATGTATCGATCGAGGTATATTATCGGTTCTAGTTGTAAGTGATTATTCGACTTAAACAACTTCATTGCCACCTGGTCAAACTGCACTCGCTGAATTTGGATCTGGAGGACTGGCGGAGCTATGCTTATGGTACCATGCTGTTCTGCTTCTGCACCATCCACGTGAACTCTTTGCATGTCAAAGGCACTGTCCAATGCCATATACATATCGTCAGAGTCTCTTGGAATATCGATTTTAATATCTGACCACATTTCCTCTTTGCAGCGAACATTGCCTGGAGTTGTGATATATGACTTTGTTTTGCCATAAAACAATCTTCAATAAAAAGGTCAACAATAGCTCTAAAATTCATACGGCAATGCCTGACTTACTCTGTAACAATGTCAAGCTGTCCGCCATCAGCATCATATGAGTTAGCCTTAATTGCACACTGTGCCTGAAACAGCACATTATTGATAACTTCCGTGACATCCTGTTGTGCACCCATTTCCAGTTCCATTTTCATCTTGTTCTTCGCCGGACGGGGTGGAACCGGAGGTGGCCTGTTTGGTGGATTGATTTTTCCATCTGGAGAACCTTTAGATGTAGGGGTGATTTGCGTCTCCGCGTCCTTGGGCTCGAAATCGCTAGGAGGCTCTGATAGATCGCTGCTCTCCTGTTCGCTGATTTCAGTTGCTGCATAGTTGCTCGATGAAGGGGGGTCAGGTGAAATTTTGTTATTGTTACTTCTTATTCCTTTGGCTAGGTGTCCGCCAGCGGCAGCACCAGTACTATCATCCAGACCAATCTCTGATGGTAAGGAAGGCCCATATACAGGCAAATTGGACTCATCTTGCGACTGGCGTAGGATTTCGGCCTCGCTCGAAGAGCTTAATAGGGTCAATCTAGCAAGTTCCTGCTCTGGTCTAATCGAACGTGCCGGCGATGCTATCATTTCTTCAAACAGGCATCTCAGCTGGCGTACAACTTATTTTTAGTTAGCACGGGCGTCAACAAGCGATGACGGAGGGGTTTTACATTTTTGGGCCCGCTCGATCTCAGACCTAGAAACAAAACGGGACCCAACTTTTTTTCGACTAAGGCTTTCATCATCCAATTCCATTTTCTGTTCCTCAAAATGCAACACCATGTTTCTAAAGGGGCCCACGGTAAAGTAGAATTGAAGCAGGCTATTCAAATAGCAAGTATTCCCAATGTTTTTTAGGCCTACAGGCCATTCTTGAGGATCAAATCCCTCCGGAATCGGATCTTCACCAACTGCGCTTTTGAGCTGGGCACTATTTGTCGCATTCGCAAGTACCTTCAAGGCTGCCCTGTAAGTCTCAAGTCTGTCAGGATCCTCACTGGCAAAAACGTGAAACGCAGCGATAATGGAATCTGCTTCAACATTTCTGTCGGAAATTTGGAATGTACGATAAGCCTCATCAACACTCATTGCAGCTTCGTTGGGGTTGATGAAACTTCGAAGAACTTCCGATTTTCGTTGATCGGCAATTAAGGTTACGGCTCGAGCTGCAGATACTTTGGATCCTGGATCGTCGTCAATCTATGGGCACATGAGAGGGTCAGATAATTTCCCAAGATCCAAGAGTTGGTAGCCTTATACTTTTATGAGGTATGCAGAGGCAACGACATCGTCGGCTACAGTCTCAGCTACACCCAAATACACCAGAGCTCGTTCAGCGTCGTTTGGATCTGCCTCAAGTCATAAGAAGGAACACTATACGGCAAACAGATTTCAAAGAAGATGCTTACAGTTTTCAGCAACGTCTTTTATCCCTGCGCTATCTCGATGGTAGCCAATATATCGAAGATACCTGCGTGCATTTCCATCATCCGGGGAGTCTTCCAAACGTGAGCAAAAAGACCCAATTATCGTATCTTCGGACAAGCTTGTATCTTTCATATCAAGTTGAAAAAAGCGATATGCGTCTTCGATTTCATCATCACCATATTTTCCATTGACATATTGCACCTGGATAAAATCATCAATCGCTGCGCCACCCTCTCCCCGCCAGAGACCAATATGCCGCAGACATTTGAAGTAATGCGAAGCTCGACTTGGGTCAGATTTTATTTGTTGTTCATATGCCTCAATAAGCAAGTCGTTCGACATGTCTTCCATAACTCCTAAATCCTGGTAATACCTAGAGACTCGCTGGTCAACTGGAAGTTACTAGAGAATGTCCAGCTTCAGAGAGGCTTACGACTGGTTTTCTTCGTTCTGGCCAATTGGAAAGGTACGAACCCGTTCGTCTGCAGCTACATCAGCATTGCCCCTCTTTTTTATTCATTTGTGAGCACGAACAATTTCTCGAACCCAACAAATACCCGAACTGGGGTGAAGCTGACTCGACGGCCAGTTCCATAAGATAGCTATCCTTCTCATGTTTTGGCCGTTGCTTCATCAAAACTAGTAGTTCCATTGAAATATCGTCCAAGAAAACATGTTCGTGATCGAAGTATGGTAGTGTTGATGTTGGCTCTGGGATAGGAGGAGACCAGCGATTCTCGTCATCCTAGTGCAGCATCAATACTCATACATAAAAAATTTGACATGTATGCTAAAGAAAGTGCAGAAAAGAAATGAAACAAGAGAGAATAATACCTCTAATTTAAACCCTATAAAACCCAGTAGTTCCTTGCATGGTAGCCCTTTGTAGCCAAACGCTGTTATAAAGCGTTTATTGCCGAACCCCACCGGTCTGTTTCTATCAGGTTCGTGAAGTGCAATATCAATGTAGGCTTTTAGAGTCGCTAGTGAAGTTATAGGAAGTGGATAGCCAACCCCCTCTAGCCTATCAGGACATTGTATCAAAGCTTCATCCATTCGGCGCTTTACAGCATGCTCATCTGATAGCAGTGACACCCACGCTGGTGAAAGATAAGGGGAGACAAATGAAACAGATATCACAGTTTTACAGCCATGGTAGGAGCAAAAAAATGGATAGTTTTGAGATTCTTGATCTGGTAATCTCAGCCGATCGTCTGTATTGTTCGGAGCTTTCGCTTCAGGGTCATATACCCAGTGGTGGAGGTGGCCAGGGTTTAATGAACCAAGACTAGAGAAGATGATCACTAGGTCTAAGTGATACCGACAGTGCATACATATTGCAGAAACTCTGTAGATGAACTTGTTGCCCTGGTTGCTGTCATCGGGGGGAAGATGGGTCTGGTTTGGCTTCTTAATGTAGCGATGAGAACAGTGGTTACCAGCCGGCGTTTTAATACAATTTTCCCAAACCAGAGGAACACCTGTTAGACTATTAAGCTCCTGGTGCAGAAGATGTGTCGGATCGAAGGAGAGAAGATCCTGGATCAAGCGGGGAGAGGTTTTCCCTAGTTCCACGCACTGTCAGTTGCGCAACAGAAAGAAAGGCGCTGGTCAAATAAATACCTGGACGGTATGGTGGTGGAGACATGCGTGACAACGACGCCTCCGCCGACCTTAAATCGCCCTCGAGGCTGGCAATTCTGGTATCTTCCAGTCAAACGACCAAATTCAAGGGAATGGTGCTCTGGTTGATCCACAGATTATCTAGATACACAAAAGCACCATTGATAGGGGAAACAGACAGCTTTGTAAAGGAGCAGCGAGCCAACGTCGTTCCAGCTGTGAAATGGGGGGAAGTCACCACAGCAACGTGGTGAAGATACAAAGCTTGGTGAGTTATGTATCGAAACACTGGAGCTCTGTGCGGATTCGGCGGGGGGCAGTTGTCATAGGTAGGCAAGTACGAAGGAATGTAGAGTTGCACGATCTGACGAGGACGGGAGCACGAAGGAATATATTCTCCCAGGGTTCTTCGTACGCAGAGCACCGTGCAGGCAGACGACAAACGGGGAGATGAACTGCGCCTAACAAGCTTCCATAGCCGTTCGAATGTTGCGGCGTGAGACGAGACCGCCGCCAGCCAATGGCAGGCGCCAAGAATCGGTGACCACCCCAAACCGACCAAACGCAACATCTCGACTGTTCGCAGGCAAACCACCGCAGAGCAGCCGCCATGTCTTCTGCAGAGGAGCAGACGCCCTACCACCCCAAGGATGCCGTCGGGGCGACGATAAAGAGCACTTTGATGACCGGAAGTGTGGGTCTCTTCGCTTCCGCCGTCCAGAATACCCTCGCAAAACAGAACATTGGCCCATGGGGCGTTTTTACGAGAACAGGAAGCACTGTTGCTTTATTCGGTACGAATTGTCATTAAAAGGGACTATCTATAACCGAGGGCTATTAAATGGCTGACAGCGGCGTTGATTGCAGCGACAATGGGTGGGGCCTATGAATTTGTCAAGACAGCGTCTGCGAATTTACGGGAGAAGGAAGATCACTGGAATGCTACATGGGGTGGATTCTTCGCCGGTGCTGCTATGGGTTTGAAAGGTAAGCTATTCGATCTTGAATTTTTATTTACCAAGCGATTGGCATTCCTCGAAAGCGTTGCTAATGCTGTACCTTTTTCAGTTCGCTCATTTCCGGCAATAATTGGCTATGGTGCTACCGTTGCAACCGTGCTAGGTGTTTTCGAATTCACCGGAGGCAAGCTTTCGGGCTTCAGCCTCACCCCTACCGAAGACGACTTTGATAGACGGCAGGCATTGCGAACAAATTACCGGAGTCCGGGAGAAGAAACGATTGCACTTTTAGGAGAGGGAAGGGGTATGCGCCAATCCTTGGGACAGCGCTGGTACGCGTCGTTGAAAACTTGCTAATACGTACTCTAGGTATCTATGGTCCTGGATACGCAGAAAGAAGGCGAGAGAGGATAAAACAGAACTACGGCATCGACGTGCCCGTCACACAGCCGTCGGCTTCCTAAAAGCGCATACCTTTGGTTTCCACTGTTATTTTCTCTCTATCTTCAATCATTACATGTAGTATACTGTTACTCCGGGGTTTGAGCTCAATTGTCTTCCAATTCGACATATTTGCTATCATTCTACCACACACCTGAAGAAAACGCGCACATAGATTTCCGATTCACCGCCAGCCAAACCGCATACTTCCGCTTCTCTTTGAGCACGCCGTGCCTCATCGATACCTAGCATGTCATTCGTCCTTCCAATTCATCTATGCTGATGACGGATCATCATTTAGCCGAGATCCGACTATTTGCCAAGCCAGTTCACAGTCACATGCTCACTACTCAGCCACTTGCTTAACTATCCAACGCGTATGGATGACGTCAACCGCTGTGGCTGGTGGCTGTTTTTCTCGCTAGAAAATTCAGAAATATCGAAATCTTGAAGGATTCTCGCTGGCAGCGGTCGACGGCAGTCCGTAGCGCGTTTTTGTAGTCTGAATGTTGTAGGACATGCACGGTGTACCCCCTGGCCTGCTGTGGTTCGTGGAGTGCCGGGATCTGGGTTTGCCCGCGACCTGGATGCCTGCGTGTCGAAACCACAGCTTGCCAACCCCAGAACATCGAGAAACAAAGTGTCAATGCAGGATTGTCTTGGAATTGGTAGCGTCAGAGTTGCGTGAACTATCTAGACAGTTCCTCCACAGCCGTGTTCAATGCGATTCCAAATGGTTTGCCACCCCTTTTCTTGTGGATCAACAGGGGAGAAAGGAGAATTCGCCAGTTCACCCACAGCGGAATCATAAAAAGGGCGTTATCCTGTCAGACCGACCGGCCATCCGCCTCACCACTGCCCCCTCCCCGGCTGCTCCGCGTGTTGGGCTATCCCGGATCGCTTTTGGGTCCTATCTAGGCTGCTCTGGGTCCTCTGCTGGGCAAGACGTCATTCACCCGCCGCTTGCTGGTTGGACCCACGAACGACTCCGGTCCTCGCAAAGCCACCGCGCGGCGACAACCCCGGCGCCTTTTCATCCTACTTTCATCTGGGCGGTGCTGAGCCCTCTTCTCTTGTTTCTACCTCACTTCGATTGTTCCCACAGTCCTGCTGACTGCCTGTGTCTACCTTCTTCTCCCAAAACAACCCTGAACGCACGGCTCCCCGACCGCTATCCAATTTCATATCCGTTGCTAGGGCAATTATTAAAGGCGCTCGACACACTCTCTCCCAACACCTGCAGTGGATACAGTATAGCGACTGCACCATGGCCGCGGCCACGAGACCTCGTACGCCGTCGCAGGATGTGTTTAATCCCGCCCCCATCACTTCTCATCTGCACGGCGCCACCCGTGGTTATGGCTCTCGACCTAACTCTTTCGTCGCAACAAATTCAATTCAGCCTACCGACTTCCAGGTCCGAATGGGCCCTGATGACACGGCCCCCATGCCCCATCAGTCTCGTTTCCATGAAGAGCTAGGCGGGCGGGACTCCGTCTTTATGGACAGCCATCTCATCGACGACATACCGCATAATGAATCTGAGGTGTCGTTTTCGCAAACTGCGCTGCCAGCGCGCTCCTCGACTCTGAAAAAGAAAGCATCGCTAAGCAAGAAAGGAAGCCTGCGGCGTGGCGGAAGCAAGCGGAGTAGCCGCGCGGGAAGCGTAAGGAGCTTAAAATTAGGGGAGAAAGAAAAGTACGGGGTGGGAGAGGATGATATAAACAGTGCTTTCTATATTCCTATTCCAACAAAGGGTTCGCCAACGGATGTGTTAGCTTCCAGAATTCAAGGTGTGTTCTATGCTGCCCCAAACCTCTTAACAGAAACGGGGTCTAACAATGTGAAATGTAGCATGGCGTAAAGTACTTAAGGACCTTATCGCGGTTTTTCGCGATATTCAAAAATCCTACGAACAAAGAGCGAAAATTCTTCTCTCCACTTCAAATGCAATGAGCAATCTCCAATGGCCCTCTACTTTTCTCCAATCCGACGGAATCGGAGAGGCAACCAACATCTTAAAGTCATATCACAAACAGGCACTACTCGAATGTAATAAAGCTAAAGATGTCCAATACGGCATAGTCGTGCTTTTAATAAACCTGCGGGATGATTTACAGAACAAAATAAAAGAGATCAAAAACCTGGCTGGTGATTTTAAGAATTCTGTTGACAAGGAGATGGAGGGGACGCGTAAGGCTGTACGAAACCTGCACGAGGCCTTGGGCCTTGTTGATACAGATCCTGCAGCTACGTCTGGAAAGGGAGACCCATTTATCATAAAGCTAGGTGTCGAGAAGCAGCTGTCAAAACAGCTGATAGAAGAAAATTACCTGCACAGAGTATGTGAATCCCCTCGAATACTTTTACCAAATTACTAACTAATAAATAGGCATATCTTAATCTGGAGAACTCCGGCCGTGAATTAGAATCGATTGTTGTAGGTGAAATACAAAAATCATTTAACGCGTATGCCAGCATCTTGAAGCGCGATGCAGATTCCGCATATGACGCCATTGAACGATTTCGAGAAGGCCCGTTGTCTATGCCCCAGGATCGTGAATGGAACACTTTCATCAGCCAAAACGATCAGATGATTGACTCAAGCATACCCATGCGGAATGTTCGGAACATCACCTATCCTGGCATTGACCATCCCGCTGCGGCGGAAATTCGAGCCGGAATGCTAGAACGAAAAAGCAAGTATCTCAAGAGTTATACACCAGGCTGGTAGGTCTTGATTCTTTTTTAGACGCTTTTGACTTCGAATTAATCTCGTCATAGGTATGTCTTATCTTCAACTCACTTACATGAGTTCAAGTCAGCGGATCGCATTAGATCTCAAACTCCAGTGATGTCGTTATACCTACCCGAACAAAAGTTGGGGTCCCATTCGCAGCCAGAATCGTCATCACACAAGTTTATGCTCAAAGGACGGCAAACTGGTTCACTGCACCGGGGCCACGCTTGGGTCTTCCGGGCAGAATCTCACGATACCATGCTTGCTTGGTATGAAGACATCAAGAACCTAACGGAAAAGACCGGCGAAGCCCGGAATGCTTTTGTTAGAAGACACGTGCGGTCTGTCAGTGGAATAAGCTACAGAGCTGCGTCCATCAGCAGCGATGGGGTGCTAGAAGAGGATGAAGCCGATGCGATGCCCTTTTCTTCAGAGCAGATGGTATCTACTCGTGGAGTATCGATGGATGAGCCTCGATGGCGTGCGCACCCAGGCGGAACATTTCCAAGTCAAGTGCAGCTGAACAGGACGTCACAAATACCCGAGTCGATCAGCGAGTCAAGCTCTCGAGACCCCGACTCCTCTCACCAGGCTGGTACAAATATGGTAGACCAGCAGCATCAACACCAACCGCACGGGCTGTCGGATCCCCCTGAAACTTCAACAAACGCAGTGCAGATCAACACGCGAACCAACTCCGTCCGATCCAGAACATCCAAGAAGTCAAGCCGTCTATACGACGAATGGCTCGCCAACGGCGCCCTGCCCGCCGGCCTGCACCACCGCAGCAGCCTCAACCGGAAAAGCACCACCCCAACACCCCAGCTCAGCCGCAACGGGACCCGTATCCGGTCCATCGCCGCCTCTACTGGCGCGCCCATCATCGTGCCCGACATCACCCCTTCGCCCACCACCAACCACCGCCGCCCCAGCGCCCCCGACCCCGGCCCCGACCTCGCGCTGTCGCCGTCCTCCACCCAGCCCACCAGTCTCAACACCAAAACCAACCCGAGCCTCACCACCACCACATCCATGGGCGCCCCCAGCAGCGTTGCTCCTGCAGGGCAAGCCCCGGTTTCTAATGGCGCCGGCGTGCTGGGCCCCGCTTTTGCAGACCTACGTGACGTAGACGGCATGGCGGAACGACGTGGTGACGCCGATGATGTCTCAGCCGTGCAGCGGCCGATGCTGCCACCAGCTCGAACGTCGACGGTCAGCGATTTGAAAGTGCCGGGCCAGTATCCCATAACGAATAACACTTGAGCTAGACCATTTTCTGTTTGTATGCCTTTCTCTAGTTTGTTTTGTGCTGCGTGCGTATCTTGGCTCCGGGTCAACTATATAAAGTTCATCTTTTCTGCATTCAACTTTCAAGCACGTATTGACGCGCCGATTTTCTCTTTTTCGTCTACTATTCTTGACCTATTTTGATTCCCTATATTTTGTGGCTCCTGGGCTTTTTATTCCGGCCCAGAGTAAAGGACCCCATCACACGAATGTGCTTTGTTTTATCTCCCAAGTGATTATTATATATGTTATCGATAGCTACTCACTCCTCTTACAATAGCAAATAAATATTATTGATGCACAAAATCACCCAGTAAGGATATATATTTGCTCAAACATTCTCGATGCTACCAGCACAAGAGCAACTAATATGCAATACAGACTTGGTAAATTTTTTGGTAACCGATTCAGAAAAAATTAAGTAGTACAGAGAGACAGTTGACTTCGAGGAAATTATGAATTAATGAAAATGAAGCAGACTATCGGCTTCAAGCTTCAAGAACAATAAGGTCACACAGATATGAGCGCGATGTTACAAATGGCTCACGCAGCTAAAAGAATCGGTCATCAACGCCGTTTGATATGCCCTCGCGTAGAACATTGAGTAATCGTCGCCCAGATCAAATTCACACGAGTCCGTCAAATCGAGAATCACATGATTTGGTCTTGAGTAATGCCGGTTGGCTGTTCTGCGCTAACTTCCATAGCATCGCTGGACCCGCCGTTCATGTACTTGACGAATGTCAAGCCCAGGGGACGACCTCCATATTGGTATCCCGTGAATTTGCCTAAAGGAATTTGTCAATCTGCCGATATCCAGCCAAGCGAAATCAAAGGGAGGGAGGCATACTGATGGCGGTTTCTGCATTTTCAATGGTATCAAACTGGACTACGCCCGTTCCACGTGATCTACCATTTGGTTCATACTGAATTTCAGCACGTTCGACTTTGCCGATTGTCGAGAACAACTCAACCAAATCTTCGTTGCAGGTAGACCAGGGCAGCTGTGTATGGCTCGTTAGTCAATATTTCCGTGGAATGGCAAAGAGTGGGGAACATACATTGCGGACGTAGATGACAGCACTTCGTTCCCCACCGTAGGTTGCAAAATCAGTGAACGGGTTTGGCGGGATGGAAGCATTGTTGTTCTCAAAGTTGCCTCCTCCACCGCTGAAGTTACTTCCAAACCCACCACCACCTCTACCACCACCGTAGCCACCAAAGCCGCCGCGTCCGGCAAATCCGCCTCGACCACCGCCGAAACCACCACGGCCGCCGAAGCCGCCAAATCCACCGCGGCCTCCATACCCTCCAGGGGCGGAGCTAGCAAAGCGATCTTCACGTACCTCCAAATTGCGACCATGCCAATCGTAGCCATTGAACTGCTGAATGGCATTTCGGGCGTCTTCTACATTCTCAAAGGCAACTATTCCAGAACCTTTGGGACGGCCATTCGGGTCAAGGTGCACGTCAGCACGGACGACATTGCCTTGTTGTGCTGTTGAGATCAGTACGTTAATACCACCTGTTTCTAGTATATGAAGATAAAGCCACTAAAAATGGAGATAGGGGAGTTGAACTTACTGGCTTGGCGGAAAAGATCCTTCAAATCCTGCCAGCCAACATTAAACGGAAGCTAGATATTCAAGTCAATATCCACAATCGCGATGATCGAGTCTGAGCCCGTAAGAAGGACAAGAAAGCAAGGGGACAAAAAATCAGAATGGTAGAGGATGGGCTACAAACGTTAGCGACGTAGATCTGACGACTTCCCATTGAACCGCCGTGGCCGCCACCAAAGCCGCCACGGCCGGCGCCCGCCGCATCTCGAGAAGGGGGACCGGTAAATCGGGGTTCTGCCTCACGGTCCTATACCATAACACGAAACAAGTTAAACGATGTTCAATATTCTAGTAGGTGGTTCATACCTCGCGAACATAGACAAGTCTGCCCATCAAGTTCTGATTGCTCAACGTTGCAACAGCGGTCTGAGCTTGTTCCCTCGAGGCGTATTCCACAATCCTGGGAAATGGATGTTAGCTTCAAAAGTACCCAGATTAAAGAGAGATAGGTGGCAAGACTTACCCGCAGCCCTACATCATTCAAAAGACCAAAGCCCCAACCCGTCAACCCAACAATCCATCAAAATGACCAAAGAAAACCAGAAGACCAGTCATAACTACGCATTGACGCCCACCTTCGACATTCCATTCGGAAGTAGTAAGACATCGGCAAAGAGAACCTCTCCAGCTAGAAATAACAGCGACACAAGTCGTAAGAGTCAGCCTCGTTCCTCCAGCCCTACGGTACGACATGCGTCCCATTGGCAACGAAATTCTTCCATGGCGTCCAGCTCACCCTGTCTCATAAAATCTTTTAAATGATGCCACTTGACATCGTATGACAAGTTCCCAACATAGACACGGCGGTCCTGCTGAGAAGATTCGCGAACAGCTTGCATCATCTGCTCTTTAGCAAAGGCACGATCCTCGAACGAACGAGCTGGGGCACCACCGCCTCGCCCTCCCAATCCAGATCCCGAATAGCCACCGGAAGCACCAGCTGTGCCACTCATAGGTGATCTGGATCGCCGCTCAGTACGACGGTATTCTTCGCGACTGCGGGAACGACTGCGAGGTGAATAGGAACGGCGACTGCGGCGAGGACTACGAGATCGTCGACGTGGAGAACGAGATCTCTCACGCTGATGAGAGTTAGTACAAATAGATGGGGTGGGTGTAAAACAACGGGGGAAGTGCACGAGGCCGAGAAGGGAACGGCGCTAGAGACTGCCCGGCCAGCAAACGCTAACTAGACATCACGATAGAAAAGCCAGACACGGCAGCCATGTCAGGTCGTGTCAGGCTGAAAGTTCAATTTGCAAAGGCGGTGAATCGGCTCCATGATCACACGTGAAGCAATAAAGAAGCGGGGCGCAAAATTACAAGGACAGAGGGGAGCCAAAATAGTACGGTAGCGGGCGAGGGGAAGTAGAGCTTGTCTATGGACATTGGCAGGCAACGGAGTTGTCTTAGGGCGGAGTGGCATCTAAGACAACTCCAAGAACAACGAAGGTCCTTATTCCGCTCAGGCCGCAGCCGAGACAACCAGCGTCACCAACACGCACGTTTGCTTTGTGCTCCGAAGTCGCTATTTTGCAAAGCTTGATTGATCGTTGAAGTAGATGAGCTCCAAAAAAAATAACAATAAAAATAAAATAACAAATGAAAATCAAGCAAACCAAAATAAATGTAAAGTTGGCTCGGTCATGGCTGGAGACTTACTTGATGGGGGCGGTAGACGTCAGCTACACCTAATAAAAAGCGCAAGCGGTAAGCCAGGCGTCAGTCTAAACGAAACCAATGGTGGTGGAAGCAAAGAAGGGTGGGAATTGGGAATTGAAAATCGAAGGTGGGCAGAAGTAAGGAGGAAGTAAGCAGAAAGTCAGAAAGCAACGACGGAAGCGGGCGGGTGGAGAGCGCGAGATGCGACAGGATGGGCGTGACGGTAGCAGCCCGTTCAGCAATAATTATGCTTGGAGAAAGCCCCGGGAGGCCAAGCACAAGGGGTTTCTGATTAGGCAATGGATCGTAGGGCGCTGGGAGGGCGGGCGGAAAAGAAATACCACAGGACGTGCACGGGAGGGGCGAGGAGCAGCAGCTATAGCAGAGAATGTTTCACTCGCAGGGTGGGAGGCCAAAGGATTTTGAGACCAGCGGGCGCGAGCACACACGCACACGCACACAGACGGACACACAACGGCGCCAGGGCGCGCGCGAGGACGGCGGCAGCAGCAGCAGCAGCACACACAAGATAGCCTAGCTCACTCTTGCAGACAACACAACGCGGCAGCCACGCGGGTGCAGGCAAGGCAGACGAGGACGGGAGGGATGGGGGAGGGGGGGTAGGGAGGGAGCAAGGAAGCAGAAAACACACGCACCCATGGTTTTTTAGGTTGCAGACGAGAGGTGAAACGGGCGGCTATCAAGGTGAAGTGGGTTCGGCGCTGGTGCGAGTGGCAGCGCGTGCTGAAGGGGGGGACGTTTTTCGCGGATTGCAGGCCAGTGCAGAACCGGCGAGCGGAATGGGTGACGGGCGCTGGGTGGCCGGCGAGGAGCAGAGCAGCGGCTGTAATTGGCCGGCCGGGCGATAATTGCAATGAGCACAGAGCAGGGATGGCACGTCGGGGGGTGTGTGTGTGTGTGTGTTGCGAGAGTGGGTGTGGGTGTGCGGACGGAGTAGTGGGCGACGAGCGCGACGGAGCACACCCGGGCGAGGCGAGGCGACGCGAGGTTGACTGAGCCGGGGCGAACGGGCAGAGGGCAGTAGTAGCCGGCGACGAGACAGCAGGCGAACGCAGAGACGAGCAAGAAGAGGTCGCGAGCCAGCAGACAGACAGCGCGAGCGAGGGTGGTCGAGCGAGAAACGTCGTTCGTCGTTCGTCGTCGTTGTTGGGCGGGCGAGCGAAAAGACGAGGACTGGCCGGCCGAATCGGGCTAGCGTGCGGCTGACGGCACGGGCGTTACCGTACGGCCGTGACGGTACGGTAACGAACCATCGCGAAGAGCCGCGCGCTGGAACAACGGCGATGCGAACTGGCCACGCTGCATGGGCGCTGCGCGGGTGGGCACACGCCGGGCCTGGCCGTCTGGGCGACCTGCTGCCCGCGCAGGCTGTGGGTTCGGCGGGCAGCGAAGCACCGCCGTCCCGCCGGCGTCCACAACCTCATATGTCGGACCACCGATCTTGGCTCTTCGCAGCTCGCATCATCATCATAATACATGCGCATGCAGACTGCTGGACGGGCCGTCCACCCCTCCTCCGCCTTTTTCTTGGGATCGCTGCCTAGTCTTCTGCTTTGGGGGCGACGAGAGACACGCCCGGCAAAGCTTCGGCGTGGAGTTTCTTTCCACGACGTGCCCCGCGTGCACCGTATATCCGGCCGTGTTTCTGCATATCAGCTAACGGCGACCACGGCAGCCCGTCTAGTTACTCACGAACTACGGAGTAACTACTCCGTACTCCCGTCGCAGCACCGCAGCGGGCGTTCAACCCACCTGCCACCCCCCTGGTCGTGAAGAAGGCCAGCCCGGGAGCCATGGGCCTGCTCACCACACTCGAGCGCCAATCACCCCACGCGCCCGCCAGCCAAAGAGCGGTAACGAGCCATCATGGCGTCCCCCTTCGTGTTCGGATCGAGAACGCTCGCTCGTCGACGAGCCCGCTCGTGTCGGTGCTGCAGCCGGCTGTGGGCGGCGGGCATGGGATCACAACCATAGCTTGGCGCGTTCGTAGCTGTGCAAGACGTCGTCTCTCCCGCCTCGCTTCAGTAGCTGCTGCATTTTGCTATGGGTACGGCGTGTTCGGAGCACGAACAGACCCGGACTGCCTCTTGCAAGGCAGGATAAGAGCCTGGCTTCTCTGCAGCCCAAGATCTGGTGGCCTTTGTGGAGCGTGTGTTCTAGTTGAGCCTGCAACTGCCTCTAGGCATCTCTATTCGCAGCTGAAATTTCAATTGCTGTTCTATTATTTCTGCTCCCGCCCACTAGTCGTTCAAAGGTCCCGGCTTTGGCTTTCATGCTGGCTATATCCATGGCTCTTAGTACGGAGTAGTGGTTCAGCCCCCGCCTGTTCTACCGCACACCCTTTTTCTCATTTGATGAAAAACCACCTGGTGTAACGAGGCAAACCCCCAGGACCGGGGTTTGGACTGCATGTCGTTGCACACCCGTTTCGCGACTTGGGCGCTAAGCGGGATGATTATTGAATCCCACAGCGTGCTCAAAAACGAGTCTCCTTCCACTCGCACGACCCTCATGATGATCGTCATTTGGCGAGTTGTTTGCACGCACTGAAAATCCATCTCAACAAAGAAGCTGCTGAGGCTATGATCCGCTCTGGAGCCCCCTGTGCAGGCGGTGGGCACCGCCGGATACAGAACAGATAAAAATACTGACTTTTCTTCACGTAGCACACTCGTTCTGCAAATAAAAAGTAAAAAAAGAGACAATTTACCGAAGCTCACCACCCACGTTCCGATCTCCTGGTTCGGTAGAGAGTGGTGTTTCGTGCGCAAAGCCCAAATGCAAAGACCGGGTTCCTAGGGCTCTTGGCCTGCATTTCTGCTCTCTGGGAAGCCGTTTCTCATTTTCGGAATTTGAACTGCTTGAAGGGTCTAGATCTACTCAATCACACCCCATCCCATGTGCTTGAAGGAAAAAGAAAAGCTCCGTCGGGTTTGAAAGCCGTGCCATGACTTGCGCGGATCTTTCCTCCGCTCCCAGTCCAAGGCGCTCTGCCTCCTGGGCTGTGAAGAAGCAAAATAGCCCCAGGGGCACGCATACGAGAAGATGTCCTGATCGGTCCAAGGCAAGGCCTGATCCGCTGCTTGGCGCCGTGAGCGTCGGCAATCTGGATCAGGACAACAGCAAGATTGCTGTTTCGACCACCCACCTCGCCGTCCAGCCTCCCTCTCGACGGCTCCTCCAGGGCTTTTCCCAGCCGTCTTCCCTGCCACACTTGCCTGATTTGTCAGCGCACATGCACTAGCTTGCGGTCTGCGGCTGTCTGATTGGTGTTGGAGGGATGTCGGGGATTCCGTTCCGCGAGTCGATTCGAAGCTTTGAATGGAACCCTTATTTGAACGCATTATCGAACCAACTAACAAGCTACAGAGTACTAAAATCGCCTCCTAGGCCACATCATAACACACAGGAATCAAAGCACGGATGCTGCTCGACGTTTGCGATCAAGGGAAGCTGGTATTCGATATCTTAGCCTTTCATTCTGTGTAGATATGTCCTCTGTACCAGTCCGCTATTACCCAGGCTTAGAGTGCTGACTACATTGGCCTGCCTCCGTTCAACTCCTAGTGGGTTCTTTCAATCGTTTTTTAGAGAACCCTTTGTATAGCGACTGTTCTAATATTTAAAAGCTATTTATATGTTTATATTCCCTACCTAGATACCAAACCGACACCTAATAGCCTTTACAGCACCCCAAAAATGCGGTGTTAGAATGGCAAGGAGCCTCGACTTCCGAGTATCGCCTCTCTCAGTCGAAAAAAACAAGCAGGTTTCTGCACAGTTCTCCCCACAAACTAAAGCAATCAACTACCCGCTAGTCTATTCAGTGGAACGATGCTGCGAACTTCCAGGATATTCTTGAACCTCTCGGACTTTTACTGTTTCCTTCAAACGCCGACATTGTACGCGGAAGCTACATCAAACAAGAGATACGGGGCGACAATCCATACTTCTTAAGGCCACTTCGGCGAGATGGCCGCAGGATACTAATGCAGCAACATGACCGTGATAAATCCGTCTTGGTATCCCGTGCTACCGCCGTCGAATCCTCTTACATCAGGCCATGGAGCCCAGGTGTACCCACTTCCTTAGGGTGTTGCGTGACTCCGCATAAATCTTCTACACCCGAGGATCTTTGGAATTAGGTTGTCACAATGTCTACATGCAACTACCCTGCTGGAATCGACTACGTTGCAGATGCCATGAGGATCTGCTTGGAACGATAGTATTGAAGACTGGTCTAGGATTGCAACTCTTGAACCATCCAGCATATCCTTTCGAATTGGGCCTTGGAAACAAGCGGGATTCGGATCTCCCCGGCCTAGGTCCGTATATGTATATCAAACCGGCGGATACAAAGTCTATCCTCCGCTCTTCCTCTGTTGACTCATGCTCCCGCACCCTAGCACGCACGGAGCATTCGTGCAGAAACCTGGTTTGGCCGGGCAGGCTTCTAGGCGACAACAACAACTACATAGCTGTCACAGCCGCCCTAAAACGACTGCCCTGTTTTGGAGTCAGCCAAAGTCCAGGGCCAAGCACTCTGACAGGCTCCATTGTTGCTGCCAGCAGCAAAACTCCCATTCACCGCCCCTGCCGCTGTCGTTCGCAAACAGGGCTTAAGGGCCAGGGATACTGTGGGGGAGCGCGATAAGCTTAAACCTGCATCGTGGCCGCCGTTTGGTGCTAATAACCTAAGCGAGGCTGGCATGGCAGGTCGCCAAAAAGCCAAGAGTAGTTAGTTAGTTAGAGATGACTTGCAGGCGACGAGCAGCCTCGAGATCCGAGACTCTCGCCTTGTCGAGTCGTGATGTCAGCGCTGCGAGAGGAGCTACCGCACTGCAATTGCCTGTTAGCTAGCTAGATAGATCGCGACGTGCTTTGTCTTACGATGGATTCAATAATGTCTTTTTTTTCTCGTCCATCCCCTCTCTTCTTTTGCCATCGCCCCTCGCTCGCGCGCGCCGCCCTTGGCCCCGCTGGCCGTTGGGCTGGCCGTAGACTAAGCAACTCGCTAGGCGGCGCCATAGCCGGCCTTGCCTCGCCGCCGCGGCAGCGAGAGTTGGTTCAGGCAATCCCACCCGAGGAGTTTCGATGCCAATTGTCTCACAACCGTGCAATGCTGGACCGCAGGAACGCACAGCGGCCTTGGTCGAGCTCCATGGCTCAAGAGCCAGCTAGTTAACTTGTAACTAACTAGCTACCTAGTCCCTTGTCCGTCGCCGCGGCTCACCGTGCGCGCGCAGAAACGCACTCAATTCCTTGCTTAGTGACCTTCCTGTTTGGGATGCTGTTGGATGTCTGCAGCATTAAATATCGGCGTCACGGCCGGTGTGAGGGCACCTCTGGCGGTGCTCTTCTATTCCGTTTCTTGTCGTCTGTGTGTTGGAATATTCCTTTGTCGGAGCTATGAGCGGGGACTGACGTGCAGCCTTTCTGGTCTGATTTGCTTCTCTCCTATCTCGTTCTGTGTATCAAAGACTACTTCCATCAAGGGCATACCTACGCGGGCTGAACGACTGCCAGCCGACCAGCCGTGCCACCATGGGTTTATCCTGCGGCAAAACCATTCACCGGCACCAACAGCATCTAAAGTGGTCAAAGCACATCCCCCCCGTTACCACAGTCAATTCCGGCGAGACGCTCACCTTCGATGTGCTTGACGGGAGCAACGGCCAGATCACTAAGTCGTCGACGGTGGATGTGCTTGATGGCTTTGATGTCAACCTAGCCGACCCTGCCTTTGGTCCCATATATATCAACGATGCCAACCCTGGAGACGTCCTGAAAGTGGAAGTTCTGGAGCTAGAGCTAGCTGACTGGGGGTGGACCGCAATCATGCCTGACTTTGGTCTTCTACAAGACGAATATAAGAGCCCAGTCCTCAAGCTCTGGAGTATTGATTCCAGTTTACCCTATGTGAAGTTTAAAGACGGAATACATATCCGAAAAAGACCGTTCTTAGGAGTGATGGGCGTAGCACCCGGAGAAGAGGGGGAGTTTCCTATGATCCCTCCCTTGGAAACAGGTGGCAATATGGATTGCCGCTACTTGACTATGGGGTCAACCCTATACCTCCCCATCCGAACTCCAGGGGCCTTATTCAGCTGTGGTGACGGGCACACGACGCAAGGCGATGGGGAAGTTTGCGGCACCGCTATTGAGACACCCCTGACTGCTACCCTTAGGCTTACTGTCTGCAAGAACCAGCCGTGGGTGACCGCACCACAGTTCCAGACAGCGCCGCTCAACGTCCTTGTGAGTCAACAGGAGATTGACGAAGACAAAGGTGAATACGCCGCGATGGGCATCGATTCGGATCTGCACGAAGCAACAAAAAAGGCTACACGTAACCTGGTTGCGTGGCTAGTCTCAACAAAGGGCCTTACACGTGAAGAAGCGTACATGCTGGCTAGTGTGGCCGGGAGTTTGAAGATGCTTGAGGTGGTGGATATGCCGAATTATGCAGTGGCTATGAGCATATCTCTGAATATCTTTGTCTGAGAGAACTTCACACTCCGGGGCTTTTATTCAAAGAACCGATTCCTTTTAAAATTGTACCGGTTTTACCAACTGTACATGATGATTTTATACGTAATGCCCTGATGTCATAACAGCAAGAAACCTTTGAAACCAATTAGCTACGGATAATCGATTTTGTTTCCTTACCTCATCTGTGTTATCTTGAAGCGTGATTTTCGCAGCAAATGTTACATTAGAACACTGGGTCCAGGATGCTAGGTGTTTTGTCCCCCAAACCATGTCACCGTTTCTGATGAAATTACTACTACAGGGAATAAGAACTGAACAGCACTTTGCACAGCAACCAAGAATATTCCTATTTATCCCCCAGCCGCCCAGAAATCTAGTATGGCTGGACATTCATTGTAATGGAATTCCATAAGCCGTCTGCTTTCGCCTGCTGCACGATCCATGGAGAAGCTTCTTTAGAGAGAGCGCTGTTTCCGCCTAAGCTGTCATAGACAAGTCAACCAAATAAACTTAAATAACTCCAGTATGATACCAGAAGCTCTCGAATATTCTTTTCTAGAAGAGAAGCGATATGTAGTTTCGGGAGCTTGACTCATGCAAAAGTGAGGGGTGCGCATTGATCACGCATGTAGACTGAATGACATCGAATATACTTTTACATTTATTGAAGAAAATGCTCCCGGGAAAAGCACAAGATGATAAACAACGAGCATATCTGATAACCATTCATTGCGCCTTTTCAACATATGCAACCGGGCCCTCGTAGACTTTTCTACCATGCAAAATGTATTGAATAACAGCAAAAATAATCACCACACCCCAGACTAAAATCGACCAGTTCATTGTCATCGGGGTGACATTGCTTTGGTTAGGAAAAAATGTGAAAATGATGGCGAAGCACATATAAAAGAAAGAGAAAATGTTGATCGGCATGCCGAATTTGCCGAGACTAAATCGTGCTCGCGGTAGGGGCTCGGGGCGCAAACGACGGGTGATAAAGGTCCCAACGCAGACTATGTAGGAGAGATAGAGGGATCCGACGGTGAGAGAGGCGATGGCGTTAAAGGCTTCTGTGGAGCCAATGTTAATCAGGGATAAGAGAAGTGTAATGACAGTTGTGAAAAGGACGGCATTGACTGGGATCTTTGATTTGGGGTTGACATTGGCGAACCATCGAGAAAATGGAAGAGCGTTGTCACGGGCGAAGGCAAATGTCTGCCGAGAGCATGTTGCTAGAATACTGATTGCGCTGCACACTTCGAGAACAAGGATAAGCGAGGCTAGGGCGGTGGCGCCACGCTCACTTCCAAGGGCATTCGTGTATGCAGAAACAAATGAAAACCCGCTTCTGGGTTCGAGTACAGTAGCAATATCGCCCATCGTAAAGAGATAGGTGATGAGAATAAGGAAACCGAGGGTGCCGTTGATGAGGGCTGTCGCAACCATACACCAGGGAACAATCCTTGAGGCATCTTTAATTTCCTCGGCTACAAACAGGTCAGCTACTGTCATCGTAGTACTGGGATGTCATATGATATGGGCTTACCGATATGGGTGGCACCATCGGGACCTGCGTGTTACAATAAGAGTTAGAAAACAGTATTCCTGTCCGTGGAATAGATTCAACGCACCCAAAAATGAGAAGATAGGCGTGATTTGACCAACAAGAACGGCCAACCCTAAACTTGGCCATCCAGCAGAATTGGTAAATTCAGTGAAAACCGTTTTTGGATCCGCTTTCTCGCCCATTACCCAAAGAGGAATCATCGTGGCAAAAAAGCCGCAGATATGAAGGATGAGAATCAGGCCTTCTAAACTTGGCAGCTGACCAGCGGCGTATGTGTTGATAAATGTGGCAAATAGCGCGATGGCGAAGGTAAGAAGAGTGCCATGCCATCTTTCGTAGGTGTAAGATGGCTCATTAAGAACGAGAAAGCCCTGGATCAAAGTTCCACACAGAAATGAGATACTAGCAAAGCCTCCTTGCCACCCTAATACCGAAAGCCATCCTGCAAATTTTGTCAGAGAACCTTTTTAGTTATTGATTGACTGGCGTTCTCCATACCTGTCATATAGCTCAAGAACTTTTGATATTTTGGGTTCGAGTACTCGCTAACCCAGTGATATTGGCCACCAGAGGTAGGAGACCTGTAGAAATTGATTAGACGTAATGAATAGGTATTTAATCACAGTAAAAGCACAAACATTGAAGCAATCTCGGCCATCGATATCACAGACGCAAAGAAGCCAACGAATGTCGCGATATAGATGTATATCATAGCGGCCTTGCCGCCATTGACCAGACCCAGGTTCGATGTACTAGTCCAGTCCGTTAGCATTGTGTGTGACTTTGCCATCCTAGTAGTTTCTTCGCAGGGAACCCACAGCAAAATTGATTCCCAAGTTGCCATCAAGGTACAGGTAAATCCAAGAGTGGAGAGGAATCGAAAATTCCTCTGGTAGCACCGTCAGCTTATCATCTGCCACCTCCTTGGCCGCTCGTGTTGTTTCAAAACATCACCACACCCCAAGTGTTTTGGCTGACGTACCTTGAATTGCTGGGGCTTCCCCAGACGTGCCATGTCATTCTGGTCATTTTGAGTCGCATCATCGGCTGTGCTTAGGCTCACATGGATGTGGCCATCTTTGGAGTTGCCTCGTCGTTCAACAACGGTGTCGCTCATTGTTTTGCCGGAAGGGCCCTCTAAATATAGAGAAGACGCTCAACGGCCCGCAAAGTATGAGGCAAATGTAAGGATACGAAGTGGAAGCTTATTGGTATGTTTCCAATTGATCTCATTCATCAATGTCGTTACAATGATATCAAAAGGCCGGATTTCACTAGCTTGGCTGGTGTGGAAAGTGGCCGGAGGAGCTTGTGAAAATATTCAGAATAGTTGTTGCGCGAACTCTGGTGGTTTTAAGAGCTTCTAATAAGACTGGGGCAAGGGCTTTCAACTCATGGCTCGGCTTTCAGGATCACTCCCGGAAAGACAGCAAGTCATTGAAACAAAGCAGCTAAGAAGGGAATACTCGATCTTATGGGCGGCATAAAATGTGGTTCTTTCACGGAAAGGAGGAGATGCAGCGTCGGCAAATCCGGTTTGCTGTGTGGCTGCGAAAGGGCGTTCGGAAAAAGGATGATTTTGTCGCTACTGGGGGGCTAGTCGACTTACCCGCTCGCAAGGGTACGGGCCGATCAGCTCCACAGATGTATCCTCGAGCGCGATGGAAGCCGCCAAAGCACCCAGGTCGTATGGCGGAGAGGGTTGGGAGCTGATATCTTTTGTCATCAGTGGCGGACTAGCCCCTGGAATCGGCTGCCGCAGATGAAACCCTCTCGAAATCGGCCACCACAAGCACCTGGTCGACTGCCTCAAGGGGGAAAGGAAAGTGGCTTGCAGGGGGTAAACCTAGCATTAATTGCCCCCGATAAGAATGGTTTTAGTCGACCGCCTTTAGCTAGGCCGGCATTGCTGGTTGGCGGTACAGTTTGATTATTGACTCCCGAGTTAAAACGACCCAGAGGCTTGGGAAATGAACAGTCGGACCCTTGAAGTGAGGGCCAACGCACACCACCGTTCAAGTGTAACTGTCACAGTAACTCCCTGCGTGGCTCTGGTCTAGATTGCAATACTCCGTATATGGAAGAAAGACGGATATTCTGGATGTTTTCTCTGCGCGTGGCGAGCGGCCAATCAACGCGCACAGCCGGCTCCGAAGCGGGCCGGAGCAAGGTTGGTCCTGGCCGGCGCCGGAATTAGTCAGCACTTCGTTCTTCCCAGCCAATCAGCCGCCGCTTGGCATGCAGTGAGCTACTGAGTCAGAAGAAGGCTAGCGCCGGCCATCGCGCACCATTATTCCTCGCCGACAGCACGGGAGTGCCAGGGCCATGACGGCCGCAATACCAGAGCAGGCTCCGTAAGTTCAAACCCAACAGTATTGGCTGCTGGCTTCCTTACTTATTGTCTATGAGCGCAGTAAATCCAATGCCTCTTGCGGCTGATAAAACTGGTCTTGTTTGATCCGCTCGTATTTGGGTTTCGCCGTGGACTCAAGTTGCATCGTGTACTCCGTACGCCACTTTATTATGTGCATTTGCGTTCAAATACCATGTGTGTGATGGGCGAAGGTGGGGGCGGGCGGCGCACCCACCGGCGATAGTCACCGCTATCCCTGCAAAGCTTTGGTGTCTTCCCAACCTTTGGTCTGGGGTTATGCGTATGGATATGCAAGGAGCCTTGTATGTATGTATGGAGTACTCCGTACATACATACTAACGGTTGGTTATTGTTACTTCTTCTTTGTACACCCGCAAAGTAACATTCTGTTTCTCAAAATATCTTTTGAGGCTGATCTATTTCCCCCGGGGACATTCCCTCTGTTGCTTAGAATGATACCCGCCTTCTATATGACTGTCATCTGTCTAGATGCATTCTGAGTACATATAGATGTATGCACAGTACACAGTTACGAGATGCTAGAGGAGTGTCACTCATCCATAGTTTTTAGAGGAAGCATTTCGTCATTCTGCTTGGCAGCCCTTGATGGTATTTTGTCATATGGCTAAATGCCGGGGAAAGCCCAGACTAAAATAATAAGGACAAGTGAAACTCTTAGCGCGGTGGTACGAGTCGATCTGCCAGGCTAAGATTATTGAAGGCTCGATAAAGATAGATGCTTATGTTCTTCCACTAAAGGAGGATATTAATTATTACCTAAATCATCCACTCCTTACAGTTCGAGGGATCGGCGATGGCTACGAAGTACTCCGTGCATATTGTTACAATATTTACCCCGTACTCCGTACAGATTGTGAATTCATTGGATTATTTTGTTTTGTCGGACAATTTTTGCCCTGCATCAGGCGGTCGGTTTGGAACGGGGCGCTCGGGAAAAAAAAGGAGTCGGCTGGAAACCGTCTACCGCGTCAAAAGTGCGATCAATTTTTCGATTTTTCCCATACCCGCTTTGCTGGCTGTTGGTGGCTTGTGGAGAGAGGGATTAGCACCACTATTTTAGCTAACTAGGACCTTTAGTCGTGCGCCAGCCGACGTTACCGAACCGTCCTCGACATTATTAGCTCCTTTGTACACCTCCATCGTTACAAAAACTGCCAGACTAGACAGAGTGCACTGTTCGGAGGATAGCGTGTGGAGTACTTTGCCTTAATAACCATTGTATCAAAGATGGCAAGGTTTTTTATACTTTAGGGCCGTGGTCACCACTTCTCCGCACTTTTCCCGCCTCTATCTGGATAATATGTTATCAATGCCATTTACAACTTGCTGCACAGAATCAGATCGAATAAGTGGCAGTTCTCTAGTTCGAATTAGTTGGGCGACCTCGGTCGAAGGTCACTCAAGTCGATGGCTAGTGGACCATACCATATTACCGACGATGAACATGGGCCCTATGTTGTTGTCCTCACGGCAGTGCTCATGACCTATATGATTCTATGTTACTGCGCAAGATTGCTGACACGCTTCACAATCAATGGTCCATTAGGACCAGACGATTGGACTATTACTGCAGGATCGGTAAACACTCTTTTTCCTTGGTTTGAAAGAATCGATTTTTTCAGCTTGAAGCGCGTTAAATGTTCCGTGAACAATACCTGAAATAATAAACTAACACATTATAAAATGGCCCTCCTAGATCGTGGCCGTTATTCAATCAGCTTTGAAAATATCTGAGGCAAAACATGGGCTTGGGAAACGTACTTTAGTTGTTAGTAAAGACAATATAGAAACTATTGGGAAGGTGAGGGAATACCAGCCCCGATGAAAAGCTTTACGCACCTGGCAGAGTATAAGCTAATTGATTTAGCTTGCTTTTGCTGGAGATATACTCTACATCTTCTCAATGACTTTGTCGCGAGCGGCATCGTTCCTCCTTATTGCAAGACTTACCAGACAAACAAAATACAATCGCGCCGCCCGTGCTGGTGTGGCCTTATCAGTTGCGATTGGTTTTGTCTCTGTATTTATTATAAATTTACGATGCAGTTACAAGCCCTGGATCATTGTTCCAAAGTGTGCTGAAACGGTATGGCTTAGTCTGTACTAACTTGTTTGTTGTGAGATAAATTGACCAGTTGTAGATCATTCGTTGGTATATTGTTGAGGGTTTAGGGGTACTGGTGGAGCTCATCGCAAGTTGGCTCCCCATATATATGATATGGAGCTTGAAGATGAGACTGAAAACAAAGCTGGTGGTTTTCTTTGCTTTTTCATCTCGCATACCGTAAGTAGCATGTGTCTTGTAACCTGTTAAACACTTGGGCGTTTCTTATGATCTAACTAATGTGGGTAGAGTGGTGGCTATTACCATTGTTCGCCTTCATTTTTTACGGCGCGAGGCCTCTCGCAATGACCCTCTTTTTTACGGTGCAGATTCGTCTGTTTGCTTGGAAGTCGCCCTTCACTATGGGTTGATTGCTGCCACAATACCCTGCCTAAAGCCATTCGTCAAAGCTTTCAACACAGGATGGTTCGATACACGAGCGGTAGATGGCCTTAGCTACCCGGAAGGATATGCCCTATCGAACTTGCACCGCTCAACAAAATACTCCGCCAATGCAGGAGTTGGAAACCCAGTCGGCCGGGGTGTCACGATACACAGTCCCCAAGATGGACGTGTAGCCCCTCGTGACCGTGACTCCCTGTCTTCGCTTGGCTCAGATACCATGATCATTCGCCGGACTACTGCCTGGGATGTGTCATATGAAGACCACAAATGATGGACACATTTCAGAGTAAGGTCTCAATACCTTTCTCTCCGATGTGAACAAAAGAAAATATACGACTTTTATGGGCGGCTTTTCTGTTTCCGGTTTATGGGGCGTTTTAGAGCTTCAATGTTTAATGAGTATGCATCCATACGGAGTACAACGCTAGTTTAACCAGTCTTTTTTGAATTTTGAAGTTTTGAAGAAGTAATTTGAACTCGAAATACTGAGCACCCTCATAATTTATAAATTTGATCAAGACTGTAATTAGGGGTCCGGCGTGTCTGGCGGCATTAGAAGAGAGGAAACGAAACTTCTTGGTTGAACAAATTGAAGAACCTTTAGGCAATAGAACCGAGTGCTATTTGGAATTGTTTCTGTGTCTTGTATGGAGTCTTGAAATGGGGATATGAGTTAGTTGCACGTGACCTATAAACCACCCAAAAGCGAGAAGGAATGTACGAAATGCTGCCCATTGCAGATTCTGCCCTCCCATGAACTACAATCCCGAATGCCCGGTTCATTCTCTCCGTGGCGGCAGCATGCCGTCAGTTTAATACCAACACGCAAGCCGTGTGGCTCTCGTGCTGTAACATCCTTTCTAGGAGCTCTCCAGCTTCCCAATTCCAGAAGCAATTCTTCGAGAACGCATTGCCCCCACCGACAGCAAACCTATATCCCGCATCTACAACCCCGGTCCAGTTCTCCGCGAAATATCCGCAGCTACCACTCCAAATCTCAACCTTCCCCAAACCCTCCAGCCGATCGTTTTACACCAGAACAATCCGCCATTCTCTCCGCTGCGCTGAAATACGTACCGGAACATGGGTTTTCCTCTAAGTCTGTCATAATTGGGGCCCGGGAACTAGGGTATTTGGATGTATCCTTACAGCTCTTTTCCCGTGGAGCAGAACTTGAATTGGTATTGTACTGGTTAGCGAGCAGAAGGGGCTTGCTAAAGGAGATGGTTGAAAGCGGCGAGGTATTTGGCAAGAAGGACGTTGCTGCGGAATCCTTTCCTCCTGCTGAAGTAGACCGACGAGTGAAAGCACTAATAGTGGAGAGGTTAAAGATGAACAAGGAGATAATACACCACTGGCAAGATGTGCGTTGTGTCAAATAGGCGGCTCTTAAGCGCGGCCACTCAAGGCTGATTCTACTCTTTTCTTAGGCTCTTGCTGTTATGTCTCTGCCATCGGGCGTTTCTCCAGCTCTCTGCGAACTCTATGATCTATCCTCTGATATTTTATATCTTGCCAATGACCGCTCTGTCGATACGTCGTGGTACACTAGACGATTAGCTGTGGCTACTATTTATGCTAGTGCCGATATACATATGACGGAAGATACTTCGCCAGATTTTCGATCAACATTCGAATTTGTAGATCGTCGGATCCACGATGTCAATACCGTCATGGATACTACCAGTGATGTGAAACAATATCTGGGGTACATAGCCGGCAGCATTGTCAATGTAGGAAGAAGTTGGGGAATGAAGGTATGAGTGGTTGAAAAAAATAGCACTCGCAGAACTGCATCTAACTTCTCCAACTTGTGGGAAACCTTGTATATTACTCATGAACTTGATACTGAAAGGGCTAGTTTACAGCACTAATGCGAAGTACGACGTGTACAATACCTCTTTCCAGCTAGATATCTAATAGAAAGCTTCAACTAGACGGAGGATATAAGAGATCACATTCAGTCGATTAACAGCCTTCATCAGAAGTACTTGTGATATTGCTTTTCTTTTCGACTAAAAGACGAAGACTTAAGAGGCCGACAGATATTACTGAGATGAAAGCTCCAAGAAAATAGTCCATACACCTGATCGAGTCACAGGAACTTCTTAGACAGCTCTTCTGCCTTTTTCTCTCTTATTTGATTCTTTTTTAGCTGGGCTCTAATTCGAGTGATCCACCCCTTGCCTCTTCCCCAGCCTACAAGGTTCTTATAAGAAGTTCGAGTAGTCTCTGAATCCCACCACCATGATCCATCTTCATCATCGCCACCCTCGACTCCTGAGTGATCTCTATCAACTTGTCGTGACTTCCGTATCTCATCGACTAATGAAAGTGTACGCCGATCGAACTCAATTCCCGTCTCCTCCATATCTTTAAGAAGAGACACAATGTATGGCAAGTCGCTGTAGACATGCCATCTGAAGGCAATGAGTTCATTACATAGTTGAGTGGAAGCCCCGATTAAAAAAGAGGCACGTCCGCGCGCCTTGACAGCATCTAAAAACTGGATGTTGTATTGCGACATGGGAAAATGTCGGCAGAGTAGCTTGGCAGCATACAGTAATGTGTATGGGTATGTTTTCATAACGACGGGAACGATGGGAACATGTTCAGGAATATCAAGCGGAGCATCTTTACCATTGAATTTCTTTGAGGCGTTTATATCGTTGTAGGAATCGTTGGGAAATTGAATAATCGATTTTGGTGTAAACTTATCATGCTGCCAGCCACGATTACTTAGTTCGGCCAATGGTGATATTGCCTCTAAGTCCACCATCTGCAGCATTCCGAAGATTTTCTGTTCACAAATTTCCCAAATCCCAATATCGCCCTTTCCCTCAGCGATAGCATCGTCCAGCTCCTTACAAATCTTCTTAGATTCACGCTTGGAAATCAACCTAGCAAGTGGGAAGGGGTGAATTCCGGCGAACTCCTCATTCTCGGGGGAAGATGAGCCATAATTGCTATCCCGGAAAGCGCGTAATTTTGAAAATATCTTTGAAGCTTGGGTTAACTCGGAATATCCATCGCGGCTGTCTGCGAGAGAGTAAGGTGGTTGATCTGCACTGCCTGACTCTCCTTGCTTCGAGGATCCGGCTGAAATAGTTGAAGGGGCTTCCTGATTTATATTTTGAACTGCGGAGTCGAAGATAGAAGTTATTTCGGTAGTTTTCTGATTATTTAAAGCAAGTTTCTTGTGTTCAGGTGTAATGTTATTACTCTGAGAGTGTTTGCTATGATTATTAGCTCGTAAATCTCCACTGTCTTCTCCTGTCAGACGAGCAAAAATTTCCCGCTCTGAGGAAGTTAAGGTAGACCGACGACTGCTGGCTGCCACCTTTCTCATCGTAAAGTGCGAGGTATGTTTTTGCAAATCTTCTAGTGACCTTCTTTTCGAAATACTGTCATGATCGGTGGAATCAGCATCTGTGTGTAAAGTAGCCAATGTTACTCCATTTTTGTCTGAAAATAATGAAGGTCGGGATGCATAGAGGCAGCGCCTGCGAACAATGTTTGTTGGGAGTTTAGGAAACGTTCGATCACTACAGAACGGCGTTGTTATTGTTCTAGTACAGTAGAGGAAGGGTAGTAATATAGCATCGTTGCTGACGACTCCTTGCCGGGGGGGAATCGAACAGCGCATCCTGAGTCGTGTTTTCTTTCGTTCTTGCGTCGAGTCTCGAGAAATTCGAAATTCCAGATGAGGAAATCGAAGTTACTGGAAAGTTTAATAGCTAAAATATAAAATAAGGTTTTCACGTGACATCGCGACCTGAGGTGTGAAACGACGCGCCGTGCATCTGTGAGGCCACAACGGGATGTGTGTTGATCACTGACACTTGTCAATTGGCCTCCCTTTGAATTATAACATAAATTCTAGCGTATAAATATGCCGCGTTTGGAGGATGAACCGGTTATGTCTGACTTCGAAAGACAGCGTGCTGCGAATATCGCCGAGCGCGATGCGCTCCTGAAAAAATTGACACTTGAGGCCCGGTCGACAGGAATATTCGACAAACCGCGACCTTCAAAACCATCGTCTCAAAAGAAGAAGCCTATAAAAAAGGTCAAGAAAGAGCCAGAGGCCCCTGTACCTCGACGAGTGTCCTCCAGGCTCCGAGGCATACCGGCCGAAAGCGAAGTTGCCAAACGCAAGGCTGAAGATGAATACCGAGTGCAAGAAGAGGCAAAGAGAATGCGAGTTGAGGGAGACCTCAATATAGGCGATATTATGGTGGGCGATCATAAATGGGACGCGACATCGTTTCTGGGATCCGACCTTCTAAACTCGAGAAATCGATACCAAAGAACATTCGGAAAAGAAGAAATTCGAAAAACGACAAATAAAGATTTGAAAGACTTGAGAGAAAATATGAGTTCTTTAAAACTTTGGGAGCACTGGGAGCCGAACCGTAAGCTTTGCGTTAAAGGGAGCTGCTCAGTAGTACTGATATGATTAGGTATTAAAATTACGCCCGAGAGAGTGTACGCCATGTTGTTTCACCCTACTGAATCGAAGCCGCTTATATTTGCGGGTGACAAAACGGGAAATCTAGGTATTTTAGATGCGTCGCAGACCCCAATGAAGGAGGGTGAGGATGATGAGGACGACTCCCCCGATCCCATAATCACTACCATAAAGCCACACTCGCGCACAATAAGTGCCATGCATATTCATGCATCTGACGCTTCGAAACTATATACCGCCAGTTATGACAGCTCCCTTCGGGCCTTAGATTTGGAAAAGTCCGTGGCAACGGAAGCATATGCGCCGAGGTCCACAGCCGATGACGAGCCACTCTCTGGTATTGACACAGCACCAGATGACCCTTCTGTTCTTTATTTCACCACTCTAGACGGTTTTTTCGGTCGCTATGATACGCGCATGGCAAGCAATAAAACCACCCCCGACCTTTATCAACTCTCGGAGAAAAAAATTGGAGGATTTTCACTTTGTCCTTCTGCACCGCATTATTTTGCCACTGCGTCCCTGGACAGGACGATGAAGTTATGGGATCTGCGAAAACTTGAAAAGAAAGACCCACAACCCGTGGGTGAACATGTGAGTTCTCTGTCAGTCTCACATGCTGCATTCAACCGGAGGGGACAAATCGCAACCACTTCTTATGACAATACAGTCAAACTTTATGATTTGGATGCAAAAGGCTTCAAAGATTGGAAGCCAAAACATACTCTTCCCGAGGATGATCTGGAGCCCGATGCCGTGATAAGACACAACTGCCAAACTGGAAAGTGGGTTACTATGTATGTTTTGCACTCTCTACTCGTCATTTACGTGCTCACTATTGAATTAGCCTTCGCCCTCAATGGCAAGCATCCCCGCAAAGCCCTGTGGAGCGGTTTTGCATTGGAAATATGAACAGATTTGTAGATATATATTCCTCCTCGGGCGAGCAATTGGCACAATTAGGTGGTGACGGGTTAATAACCGCTGTTCCTGCTGTTGCTGTCTTCCACCCGACCCAGAATTGGGTTGCTGGAGGTAATGCAAGTGGAAAGGTTTGCCTATGGATGTAAAATCTCCGGGTTTCCCAAACGGTACGCAAATAACACCAGCCAAATGCAAAAGCCATAAAGCAGAAGTATTCATAACATGTGGACAGCCACTTCAACCTTAAATCTTAATTCAGCCTAATTCTAGAGTGTTTTAAAGATATACTTTTGACTTCTCTTATCCGTTATCTTTTTTGACTTTAACACACTTATTAAAATGAGTAAATTGATAGTACAGGTTTCATAATGTATATTGGTACATAAGAAAAAATCTCGACGATATCTTCTTTTCTATCTCGACCGAACTACGAAGTGGTTTCATTACCATAATTACCTGCGAAATATGGGGATAGGTGGGATAAAAAAATAGAAAAAATAAAATAAAAATCGTATTGCGGTGCTGGAGATCTGCCATAAATGGGGAAAAAGGCGAGCAAATCAGGGAATACATAATATATCGTCATCAGAAATGTTAGAAATTGTTTTTTCTGGGCAAGAAGATAGGCAGGAAGATATAGTAGGTACGGTGACACTTGCAAATTTCAATCTCGAACCAGAACTGGCTTCGCGTTGGTCCTCGAAAGGCAATTCCTTGAAATGGGACGTTTGGCATTCGGCGCTAGGTGCGGTCTCTTCAAGTAAATAGGTTCTTGTAGTTCTTGTTGTTTTAGTCGTTACAGTGGTTGTTGTTTCAACCATGACAGCCGAGGAGCGCCGTTTTCTCTTTTTCTGTGGAATTTCAAACTCCACCGACTCGATTGTATCCATCTCTTCAAGATTTTTTTTTGATGGGGGATTTTGGAGACAGGCCTCTCTGATTGACAAACCCAGCGCCAAAGCAACATGCCGTGAGACACTATTTCCCACAATTTGCCATTGCTGTGCAGGCCGGCCAATGATGACTTCGTCATCTGGATAGCCCTGGGCTCTCCGGGCCTCCATAACCGTAATCAGACGGTTTTCTTGCCAGTGGAGCCACCGGCCTGTGAATTTGCAATGAGGTGTGATAGTGGTTGTGATTGTTGGCATCAAATGATCTGGATCTATTCTGCTCCAGGCCCTCATTGTAGCAATGTTGATTTTTGCATTTTCAGAATAGGGGATCGTATCGACATAACCGCGAAGAAAGCTTTGGCCCACACCCATCATTCTTGGATACTTTGGAATTTTTTCAATAATATTTCTGGTATCGCTACCAGACTGTCGATGGTCGGGAAACGGAATGGACATAATTCTAGCACTTCCAATGCTTGGAAGGTCCTTAGTTGCAGTTTCAGCCGAAACGAAATCATACACTGGAGTATCCCAGCGTCTTTGGCCAAACGGTAAGCCGTTAGGAGCCTCTCCCAATGATCGTAAGGTGGTTCGTTGAGGGTGAGAATGAGTCAAGGGAGGGTGTTTGGGAAGCTTAAGACCTGGAGCAGCTATGAGTAGAAATAGTCGGGACCTGCTTTGGGGGGCACCGTAGCTCCATGCATCCAACTGCATCAAACGAAGCTGATAGCCCATGCCAACAAATGCACATATCAGCTGAGATAGAGGGTTTCTAAAATGGGTTTTGCTAGACATTGCAGGGACATTCTCCAGTATTGCATACTGTGGGCGATAGAAGTCCACATAAGCAACAACAGATGCAATCATGGAACAATTGCGTAATGAGCTTTCACTTTGTTTTTGGGTGTTTGCTAGAGAGTATCCCTGACATGGACTACCCCCAGAAATGAAATCAACTTCACCAGGCTGTGCAATAAGCCTAGATGTTGACCCTCGAAGACCCTTTCTTAAATAGTCATTCACAGAACCACGGAAAAGCTTCAAACTTTCTGGATCTCCATGATTTGCACGATATGTCAGCATTTGATGTAGACCCCACTCAACAGCCCATTCACTTTTAACCGCCGTTCCTTCCTCTAAACCTCTGTCAAAGCTTCCACCTCCACTAAATAGATTGAGACCTCGTAATTTTTTTTTCTGTTCAAGAGGATCAAAGCCAAGCCGGAAATTTTCTTGGGGGGTCATTGGCAGCAAACCATTAGGACTGTCTTTGTAGATGATATAAAATAAATTTCCAGTACCATCCCGACTATAAGGTGGCGGTATAGTACCGCTGGATTTCTGATATTCAGAAAAAAAGCGTATATGGCAATGTCTTTGAATTTGTTCAACATGAACATTTCGAAAACGTTCTGTAAATACAAGCTCATTTGGACAACATTTCCCCCCAAAGTCACGGGAGCGGCGGAGAAGCTCACGAACTTTTACCTCTTGGTCATTCAACTCCATGATTAGAACTGGTTCTAGTAGATGAGATGTTTCGACTAAAACAGTATCACCCACACTATACTTTTGCCTATGAACTTTATAGGATGTGGAATTTGTTCGTGTCTTAGAGCATTTGCATTGAAAATCTGTTTCTCGGAGAGTTCTGAAGCTTTCATCATTAGAGTGGTAAGTTTGTCTGATGTAAAAATCCGTATTCTCTGGTCTATTAGAGAATAACGTGATAGAGACTCTTTTGATAACCTCGCTGACATTCACCTTGCTATCCTCGCAATTGCAATGGTCCGATAGGAAAAGTTCATGTTTAGATGGGTATGTCAAATCTGCGCATACAGTGTCCGTAGGTCTATAAAGCCAAATCAACCCAATATACCTTTCATTCGAAATATGTTGCACGTATGCGAACCAAAGCATATCATTGCCTTTCCACGCAGAGATATCATCCCTTCGAATAGCAACTATATCACCGGGCATTACTGGCTGAGAAGACGGAGGTGTAGTAATGATTCTCTTCTTAGTTGGTACAAAGCCCCTCTCGTAAAGGAGGCGACGGCGCCTTTCGGTCCACCTTGAGTCAGGGGTTATAGTTTTTAGATGATGCACCCAAGGCATTTTCTCAAAGCACATATATGTATATGGAGTAACCACCGTACTTTTCATCTTTTCAGGCTGCTCGGGAACAATTGAAAGTGAAAGAAGTCCAATCTCGCCCCAAACCCGGTGAGTTCCATAAACAGCATCAAGGCTTATCGCTTGCCCATAAAGGAAAGGACCATGAGCTACGATTGCCTGCCGAAAGTCTGTTGTTTGAATTTCTCTAATCCACACCCCAAATTCAAAATCGATAGCATGTCTATCCCACAGCCAATCCCGAAAGCGCCTTTGGAAATGGGAAAGGGTCACATTATCATTGTGCTGAAGGTAATCGACAAAATGCTTTGCAAGATTGGCGACCCAAAGAAATAGGTCATGATACGGCTGATACTCCCTTGAAGGCTTGCCAAGGCGATACCATACGGCACCCCTATCTCGACAATAACATGATTGGATCCACAAATCATTGCCAACGGCGTGAAGTTCAAGGTCTTCAAAGCCGCCAATGGAGACAGTTCTGAATGGTACCCGCTTAAGATAGAATGCTAGTCCATTGACACCATCTGGCTTCACAATTCCATCGAAAAGAAAGATGGCTGTCGAGCCTTTTAAGGAAATATCCTGCAGTCCGACCATCCCATATCGATTTGAGGTTGGTATTTCGCCATTGTATATGGTAAAGTCCTCTAGCAAAAAATTTGTAAAATGTAAGTCGTTGTATGTTGCTGTCCCATTTATGGTTGTGAGAAGGGTTTCTACGGCTTGGCATTCTCTCGATTCTGGAAGCGGGGGCTCAAATCCATCATAGGCGGAGGATTGCACTGCTTGTTGGGGAACTGAAATAAATTTTAGAGTTGTTTCTGCTTTCAATGGCATGTTGCAGTGCGGAGGAGGGGGGCTACTGGCATTAGCTTCATCCTCGCAAGTCAACAGAGAGAACAGTAAGCGGGATACTTACTGAAGTAGACCAAATTGAGGAAAGCCACATATAAAGAATTCGTCTTTGAATTCTTAAAAGAACATAGTAAAGAAGGAAAACGGGGGGAGTGTATATATCGCCATGCGCCGGAATTTGAAACTGTCGCAAAAGGCAAAACAGCGGAAAGGCAGGACAAAAGGTACACGAAATCTAATTTTTTTTTAAAGGAGCAAGATAGAAGGAATGAAGATGAACAAGCACTACAAGCAACAATGGTGGTGCCACTTGAAGGCAAAGAGAAGAGGAGGAAAGAAGGGGAGAGTGGAAGAGGAACACCACTTTGAGCTTGAAGAGCAGTCCAATAAGCAACATGCTTGTTCGTTCGGCGCTAGCGGTTTTAGGAATAGACCCTCTTAGCTTCTAAGGGTCGCAACTAGGTTCGCGGCAATTATACCTCATTAGGCCTAGTGCGACACGAAACCCCCTGACCGCGTTTACGCGGGAAACGCTGAGATGAACGCTCAACGTGGAAGAAGAAACTCAAGGGCGCCTTTTCTGTTAACAGGTGTAGTACACGCGACAGGCCTTCCACAGAATCTCCTTCTCGGCATTCAGAGAGACATCAATTGCTAGGAATTAAAGGACATGTGCTTCATTTGGACTCCGTGAAGAATTACGAATATGCGCCAATACCCGGCGAAGAAATTAAGTCTAGCATTCTGAATAGAACACTGCCTGGATCCGATGAAGAGCAAGAGAGTGGTGGTGTAGAAGGAAGCTTCAGCGGCCGATTAGTTCAATACCCTGAGGGGATATTTGCAAAAAATGCAAGCTTTATTATATTAGTAGAGTACGAAAGCACACCATGTGGTGGAGTAATTGCCAATATATTAAGGGTAATAATTAAGAACATGTTGCCCAAAAATAAAGAGAAAACCAACCCTCTTCAGGTGGCTCGTTCTAGAATGGCATCACGGTCACCCAACAACGAGACCCACTTTCTCCATTCCTGCCATTGGGAATAAGTAGCATTTGCCTTGAGACCTTGATATCTTACGGTTTTGAAATCTTCCACTTCTTCCCAAGGCTTTCGGGGGCGTTGCGTATCGTTTAGTCCGCTTTTTGGAAACCGCCGGGCAACACTTCCGTGAACCGGGCGACCATCCCAGCCCGCTTTCCGCATAAGGCTCTCAACAGTCTCTTCCTTGGTCCAACACTGTTCAACGGGAACGTCTGGTAAATATGTTGCCCCATATCGTTTTCCATTATGTGTAAAAGAGATGCGGATGCCATGCGTGCCCAAAACCCAATCCATTGCATGGGAGCAAACCTCAAATGAAGAGAGGAGGGTGAGAGAACATGAGAGGGAGGGCAGAAGCGAAGCGGGTATTGGCGAGAAACGTGTGTCTCCAAACGCCCTGATTTCGCGTTAAGTTATGCATAAAAATGTTTACAGATTGGAAGGCTTACGAAGAAAGAGAATAAGATTGTAGACCAGAAGAAAGGTCCTGTGGTTCAAAGGTCCCGATACAACCACGAAGCTGCTTATGGCCATCCCTACCGATGACATTCCAGGTCACAAACAGAGGGTACTCAAGATTAGTGACATTGCGGCATATACTGCCATAGCTCTTTTGCTGCAAAGATAAGGGAGGGGAATCGATACTTTGCGAAGTCATAGACGAAGTGGTGGAGTGAGATGAAGATGTAGAAGACAGAGTCGAAGGTGTGGATGCATTCGAAGACCTAGGCGACAGAATACCTCGAAGTCGAGATATGCTTGGGAGTCTTGAATCAGCGGGCCCGCTTAAATTCTCGGGCTGTTTGCTGTGTAAAGAAACCTCGTCACAATCACGTCTGGGTGCATCGGCTTTCTTGACTTGGTCCTCCTGTCTACCGGCGAGGCCTTCCCACTCCTCTTCGTCTTGAGCTGATCTTGATACAAGACTTTTATAGGCTTCATATTCTTCCCACAAGGCTTCTATTACCTGCAGGTTCGGAGCCTCCTCGCCTTTGAATGAGGCCGATATGCATTCGAAACAATAGTAACAGTGAGCGGGTGAAGCCATAGACAAATTCGACTATAAACGAGACCTTTCCGTTTTGTCTATTGCTGATAGGCGAGGTTTTCGGAATTCTAGGAGCAGGATATCAGCCTTCGACTCGGTTATGATGAGCCGGGAGGGCCAGGTGCAGAGTGGTGAGTTCAGTGTGAAAAAGCAAAAGGTAGGTTTAAATGTAGTATGATTAGGGTTTTGAATACTCTGCACGCCACAGCATACGATAATGCGCTGACCCTCCCAAGTACGGGTGATATCCTGTTCCCGTCCTGGCTGACAAAAGAAAAATGGCTGAAGTGGTTGTCTTGCTGCGGGGAACCTTGCGGGGAAAGTACCAAATCACGTGCAAATCCATTAGTGGTTAGTTATGTAAGAGCGGATTTGTGTATGGTAGTGAACCAATAACTAATCAAGGGGTTTATCGCCGGTAGTTTAATTGTGGTCTAGAACGTTGTATCTCAATCTTCCATGAGCAAACTACATTACGGGAAAAACTGGCGTTCGTAACCAGCGTAGCTCCAAAGGCTATTCAGCATTCGACAGCTTTTTTAAGAGGGATTCTAAAGTTCTAACTAGCCTAGAAAATTTGAGCGTTCCTCTATGTGCTTACTTGCACTCCTTATGGAAAACTGGATTACTGCCTCGATAGAGGGATGGAAAGGCTGTTTCTATGTCAGCGTAAGGACAATCTTCAATTGACGTCGCCGAGGTCAGTGCCTGTATATGTCGGATGAAGGTCCAAAAACACATTGAATCAGATAATCCACAGGCCTTGCTCGGTTAGCTCCTCCTCTGGAGTGTAAGAAAGGGGTGATGGGGAGAAGTACTCTAGACGGCCGAAATATAAACCCATGGATGATGTAGTGGAGACAACCATCACCAGCAAGCTTTTAGTTTCAAGCAAACAAGTTTGGCAGTGCTTGGTACCGTGGTTACGCCTCATCGGAACCTCAGACGTTGAAGTCGACATTGAGGGTGCAAACTTCGCAAACAATATCCAGCCACAGTGGGTCCACTAATGCACTTGCCGATGATGCTGTCCAATCAGAACACTAAGGCATCTTGCGGCGCAGTCGGAATTCACACACTAAACTGTTTTCGGCCCTCTCCGCCATCTTCTAACACCTCGGGACTTCAACATCGTTCCCTACGGCTTAATGGGGATGATGACATGGTCTTCGAGTATCAGAAGAAGCGCCCCGACGAGCTTAAGCCTAACTAGCAATCGACTTGCAGGGTACTCCGATGAAAGTGGACTGACGTACCCACGCCAGGCAATCCACACCAGACAAGCCTCGTCTCAGGGCTGTCTCAGACCTGCTCCGTTCCCCTTTTTGCTGATGCGGCCTCTCCACTGCGTGGTATGTTAGATCCAACCAGGCTCAAGGATTTCTGCTGTGAAGCGCGTCTCAGCTCGCGGGATCCAAGGATCGAGGCCCGGAGTATTTTGCTGCACACCCTGGGCATGTCACGGCCAGCATTGAATTTGTCCACTTTTGTTATTTTCTTACCGTTGCCCTGCAACAAAGCTGTTACTAATGAAGTCTGGGTTGTCCGGCATGCATCAAATCAGGCTTCACAAGCGGGCCTGCGTGTTAATTGTTACCCCCTGAGGATTTAGGCCATATTTATACACGCACGTAGACTTGAAGGGGGATTTTGGGTATTTCTTGTTCTCTTTTCCTTTCAGAACTCTTCTTCAAACTAGACAGTTGCTATTTGAATATATCTTTTTGTGTCTCTTTTCCATTTATCTGCCCTAACTCACTGTTGTCGCCGGTCGACTCGCTCGTTATCCCCACGAAAATCCGCACGCAAAGCAAACTCCGCTAAAATGAAATTTACTCTTGCCCTTATTTCCCTGCTTGCCGCTGTTACTCTGGCAGTCCCGGTTACTCGCAAGCGTATGTGTGAATGCCCTCAGTTGATATATGATATTAACTAATGTTTTTGTTTCCTTGCTGTCTAGGCGGCGATACTCTACCTGTTATGACGAATGGGGCCAAAGAAATTGTTCCTTTTGACGCTGCAGGTGTGGTTGCCACTTAACTTGGTGGACTTTTTGGGCTGTTAAATGGAGCTGGCAACCTGGTGTTGAGAATTTGAGGGATTTGCCTTCGTATCTACCTACATGTGCTCATTCTACCCTGATCGTTACTCTTGACGGGTGAATAAGCCATTTTTCGGTTATAATGTTTATGAAATCAAGTATACAAGAAGAGGTATACAAATTTTATCAATTGCTCTCTTTCTATTTGTACAAATGGCATATCAACCACGGTCATCTTTGGGTATTCTCGCGCCCATTAATCCGAGTAAATTGCTTCCTGGGCCTGGGGCTCCTCCTTGACTTCGAAGGCTCTCAAGGAGATTTTTAGCTAGGTTAATATCAACATCAGAATCTTCAACGACCTCATCAATTAGCTCGGCAGCTTCTATGTCCGGTGCGGGAGCCTTTCCATCTAATGATCGACCGTTTTTTTCTTTCAACACTCTGTGGTGACCCAGTATTCCGGCCTTCTTCAGTTCCGACTCCATTTGTCTCGATAAGTCTTGGATTTCTTCGAGTTCCTTGTCCTCACATAATCCTACGTTTGCTTTTTCCAGTGATGTACCTTCCTCATCGCTAAATTCCACCTCCTCCAGAATAGGTTCTTGACGTTTCCGGTATAATTCACCCCTCAATATTTTATTTGATTTAATCATCTCGAACTCATCCATCATAGGCTTTAATTGTCTTGCTGTGCTTCCTTGAGGTTTAGTTGCATTCTTTTCAATCTCCCCCCCACTCGAATCCACTTCCTCTATAGGTGAGTGCTGTAGTTCGGCAGTGTTAGGCTGCGAAGGTGGAGGTGGCAACCCCATCATTTCCCGCATCATCCTGGAGAATTCCTCCTCGTCGAAGGATGCTTCTTTATCCTCACCATCACTACTTGAATCTTGATCATCAACTTCGCTATCATCCGATTCCTCGATAAAATCTGCCCCGTCGAAGCCGGCAGTATCATCGTTGAGGAACTGTTCAAATTGTGCAACTATCCGTTGTAGATTCTCCTGGGCAGTTTTGTCACCAAAATCTGACATCTTGGCACTCACTGTGGTTGACCGTTTCCCCGTAAGCTCTTGATCTAAATCTTCATAATTTATATCCAACCAAGACTCATCATCTTCCAATTTTTCCCAATTCGTATCAATTTCTTCGTTACTTGGAAGTCTTTCATCCCCAGCCTCAATATCTTCGAGCACTAGCTTCATTTCCCGAACCATTGGGTTGTCCTGGTTTTGAGGGTCGAACAACAACATTTCAAACCCGCATCCCAATTTCATTCCTATTTCAGCGCGGGCGTACTCTTTGGTCCCGAATTCAGAGGGAAATCCTGTTTTCCATTTCCCTGGAGGATCAAAATCCTGACTTTTTAACTGTGCAAAGCCCACTTTCGTAAATTTTACGCTGGTAGTAACGAGATCATCAGGCTCAAATATAAGCGGTTTATCCTTTGACTGTAGTGCGCGCAAAGCGATTGGATCACGAATATAAAAGGCCTCAATGGCAGGGGCAACATATGCAGGCTTAATATGTAAGATATATGCAATAGTACGGGGAATGGTCACTAAAGATGTATGCATGTTCTTTATAATCTGAGCAGGATAATTTCGTAAGCGGTAAAATGCTTCTTCTTGAATTGACGAGGATCGGATTAATCTTCCAGGCTCCGTACGGATTGTATTCCTGGCATCTTGAAATGTCAAGTTTTGGGTGCTATTTTTTGCCGTTTTCCCTGGCGCTGGTCTAAGTATTACCAATTCACCTCTGTGGATCCATACCCTATTATTTGCTATCTCCGGTTCCAGCCATGCTGGTAATGTCGCAGCCGCCTCAACCAAGAGAAATTCGCCATCACTGTCCGTCACTTTAACCCACAGGTCATCAAATTCACGAGTCAGCTCTCGAAGAATATACACAATAACCCACTCATCTTCGATTGAATCGCCATATACCGTGCGACCTCGGAGAAGATTTACACCTGTTAAGACACACAATCAACACTGTCATGTAAAGCAACTGGATCAATAGCATAAGTCCTGACCATCTTCTTTTACTTGCTCCAGTCTGAAATTCTCACGCTGCCATATATAATCTTTTAAATACTTTTTAACCAATTTCGAAGCCGTTTTCTGTACATTGCCTAACGCTGCGCGCGACGCCACAGTGTCGTCTTTGCTGATATCATTAGGAATGCAGTAAAGAGAATATTCTATGCAATCTTCTGGTATTTCAGGCTTCGGAATTGGGCGAAATGTTGACTTAAACCATTCAATATCTTCTTCTGTCATGGGTGCCATGATTATCGCGTCGTTCACACCTTTTCTCTCTCAACGCAAATCAAGAGTTCTTTAAGTGCCAAGGCGCTTAAGGGCAAAATCAACCTTATTTGGGACTCCACACCTGGGTGAGATAAGCATATTACACGTGATAGTTCAATAACATTTAACACTAAGCCTATAATGGCTAGAAGTAAACAAATCTCCCGAATTGATCAAACACGTCTTCTGACGAAATTCAATATCGCAAACGATCCTCAGGACCCCATATTGCGTCAATTTCTTAGAATAGGGATGTGAGAGCATCCAAATAGGATATTAGGTATATATTAACGATTGGACTTCTGAAAAATGGCGTATAATTACATTGACACCCCGCGCACGGAAATGGGGAACGCGACATACATAACAAACGGGCTCCGAAGCACAACGCGACACAATCTTTCGGCACTTGATTCGATGGAAAATTCTTTCCAGTCCCCTTCTAAAGATGGCGAACTACTCAAAACAGAAGTGAATAGACGAAACCGCAAAAACGGTGATTTCTCATTACGAACCCCTCGGGCTGGCGCTCCACCATCCTCGAAGAGCCGGCGGAATCTTCCTACCACAGCGCCTCCGAAGGGAGAATTTACGCCTCTTATGAAAAGTGTTACGAAAGGAAATCTCTTGCGTGGCTCAAGAAAGGGCGGCCCTCAAACACCCGCTTACCTCAGGAATGATTATCGGGATCCAAATACACCGGGGCTACCGAAAATGGAACAGAGTGAAATCTATGAAGACTTCTCCATGAACGAGGATGACCCGACGCCTGTTCCTCAAATAGCAAGCAGTAGCCCACAGAGTACTCCGTTGCCTGTGCTGCCGGGACGAAATGTGAATGGAGGAGTGATTAAAGACGAGAATGTTATGACGCTCAAGGAGCAAGAAAATGTAACGTGATCAACATATTGCTACTTAGTAAAAGAAGGATATTAACATCTTATGCTTCAATACAGGTTATAAACAAACTGGATAAAGAAAATTTTGACCTGAAATTGAGGATCACCTTTCTCCAGGAGAAGCTGAACAAGGCTGGCCCGGATTTGAACCGAACTGCTCTAGAAGAAAACATAGAACTGAAAGTAAGTGGAAAGACGATGGAGCGTGAATTGCTGCGTTGCAAGCACAATTTGGCTCGGGCTCAGAGAAAAGCAGAGGCATGCCAACGAGAACTCGAAAGTTTCCAAGAAAAATGGAAACGAAGGCAGGCAGATGGTACATTACAAAAAGAATTGGACTGGATGAAAGAGGATTCAGAGAACAAAGATATAGAGATTAACGAATTACGAGAGGAACTAAGGTCGGTGCAGAGTAAAGAGTCCGATGAGATCCAGGATTTACGCGATAAAATCGGTGACTTGGAGTACACAATAAGAGAAAAAGATACTTTGTTGGAGAAAAAGGAAGAGGAGGTCGAGGAACTCAAAGAGAAAGAGCAGGAGGGCAATGGTTCCCTTACCGAGCTTGAAGCAGAACTTGAGCGTGCCAGAACTCAAGTCAATGAGTTTAAGGAGATCATCAAAGAGTTAAGAAATGAATCAAAAGACACCGAGACTGCTTGTCAGAGAGCTGTTGAGGAAAAGAACCGTGCTATCGAAGACTTAAGGGAATTACAAGATGAGATGGCCAATAAGTCCTTTTACACGAAAGGGTTAAGCCGCCAACTTGAAGATAAAGCAAATTCTCTCGAAAACGAAGTGACCATGCTGCGACGCCAATACCGAGATGCACAAGAGGAATTGGAAACCCAGAAGCGATTAGAGCGGCACCTCCAGCAACAGATTCAGGAGCTTCAGCAAGACCTTGATTTAGTGAAGGCGAAATCCCAAGATGAAATTGAGATTATCCAACATGAGCGCGACGTGGTAACAAGAGAGCGGGATCTTCTATCATCTCAGCTACGCGAGACGGATGATGAGTTACGGGCTCGAGGTGACGCAAAGAGTCTTCTACAAACCCGCCATGATGCATTGACCAGTGAATCTCAAGGGCTCCAAAAAGAGCTAGATAGAGCTCGAGTTGCTATTGCAGATTTGGAACAGCAAGTTGTAGACGAGAAGCGGACATCTTTTGAAAATTTTGAAGAACTCAAAGCCCAACACAAGGATAACATTGATCAGTTACGTGATGATATTGAGTCCTTGCAAAGAAACCTTGAAGACAACCGCGCGCATTTTGAGGTTGATCGTGACAAATGGGAAAGTGCAAGGAGATCTTTGGAGCTGCAAAAACATCAAGCTGAACAACAGGCTGGTGGGTATAAACGAACGATTGAACGGCTACATCAAGCCGAAACATCCTTGTCCGGCAAAGAAAAAAAATTCCAGGATATTATCAACAGTGAGAAACTACAGCATTCACAGGAGAAGGAATTGCTCAACCGTCAAATAACAGAGCTGAATAGTGATATTGTTTCCAGAAGGGAAGTGACAGAAAAGCAAAGACTGGAGTTGCTGACTCTCAAGGAAGAGTTGAGGGTAGCTAAAAGGGAAGGGGAGGCTATGAAAGAAACGGTTCAAAATCTCAATGATGATGTTATCGTTCTCCAAGCAAGCTTGGAGGAAGAACGACAGTTAGGCAAAAGTCAACAGAGAACAGGCCCTTCAGAGCTGGAGAAACAGCTTCAAAACATTACCATTGATCGGCAAACTCTTCGAGACAAGCTCGTTAACACGGAGTTTGAGTTAGGTGAACTTCGGGCCATTATTACAGACATCAAAGCGGAACGCGAAGAACTGAAGAGCCAGCTTGGCCGTACCCATAATCAACTAGACGAAACGTATCGCCTGGACCAAGAGAAGCTAGACCTTCGAAAATCCAAATTGCGCCATGAGAGCGAGGTCAAACGATTGAAGGAGGAAAAAGATGTGCTGCTTGAAGCAAAGGAAACGTTACGGATTGAACTGGATGTCGAACTCGAGAGGGCTGCTGATGAGGAGAATAGGCTCTTAGCGCAAATCGACCAATTACAGGACAAGCTCTTCATATCATCTGAAAAACGAGATCGCGAGCTTGCTTCTTCGAGATTGAAATCCGAGCGGCTAGAAAAACGTGTTAAAGATCTCGAATCTATTCTTGATCAACAAGTGCCGACCGAAATAGATACAGGCCCTGAAGCGGTTGACTCCTCTATTCTTCGACACCATTTACAAGAATCACGCAAAAAGGAAAAGGCGGCTCTTCGGCGTGAGAGTGATCTGAAATCTTCCGTCCGGCAGTTGAAGGACCGCATTGCGAATCTTGAAACTGAGAATCACGAACTTCAGACAGACAAGTTCGGACCGATAAGCTCGGAGGCTGGCATTTCACCTTCGTCTAGGTATCAAGAAGAGGTCCGCAAACTCCGTGGCCAGCTTCTGGATGCTCATAAAAATATGAAGGGGCTTCGCGCTAAAAACCATGATCTTCAGCGTCATGCCGTGATGGCAGAGGAAAGAAAAGACCTCCACGAGCTACTTAAATCTGCCACACTCGAAGCTGAGTCCCTATCTGTTAAATTGTCCGAGCGAGATGTACGTGTCAATGAACTTCGAGCTCACCTTCGTAGAGTTCGCGAGGAACGCACATTATCGAAAAAACAAGCAGATACGGCAGATAACCAACTTCAGGCGCTACAAGAAAAATATGGGGTCGCGCTGGACGACTTGGCATGTCAAGTAGGAAAAGGAGGTCGACACGAGAAGGAACTCAGGGGCTTGGGGAAAGAAATTATGTGGCTTAGAGCGAAACTGTCGAGAGAAGAAAGGTTCCGAAGAGACCTTGCCTGGGGCAAGGGTATAATGGAGGTTGGAGAGCGTATTAGAATAGCTTGGTATGTTGTCCATCATTTGATTGCTGGCGCAGAATACTAACAGACTTCTTCAGCAATGAAATGGATCTTCAACTTATCGCAGATATGGGGGTCGAAGCTGGCATGGCGGAGACGAAATTGTGTGGTCGAAGAAAACTCAGGAGTGCTGCTTTCGTAGTTATGGCTGCAGCTCGAATGCAGAAGATGGCAGCTGAGTGGAGGAAAACGAGGAAAATGGGCGAGGGATTGCGGAAAGCAAAGAACGATGTGTTGAAGAGAAGAGGTGTAGACAGGATGGCATCTACGAGCGAACCGGGGCGAGTTTGATACTTGACATCTGTTACTTTTCTCTAATACAATAGCGTGGAGCAAGGGAATATCCTCACTTTTTGGATATAATTTGGGCGTTCTGGGTCTAGGGCACTTGTTTTATGTGGAGCGTCGTGATGCCATTCATATCTGTGTCTGTAGCTACTGCCAACGTTCAAACATTGGCAAATGAGCACAGTGTTGCTGTTGTTTCTAATTCTAGGAGCTGGATCCTTTTTCAACTGGCATTGATCAACCCTGGAAGCCTACTACATATAAGTTATTCTGTCGCTTTTACGGTATTTAGGGTCAAGGCATATGGAGTATATTGATGGGAAGCTAAATTGGTAGTAAACACAATCAACTGACCACATATTTAGAACCCTCTTATTTTATTCTGAAAGTGCTAGATTATGTAGTTTACTATTCAATTTTCGTTTCATACATGACAAGGAACTTTCGGATACATGGGTGTCCTTTTTGTCTTTTTCAACAGTGACGTTCCGTTCTTGGTAATAAATGGCCTTTTTTTCAACAAAGGAGAAGGATGTACCTCGACAAAAGATAGTTTGTGCAAGTGACTAGGCTTTAATGAGGGATGGTGCTGGCTTCATACGAAGAACTATTTGTTTCAATATCAAATGGCTTAGAAACTACGTCACTCCAAAAAGAGCCGGGGTGTGCATCCAGTCCAGCAATTAGGGTCAATATTCATCCCTAAAGCAAAAAATGAATGTCTAACCGGGCTCTGGTAACTGGAATTAAGACGGCTGAGTAACAAAAACTACTAGTAATCGGTTCAATATGGTCCTAGACACCTTAGATATATCCAAGAGTAAAAACAAGCTTACTTGTCGTTCATTTCCTTCTTGATGCTGCAGTTTGGCTCCACAAGCCTGTAACAACCTGCTTCACCTTCCTCTCTTGCTCCCGAATCTGCTCTTCTGTCTGACCCCTGGCATTGCTACGACTGTCAATCTCCATCCTGTCGCCCTCATCATACCCGTCACCTTGCAACACTTTATCCCCAATAACTCGCTCTGGCTTTGGATCTACACTCATAGCACCCTCCATCATCAACCCGCCACCCTCACGGAGCTTGTTGATTGCCCGTACAGTATCAATTGCTTTGTGAAGTGTTCGTCGGGCGTTGAAGTTTTTCTTAACCACTGGAAGTAAATCTTCGCCAGAGCCCCTGCGGACAGATGCACTCGGGTTGAGAGGATCCGCTGGTGGACTTATCCAGGGGTGTTGAAGAGCTTCGTGGGCTGTGATACGGGCGTGAGGGTCAATCGTCAGGCAGCGTTTAATGAATTCGCGGGCTGCTTCGGAGACATTACGCCAGTATTCAATAGGGGTGAAAGAATAGTCAGCAACGAGGATGGCTTGCATTTCTTCTAGGTTGGAATCGCGGTCGAAGGGTGTGTAGCCGCAGAGGAGGAAGTATGTGATCACGCCAATGGCCCAGATATCACTATTTTAAAGTACCTTTGTTAGTAAAATCTCTAGTGTAGCGGGAGTAGGTCCAAGGAACCGAACAAGATCTGTTACGAAGGGGGTAATCCATACACAGGTTTTCCATGGCCGGACTTTTTGAAGATTTCCGGGGCCATATAGCCCGGTGTGCCACAAGTCGTGGTCAGAACATGGAACTGCTCCTCGTCCATTATTCTGGATAGTCCAAAATCAGCAATCAGGAGGTCCGCATTGTCTTCTGGGGTTCGAAAAAGGAGGTTCTCCGGCTTCAAATCTCGATGTACGATGCCGTGGTCATGCAGATATGCAACGGCAGAGAGCGTAGCGCGAATGAGCTCCGCTGCATCAGATTCGTAGTAGCTTCCCTTCCGACAAATTCGATCGAATAGCTCGCCCCCAAGTGCAAGATCTGTGACGAGATAGACTGGGGAGGAGTAAGTACCAATCCATGGATTACAGCCCGCGACGGATAAACGTACGATTGTTCATAGTTTCAAAGTAGTCTACTAGGGTCAAGATATTTTGGTGACCCATCGACACCTTTTTGAGCACGGCGATTTCATTTCGAACCTGGCAGCAAGAACGGGGTCAGCTCTCATGTTCTGGTGGTGGTTAAGGGATGGACGTCACACCATATGCTCCCGGCCTGCCATCAGCCTCTTGTTGATGACCTTTGCTGCATAATACCGCCCTGTATCAATGTGCACACACTCCTTCACGACCGAATATGAACCGGCTCCCAGCGTCTTCCCCGTCTTATATCGGCATGGTTGGACCTGCGGCTTTTGCGGTTGAGCCGACATTGGAGCTGCAAAGGCGTCTGTCGCCGGGTTTGGGAAAAGAGAGGACAAAAAGAAATCGAACGCAGGGTGGCAGGGCTCTCAAGGCAGTCCAGAGACGGTGCAGGCGGTTCCCGTGCGGCCTCGGGCGTATGATAACTGAGCTACTGCGGCGGGCGGGGTGGTGAATCGGAGACCCGACGGAAATTGGCGGGGCTCGCGTGCGATCAGCGACGTTCTGCAGCAATCGCAGGCTCACACGGGATCTCAGTCGTAACTAGCTATGCGCGCAGGCCATGTGTGAGGTTTTAAGGCTGTCAGGGTGTGAAACCCTTCCCGTCTCCGTGTTGCGAGCGATCGTCGCTCCGCCCGTTGCGCGCCGGTGCTGTTCTAGCTCGCCCGCGGTGCCACAGTTCGACTTCACGGCGAACCAGGGATCGGTCGGGCCGAGTAATCGGCGCATTAATTGGTGTTTCTACGGAGTACGCACGACTCTAGGCAGATGGGCGGACTATGAGAAAAGACATGTATATGCCCATGGAACACCGCTAATTTAAAGAGACCAGCTGCCAGCCCATTACGCCCAACGCTACCTTACAACCTATCCAGAACGCCGGTCGTAACAATCGTGAGCATCTTCAAGCCATAGAACTCCGCCACGCTTTGGAATACCCTCAGCTTGCGCTCTACTGCCCGTCGGTCGAGCATTGTGGTCCAACTGCCGCCACAAGAGCAATGTTCTAGCAGGGGATTTGCCATCAACGCTTTGCATTTCGTGCATTTCAAATCCTGCATTTGCCACTCCAAAACCAAGCCTTCTACCTCCCCAACCATCTTCTCTTCCAGCGCAAGGCGGTCATATTCCGTGTTGCAGTAATGACAGCACCACCGTTTGCTTGAGCCCGCAGGATCGCCTTTCTCGGGGAGAATGTCGCTGTCGCGGCAAAAATCCAAGTCACGAGTCATTGTACAGTGATTGCATATCACCTGAGGGAGTTTCAGACTGGCGCTTGGGTTCTCGAATTTACCTGCGTCGCTAAACTCCTTGATATCGAAGAGAGCCAAAAGCTCTCGGCGGAGAACTCGAACTTCTAAGGACGTATATTTTGACAGGCCCAGAACGTGCATAAGGTACTTGACAAGCTCCAATGTTGGATTTCTCTCGCGCTTGGTATCATGCCAATAGGCACCGGGAATTGTGGGAAACTCATAATCTGAGGCTAGCTCTGGATGAAGCATTTCGTCCCGCTGGCGTCGGATCAACCCAGTAATTTGCCGTTTGAGGGCTTTAGAGTAATTTTCAGCGAGAACGTTAGTTATTTCGATACCCTCCGTATCCGTTAGAGATTTGAACTGAATCTGTGTTAGTCGCGATTCATCCGAGTCGGCAGATTTTTTGGCCTTTTTTAAGCCGTGCATGATCTCGATGTATTCAACAACCCAGTCATTAAAAGTCTGCTGCAAAGGAGCTGGTAAGAATCCGTTTATCTGCCAATGCATGATTGTCTCAAGCTCCTGGCTACTGGACTCCACCACTTCATGGCATGCCTTGCCGCCATAGTTGAATTCATCATACCAAAGCAAGTACTCCCAGTATTCTTTCAGTTCAAGGTCCAAGAAGTTGAATAAGGGTTTAGCTTTAATTGATTTCAAGATATATTGGGAATATGCGTATGCATTCCCGACCTCCGTCTTTGTAGTCTGCAATAGCAAACGATTCGGGCTAGCGAAAATGACATTTGAACCAACGCGCCTGAATTCGCCCATTAATTGCTGCAAAGCCTTTTTGGACATCATCTGGACATAATGTTGAAGGCGGCGATCGTATAGCTTACAGTCTGGGCTTTCCACCCATCGTATCAAATGTTGTACCATGACATCGGCCATTGTTTTCCCTTGACAGGCTTCTACCCACCAGGATTTGACCATGTCCCGTAAGACAATGATGCCTGCCGATGCAAATGCCGTGTCCGAATAGAGTACCCCAGAGCCATCTGATATTTCTGTACCATTAGGTACTGATGGATTGAGCAAAACGGACTCGCTTCCTTCCAGTTCATTGATAAGAGCAGAAGTCAATATCGTATTAATAGCCAGGTTTCGAACGTCAAGGTCAATACAGACGGAAGAGTACGCTCCAGCGTGGTTGATCGTCGGAATTTCAACTTTCTGCAGAAGAGTTTCAAGATCATCTCTCTCGTAGCCCGCATGATCAGGTAGCGGACCAGAAGACCACCATAGAACAACATTATTTTGTTCTAGTCTTCTTGCGTAAGCAATGTCGATCAAGAACTTTGGATCATCTTTTTCAAGGTTGCAAAGCGGTACATCGCCATGTCTTGAAAATTCAATCAAGTGATTGATCCATGAGTCCAAAGCCAGGTAGTGAATAACAATCTGTTTAGCGACGAACGGCTGCCAGCCAAGCGGTGGCATTTCATTGTCTGGAGGGTCAGATCCCAATGCTAATAGCGGAAAATCCTTAAATGTTGGGATTTCATGTAAAAGTTGTTGTTTTTGGGGCGACTGCACGACGAACAAAGTTGGATATGAGCTTTCATTGCGAAACTTTCTCAGGAGGTCACCTATTTCGAGATGGGCTTTGCGCCTTGAGGTAACCTGCACAATTTTGAAGTTTAGATTCTCCTGATATTGAAAAATTTGTTGCCAGGTTTCAGAGTTGGCTTCTTGAGCACGTTGCCGTAAAGATTCGGAGTATATTTTGCTAATATTTGGAAATCCTTGTGTATCACGCTGCTTCGAAAGGATTACGATGTACGCTTGATCCCTCCGGGTTGAGATAAGGGAAAAAATCTGGCGATCCCCGGATACAATATGGTACAAAAATGCGAATTCAAATTGAGAATCCGCAAGATAGGTTTGTGTTGGTGGAGCTTTCAACAACGACGACAGCTCAAACCCATGCTCTAACCCTTTTCCTAAAACCCCCCGCTGGTTTTCATCAAATGTGCACTGTGTACCAAGTTTGATAACGGTACGAATATTCAGGGGAACCTGTGATTCGTAAACGCCCTCAACACTTGGATGATCTAATAGCTCCGAAATAACCTTCGTATCCTTTGTGTAAACTTGTTCGGGCATAGTTAATTGAAATAGATGAACTGAAGGGTGACCATTTGGTAGAGTATGGTTGATTTTTTGGACAGTGCACTCCGGAATGTCAACGTCCGGGAGATCCTCGTTTTTAAAATTGACGAAGAGTTTGCGGGGTACCTTGATAATAATGGGATGAATTTTCCGATCAATAAGTATGAATGCCCTTATTTCTCCAGGGATATCTGTCTCCCGGAACTGTAAAATCTGCCATGTGCTAACGTAGGTAAGCTCCGCTTGATTTCTGAAAAAATTGCTGATCGAATCAGATGCAACCACGGTGCGCTCCCCAAACAGTTTGCGGCGGCGAAGACGAGCATTCTTTTGTATTTTCCATTTCTGTTTTTGATATTTGAGCCAGCCCTCATAATCTTCCGTAATGGAAGGCATGAAAGATGGAAGACTGGCAAAAGGGTCGACAGAGTGCAAAGGCTCCGGGGCTTTTCTTTTCTGCCCCGTCAAAGTATCTGCTGGAGCATTGAGCTTTTGTGAGGCTAAAGCATCTTCGATATCACCAGTACTGGGCAGACGGTGATCCAGTATGTTGGCTGAAAGGTCAGACAATGGTGCTTTTTCAAAAAGGTCTGTCATCCTCTTTTGTTTGAACTTGTCATCTTTGATATTTATTCGCCTCTGGAGCCAGTCTGGGTGGGGAACTCTGGGAACTGGGTTGCGGACTTTTTGTAAGGCGGCCGGAATTGTGATCAGCTTCTGTATGACCGAGCCTAATCGCTCGAGATAGTACTCCCAGTCAATGATACCGCGAGGATCCATGTCACCGGGGTCTTCCTTGAGCCATTTACGCAGAAAAAATCTCTTCACACTTGGTTCTGCAGAAAATATAGCAACAGGAATCGCACGTTCCGTAGTCGAAGAGTTCTTTGGAGATGCAGAAATGATATATTTGCAATTAAGGCCCTTGTCCTTGACCATTTGGTCGCCAAGGAACTCAGCCAATCGTTTTGCAGTGGTGATTGAAGTCGATTTCTGAGCGCCATACTCTTCAAGGGTTTTTGTCATGCTACGGTTTTCGCAAATTAAATCTATTAACTCTTCATCCGCTAAAGTAGATCCACGACAATGGAGGACGTCAAGCCATCTGTTAGCAACCTCGGCCACAGCATCATACGTCTCCTGCAGGGTTGTTCCCTCCAGAAAGAATTTGAATATCTGGGTCTGAAAAATCTTGATGAGTTTTAGTTCTCCTCTTCGCTTGACCTCGAAGCCCTTAAGCTCCGCTAGCGAACCATCATGATTAAAAACAGCATATCTCTTTTTTAAATTTTTGTCCTCTTCTTTCGATGTTGGCAGGATCATAGCCTTGTATGGACCGTCAACCTCAAAAAAGATGGAGTTGTCGCTATGAGTTTCATATCGAAAGTTAACAGTGTCAACAAGAGTTTGATATTGATGGTTTGTAAAACGTGCGTGAACCAAATGATTCAACATGACACAGGGGTAAGATATAGGAAGTTTCTTTCCGTTTTTCAAAGTGAAGGCGAAATTCTCTGGAAATGTACCAGGAAGCATGCACCAAATACCATCAGTGTCCAATTCCAGTGGTCTTCCGATTCTCTCTATGAGTTCTCTGGCCATTTGAATAATATGGGCGCCTGTAAGACATGTCACACCGGCCATCTCCATTGAATACCAGCGCGAGCCTTTTCGCATGACATATCCATAGAAACTGTTGAGGATGACTTTGTGAGCGAGTTGAAGGGAATCAAACAGAATAACCATTTTCTTTGCTTCGTCAATTTCTGCTGTTGACGCACCAGAGCCCTTTAGAGTATCGACTTTACCCTTCCAGACCTTTTGTTGCCCTTTGAAGTCATATCGACGGTCACGAAAATTGCGCACAGTGTCCACGTAAAATGGATTTTCTCTTTGGCAGATAATTGCTTCCCTCTCGATGGTTTTACTATCATGGATTTTGTGATAAATCTTCTTGGAATATTCCTGCAGTCGGGATCTAATGATTTTAGCTTGCTCCGATTCGCCAAGCTCGTCAAAACTTCGCTGAGGACCGTCCCTTGTTTTTCCAGGGAACCGCTCATTCGCAACAGCTCGCCGAATCATATTGTATTCATCTCGCTTCGCTGGCAAAAATTCGCCTCTCCATGCCCATGGCAACCGTCTATCACAAGTCTTTCCGGGTCGGTTGAAATCACAAACAGCGCAGTCTGATTCTTTAATCATTGAGTCTGGCTGGAGACGGTTGGTAGTCATAATGTTGGGATACATCGACGCCACATCTAAATGGTAAATGGATGGCCGTTCGTGTCTATTAGGCGTCGTTTTCAAATTCATGAGTCTCTCTGCTATTTGCTCTTTGACTTTGTCATAATTGGTCACGTCTTCCAAGGACTTTTTTTCCTCGACCGTGATACTAAATGTAAGAGCTGCATCAAGGTCACGAATCAATTCGTCAATGGCAGCAGTATCAATTGAAAAGTTGACTGGGATATCACTACGGAAGACTCCCGCTTCGATACTTTCGACATGACCTCCGACGTAAGTTTCCGACTCCAACAGGTGGCCATCCCAGAAGGCTTCAATTGGATCTTTGTGCTTATTTGGAAGGATAATATTATTGCTGTAAGCTTGAACCATAAGTAGCATCTCACAAAGAGTACCGGTACCTTTGCGCAAAACATCATCTGGGTTAAGCGGAATAATGGTGCACAGCGAAAAAATAAAGGGATGAACGTATTTCATATAAAGATAGTAGGTCGCGACAGCATCTGAAACTGAATACTCCGCAAGAGTTTGCGGCCGCTCGCTCGCATATCGCGTCATGACTTCGGGGTCAAGTTCATCGGGATCATATCCGAGTTTTGCTACCGTAACCGCCTTCAAGCCTCTGCTTCCCTGAGGTAGATAACTGTCTCTGTTCACCCAGGCAAAACAGTCCATATGAACACAGTAGTCACTCTGATATATATCTTCGGAATTCTTTCGAAATCCAATTTCTGTGTACATATCAATCCCCTGGACACTTGCACGGGCCTCAACGAAAGGCCAATCAAAAAAATCACCGTTATAAGTCGCAATAACTGTAGGTCGTGCCTCTTTCACATGCTGGAAAAAACGTTCAATAACACCTTTTTCGTCCGCTTCATTAAATATCGTAAAAGGACCGTCATATTCTGGTTTAGGGGTATATTCAAAATCGCTGATATCTTCGGAAACAATCTCTCTGTTCGTAATTAGATACCCTTGGCCATCTATCATGTAAGAAATCATCATAATTTGATCAATAACAGGATCGGGAAACTTGAGTGGGAGTTTCGTGGTTTCAATGTCAAAAGCCAGGACAACGGGATCGGCTCGCTGTAGTCTCTCCTCCATGCAAGTTAGAGAAACAAGGCCATGGGTAGCATCCACGGTGTACCATTTTCCAATCCGAATATCTTGAATAATATCAGAAAGAAACACCCAAATATCCTCATTATTACTTACCTTTGTCAATTGCAACCCGTACATGGTACGGAACATCGTACTCTCGTATATCGACAATAAACTCACTCGTCTCTAAGTGCGCGCTTTTTACTCTATCAATTCCTTCATCATCAAATAGCTCAAAGCCAGCATTGGCACTAAGTATTCATCAGTAAAGCTCAGCTCCCGGGAAGGGTTTTCATCTAACCTAGCAATTTCAGCATAAGTATCCATAGCATTCACAGTTTTTCTATTCTTCTCTGCAATAGGAAGAAGTGTCTTCCTTACAGCCAGGAGGTCATTGACGTTGGCAAAGTTCAGTTGGATGAACCGCCGTTTATTGCCCAGCAGATGATTGGGCATTTGCAAGTCCTCCTTTTCAACCTGCTTTGTACGTTTAACGAGTCCTTCGAATTTTCTTCTACACCACTCTTCCACCTCCATCTCATAACCACGTTTTGTCGCAATTAGGAAGTAGGGATCATATTCGACGGTAGCTTTGAAACTGCCTCCATCATCTTCAAGAAAATAGAATTCTACTCCTGCTCGCCCTCCCGGTGTCTTGGGATCCTCAATCGTAGTACTATGCATATTACATAGCCATCCCATACGTTTTTTTCCGGATTCGAAACGCGGGAAACCCATCAGCTCATCGATACTGTTCGCCAACTTTGCGGCCTGGTGCTTCTCATCTTGTGAAGTGGCTTCGCTGGACCTGAGAGCCGAAAATTCCACCGTTTTTGCACGTTTAGGCTGATATGTCGCCGCCGAGGATCTGAATTTTGTTCCATATTTACTGGGTCGTCGCGAGGGCATATTGATCGCCGATTGAGGTTGTCGTTAACAGCCTTCATAAAATAGGTCGTAACTCAAACAATCCATTAGACAATCCAGCCTGGTTGTACTGTAGCATGTGGAGAGTAAGGCAAAGTAAATTGAAAGGATGTTCAGCTTCACCAAAGTATTTCGCAACTTTCGTCCTCTATCACGCGTCTCGTGTTTCATTCGATAGGTACGCGCTTTAATTGGTTCGGGACGGAAAAACTATTAAAGGGGCTCGGATCGGAATAATAAATACCCATATAACTTCAAACCTTACCTACCTCCGACTTTTTAAGTGAACCCAGATCGACTAAGCCGACCACAGTGTCACAGCGATGGGAGGAGATTCTCAAGATAATAGCCAAGTGGCGCGGGATGGAGCCCTTTCTCCGTTTCCCGAATCAGCGACTAGGAAACCTAAGCATGAATTTCCTAAGACCCAGGTCGGAAAGTTATGGGATGCTTTTGGAAACCCGGAGCAGCCGGTCAACATCATGCCCGGAGGAACATACAACTCCGCTGGCGGAAAGCCAAAGGAAGTGACAGTCATGGATGCCGTTAAATCACTATCTACCAATGAGCTCACATCCTTCTACAAAGCTCCATGCGCGCGTGAATCTCTTCTTGTTGGAATCGGTACAGGATTCGGGGTTGGAAGTATTCGAGTGATACTTGGAGGTAAGGATGCTTCTCTTATGGCTTCTCGGACGATAATAAGGCTTATTTTTCTGGTTTCCGGTAGGTCTAAGAGTAATATGGGCTGCGAGTAATTGGGCCGTTGGTGCCTTCGCGCTCGCATCGATCCTAACGCACCAAGTCTGCCAAAGACAGAGAGCTATAGAAATGGATGGAATGAAAGAGGCCGTTAAATTAATGAGAGACCTAAAAATTAAAAAACAAAAAGAGCAGGCCGAGGCTAAAAAGGCACAGGAAGAAGCTCGGTTAGCGGAAGAAGAGCGAAAACGCAAGAGTTGGACGCACCTGTCAAACTACAAATTTTGGTAGCTTTTTGTTTTCCTTGTGGTGGGCCAGGCGTTCCGGGTTTCGCATTCTTATCCATATTTCTCATATCATTCTGGTCACAAAGAGATGCATTCTAGGGCGTGATAAGAGCCAGTGTAAATACCCAGTTCTAACATGATAAGCTCAAGTCGAAGCAGGTTCTAGACCGTGCTCCGTTTCAAATTTAACCCTCTTGCGATTTCTATCATTTTTGCTGTTCCATTTATCCGTGAAAATGCCGCGCCGCCTCTCTCTCCGCTTCTCACGCTCTTCACACGCTTCCCGGGACTTCCAGTCTTGAATCTGTCTTTCTCTATACCGTTCCCTATCCCATGCAACTGCCGCAGTTGGTTTATATCCAATTCCATCCAATCCGTATCCATCATCATCTGGGTCCATCGGGTCATACCCCGTTATCTCTGAATCATGCCATGTAAGGGGGTTCTCTGCTGGTGCCGTAGTAAGTGGAGGGGATTTGCGTCTTTTCCGCTGAGAAGAAGAGGGGTTTTTTGAAGAGCTAGAGGAATCATTTTTGTTTGTTGAGCGAGTATTAGACCGTTTTGCTGGTGTCTCGTTCATAAGGCGATGTTCGCTACTGAGCGGTTCCGACCGGGGCGTTTGTGGCTGAGCAACAGCCGATTGTTCTTGATTTGCCTTTCCGTGAATATCGAGACCCTGGAGTCGACCCGTTACAACTACTTGTGGGCTGTTCCCGGCGACGCTGACTTCATCTGGCGAAAACACCTCTGCACTAGGTGCCGAACGAGAGGGACTCGACCGTGTTGACGAGGCGGCCATCTCGTCACCAACGTCATCGCTTCGTTTCCGCTTCTGTGGCTTAGTATATTTACTCAGTAAACTCATCTCTATTTCCAGAGCCCTTTGGGGAGAGCAGACGATCGTTTTGCCTTGTTTTCCGGGATTTGGCTCCTTGCTGGCTAGTAGGGCGAGAGAGTCCGAGTTAATAACAGCGATTGCTAGATGAATTAGAGATACGGAGTACTTGGAGTAATATAAGATGTGGGTTGTGAGCAAGCTAGCAAGTACTATGTACGCCTTGGGAGCCAATAAGGTGAGGCGCTACCTAGTTAGTTAGTCCATAGCGGAATCCCGGATCTTTGCACTACCATCGGGTTACCGATTTTCCGAGCTGTTACGTAACCCTTACCTTCACATCATAGACTATAGTTTCAATGTTGGCTTCAGTAACTACTACATATTTTGACTACTACATAGTAAGAGCTTACTATGTTGAATCTACTATATGGTAATAACAACACTTTTAAATCTAATAAAAAAATGATCAGCAGGTGAAAAATTTTCATTCATCTTTTTCAAGTCTCTAAGTCACTAACTAACTCTCTCTTCTACAGTAGAAGCCTACACATTTTTCTACTATCCTACTAGTGTAGGTGATTCTCTACAATTCTAATAGCCTAGCTAGTAGGCGATGCTCTACAATTCCTACTAGCCTAGCTAGTAGGTGATTTCTACTATCCTACTAGCTAGGAGACTACACAATTTCTACTATTCTACTAGATTTTACTGTTTTCATAGTTTTTGTGGACTTAGAAATTTTCTGGAAGGTTTTTTGTATGTAGGTGTAATTGTACTTGTGGTAGAAATAGCTAGATGTACTTCAATACAAAACATTACTAAAGTCAAATACACTCAATCAAGTTAACTCCAATTAACTCTATGCAAGTCAATATTGAAAATACCAACTTAAGTTGAGGCAACCAACAAAGGTAATATTACGCAATTATTGTTTCAATGTTGTGCTGAGTTACTATGTAGTGGTTACGTTGCCACTACCGTAACATTACGGTATTCCACAGATCTGGAATTCCGGTATGGAGTACGAAGCCCTCTGTACAAGGTCTTATAAATGCCACAAAAACGGGCGCCAACCCAATATGGTCTCAGCATGGAGAGGAAGCACAAATGCCAATACAATAAGAAGTAGAGAATGTACATAGCGTTAGAAGGTGCAATGCGTAGTACCAAAAACTACTAGTTATTAAGTAGTTACCCCGTAAGCATTGATTAACTCTCAATGGTACCGGAGGGTAATAGGTTTAAGACATGTCCAGGCAAAATTTCCTCTGAAAGACAAATGATGTACATACATCTACATTGCAGCAAATAATATCAGACAACTGTATCAAGAAAATCTTCAGTTTTGAAAATCAACCAAAGACAAGATGTTCCATCAAAACGCCAATGCAAGTACCATATCAACTCCAATATTCACCGGATAATCATGACTTGGGTTTCTTTTTAGTGGAGGCAGCTTCACTATCTCGCTTCCTCTTTTTCTTCGGCGTATCCTTATCATCTTCCTCTCCTTTTGCCTTCTTGGCCTTCTTTTCCTTCTTTTCTCCCTTTTCTTTCTTGTCCTTCTTTCCCTTTTTCTCCTTCTTACTCTTTTTCTCCACGCTCTGAGTCACTTCGGCAGTATCATCCATTTCCACATCGCTGTCCTCAGCATCAATTTTTATATCGGCTAGCAGGGAATCCATGGCGGATTTCTACAATATCAATCAGATCAGATCTGGAGGAACTCAATGGAAAACTTACCATGGCGGTTTCGTTTTTAGTGGGCGCGGCGCCGGTAGTATAAAACTCAAGTCGTTCCTCCACCTGCTTCCGTAATACGTCACCAAATTTAGTAGAAGGAGTTTCCGAGAAGTTATCTATTCGAGAAGCGATCGAGCATTTGTTTGCAAGGAAACGGGAAATTCTGCCCTTATTTTTGGGACCTGCACGGCCGATGAATGAGGAATGATATAAAAGGCCGTACTTTGGAGTATTTCCTTTCGTCTTAAGTGCTCTGAAAAGTGCTTTTTCGGCACCAAGAATTTGAACGGTCGAGGCAGGGTATTTGGATAGATTTGTCAAACTCCCGGCGTGGGAAATTAGTCGCGCACCAACAATTTCTCCAATGAGAGCTGCAAGATTTGGAGCAACCACACTCATTTTAGATACCAAGTAAGCATGTAGAGATTTTCTGTAGTTAGCAAGGCTGACAACTCTTTCAGCAAAGGATGTGACATTTTCCATATCAGACTCGGAAATGTCTTGGCCCATGCTATGTTTCGCCGCATCAATGATACTTCTCGCAACGCCCTCATCATCTTCAACGATAGCCGCAATATCATGCAGCTTGTCTTCCGTGAGTTCTTTCTTATTTCGAATAAGTAGCGCAAGGCGTGCGTATCGGTGATTATCAGAAACGATCTTGAAGAGTTCGGGAAAGTGCCAAGAATACCACTCTCGAACTCTCATCGAAAATGTATTAACAGCTTTGTCTAGTTGATCGAGAATAGCGATGGCCTGGATGATATGGTTGTCATCACGCTGCACAGAGAACTTCACTTTTGCTCGAGAATAGGCATGGCCGAGGCCGAGTTGAGCGGTATTAAGATCGCCTTCTCGAAGCTGCTTCAAGAGCTTCGCCGCGTGAAGCCGGATTCCTCGTAGCATATCCTGGACAACTTCGCTTGTATCTCCTGTCTCGCACTCGACAAAAGGGAATGCAGCTTTGATACTGCCAGCAAGAGCTTTGTCGAAAACCCCCAACACGACTGTCTTTTTTTTACTGGGTTTTGGTAGATTTAGGTCGAGGAAAGATACTAGCATCTCCGATGCCACTCCCTCAGAGACATCGTTTATTTCTCCGAGCGCCTGCTTGTTGTTCCTAGAAGATGAATCTGTGAGTTGCAGATCAGAAGAGCTAAGTATTCAACAACGACAACTCACTCAAACGGCAAGAAGCTAACAAGATCAACCATTTTGCCAAATTTGGCGAGATCCTGCATTCCATCTTGAACTTCTTTCAACCGGTTTCCCACAGTGTCGGCTTGGTGAGCCACCTTAAAAAGGGAATAGCCCATTGGGCCTTCGAATAGAAGAAAATCCGCCATCACTATACTTGTACCAAGAAGACCTCACCACTTAACCAAAAGCCAACAGTCTCTGCTGTGCTGGTATCTCAAGAGGGTTTGTTCAACCGAATGGTTGTGAGAAACTTTTTCTTGTCGCTAGAAGAAGCATTCGGATATTTAGATAATCCGGGGAAAGTACCCAAGGAATATTATATGATCCGACCCGAACAGCGCATTTAGGTAACTCGGGCGAAGATCTTCGACATTTACCGCTTATATGATTTTTCAAAACATTACTTATAGTAACAGAGGATTTCTCCCCTGCTGCGTGGTAATTATAGTATTTATGTGACAGACGACAATAGCTGTTGGCAAGATAAACCTTGTTACTAATCAAAGTACTCCGAGTTAGCTAAATGCAAAAAGCTTGGCATGGTCACGAGCGGACCTCAACTCTTTTCTGCCTTCTGATCCCTTACAAACAGTTCTCTCTCCAGTGCCCTGGTTTAAGAGCCCATTTGTGGTGTATCAAATCTATAACGAGGCTAGATTATCTGGCTGTCGTGCTGCAGCTACTATGTCTGCCACACAACTTCTCAACCCGAAGGCGGAATCAAGAGTAAATTGCACCCCACCATATCCTTCATAGCAATGTACTAACAGCAAGCAAGCGGAGAGGGGAAGCGTTGAAAGTAAATATCAGCGCTGGAGAGGGTCTTCAGGATGTTTTAAAATCGAATTTAGGCCCTTCTGGGACTATTAAAATGTACGTTTACCCTTTCATCGACGTCTCTTGTTCAAATCTAACAAAACTTTCGTAAAGGCTCGTTGATGGCGCTGGCGGGGTAAGGTCCTGTTTTGATACTATGTCATTTTAAATACATAACCCTATACTTACATTCCTTATGAGTAGATTAAACTTACAAAGGATGGAAACGTGTTGTTGCGTGAAATGGTTTGTGTCCCCGTAAGCGATTCTGAAGAACAATTGCTAATTGTAAATAGCAAATTCAAAATCCCACGGCGGTATGATTGAGCCTTTTATATGCGGTACATAGCTGACAGTATTGATTGCAAAGGTCATGATTGCGCGCGCAGCAACGGCACAAGATGACATTACGGGTGACGGCACCACCTCTGTGGTCCTTTTGGTTGGAGAGCTCCTTAAGCAGGCAGATCGACATATATCAGAAGGTCTCCATCCGCGCGTGATAACAGATGGGTATGAAATCGCTAAGGCCGAGTCCCTGAAGGTAAGAGAACTGCTACATGCTACACGAAACCTTCTAAGAAGAGTGATAGTTCCTAGACTCGTTTAAGCTTGACCGAGAAATCGATAGAGAGCTTTTGCTCTCTGTTGCTCGAACGTCCCTCTCCACAAAGCTCAATAAGTCGTTGGCGGAGCACTTGACGCAGCCAATTGTTGACGCAGTTCTGGCAATTTACCACCCACCTGAAAAACCCGATTTACACATGATCGAAATTATGAAAATGCAACATCGCACTGCGTCTGATACCCAACTTATTCGGGGACTAGCCTTAGACCATGGAGCAAGGCATCCAGATATGCCAAAACGGGTAGAAAACGCTTTTATTTTGACTCTTAATGTTAGTCTTGAGTATGAGAAATCCGAAATCAACTCGGGGTTCTATTATTCTAGTGCAGAGCAGAGAGATAAACTCGTGGAAAGCGAACGAAAGTTCGTAGATTCTAAATTAAAAAAGATTGTCGAGCTTAAAAAAGCAGTCTGCGGAAATGACCCTAAGAAAGGGTTTGTCGTCATCAATCAAAAAGGCATTGACCCTTTGAGTTTGGATGTTCTTGTCAAGAATGGTATTTTTGCACTACGTCGAGCAAAGAGGCGGAATATGGAACGGTTACAGCTCGTCTGTGGGGGCACTGCACAGAACAGTGTTGATGATCTCACCCCAGACGTTCTTGGCTGGGCTGGCCTTGTATATGAACATCAGCTTGGTGAAGAGAAATATACATTTGTTGAGGAGGTCAAGGATCCTAAATCTGTTACACTATTGATTAAAGGACCAAATCAGCACACAATTGCACAGGTTACTGATGCAGTCCGTGATGGCCTTCGATCAGTATACAACACTATTGTGGATAAATGTGTGGTTCCAGGTGCTGGGTCTTTCCAAGTTGCATGCGCCGCTCATTTGATGTCGGAAACTTTCAAAAAATCTCTTAAAGGCAAAACAAAATATGGGGTCGGAGCTTTTGCTGATGCTCTTTTGGTCATCCCGAAAACCCTAGCTGCAAACTCGGGTCACGATATTCAAGAGTCTCTCGCTGCTTTACAGGATGAACATATTGATGGGAACGTTGCAGGTCTTGACTTGGCATCAGGACAGCCTATGGACCCTGTCCAATTGGGGGTATTTGATTCTTACCGAGTTTTACGCAATTGCATTGCATCAAGTGCAGGTATTGCGTCCAATTTACTACTCTGCGATGAACTCCTAAAGGCTAGGCAAATGGGAAGGCAGGGTGGCCCTGGAGGCATGGACGAGCAATAATGTCAGCAAGGGTAGGAGCAAAAAGGCAGTTTCGTGTTTGCCGGGGCGCAATCAAAATTACCTGTCAAAAAATGGAATTGGGCTTTAGTATTTACTGGCTAGCTTCCCAGGCAATAGATATTAAGAGAATGACCCAGAACCAATACATCTCCGGATGTCGTGAACAGTTTTAAAGGTACTCCAAGTAAAATCAACCAGGCTACCTAGATTTGGAAATTGTTTGAGTGAAGCCATTTGATTAACGATGGGGACGTTATTGTACAGGGTATCATGAAAATCGCAAACCATTCGCCTCCATTCCCTGGAACGCCTGCTTATGCATGCTTAAATCACCCCTATATCCAGTCAGCCATCCTCAGGCGAAGGAGGCTCGATGTTGTTTCGCTGTGCCCATTTCCCACGAAACCCTTTTTCATTGATAGGATCCTGCAAACCAATATCACGACTCTTGGCCCACTCAAAAACACTAGATTTCTTGATAACAGCGACACTGTTTTCCTCCTCAGCATCTTCGTCATCACGCTTTGAAGCCCTCTTCCGTTTCTTTTTTGGCATTTCCTCCGTTGCGATCTCCATTGACTTTATAGCCGTAACGACGTCTTCGACGAGCATGCCTGTAGCCTCGCCAAGTTCTTGTAATGACATTTCTTCTTGTGGTTTAGTCTTTCGTCCTCTTCGTGCCCTTGACGGCCCCGCGGGATTTTTGCCCCCATCGGGAGATAAATTTTTAAGAAAATATCTAGCGAGCCTCTCTTCCCAAAATCTGATGTAGCTCTTTTCCCCCATTGCACTAAGAGGCCGCTCAGGACCTCCAATACTCCCGGTTCCTCTTTGCCATTCCCACGTACTAAGGTGGTAGCTAATGCCCATGAGAAATTGTCCCAGCTTTTGGTGTTGGTAGGGAGGGAATATGAGAATGCAGGCTAGATTATTTGCATCCCAAGACATTTTTTCTTTGGAAAAGTATCCTAAGATATGGTAGCTCCCTGAATCGGCAGGGTCAACGTACACCAGAAGATAAAAGAGGAACCCAGCAACATCAAAACAAACCGATTTCTGATCGAGGAACAGCTTGGCGAAAAGGGATAGATTCTGTGCAAAAAGCATATGATCTTCTCCGTCAACTTCCCACACAGAATAGCCTTCGTCGAAATAAATTTGGGTGCCTGGCGGGCTGGCTCGGAGTTGGCAGAAACGCATGTGGCCAACATACGCGGTACGGTCGCACGTATACCGGAAGCACCAAGAGCAAACATATAACGTCTCCGTATCTTTGCTAACAAGCTCTTCTGGGTACAGTGCATCATACCAGGTCTTGAAACACAGGTTTCCGAAAATAACTTGTTCAACTTTGCTGCCAGCGGAAGGTGGTTTTCGCACATGTCGAGACGATGTTGGAGGCATTATACGACGACCTGGAACCGGATCCGTTGTTCTAACGAGTAAACAGTGTCAATGAAGATTCCATCTGGCGCCAGACAATGAACCGTTCCGTGACTAAAGCTCTACATACTCCGGACAGCGGGAGCTGATTCCGCACCTCACTTCGGTCGGCACGATGCTCTCAGAGGGTATCGTAGCATTTCTCTGATTGGAGCTAGAATATATACAATATCCAAGCAAAGCTCCTTAGTCCAGCACCTCACGAAGCAATTGAGAGTGATAGGCCTGCTAAAATGGCTTCGAGAGGCTCGCTTCAACGAACTTTTCACCAACGGCAAGGTTGAGCGAGTCGCCATGTGACGGCCGAAAAGGGGATAGCGTGACGGTGATGTAACTACCCGCGCCACGAGATGTCGCCCCTCAAACTTGAGAGAAAACCGACTCAATGCCACCAGCCGCAGCTGCATCGCAAATACCATTGCCTATCCCCAGTCTAAGAGTGTCCTGCTATGGATTTATGCGGGGTTCCTGGATACGAAGGGCTACAAGCTTGGTAAAGCCACCACTTTGATAGTTAACTATATTATTGTCGCCATCCCGTCGCCACCGAGGCTCAGTTTAGGCTGCCATTTTTCGTTCTGTTCATTGAGGTATATTATTTACTGCCTTGGACTACTTCTGAAGTATCCTCTTCGGTTTCTAGTAAAAATCGTACCTTCAAACATTTTGCAAATATGTTGAAACCTTTCCTCATCAAGGATCTTTTGGATCCGGCTCTTGATCAGTTGTCCTATGACCCCCACAATGCTTCTCCAGCAGGCCGCCTTCTACCCACGCCGACCCTAGGCCACACCTACGACGGTATAGTAGAAATATCCCGCAGCGAATATGATGAAACAATTCTCAATCTACCCGAGGCTAAACTTCATTATTTTGATGAAGATGATGGCGAGACGGTCACGGTCTGTCGGATCACTAACAAACCACTGATTTTTTTAACTGATTATGTATGTAGGTAGGATCATCTCTCGAACTCGTTCAGAGACTGGACGAACCCGCAGAAATTTCCACTCTCCCGGCAAACCTTGCTCATGATGGACTTGAAAGGGCTCCAATACATGTATTTGATATTAACAAATCATCCTCCACCATACTGAAATGGAGATCCTTTCACGCAAGATACTCAATGTTAGATACCTCTGTGCACCCATCTTCATACTCTACTCTTCTTTCACATCAGAGGAAAACACGCGGCATCTGCTCGCCATCTGAGTTGGCACACAGACCCAAACTGCAAATCCAGACAATTGTGCATGAAAACTCATCTCCATGTGATCTCAAAAGTACTAGCCCATTCTATGCTTCGAAACAGAATTTGTTCTCTACCGACACGGATATTGGACTTCCGTTAACCGGCTTATTGGAATGGGAGGACCAGAGCCTCGAGCATGATATCCAAGAACCTGGACAGTTTTTGTCACAGCATCATCCACAAACGTCAGCCTGCTATCAACCTCCCTCGCTTCCCCAGCGTGCCTCGAAGTCAGATCGAGATGGATACACTTTGACCGAAAGAGAGCCAAAAAGCCAAGAATCACCTATCGAGGAGCAATCGCAATCATTTCTAGCTGCATTTGAGGCAGAACTATCGAAAGTAGTTATGCCAGATCTCTCGACCGAAACCACTAAGAATGAAGGCGCTCGTTCTGCCCCGGCTGAGGCACCCAGTGACTCTCAAGCAGGGGTGGCAACTGAACCGGACCCTAAAGCTCACTTTGCTCCAAGAACGGCTCAGCTGGTTGGGCACACTGTACAAACCCTCTTGAGTTCTTTGGCACAGCTCACCTCCGAACTAAAGTCAAAATTTCCGGAAATTGAGCGTCGATTGGCTGTTGCTCAACAGCAAGTTCCGACGCAAGTTGAAACCACAGTTCAAGACACACTTACTACCATGACATCGCACTTTAGTAGCCTCGCTAAAGCTGTGCAAGATGCTGCCACCTCCACCCAAGCAGCAGCTACCCGAAGTGAACCAGCGGGGATGCGTGCTGCTCAAGCAGATGGACTTCGAGGTTTTGCGCTTGAACTTTCTGAGATGAGAAAAACTTTGTTTACCGCTTTTCAGTCGGGATTTTCAAGTATGTCTGCTAATGAAAGTCCTTCTGGGAAATCGCGGGCAGTGAGTGGTGACCCAGTAGAAGCGCTAAACACCCAACTCCCCCCACAATTACATACTGCTGATTCCTCTAGCCATTATGGCAGAAATGAGGGTCATATTCTTCTTATTCGTGGTTTGGATTCTACAATCACGTCAGGGATGATTAAGCAACTCCTGTTAGACCATGGCTTTGTTGCAAGTGTCGCTGAAAGGCACGAGGGCATTGCCTACATCTACTTCCCATCTATATATGCAGCAACTGGTGCGCTTCGTGCTCTCCAGGATACTGCTATTGCGGGGCGGAAACTGGACGTTGAATACAGCCAATACAGCCCCGGCGGAGACATTCCCTATAAACCTTCAATCTCAATGCCCCACCTAACTCAGCCCATCTCAAGAGATGATGATCTTGTCGCCTCTAGTCAACCAGACCAGCCCTTAGACTCCTCAGAACAACAACAACAACACTCTAATGTGGCAGCCGATAGTCTCGGCGTTGAAGGCCCTAGCCGTATGGATGATCGGAGCAGGATACCGCTAGATATTATGCCAGCAACTGAACACACTCAAACTTTTCACACATCGATAACCAGCGTGCCACGTACGCTTACGAACCTCAAATCAAGCGGCAGGACTATGACACCACGTGTACAAGATGGTTCTTCGCCAAAGAATTTTGAAAAAACGCCTACCGGCGATGATTTGTCCCTACATTATCCTCCTCTGTCGTCTTTGCTTGGCCACCCACCATGTACCTTTGGAAATGTAGACCGTGATATGCCCACTCAAACAACCGTATCTCCAAGTCAGATGCGCAGGCCACTAGACGCTGATTCCCCACGACATATACCGCTTTCTATTTCCCAACTACTCTCTCAAGGCCAGGCAAACTTTGCGAAAGCCAGTTCACTCCCCCCCGTTCCAGATAAGGTACCGGGTTCCTGGCCAAAATATCAAGAGGATATTACCGAGAACAACTCCTCATTGTCACCTTTTCCCTTAGCAACTACTATACAAAACTCAACTAACTCTCTTGTGCATTGCTCTACTCGAAACGAAACCTCATCCCGACCGGACGCCTCCAGTTCAGACTGCATAGACTTTGGTTACCTTGACAACCCTACTGATGAAAAGATGAAGATTGAAGCTTGCGTGGCGGTACTCTGTGACCTAGGCTACAATAGAGATAGAATGCCTATTTCAAGGCTGAGGGTTTACGTCGAAGCTGCCAATTACAATGTTGGAGAGGCCATTGAAATGATTGAAGAGGACAGAAAGGCTTCCGAGGAACAGTGGGCTACCAACTGATATATCCGCATAGCTTTCTGGGCAGGATGAAGTAAATATAAGCCTCTAATTCTTCATGGAGTACTTTTGATAGAGCGTATTGGATCTCAATTATACTCTATACATACTTCTCCAAACACTACACTTGCACTTTTTTCCATCAGTAACATCCATTAATATGTACATACCTACCTACGGAGTACATGCCAGCACCTAAGTACTCCATATGCTAGATCGGGCGGGCCGCCTAGTATCATCACGTGATCAATTATCAAGCGGGACCTTCGCTTTCCTTCTTCTTCAGACATACACTGAAGAAAGGCAATCGTGTTTTCGGCTTGTATTGAGCCTACATCGCAATGCAGGTATGGCGACGGTCTCTATCAACGGCCGCATCCAACCTGAACTCCCGATCAACTCGACCAGTTGCATTGCGATGTGCACAAATTTTCGAAGCCTCCAAACCGGAGCCAAACAATGACGCACCCTTGGATCACTGTCAAATACTAATCCGTGGGCTGGTCAAGTCTGTACGAAAACAAAAACGATGGGCATTTGCGGAAATATCCGATGGCTCAACGATTCAGACACTTCAGACTATCTTGTCGCCGGAGCAGGGTGCGAAGTAAGATCCCCTGCGATCTCTTCGTAATGATGTGGATCTTAAGTTTTGGGACAGGTTAACAACCGGAGCGGCCGTTGAAATAGTTGGCGTCTGGACACCATCACCTGGTAGGAGTCAAACACATGAGCTGCACGCTACGGAAGTGAGACTGGTTGGAGAAGCAAATCCTCAGGTTAGATCACAGTTTTCTTCAGTTTAAAATATAATCCTCACAATTATATGCCCTCACAGACATACCCTATCCAAAAGAAATATCATACCCCAGACTTCCTTCGAACGATACCGCATTTGCGATTACGAACTCCGTTCAATTCCCTCCTCTCCCGCTTTCGCTCCGAAAGTATATACCAGGTCACCAATATTTTCCACTCGCACCCCGATAATCGCTTTGTTCAAGTTCAACCGCCCTTAATCACATCATCAGACTGCGAAGGTGCCGGTGAAGTCTTCAAGTTAAGCCCGAGTGAAGCCGCTTCTCAAGATCAAAGTGAAGAATTCTTTCGGTCACGCAAATACCTTACTGTGTCTTCGCAGTTGCACCTAGAAGCGTATGCAGCAGAATTAGGCAATGTTTGGGCCCTGTCGCCTACCTTTCGGGCAGAGAAGAGTGATACACCAAGACATTTGAGTGAATTCTACATGCTTGAGGCAGAACTGAATTTTATAGATACTCTAGATGAATTAACGGGGTTCATCGAGTCTATGATTCGTACTTTAACTGAGAAGCTGTATAACACACCTGTAGCTAATGAGCTTCTATCTGCAAAACGAACTGGTGAGTCTGGCCAGGATGTCGTCAATTCTGGCCTGGCTGAGCGCTGGACCGGGTTGATGAACGCCAAAGCTTGGCCACGAATCACATACACGGACGCGATTGACTTGCTTCGGAGTGCTGTAGAGTCTCAAAGAATCGAATTCGATTTTCCACCCTCGTGGCCTGCAGGCATCCAACTAGAGCATGAAAAATATCTCGTTTCCGCGGTCGGTAATGGTGCTCCGATTTTCATCACAGATTATCCGAAGTCCGTGAAACCTTTCTACATGGCTTCTTCAGCCACGATACCTAGTAGCCCAGAGAAACAAACAGTGGCATGCTTCGATCTCATTATGCCAGAAGTTTGTGAGGTTGTTGGGGGCTCTCTGCGTGAGCATAGGCTGGAGGCGTTGGTTCAGAATATGCGAGAGCATGGACTGTTGAAACGCCGCCTCGAAGAAGACCTTATTAATGCCAACGACGCTGTATATCCCTATCTCAATTCGGATGAAGATCTAGGTTCCCTTCGGTGGTATGCGGATTTGAGACGATGGGGTAGCGCGCCACACGGGGGCTTTGGATTGGGCTTCGATAGGTTCCTGGGATATCTCTCTGGCGTGTCTAGTATTCGGGATATAGTTCCGTTCCCAAGGTATTTTGGGAGAGCAGATTGTTAAGCCCTGCGACCTCTTTCCTACCTATGGAGGTTCCAGAAATCAACATGATTTATGTAATGTGTAATGAGATGTAAGATAGAATCCTAGATTTTTGCTTGCCGCTACCTATGCCTAGCCACCCAGCAAGGGACTTCCCAGTAACTAACTATTTGTTGAGTTGGTCAAGTAAGAATTATTGCTTGTTCTCTACTCCGTACAGGCTACAGTATCCTTGTTTATCTTACAATGTCTCATTATATATCCGCGCTTTGAATATGACAAATAGGACGATGAAAAAGTCAAAACACAAGTATTAATGGCCATGTATCTCACATCTGTTGAGGGTTGGCCATCGCTCATGCATGTATGTATGTAAGGACATACATCTATAGACGCATGCCTAGATAACAGACCTCATAAGGTTTTGATAGTTAGGATATCTTTCTTAAGCCGGCTAGTATTAACGGAAAATTTGTTTCTGCTACCCTTGATTTCCACATGTTGTGCTGGATGTGTGTCAGCTTAAGGCCACGCTGTTCGAGACATAAAGATAAGTAAGATAGAAGAGGAGTTGCGGCTGATGAGGGCGGTCATGAAACTCAAGAAAACCCACAACATTTCTATATAGAGTGCAGCATATATATCCGGCTGGCATCACTGAACTAATTCCGCATAGACCGTCAAAGCAATAAGCCGAAAATAAACAGCGGGCAAAACGGAAATTGCGGAAATGAAGCAGCTATTTCCAGGAACAACATTTACTGTCCTTAGAGCCCCTAAATACCAGGAGGCCCGGTCAAGAATCCTTTTCGCCAGCCAACGAGAGCCGAGAATCCTTTTATGATGACAGGGCTGGCAAGTCATCCAATGAGGCACCCTAATCCTTCACAAAAAGGATGTCACCAAGATATATAGCCGATGGATCTGCAGATGCTTCTTCAAGGGCACGGATCATGTTTCCAGCAATCCAGGCTGGTTAATCCGGGTTAATCTTCAAGCGAAGGAACGTGTCATTGCCAGAGACAAAGAAGCATTATTGTGCCACGATCGAACTGACACGGTAAGGCAAGGCAATCACATTCAATTCCCGATTAATCGTCATGGCAGTACTCCATCTGTATTGTCTTGTCGTATGTGTAAATGAGAGATTTCCATACTCTGCAATGCTACTCCATACCTGTCAAAGGTGACTCTTTCAAAAGAAGGGCCCAGGCTCAACATTCCATTATCACAATAAGTAGTTGAAGACCGTTTCAAAATGCACACTCCACTTGGATTGATGATGGAAGGTTAATATTAAGCATTTTAGCAAGTACCCTGAAGTTGAGCGCGATGCCTTCTAGATTGAAGAAGCTTGATGTGTTCTCCGCTGAAATGCTGGATAATGCAGGTTAGGACTCCGGAACTACAACATCATTATTGAAATAAGGATATTCGGTTCAATTGCGGAGTACTGCTCCATAAATCAGCTGTGTGGAGTCCTAGCTTTGGGGCCGAGAGACAGGAAATTTTGAGATCATAGGGGATGTAACTCAGGGGGCTCGCCAAACACCACGGGAACCTAAACAAGGTGCTCAGTCAAGTCAGGATATATGGGTCCCGCGGCGGATAAGGCCTGCGCGTCTTGGTGCTTAACTCGTCAGCGGGCTTTTAATTCTTGGTTTGCCTCCAAAAAACAGGAATCAGTTCGGAGGAAGTGCTTGGCGTGAGCGCCGGTGTGTTGCACATGCCTTGCTTTTCGGAAGGTCAGATTGGATATCCAGAGTATTTACCTCCGAAGTTCCTAGTCTTAAATGTTCCGACCTGGCGATCTCCGTTCCACGGTAAATTAAAACCTCGACATATCACTCGGTTCATTGTGTCCTGGAGCCATTGTGTCCTGTAGCTGCGTCGAGCGATAACACAGCGATCGTTTTTTCTGCACAATCTCTGGCATACAATGCTCTCTTCCTGCGCTGGGCATCCTGAGCCCTGAGACACGGAATCCGATGGAACTGTGCCGAGCGCCCAGCACGTAGACCGATATGTAGGAAGAGAGTCAAGATAAGGCAAAAAGGGCCAACACTAACGATCGAGACTGCAAAGTGGGCCAAAACGTGGGCACGGGCTGGCGCCACGCCTTAGCCTCCCTTAATGCGTGAGACGTCGCCAGATGCTAAGTAGTAGTGAAGCTGTCTCTCCAGAGTACGCGACTCCCAATGTGTTGTTCTTGTTTATCAGGATCCTATGGAGATGATGAGATGTGATATGTACTCCAGACGGAGCATATAGGTCCGCACGCGCGTCGCGCCCGAGTCCAGAGCCCCAGCTTGCACCTATGTACGGAGTACGGAGTAGGAAGCGAGAAAATCCCCTAGTTAGTTAGCTACTAGTAGGCTTGTGATAGGCCGACCTTCTAGTCAACAGATCGGAGGTCCTGCGGATCGAGGATTACACCGTAGTCAGATGGGATTCGTCGAAGCGCTGCAAGAGTGACCGGAGGCCGAAGTGGCGTGTTTCCGTGCTTGACACGAAGCACGCTCGACCCCAACCGGCGTTGTTGACGGTGTAGGGACGGAAATAGCCCATCTGGAGCTCGCGTTTGACCACAGACGACTGGCAGATCTCAGGGCCGAATCCTTCTTTGTGTACTGAGTAAAGCCATTTCAGCCAAGCTTACTAGCGCTGTCTTTGCTCCCAGACCCAAGTGTCAGGAGTGCATAAGCTAAACCTTATAAATTTAACCTTAACGCGGCCCCATTTGGCGTTGGCGGGCTTCGCTCCAAACTCCAGCGCCGAGCGGTCCAGATGAAAAGAAGCATAAATCAGCCATACTAGGAGTGTCCCCATCCTGGGAGCTTGTCGAATCCTTTTTTTTCGAAGCCTTGTGGAGCATTTTAGTTTGCCACCATTGGTGAATTTGAGGGCAATATAGGAGCCTATGTGGGGAACGGGCGTCAGAGCCAAGTTGCGGAGCTTTCGGGCCTGGATCAGGAGCTGCGTGGTGATAAAAGGGACGAGGGGCAGAATGCGACCAGAATCAGCGGCTGCTCGCGAGAAAATAGCAGGCGATAGTTGCGGCTGGCAGCTGCCAGTCTCCGGCTTGTGAATCTGTCGCGATGACGACAGCGGTACCCCGTGCTTGGCAATGTCGCACTGCCGAGAATCCATAAAAGCTTAGCAGCGCCCGCCAAGAGGTTTGTTTAATTGATGGACACGGACCACAGCTTACTGTCTGGACTTGGCGTCTTGGTCGGCTTGGCTTCCACGTACCCCGGCCCGGCTGTGCGGGGAGGCCGAGGCAGTTCGAAATGTCCCTCACACAGACTGCACTGCAACGGCGTCGATGGCGTCCCCGACATCAGAGGAAGGGCCGCGGTTAAAATACCGCAGAGGAGATTGAAAAGAGGCCTTTAGCATCGCGACTTTGTATCCACGCTGACATGCATATATGCCTTTTCCTGAAGACGCCTGTTTTCTTGGAGTACTCTATACAAATAAAGAGTAAATACGACACAGGTGAGGCCTAGAAGCAAGGATCTGCCAAATTGTATCCTACGACAGCAGCATGCAAAACGCTGAAACCTGTTCAGCCACACAGATTACTCTATACATACCTGTGAATCTCAACGGTGGCGCCTGGCCCGCTTTATTAAGAAGCTGCATCTGATGTTTTCGTAGAGCAAAGGGGAGGTAGGTGCCATTCCCACGTGGGCTAGTACAGAGTAGGGTGCAGTACTTCCAGTGGTGGGAGCATTGTTCCCCCAAACTTTCTTCAAGTTGGACAAATTCCATGCAGGCAAATATTTCCACTGATTAACTATACGAGCTCCAGAAATGCACTTGTCCGCCTCGCTATCACTTCCGTGGAAACGCGTGGCAGCATTGTTGATTTCCTTACCATGGCAGCGAAAGAACCGCTACCTAATCCCCCTAATTGAACTTGTGAATAGTCATTTCCAAAAACCTGATACTTGGCACAACTCGACTGAATTGCCACTATTAAGGACAATTTTTTCGAAAACCTAACCGCCTTTTGCAATTTATCTTGGCATGTGAAATATAAGCATGAATGTGCAAGCAAACATACGTCTACTACGCTCACTGTTACATCGTAGAATGAATGGCATCGTGTAGAAACTATGTGGCCAAGACCAGTCTAGGTTATCTAAACTGTTAAAAATTGGATAAATCTTGAGTACTCGGCCAGAGGGCTGCGTCGACCTTCTGGCACTACATGCAAGGAAGCATGCCTCAGTTTGTTCCGTAAAATCTCCATCACCAGTTGGATACGCATCTCCTTCCCAACCAGAACTATGTCTGGGAGCCTCTCACAATCCCTGTTGAACGATTTTAACTTGCGCCACAATCAAACGCTTGATGTTTTGCCAAGGCTATAGGCGAGGGTGGTTGTTGATGGTGCTTTTTCGAGAACTCAAAAATGCCGCAAGGCACAGGATTACTTACAGAAAAGAAGCATCCTGCTCCAAGCACATATGGGTAGGGGGGCCAAGGCCGTGCGATAAAATTTTCTCAAATAGCACGCATCGATATTTGGAAAGCCATAAATAATTTACGAGCTTTTCGCAAGATGTTTCAGCTGCGGGTCTATCCGTCGCATCAAGTATGATTGATTGGACTTAAAACCAACGTATGAAGGTACGGAGTATACGGAGCAGGGTCGAGACTGGCGAACGTACACAGGTCATTATTAGAGGTCTCGGCTTACCAAGCCAAAATCACGCATGGAAAAAAGTTGGGATCAGCTTCCTGTGGCAGGACTCAAATAGGATTTCTAAGGTTTGAGCTCTCAAGAAAATTACGCGTCTGAAGATAGTCAACTTCTGGTACTTAATGTCTTGTCAGCTGGCTTGCTGTTCTCTTAGCTTCGAGAAGTCTGTAGCCAAGTTATGCCAATCAAGAACTCCTAAGAAATGGTCCAAGACAACTGACCAACATAGCACGCCGTCTCTAACTCGTTGCCATTTGATACGGCATAGACTTGCCTAAAAAAGAGTCGAAGGCATAGCCAGATTATTGCGCGTCAAATGTTGCAGGACGATACCATGATGCCAGTTCCGTCCTTTTTTAACGAGACGCCGTGTAAATACGAGTCAGTCCCAGGCAAAAATAGAACAGAGTGGTAATAATGACCCCTCTTTTCTTTTTTGCTTTGCCGGCGAGGCTTACGCCTTGTGTTGGTCAAGATTTGAAGAAGCGTGAAGTCAGATAATTAAGCACCGAAGGAGTTCGATGGTGCGGGCTTCTGATGTAGTGATTGGTAGAAATGGCGGCAAGGGGCTGGTAAGCTCGGCTCTCAGACATTTTGAGCATATATATTCTCGAGATGTTGCAAACGGCGGTCTCGAAATAATTTCTTCATGTTAATGGCCTTTTGTTCAAGGTCAGAAGATCGCCGGGGCAGTCGAGTCCAATGCGGGTCTTTCGCACATCCGGGCTAATCTTCCGGTCGGCGTGCCTTGATCCTCGTGAAGATCTTTGCCTGCTGTTACTGGGAAGCAAGGATGTCCCGACAGAGTAAGTTGATGGTTTGACGATTTGTTTTTTGGAGGGGCTGGCCAGGCTTCTGAGAAGTTGCCAAGAGCTGAGGGCAGATTCGATGTGGCGGCATATCAGAAGCCACACGGGTTCAGAGCAACCTTAAAGTGCTAGGTGCATACGGAGGGCAGTCAGCCACGATTTCCACCGGCCTGTTGATTCATCATCGTCACGGAGTATGAAAGGCTTTGCCCGACTGCTCTTACGTCGCGATCCTGCAACCGTACGTGTGTAAGCTGCGGAGTAGGCGCGAGAGTCGGGCGGGGCGCTGTTTGAGACGCTCGAATGCCACACTCTCGATTTCAAATCGACGGACTTGCCAACGGCGGCAAGGATCTATGTATCGGGCACGACGGGCGCCTTGCTTGCTGCGCCAATTTAACTCGGCTGACTAACAGCGATTGTTGCCAAGTCCGTTTTAAGTTTTTAGGTTTTTCATTTGGCGCCTCGAGGGATTTAAACCTCCTTGGCGATGGGACGCGGAAACCTAGCGGTAATTTCAATCTGCTGGGCCAACGCTTCGGCTGGCGAGCACGAGGCTCCGTGAGCGGCGGCGGGGCGCCGAGTATCTTCGAAGCGGCCGGCAGATATCACCCAGGCAATAATACCCACCCAACACCGGTGAATGCTCTGAAGCAAAAACGAGTAAGAAAGCACTCCTCGCGACTAACTTTGCGGCACAAGAATCCCCCGGCTACGGAAGCGTGGGTTTGATCTCTCTACAGGCCTGGGAAGGCTGGGTTAACTATGCTTAAGCTTTATGACTGTGGAGAAGACGCCATCATTCCGTGCCAAGCGAGCGAATAGGCGAGAAAGTCTTGCCGCCACCCGAACTGGAGCAAGGCGACCAGAATGACATTTCCGCGAGAGCAAGCCACTCTGGTCGGCTGGCGTTCTCCATGTGGAATGAACCTGGAGCTACAGCTCTAGGGCACTTGAAACAGCGAGAAAAGACCGACAGCCCTTCCTAGCCGGATAGTGCGCTTGGACAGCAAACACGATTCTTGTAGCCCTGGCCGAGGAATTAGTAACTCCAATAATACCGAGTACGGAGTACGGAGTACGAAGAAAATAATATTATTATATCAACGTCGTCGAAAAATGGCCCGACATGCGATGTCTGATTAACTCAAGGCTTCCAAGGCGACCATAAGGCCTCAGCCCAGACTCACTGAGGGAATCGGGTGTCTGAAGGCAAGACTCTGGATCATCTCTCCACCTGCCCAGCCTGCAAATGCTGCTCGGCATGAGGTCAACAGCAGTGTTTGCGGATTTTCTCTAACCTTGGCGGTGTCTTAGCACGGTTATTTGGATGACACCCACTGAGGGCGGAGGATTTGTGTAAGCTTAAATCGATATCCTGCCGCCGAGCAAATATTATTGCATGGCGGGAGGGACTGCTAAGGAACTAGCAGTGGCCGGCGTGCCATGCAGATGCTGCGCGCCTGGCTGGCGAGCGCGTTACCGCGTCATCGTCAGGCCAGGCACGTCGATCCGTCGAGCCAGCTCGCCGGCTGCCGGCTGCCGGCTGGGGGCTGCTGGGAGCCTGGGGCGGTGCTCTTCTCTCTCTCTCTCTCTCTCTCTCTCTCTGGTCGCAACTCCGGCAGCAGCGCAGGCACCGTCGCTCGCGGGTGGAGCCGGCAATAGAGTTCAAACAAGAGAATTTAGGGTTTGGCGCTAAGCTGCGTCAAAAGCATACGCGGTAAGTTACTCGGTAACCACGGTACGGCCTTCTCTCACGTGGCTCTGCTCCCGTTTTCCCAAACCGGTGTTATCTTCAGCCTGCGCGGTCCGCTTCCTGCCCACCTCTCTCACCTCTCTGCTCCTGTGCCCTGTTCTGGCTCGTTGCCTTGCTCTACTCTCTTCTTGCTACTGCGCTTTGCCCGCTGCCGCCTCTTGTTCTCGCCCGAACTTGGCTCTGTCCTGTATCTCTAGTCTTATAGATCTTCTTACTGTGCTCTTCTTGCCGGAGGAACGGACTATATAGCAGACCTCTTGCTGCATCTCCTTTCTTCGACACAAAATACACCTTGTAAGTGCTCCGCTACGCTTTTAGAATCAATTGCGGCCACTCCCTTCACGTTCACCACCCTTGTCGCCTTGGAACCAACGGCTGTATTTCGCCCACTTTTTTGTCGTATCATGTTTGCCGGTAACCAAGTGAAGTCTTTGCTATTTCATGCCACTTTTCAATTTTGCTTTTCCCAGTCCTGATCGTACCAAAAGATGCAGCGGTGGCTAACCATAAAATCACATACATTAGACTAGGGTGGACCCTCGACTTCGTCACCTACCTCATGAACCTCCAACCTTTATGGATTCAGTAACGTGTGTGGCACTCTGACTTGATATCGAAAAAACGCAATACAAGTCAGCATCTTTGGCATTAGGAACTATGGAAACATACCATGGACATGTTCGCACTCCGGCAGACGCCATCATTCTTTTTGAGGCTTGTCGAATTGGTCTGCTGCCACGCGTCCAACGGAGGCTGTCAGAAAAAGAGCGCCAGTCCATCAAGTCAGGTTCTGTTTTTGTTTGGGACGAGAGAGAGGCAGGAATGAGGCGATGGACCGACGGAAAGTCCTGGAGCGCCAGTCGAGTTTCAGGTAGCTTTTTGACCTACAGAGAAATGGAAGGCAAAAGAGGAGGTCACTCGTCTAGAGCCGGCAAAACACCAGAGAGCAACAGAGGGAGCGATGAGGATCAGGGAGAGGGCGAAGAAGGCCCCGATGGTTACCGTTATAAACCCGACGGGTTAATGAAACAATCGTTCAGTATAACGACTTCTACGGGCCAACATCTGCATCTCATTAGTTACTATGCAAGAACCCACCCCACCGCGCCAGGGTTATGCCAGCCATCTACAGATCCGCAGCTGCGACAGATTCGACCCCAGAAAGGTCTTTATCCTGAGTCAAGTGTCAACGATCAGCAAAACTTGCCTGTGGTTACCCGAAGTCCCATGGGGGGTGGTATCGCCGTCCCTCCCCCGATTGCCTTTCCTCGCCCTACTCCCCATTCGTACAGCCCGTCACCATATGGATGGCCCCACCCCCCTATACTTGGACCAACACCTGTGTCTATGATACCTTATGTTTCAAACTATCTACCACCGTTGGCTGCCAACGGGTCTACACCTTATCCATATGGCCCCCCTGCCTACCATCATCCGCCTGGATATCCTTCCCCATACGACAGGTTGTTGCATCCAGCAGATCAAGCATCTATCTCGGCTCATATGCATGCCAACGCCGCACAAATTGCTGGTCACGCGGTTCCATATTACGCGCAAGGTCTTTCCCCAGTCGTTACCCACCACGATTTAGTAAATCCCCATGCGCGACATGCCCACCCAGCAACGCCTCCAGCAGAAAACGACGCACGTCAGGGAGACTTAAAAGCGGACTATGGACAGGACATCAGAAGCAGCTCACAGACAACTCGTTCTCCTTTAAGGCCTGTCGAAGCCAGCTCGCCAGCTAGCAGTGTGCGCAATCAATCAGATACCGCGACGTCGGCGAACGTTGTGCCGAGTATCAATGCCCTTGTAAACTCCGATGAGGCTCCTACAATGACAAGCTCGATTTCTACAACGAGCTCTGAACACTCGAAAGCCTCCACAAAGCAGCCTTCAAATGGGAAAGTCGAAGGGCCAAAGGATATCCCCAGTGACAAGATCGGGTTTGGAGAAGACATGAGAGCTTTGAGACAACTCGACAGGGTTTTTTCAGCATAAGATCCAGGCTGCCAGCTTCCCAGATTGTGTGGCATTCTCAATTTTCCAGACTTAATCTATATTCTGGGAAGATGAAGTGAATTTTTCAGTATCGCTCTATCCCCACATCTAATATATCCGGTGATCATTTATCACCCTCCACCCTACTTTATTTTCTCTTTCATAAAATCCCCGCCTTTTCTACATTTATTTTCGCCTAGCGCTTTCCTTTGAATTTGTTCAGCATTTCAAGGTCGGGTTGGGTTACGCATCGGGGCTTGTCATTGATTTGCATGGTAAAATGGCGCTCCGGCGGCATAGGGAATAAAGACGGGAACGGAGCGGAAGCCTCGTTTTGCGTTGGTCCGGCGTTGTATGTCATTATTATTATTATTATTATTTGTATGTACATGCCTATCTATATACATACATATATTCCTACACACACATTTGTGGTAAAAAGTGTATTTGTATGTATATAAATACCATTCATAATCACGAAATATATGAAGATTTGGGTCTTTTACAGCGTATATGTGCCACACCACGGTTTTTTTTTTTTATTCTCAAGAATTTTTTAAGAACGCGGACTTTTACCCCTGAGTTCTGATATACGTTTCATCGTGGGCAGATGTAAACTATCAGTTGGTTGTAACGTGGCCGCGCCGCGAGGTGCCAGGTCCTTGTCACGGGTTTGATGCCATGCCATTCCGCCATGCTTTTCCCCTTGCACAGTTCCCATGGAGGACGCGGGTAGAATTACGGTCCGGCTCGGGTTTCAAACCAAGTTTGAGTGTATCATCACATCACATATGAATTATTGCAGATGCATTCTCCCATCGATGCACATATACCTCACTCCCATGGTAGCGCAAACCACTGCGCACGCCGTACCCTGATAGATAATCAGGGTCGTACCAAGGATCAAGACAAGAATCTTGTCCACAACCTAACTAAGTGCCACCATCTCAGTCCTCCACACTGCTGCATACTTACGTATGGTATGGAACATCAGGGATGGGCGCAATTGCTCCTCCCTCTCCCCGCTTGGGCTCTCCCCTGGCCATATTAATATTAGCCAAAAAGACCTCTGTTTCCGTCCCCCTAGGCTTCGCCTACATATGGTCAACCATCCGCCTTTATATTCAAGGCACCTGGCGCTGTTAGCCAGCACAAAGGAAACCCCGGCACAGCTTCTGTCTTTCCAGCGCACAAAGAATCGCCAATACGGAGTTGCTTCCAACATAAGCATGTGATACACGGAGTACTTCGAAGAGCAAAATATGCATAAATAGCGGGGACAGCTTAAATGCTCAAATTTCTCCACCGGGTCGTATTCCATACAGCTCCTACAACTCCAACGCCGATCTGTGCTTATTCCCTGTTCCCTGTTGCCGTTCGGAAGGGAGGACGTGGATGTGACCCTTCCCTTTTCTTTCTTGGTTTTTTTTTTCTTTGGTTTTTTTTTACCCTTTTTGAAGGACAGTCAAAGGGAAATCTCCGACTCCTTCTACCGTAAATTTTGGATCTTGGGAACCTTTTAACGGTGTGAGTGTCTGAAAATCAACTATAGGCAGTGATGGATCTGGTTTTTTAAACACCTTGTTGTTTCTTTACAAAAGGGATAGTAAGAAAGCTTCGCAAACGGGGCGGACAGAAGAACATCCAAAACAATAATTAGTTTTAATTTTCGTTTCGGGTGTTTGTTTCGTATTCGCGACTGGTTCAAAATTCCCGATATTACTGTAGAGCCTGGTCTGAGCTGTTGATGGGGCAAACGAGCAAATAAATTGTTAGTTACATAGTATTACTGCATACTTCTATGTGGAGTATCCATTAAAACCAAGTTTAGTATATAAGTTGAATGCAGGGGTAAGTACTCCCGTATATCCTAAAAACCATGGTGCTCATCCAAATACCAATAATCATAGCTAAAACTCCAACTTATGCTACCTCGCCCTTCTGAGGAACTCCAATAATTATCATGACACATGAATGATGAATCCATAACTTGGGTGTTGATTCGGTATCCTAGATATCCAGCATACTCCTCACCTTTTGTGTCCTAGTTGGAGACGTTAAAGTCTCCCCGGAGAACGCGGTGGTTGCACTATTACTGCGACTTAATGTAGATCCAGCTTTCGCCTCTGGATCCAGAGTGTCATCCACATTGAACTGCGTTATCTTCATATCTACTTCCTCTTTTTTATCTTCAGCGACAAGATTATTTTTTTGTGGCCACTCAGGTTGGTTTAGAAGGACTTTCGATGAGGAGCCTTGATTTGGCACTTCAAGATCTTTGTATTTATTTGGGTTAAGAACACCCATTTCGATATTTTTCTGGATATTCTTTTGCGTGGCAGCGCCACCACCTACTTGCGGTACCAAGCATCGAAGTCTCGAATCTAAGTCCGTGCCGGTAGGGCCAACGGTGAAATCAGGCCTTGAACGATGCCACCAATGTGGCTTTCTGCTTTTCCGGTCGACTCCCAATTCATCATCTGCTGAACGACCACGCTCGATACGTTGACGAATAAGATCTTGATCCTCATTTGGGTCGAGGTAGCCATATATATTGAATATCGTAAGAATCAAAAGTATAGGGGTATAGCCAAAGCCATATATCCAGCCGGGGTTGCCGTTGTATTTCAACGGAGATATTGTCCATTCAAAAACCGAGACAATACCGAATCCTATACGAAGCGCAGCAATGGGGATTGTAAGAGTGAATTTTAATGGCGTGGCGGCTATGTAATAAGCGACGTTCACCCGGCCTTGAGGCCGAGACTTATATCTGTATAGGCTGTGCCCAAGGCTGTAGCAGATCAAAAGTACACAAACGATGGCGACAAAGCTTGCGGATTTGAAACGTCCGTCTGTTGCAGTTGGCCTTGCTAATGTTTCCTGTTGATCAAAGCTCCTTTGCTTTTGTATATTCGTCCATGACCTTGGAATGGTGAGAAAGAAGTTTAGAAACGCAAAGAAATAGAAAATAAGGGGTAGGTAGAACTCTTGCTTTTCCCTGGTTGTTACAGCAACAAATGCGAAGTTATCACGGTCTTGGATCTGGCGTTCCTGCCACGAGCCCCTGTATCGAATTAGCAGCGGTCTCCATTTTGTTTGCACACTAAATAACTTGGTTTTGCTCACCAATTTCTAACACCTTCCCATATTGCAGCTAAAACTGATGGAAACGCCAAATAGTAGAAGAAGCTTTGTAGGATAATCGCGGTGCTTTGCAGATAGCTTCGGTCGACATCGATGCTCATGAAACAACTGACCGTACCGCAAACCCCGACAAATATCATCCAATACCATTGCCATCTTCTCCCAACCAAGGCCCACCGCTTATCCAGAGGTAGATATGTCGAGCCATGCTTCCGAAGGCCAATCAAGGCGAACACAATGGAAATGGCGAAGAGCGATGCAAAAGCGATTCCAACGCCACCTCGGGTTCCAATATTCTCAATAGGGAAATAACATGAGGTAGCATTGATAAAAGTTCCGTTAGATAGTATTGCTGGTTTATACTTGTCGAAGGAAAGCCAACAGTTCGACCCGTTCGATATGGTCCCATTTGAGTACAGTGTATAATTAAAATGTCGCAGAGCAGTTAGGTTGAAGTGAATGCCATTTAATACTGTGTCTGTGGCATTATTCCCATTTTCAGGAAATTTCAGTAGATCCCGTATCTGAACACTGGTCATCGTGAGCATGGTTCGGTGTGCACCGCGCTTGAAGACTCAAGGACTACTCTCAACAGGCAAGGGTTTTCCAAGTTAAAACAGCTCTAGGTCCCATGCTGCAGAACTACAGCCTCAATAGCTTTCAGGTGCAGCCTGCAGACATCGCTGTGCCTGCTGAACGGGTTTGCAAACAACGGGCGAGGTGAAAATTGGCTTCGAGGCCGGAAAGCGGCTCTTGCGCATCTCAGATTGACGTCATTGGCCCGGCTCCACCTGTCGATTTCGCTGCCGTTTCGCCAAAACTTGCAGCTTGGCTGTCAGCTGTGCCAACGACGGTTCAGCTGTTCGTGTCTGACAACTCGGCGTTGCAATGGGCTGCTACTTCGAGAAGAAGCTGAATCGGAAGGTATTTCCGGTAGATCCTTGCTGACTCTCTTCTAGCGATATCTTCTCCAGCCCAAACCATTGTTATTGGAGGCTGGGATTGGCAATCTGGCCATGGAAATCGCCAAACCGGCGATACCGGCCTGGCCAGTATCCTGCGGGCTATTATGATGTCTCTATTCCCTGTTAGCTGCGCGGCCATGAGATATAAAGTATTCTAGTAAGCCCTGGACAAGTTCCTTGCCTAGTATTTGGTCAACCAGTTTTTCAGAACCTTGTGGTGGCCACCTGGTCTTCAAGATGCATACATTTTTCCCCCACTCCATCGTTGGTCTGTGGTGCTTTGTCTTATTAACTTTCTCTTCTGCTCCCCCTATAGTATTTCCGCAACCAGATGGCCCATTTCAAGTGAAGTATAGGGAGTATGAGCTTGTGGATACATCTCGGCTTGACCCATTCAATACCACCCACCTTCGACGGTTGATGGTATCACGGTTCGACCCGGTTCCTAGGCAATCTTGCAGAGAAGTCTGTAAGGTGCAGTATCTACCCACCAGGACTGCAAGAATTCTTGAACAAAAATTTCTTGCGACTGTCAAGTTCCCTCCTGGATATCTTGAAGAAGCTAAGCTGCAAGTCTGTTGTAAATACGGCCACTTTCCTCATGCCAAAAGTTTCCCACTTCTTGTCTTTTCACCAGGGTTCGGTGGAACGCGCCTCGGGTATGCTGGAATTATACAACGGATCGCCTCCAAAGGCTATACAGTCGTGTCTGTGGACCATCCATATGACGCACTTGCTGTTGAATTTCCGGACGGAACATTGATACCATCCCAAGACATCCAAGATTTCAACCGCGCTGTCAAAGTTCGCGTCGCCGATATGCTTTTTGTAATTGACTCGCTGACCCGTGCCAATTCACCTTTACACCGTCGTCAACCCGTTGGAATTTTCGGACACTCCCTGGGTGGGAATACCGCCGCGGGGGTAATGTACAAAGATCCGAATATCGCCGGCGGAGTTAACCTGGATGGAGGCATTTATGATGACGAATCTATAAGAGGGTTTGGCTCCAACAAGACCCGACAGTCGTTTCTTCTCTGGGGCGCTATTGGACATAACCAGACCAATGATAAAAGCTGGACGGATTTCTGGATAGCCATGAATACACCCCCACACGATGCTGTGTGGAAGAAAGAGCTATCGTTAACCAAGACAGTGCATCTCACCTTTTCGGATATACCGGAGATTGTAGATTTGGGAAAACTAAGGGATAAGGTTGGAGATGTGTTTGGGGCTATTGAGGGAGAGCGAAACGCCCAAATTCTGGGGGCATACATTTCCGCATTTTTCGATTTTTCTTTGCTTGGGAAACCGGAAGGGCTGTTGAAAGGACCCAGCGATATGTATCCTGAGGTGTTGTTTCTCTAGACCCACTTTAAAATTTCATCCCTCTCGTTTATTCCGTGACGGGTTAGATATTGGGGGCCGTCGCTGGATTAGTTAATTGTAAGTATAGCTATTCATATTTTTTGAATCTTACCCAAAGGTGTTTTAAAGGTGATTCCGGAGTAGATGATTTCCTCTCTGACCCGACATGAATCATGGCAGACTAACCTACTAGAAACCATAATACGGAAGGATCAACAGGAGCCATGTGTGCCATAAAGCAGTTTGATAGATTTATTACCTTGAAACAAGATTTTTTGAGCTTGGCTGCATAACCCATTGTTATCAAAGGAGCAAGTTCTTCTCACGATACCCAAGAGCTATGAATAAAAAGCGACAAAACATTGATCAAAAACAACCGTTTCGGCGAGCGAATGATACTGGAGATGTTCCATATCCAAAATAGAGGCTAAAATGTTGCACTAAACCAGTCGAAAAGAAGGGTATATACGGAGTATAAAATGAGTGAAAACCCGAGATGAAAACAGACACATTTCTTTTGGATTGCCATCAAGAAAAACCCGAGAAAACCTCCAAAGACTGTGGAAAGAAGTGACTATGAGCGTGATGTTCCCACAACTCCATAGCAGCGATAAAGAGAACGAAACAGCGCTGAGAGACCTTGTTAAACTTTATGAGAAATGAAAGAAGTCGGCAAATCAACAAATAGGAGTATTGGAATAATATGCTCGCTAAGGAGGCTGTATGCATGAAAAATTTGCTAAAAAAGTAGGAAGAGGAAGTATTCTGCCCAATTTTGTAAACGCTCAATATGCTGAGTAGCCAAAAAAAGAAATCAACCGAAGGTCGCAGTGAAGGGCGGTGTACAAGAGTGTATAGGCGGGTACCACAGAACGTAGCCAGTAAAGGTCGTAAATGTTTAAGTAATTAAAAAATCCATGTTCATGTCGTCGATGATTTTTTCCCAATCCCAGCTTTGGTCAGGGTTGGTGTCCATTATATCCCATACCTTTTCCACGATGCAAAAGGCTGGTTTAATATTTCGGAGGCTTGAGTATGCCTGCAGGCTGTTGAAACCTTTTTTGATACGGTCTCGTTGGTGGGGCTCGAAGGCCGAACAGCCGAGGAGGAATAAGGGCATTAGGAGGATGCTAAAAGCACCGGCGTTCAGGGGTAGTTGGTCAAGGAAGAGTAAGCCGTCATCGACGACTTGGGAGATTTTCTCGTTGGGGCGTGAGGGGCGAATGGTGCGGTAGAGGTAGACCCATGTTGATTGGCGGTATAGCTGTGCGGCAAACCAGTTCTGGTGGTCTGGCGGATAGGATGGCTCCCAGGCGCGTATTTTGGAGTCTATGGTGACTGCTTCACTCAGTGTTTGATAGTCCACAGCAGGCTCGCATTTCTGGTTGATACGTTGTCGTATCTTGTCCCGGATGACCGTAATTTCAGATATGTAGAGAAATAAGCCATCGAAAATTCCCAGGAGAGCGCCAGCTTGGGCGTGAGGGATGAAATCGGGCAGACGAAGGTCTCCGGTGAGACAAATAGGGCGGCGGTCTAAGGTGGTCAAAGAGCTCGACACATCGTGATACTGAAAGAATTCCACGATAAACTGCCGAAATTTCTCATTTTTAGGACGCTGCGTCACTAACAAATATCTAGCTGCGTCCATGTGAGATCTATATTCGCCCTTTGTTTCCCCTTCACAGATGGTATTCAAACATAGCGCAATGGTCGACGCAATCATAGGATCCTCCACGAGGAACTCTGGCTCCTTGCCGTTGCCGGTGGATCGCGCAACGATCGTGTTCCTGAGATCGGTGATGGCGCGGTCGAAGTGATAGTGCTTACGCTCCTGGAAGCGGGGATCTGGATTCCTGGCGGAGAGATGCGACCCAGATAGGCACATTAAAGAGTGCATCAGGCCGGTGTGCTGGGTCGCCATGGGCATGAGAATCTCCTTGAAGGGATTCGAGTCGTCGTTAATCAACGTAAGCACACGGCTGAAATCGTAGACGAAATGGTCCAGGAAGCGCCGGTCGACGTCTGTCTCGACTCCGTCGATCAGGATGGGAAGCTCGCGAGGGATCACGGCCAGGGAGCATCGTCTAGCCGCTAGAGTATTGCGTCCATCAGCGGCTGTTACATGGCACCCTACTGCCCGACACGCTCTTCATTCTATCAGTCTTACCTTCTTCCAGTTTCTGCTTCCCGCTCTTCCATATCTCTTTGGCGGGGTATCCCTCACACACCACAGAATTCTTCTGGCAGTTCAGACACGACGGCTTGGTCTCGTCGCACTTTTTCTTCCTCCGCCGACAGGTGACGCAGCCGGTTTTCGACCTTCCCTTGGTGACTTTGATCTGACCCGGCAGCGGTAGCGGGTGCTTGCGCGGTCTTCCACGTTTTCGTGGCCCAACCACCGGCGCCGGCACGAAGCTGCTCTTCGACTCCGGCGTATCCAGCTGGATCCGCGTGATCACCTGGTCTTTGCTCGATTCGATAGCGAAAGCCTCCTCGTCGTCAATTTCCTCCACTTTTGGCACCACGTCGTCCGAGTCCGTCGAGTACGTGCGACAGCTGAACGGCAGCGTGGACGAAGACATCGTGCGGAAGAAGGTGTGACTCGCGAAGCTCCTATGGGCTTCATTGTACTGTTTTAAGTGCGCAGGAGAGGCTAAGGGAGAGTCCGGTCGCCTGGGCCGCGCCTCGTCGAGGAGGGCATCGCTGGCGGCGGTGGAGCTGGAGAGGCGCGAGAAGCTGTCGTTGGTGCTGCTGGGAGTCGACGAAGAAGATTTCAGGACGAGGCCAGAGCAGTCGGCAGGCTTGGGGTCGCTGGCAGTACGGTCGTGGTCGTGGCCGCTGCTGGCTACCGCATCACGACGCATCGGACTGTTGTGGAGCGGCCGTTGGAGCTGGTGGGAGCTGCATGGGCTTGGATTCTGGGTGGACAACATAGACTCGGCGGCATTGACGCTCGACAGGAGCGTATGTATTCCGTGGGCTGGATGGGCGGCAGGAGGGCCATACACGGCGAGACGGACAGCCAGCAGCAAGCAGCAGCAGCAGCAGCAGCAGCAGCTCCGACGGCGGAGGTATTATTTATTCGTCTCGCCGGCCGCTCGGCGAAGCTCGTCAACTAAATACACGCTGGGGCGAATGTGACGAGTAACTAGAGCTGGGGGTGGTGGACGGGCGAGCCAATGGCCTCCGGCGAGCCCCCTGGTCGCTGGACGGGATCCCACTGCAGTGCGTCGACGCTCCATGCGGCGGGCGGCACGGCTGCTGGTCTGATTATTGATTCATCTGCTACCTCGAGGCCTGGTCGTCTCCAAGAGCTGCCCGCCGCCGTCGTCCCCTCTCGCGGTCCCCCCGGCTCGCCGTGCTGCATCCGTGCCTTGTCGGGCTCAGGATTGGGACGGCTGCAGGACTGTGCGCTTGTGCGGGGGCAAGCTAACGAGATGGCGGATCAGCATGCAGCCCCTGGCTGGTGCTGATGACCGTGCTAGAGCTGGTTATCTGGGCGAAGGCGGCTGGCTGCACGGCCATTGCTACGGAAGCTATCGACAGTCCATGCAACTACTACGGGAGTACTCCGTACGAAGTCACCATACTCAGGCAGGCCGTGGACGCTGTACTGGAAGAAAGAAGACGGATGCAGCCGGCAATCCTCAACGCCTGTCGTAGTGCGACTATGATCGTGAATGCGAGACGATTCGAGCTCCTGCGAGCAGACCACTCCGGAACACATAGTTAAGACAGCAAGCACACTACGATGAAGTTTGATACTTGTCACCATGAACCTGCTGGCAACCCCTTTCCCACAGGTGGAGCAGACAGCCACGTCCTCACATGGATTTCTTTTATGCAAAGGAGACACAAAGACCCTGGGCGGCGTCAGTAGGGATGTGGCCAGGCAGTGGCCGACACTTGGTCGCGATTGTTGTCGATCCAGCACCCAAGCCTAAGCATGTGCGCGGCTTTCCAACTCAACCAGCCGTGATGGTTTCGTGGGTTGGCGATGAGCGGCCGGCGGGATTTGTGCCTCGACTGCTCAGGGAGTAACTACTGAGCGACACGATGTGCGAGCTGAATCAATGACCATCAATGTACTGACCGATGTGCATCCATGGCCTCTATGCCGTGCTGCTACCCTAACGCCGCGATAGTTAGTGAGACCTTTGGCATTGTTTAATTAGTTAACTAGTTAATTATTAGTTTCGTGTTTCCTCTGTGGCCGTCGCAATCGTCGACGAATCCGCTCGTCCCACAGCCCTTCCTGTGAGTGTGCAGGAGAACTATATAGCTCAATGCTGACGGCCGTTAGGATGTGAGTAAGGCTGAATAATAGTTTGCAGTGGGCCGCACCGGTTTGGTTTCATCCACGGTGTTGGTCGTATGACGCTTGACCATCTGGACAGGTAGCGGCAGGCCTAACGAACAGCAAACGGCAAGGCGCTGCAAAGGCGCCGGTTTGACGGGGTGATTTTAAACTCCTTCGACGGGTCGAGCTGCCGGCGATGCTCGCCACCAAGCATTTGTGTTCTAGATCTCTCCATTGGACAACGTATCAGGCCCATCCCTGGCCCAGCGGTGTTTTGACCCCTTCGATTCGAATTGACGCACAGGGATGCCGACAAATCAACTCACAGAAAGACACGCTTTTCTCTCCTCCGCCCCCTCTGTTCACGCCTTGACGGGGGATTGGCCCGGGGTGGAATCACGACGAATCGCGCGTCTTGTTTCCTTTTTCCCAACCTGGCAAGAGTTGGTTGGCGCTGGGTTGTCGATTGGATCTTCGTATTTCGAGAGGGAGGCCCCCGCCCGGCAGTCAGGAGGTCGTGTGCGACTCGTGAGGCCTGACAATCTTGGGAATTCTCGACATGGCAAAAGGACGGCCGCGCTCGATTCCAACCCCGGAACACGGAGCCACCCCGTCTTGGGCGCTCCCTGCTAAATCGCAGCGCGCGATGTGGGTAAAAGTCTCCGCAGCTACCCGCGGGCCGTCCCCCCCGAAAACCTACCCAGATGCACTCGAGAGATACTGCGATGAATTCTCCCCAACACGACCACTACTATTTCTCCAGGTCAAAGGCCTTGAAACAAAACCTCGCCGCTCTGACACGCCAGGCATGAAAGCTCTGTTTTCGTGTTGTAATCAGAAGCAGGTGGAGAGATACGAATACGGAGCGACTGAGCGTCCTGAATCTAACCCAGAATCGCTGGACAGGGGATCTCTGGCATTGTTACATGCGTGTGGCCGTAAATGGCGACAGGATTCAGCATTTCGGGGTCGACTAGCTTGGGGAGCTATCTTCAAACACCCGCTTCTCCGCACCAGACATACCAGCGCCGGATTAGCGTTAACGGGACCTCCCTGCTGGCAAGGTTTCAAAATGACCCGCATGAGGAGATTCCTTTGTTAGTACTAGGCCACTTGAGTACGTGTGCAAAGTATGTATAGACAGCATTGGCACTGGCATTTGTGCTTCAAAGACCTCTTGATTGATGTGCTAGATGACACGGGGTCTCTTTCCACATGTATCAATTCAGCGATTCCGTCAATTAAACCCTGAAATCCATCGGACAAGCCCGCTTTTATCTTTGGGCAAACAACGTTAACTGCATTGCACAGTGCATACGTATGTAGTTATGTATGTGCATACGTACATACTTCGTGCATATTCTCTATACCATACCTCACTGGTGACACTGTCACTCGCGGGTGGCATTGGTTTGGACCGCAATAATCTCCTAGGATGCCGCCCGCCGCAAAATTGGGAACATATAACCCCCCAAAATCCGCGGTTGGCATGCAGTGAATGAAGATTTTCAAGCATCGAGTAAAAATTGCGGCAACTTGAGAACAGGATAGCCACAAAATACCCGTTGTATAACAGTGTTCAATAATAGTGGCTACCTGTTGGCGGGTTATGGTTCAAAGGAGAAGGAAGCTGAAAGATTGGTGTCTTTAACGCTTCTAGAAGTTTCGTGATGGGCTGCAGGTTACCCATCCTGGCTTCATGTATGCTTACATATGATATGCTTCTCGTATACATGCATAACTACACACACATACATCTGCCCTGAAATATTGGAAATATCCGACAAACAATTCGTTTCGCGCCCCCAAAAAGCTCCAGTGGGGACGCCGGGTGACCTCCATCTGTTCCTGGCAAATGAGCCCCAGTTACAAATATAATATTGGGGTCCTTGCTGTCCTTTCATCATAAGTGTTCCGAAAAGTGAGAAGCCGACATCGTTCCGGCTATTGTTGGAGCGCAATCGCTCGAATCTAGGCCTAATCTCAGCCAATACTGCCCATCAGGCTAGAAATTTTCAATTCCACTTCGGTAACTAATTACTCGTTCGACTCGGCATATACGAATCCTAACATGCATCATTTTGTTGCTGTGGGGTGGCCTAAAAAGCCGGGCCGTCAATATTTGAGACCAAACGGAGTTGTTACTCGATATCCATCAGAGAGAGTTCCGCGAAAGAATATTTCTCGCTATTTCTTCCATTCTCTTCTTTTCGTTTTCCTATTTCCTCAAATCATCAAACAGAAAACGCGATCGCCTTTAATGTGAAAGATTTCTCGTGAAATTTACAGCTCCCCTAACTACTAAACCAGTTACCATCCTTTGTGGATACCTGCATGTGGAGTTTTTCGAGCAGCTCAATAATGTATACTGAAATCTACGCTGCTGTTCGGAATTGTAACTTGGCTCGGTAGTATCTTTCTCCTGCGAATTTCGAGTTTGCGAGTCATTTGACTGCGTTATTCGCATGCAAGGGCAACGCTGCTTCCAGGGGGCTTGTCCGACCATTTCGATCTACGGGGGGGCAGGCGGCAGTTCAGATGAAATTCCAGTCATAATTGACCTCTTCTACCCCCACCACGTGCATACTGAAATCGTTGGCATCGTTTCGTGCTGCCGTTTGTGGAAACTGGAGGATTCAGATCAGGCTTCGTGGCCCTTGGCGTCGCTGCACTTTATATCCTGGGGTTCCATCACCGCAGCGCAAGTCAGCACCTACATGCCAGATATTTGAGCACTAGCAGTGCCTAACATCTATCTGTGACTAGTGCTACTTGCTTATTGGGCCTGTTCCCAAGCCAGTCAGGGTCGGAGTGGCTAAAGGCCGGACCAATTTGTTTTTTATATTACTTGGATTATTAGCAAGTAGCATCAAGGCAGCATTGATTGACAGGGGTATGCTCCACCAGTCATCACTTAGTACGCTGATATTCACCAGGGCCCAATTCAAGGAACAACAGCGGCACGAAGGCAAAGAAAAACTCGCCGTCTTGGATAAGGCCTGGGGAAATCAGCCAAGCCACAGAGGCCGCTTTTTCGCCTCCTCAAAGTGGCTGAGGTCAACCGTCGCACAATCTTCCCATGAATGTTTCTGAAGAAGAACGGCTACTTCCCGAAGGATGAATGAATGGGTTTCAAGACTTCATGCAGCTCAGCCATAAGCTGTACAGACGCTCTTCCGAGAAACGGCTCGAATGGGGTCGCAGAATATAGTAGACACCTTGCGCAAATTATCACAACCGCGCTTGCGCGTCGGCTATCTAGGTATCGACGGCTAAACAACACACTGAGATTGTGGTAGCAAGGCAGCTATCCCGAGAAAATTGAAACCGGAGTGAAAAGAAAACTTTGAAAAATTTGACCAAGCCGAATACCATATAGTGAGCTTTGAGCCAAGAGCTTGTTTGGGTTTGGGGGCACATTTCAGGAGTTTCTCTTTTCAAGACTGCTGTGGGAAGGCTTACCCAGTAAGACTTATGGAGTTTTTATAGGGAGTATGGACGTTCACTACAAAAAAAACTATTGCTCCGATGCTAAAAAGTCGTAAGGTCATCAGCAATTCTATAGGAATATACTCGGAATATTCATAAGAGTCCGATGATGAAACTCAAAAAAATACTTTCTAGAAAAGCTAAATCTCGAAACCTACCTTTCTATGCCTAGAAACTGGCGTATTGTTTAAGCTTTGTATAATTAGGAAAGACGTGCAAGTACGCCCTCTTTCTTCTCACTAACATCATTTCGGCCAGTATCGAGCTTGCACGTATATGGTTCATAACGGCCCATATTGATTTTGGACAAGCACAGCCAAATATAACACGTTTCAAGGCTTCGGTTCTTGCTACCCCCATTCAGTCCCAATATACCCCTCATCCGAACAAAATGAAAACATTTTCTAACAGGCGTGAAAGAAGAGACAAGAAAAACGATATAGGACACAATATCATAAATGTCGTTGTCCTCTGACCGAGTGGTCAGTAAGAACTTCATGGCAAAAGAGACAATCCAAACTACAGCCCAGGGGACAGTTAATGTGTATTCATCGCGCCGCTGGGAACGGTCTTTGGGGTACATCATTTGGCGAAATATTTGCTAACTAAGACTTTGGGCGTTTTTGATTCATCGGCATCCACCAAAAGTACGGCTTCCGTTGCAAGTAGGCTGGTTTCTGACCGGCTGGGGGCGAACTTGATGAGCCCTAAGTCTGCGGTCTCATAAATTGCCTCCAACGCCCATGGTCGACATGTACGATTTTCAGTGGAAATTTTGCTAAGAGTATTCGCGAAGTACTGGTGGAATTCTCGGTCGTATGAGGTAATTTCCGCAAATTTCAGTGCCAGCAAAAAAGTGACCGAGTTTAAAAGGTGCGGATGAAGATAAGGATCAAATTTAAAGGCCCCACTAGTATTCGTATTGTGGTACATCATACCGGTTCTCTCAGTTGTTGCAACGACAAGTGACCAGTGAAAGTTTTTGATGCTGCCCATGTTGAACAAGACCAGGTATACTGACCCTGGCTCGATGGAGAGCTCGAGGTTCCTTACTGGTGGCCCTCTGTCGACATCGGACGGATTGGGAATGGGGGTGGTTGAAGATGGTTTGGAAGTATTTAAGAATTGTTCCGACATGGTGGTGTTGATAATACCAATCCCGAGGAAGCTCAAGGTATGCAATGAAAATTAGTAGTAATGGGCTAAGACGAGCGTTGCAAAAGCGGGCAGTTCAGTGAAATAAAATCAAAAGGGGGCCTGGTGCTCCCTTTATATATTCATTTTCGTCTAGACACCCACCCAGCGAGCGGACGAGAATTTTAACCGCTATTGCTTGTTTCTCAAAAAGCCAATGGGGCGGGTGTCTTCTCGCAATTTTTGAACTGAGAAGATCCATTGGCCGGGATAGCCGGACGCACTCTTTGTCGGGGACTCTTTCGGGGGTGCGAAAGCTCCGATATTGCTTGGGTGGATAGGTATGTAGACGCGCATTTTTGAGCCAGTGCACCGTGTTTAGGATACTCCGCAGCTGTTGGGCCGTTAAGCTTCTAGTGCGGATCGAGCCGCATTGTGGGGGTCGGTCCTGGCGATCCCATTGGTGGGGTGACGGTTAGTCACGTGAAAGCTCCCAACATGGGATAGCCCTGAGTACAGAGTATCAGGCCGGGAGCTTGGTGGGATTGATCAGAGGTTTTGAGGGCCAGGCGTCAGGGGCAGTTCGTGCTGTCCCACCTTTCAGTCATCTTTGTCTCTCGGGAGACAGTCTATCTTTTGGAGATTACTGATCTCACTCAACATGTTTGGGAGGAGCGAAGACTACTATTCCGCTTACGATGTCATACTGTGGTCGAAGATCGCGGAAATTGAGAAGCTCGCTTTGTTTCGCTTCATCAATCACGCCGGCATACCAGACCATGGCGGTAGGTACGTACTGCAGAAAGTCGCCGAATCACCCGACGTTCCTTTGGAAACCACTCTTCTATCCATCTGGGAAGAGTGGCTCGCCCTGGCATGGAAAGGTGCGGTAGAATTCCCCCAACACTCGCTTGGGCATTTTTATTTATAGACATGATTAGTGAGCCGCGATGATAATGTCTCTCCGGAGATAGAAGCCGCACTGCGCGAGCGCGATGATAATCATTGCTGCATCAAGGGAACTGATGTAGATACTAAGCCAACATACATCATCGCGCCATCCATTGTGGAAGACCCTGCTTTGCAGCCCGGGGTATGCCTATAGTCAAGTTGAGCCGTTCTCTCATATTTCGCTAACGAACTAAACAAGGGGTCTTTACGACCAATTCTAGAGGCGTTTCTTACTGAGGAAACAATTAAGGAACTATTCGAATCACTCACCTTGCGAGGAAAAGAGAACGAGCTGAAGAATATGTGGCTCATGTCACCTATAGCGCGATCTGCGTTTCGCCATGGTCATTACAGCATAATCAAGTCCCCCCATCTCGAAAGGGGAAGGGACGGCGCCAGCCTACCTCATGGAGGAGTAAGTCACCAAAAGGAGATATACATAAGTTAACCGCTGATATGTTGGTCTGCTTTCAATAGTGGTGGATCGTCCCTACAACCCCTGGAGAAATGTCCCTAGCTGTTCTCAATGGTAACGAGGAGTTTTATAAGACTCCATCCACGCCTAATCCTGATAGCCATCCGTTGCCACTGGACCTGTTCGTCCATAACCATGGAAAGCTTACTAAACCGCTGCATCTTCTCGGTGTCATGAACAGAATCAAGGGCGGTTGGCGGACTAGAAAAGGTGTGTCATATGAAAAAATAGATATCGTTGTCTAATTCAAGTTTCAGATCCCAGAACAGTGGGGAAAGCAGGACGACTTATCCTTAGATTCATATTACTCCTCCTACCAGTTTCTCTCAGGCTCGCGCTCTATCAGCTTATCTTTAGATGGGCAGACCGATTGATTCCCTCACAAGCGGCAGGATTCTATGTTAAGTTTCTCCCGTTTGGAATATGCCTCAAGAAAGGTGGACGTAATGCAGCCAATGAAGCAAATTCACTACTTCTAGTAGAGAAATACACAACAATAAACGCACCGAGATTGATTGATTCGGTCATGATAGATGAACAGTCAGGCTTCGTCTTGATGACGGAAATTTTTGGCGATCGGCTGGAAGGTGTTTACTATAGAACAACATACGAAGAGCGGAAACAGATCGGGCAGGACCTGGCGGAATGGATTTCTCAGCTGCGACGTATTCCAAACAAAACAAACTACCTCATCGCAGACACCTTGGGTGAACCACTGACTGATCATAGGTTTGGTGGGAAAACTTGGGGTCCCTTCAACACTGTTGCAGATTTTACAGACCGTCTGGTGAAAGATGTCCCAAATATCCAAAAACTGAAACACGAACTGCCACTGTCTGTTTTATACCAAAAGAAGTATGACATTGTTTTTACTCAATCCGATCTACATATGAGAAATATCTTTTTAAAGAATGGAAAGCTGCATGGTCTCATTGATTTCGAAAGCGGGAGTTTCCGACCGGAGTACTGGGAGTTCACTCGAGCCGTATGGCCCTATGGAGGAGATGTTACGCCTAGCTCTATTTATCGTTTTGCGTTTGGGGAAAAATACAAGGAGGAACTTGAAGCAGAAACATATATTCTGCTGAATGGACCATTTATTTGCTAAGAGATATGGGCCATGGTTAATAAAGAATTTGGAGTCGAATCTTCATAGTTCATCTAGTAATAGCTGTGATAAGTCCACGCTACTCCGTATACTATTTTATACTGGGTTGTCCACCGCCGTTTCTTCTTCCATTCTGATATACAGGCCTATTCCAGAATATTGGGAGGAAATGTCAAGAAACGATGTTGGTTGGGTATGTGGTTACGTAGTACGACCCAGAACGGCTGCAACCAATCAGTTAGTTTGTCCATACACCAATACCCACTTTCCACGTGGTGTCCCACATTGACAGCCGCGCTTAACTTTATTTCGTCCGTTGAGCAACGTCACAGAGGCCAACAATTGTGAGGGCGAGTGGTTATGTATGACGTTAGAGACGCAATGTTGAAAAATTGGACAGCCATTCTCAGTAAATCTTTTCATGCATTCCGGCTATTGTAGTCTTGTTTTCTAAGTACATCTCAGAGGGACCTCCCTCAATGCAGAATTCAAAACCTTTTAAGTACGCCCTTTTCAAAACGGCATGGCAAAACCCGAAAGATCCAGATTTCCCCAAGTAAAAAAACAAAAGAATAATATCTACAGAGAATGAAAAAAATCGCAATAGAGTTAAAGAATGTCACGGAGCCAGCTGGACATTTTTGGGTGTTTTTTTGGTATTTGCCCGGTTAGGAGGGCGCGCTTATTCGGAGGGGCGGGCATGAGGGTGGCGAGCGACAGGCTTTTTCACCTTGAGTTTAGCACCCTTCTTGCCTCCGCAGAGGATGACGTGAAGGTCGGTGCTGTCTGGGCAGCCTTTGGTGGCGTGATCATCGTCAGGTTTGTTGTAGGCTTCGGCGCATTTGCCATCACCAGCAGAGCAAATGACCTTAGGACATTCCGAGTCGGATGGGATGATCGAGACACCACCATCCTTGAAGGGATAGCCGTCGATGTTAGATAGATCGTAGAAGACCTTGGGCTTGGAGAGAGTGTACTCGAACTGAGACACTTCCTTTTGGGACTCGTCCAGGGAGAGCTTCATGGAGATACCGCCGCCATTGCCATTTTCGCGGTATTTCTCGGAGTAGGATTCGCCGGATCCGAGTTTCTTCATCTCGACGTGGGCAGAGTCGGCAATAGACCAAAGGTAGACGTCGTCGCTGCACTGGTTATCAATCTTGGCGGAGCCTGCGATAGCAGTGGGAAGAAAACCGGCGAGAGCAGCGACGGTAGCGACAAGAGTCTTGGAATGCATTTTTTTATAAAGTATAGATCAAAAATCCAAATAAGATGGGATATTTGATAAAAGAAGGGATTTCCTTAAGGAGTAAATTGTACAGAAAGAGTGTGTACAAGAATAAATAAAAGACTTAAAGAGTGTCTTTTAGAAAGAAAAACGAGATCCTTAGAGAAAGTAATGAATGCGGATAGACGGGAAAAAACAGGAGTTGGCAAGGAGCAAGGAAGGGTATTTATAGCTTAACTGCCCACACCAACTGAAAAGTCAGCCAAGTCTTGTGGGAGGCGGCGCCTTCAGCGGCAAAACGAAACGTTTGCGGAGTGTGAAGAGTCCGAGCCAATCGGCATTTCTGACGGCGCGAGAAAGGCTCTTATTTGCCTGAAGAAAAAAATACCTCGACCGCGATCCACGGGAATGGATCCAGGCACACCGTTTTCACATGAACGTAAAATGTTGTGGAGTACCAAAGCCTGGAAACCTTCAGGAACGGAGCCCTTGCCATAGGCGACCCGGGAACGACAGCAACGAAAACGGCAACGTATGGTGCTTGTGCAAGGCCTGACGAGGCGAGTGGGGCCGAAGCTCGGGTGTACCGCGTGCCGGCGTTGAGGGGCCGCCAGCCATTGGCGGCACCAGTGTCTGTTTCTGGTATGCTTTTGGTATGCTTTTGGTTCCTGGAGTCGCGCCATGGCGTTGCATGTGTCCAGCAAATGAAAAAGACCTCACTGAATTCTATCCATCTGACATAATCGCTTGCAAAGTTAGATTGTCGGAATACTCGGTTCCTCCGACGTGGGAGGTTCTGCGGGTAGTGGAAGATGCTAGAAAAGAGAAAAAAACTCATTGCGTAAAGGCAGACAGAATTTCGGGCCTCGCCGCGCCGAGCGGGCCTTGTTCGGCGAGCAACGTCCATTCCACGGTGTATGGCGTAAACTTGGATCAATATACAGAGTAGCCCGTACATGCGTATGTGTCAACAAAGAGCAGACAAAGCATGCTCAAAGCCTCTCCTCCCAGAGCAACGGGCAACGGCACACGTGGCCACATATTTGTTCATCCACGTACGCCGCTCGGTTTCCGCGTTTCCGCCAAACAAAGAGCCACTGCCGTTCGGACTTTCAAGGCGCGAGGCCCCGCAGGGAACTTCGTGATGATCTTCCAACTTCTGCTGTAGTGTGAAAGGCCTAGATTTCGCCGGTGTTGCCGTTCAACTCGGTCGAGACCAAAAGCTGGCCTGTGGTAGGAGGTTGTGAGGAATTGGACACTGTGGCGGGGCGGTAGCCAAATCGGGGATGGCACCTCGGCACTGCGAGGCGCTTTAGGCGGCCGCCATAGCAAAAGTCTAAAGGTGCACGCCATGCCTTGGCAGCCCGACGCTCGGATGGGGCGGCGGTCTAGAACGGCCCCGAGCGATGATGTAAGCAGCAGCAACTTCTGTTCGCGGCAAACGAGACGCGAGATGGCTTGGTGAGGCCAAAGCTGGTATTGAAACTACTCCGCCAGATCATCAGCTATGCTGGCGGTGCTGGATACATGGCTGAATCTACAATGAAAAAGTCTCTTGCGAAAAAGGACGAAAGGATGTCGGATACTTAGCTCAAGCATCACCAGTACGGGGGACGCAAGCCCGCTAGACCTGTTAAAGTACTTTCCATGCTACCAACTCCGCTTGCCTCGCCGTCCTCCTTTTTCCTATGCCCGCCAAGTTCAAGCTGGATCTGCCGATGCAGGTGAACGAGCCAGTCCACATAGTTCTGCGCTTCGCTATTCCTGTCTTCCACAAGCAACCGCGCAAACTCGTATTCGGCACCGTCGAGTCCTTGCCGTGCGAGTTGGATTGCGACAGCTTTGGATCCGCGGATCGTGCTTAGATACTGTAGTATATTGCGAACTTGAGCATTCAAGTGGGATTCTAGAACCGGAAGCGAGGAGGTATTGGCGTCGAGCGACGCTAAAGATGTGTGCCCCGAGCCGAAGAGATCTTCGAGAAGATTAGGGGAGACATTGGCGTGTATCCAAATGAGGCATATCTGCCCATTGTCAACAATATATGCGCCACCTTCGTCGATCTGTGAAAACGACGCGCGTATCGACGGTGGAACTTGAAGTTTGCCTTCGCTGTTTGCAAACCCGTCTTCGGGTCTCATATTGTGAATTGGGATGATGCGTGGGTAGAGGTAAAGACCAAGTTCTCTACAGCCAAATGACCTAAGCATTCTTAAATCATGAACACGCCTATCCGAAGGTTCTTGGCCTCCTAAAAGTCGTGTTAGTGGCACGGTTTCTTGATTACCGGTAGCAGGGGGGTTGAAGAGGAAAGCTAAGCTCTACCACTCACCCTTGAAAGGTCGCGACTTGATGGAGCTTAGCAAATACATAGGAAACTCTTTCAGGTGTTCAGGTAAAACAAGTTGACCCGGAGGCTGCGACGTGGAGAAATTTTTCCGGTAGCTGGCCAAAATGTCGATCGTCTTCTCACTTAAAGAGGCGCGGATGTCCTTCAATGACTTTTCAGGCATTTTCGAAGCAGCTATTTTTGGTTAGTGTATTCTAACCTGTTTTACGTGAGGAGAAGGAAGCTAAAATACCTTCTTTGATCAAAATATTCACAATGGCATCCTGGTCAAGGCACTGCATAGTATCCATACCACCCTCATTAACCGCCGCAACGGAGTTGATGCACCTTACACGCCTTTGGCCATTGGCAGTGGTATAAAGAAGGGCTGCTTGGAAGTGTGCATCGATTTTGGAATCCAATTTTCCATCATGGTTGAAAGTAACACCGAAGGCCTTATCCGCATCAACACTTCCAATTAGAAGGTCGGCACCAAACGTATGTTGTAAGAAATTCCCATGATATGCAGTAACTTGTAGTCCATTGGAACATCTCACTTTGAGTAGAGCTTGGAATCCCGTTTCGCGGTTAATAGAATGCGAGAGCTCACTCGACAATTTTAATACGTCCCGTGGGGCTTGGAAATTTGGGTAGAGGAAGACCTCTCCCCCTGAAACAGCAGATGCATGACCTGGCGCCCATTAGTAAATAGTATATGCCATCTAGTTTGATACTCACCAATCGTAGCAATGTCGATATATTTCCCTCCGCTAGCTGCGACGAAAAAATCGAGACCTACTCCGTTCTCGGCCATTTTCATCGCAACCTTTTTCCAGCCAGCATGCTCTGTGGTGAAAAGTCGCTTTTCAGCATCAGTCCCTTGGCCCTTTCCATCCTCTCTCAAGAATAAGTGACCAGGGCCCCATGTCGGCAAACTAGCTAAAGAACAAAGGATTTTCCCCCCTGTTTCTTGGAGAGCCGAAAATGCAGCATTAATTGTTGGAAGAAGAGCTGGCTCGGGGTTTTTAATCTGAGAGAACAGGGTGGGGATTTGTGATAAGAGAGAGGAAATGACATGTCTAAGGCATTGGTTAGCAATCAGAAATATAGGTAGGGGTGAATTCTTACTTTGAGTCATGGCGATCAACAAATAAGCCTTCGTTCAAGGGAACAAATGGGTCATCCAAATCAGGCATCACTATCATTTGCGCTTGCTGAAGGGAGGACTAGTCCTGGGTAAGTTTGGGGCGGAAGAAAGGCAGTCCGGGATGAAGAAAACTCACACTGAGGTTGTAGAAATGTATTTCCTTATCAAACGTAACTATTCCGACTTTTGCGGCGGGAGGAAGTCGCTGATTTGAAATTTCATCATTCCCATCTTCATTCTCTTCGTCACCCCCATACAACGCCCCCATTATCCCTTCGCAGCATGCTTCTAAAAATCCCGAATTCACAGCTTCCTGGGAAACATCAAGGACAAAAAGCCACCGTAAACCAACTGGCTCTTTATTCCAATATTCTTTTGGAACCATGAATTCAACGGTACCTAGCATCAGCTCCGGTCGGTGCATTCGATCCACGCGTACCCCTGAATGATCAAGTGGCGCATAATATTCCGGCTGTGTGTCGTTGGGAAAAGTACACATATTACAGATAAACTTGTTCCCTCCAGCCTTGAAAATCATAAACGGATTTATATAAGTTCTGCACCGTCGACATCGTGGTGGGCCAGCATCGCCAAAATCCAAAACAGGGACGGTCTGTTCTCCAGAGTCTAAAGGCGCTAGCGGCTGTATAATCATGCCAAGTGGAAGGGAGGTAGAGGAAAGAGTATCCGCGGAGAATGGGATGTTGTTCAGCGTTAACCGCGCAAACTTCGGAGAGGAAACGCCCTGGTCTTGAGCTATGAAGGGTATTGTGGCGGGAGGAGGGCGATGGTGAGCTAGGGTCGGATACACTTGATTTAGATAATACTGTGCGGCCAAATCGCGTGATGAAGGTACTCCGGGTATGTGCGCTGGATCAACTTTGCCGTGCGTAGGTACAGAGCCATCACCAGCGCCATGAGGATGTTGCATCCCGGGCGGCATCCTCTGCATAGGACTAGTAGGAGACGCATGTTGCTGCGAGAACTGGTTGATTCCCGTGTCAAGAAACTGCGAGGGATTTTGGACCTGACCTTGTGGCATGCCGCCAAAGGCTTGAGAGGAGCCCGATGGTGGAAGTATCTCATGGTGCGCATGACGATGCTTCTTCTTGTGGCCCCTAATACTACCCATATCTCCTGCTATTCCCAAGCCTCCCATCTGTGCTGCCAGTCCTCCAATTCCACCTTGTGGATCTACAGGTGCTGGTGCTTGGTTTTGCTGTGGTGGTGGTGGTGGTGGTGGTGGTGGAACCCCCGCGGGGGGAACGGGTGTATGAACACTTCCATATGGCCCAGAGGGCGGAATGGCGCTGCCGTAAGGATATCCAGAAGGATGCTGCGCAACAGGAGGTGCGAATTGAGGCGCGGCGGGTACAATTCTGGTGTGGTTATTATTTTTGTCTTCTTCGCCTTGACCCAAGGAGTGGTACATCGACCAGTCAGCCATGATGTCTCATCCGTGAACGTAAAGCGAAAGGGGACGCTGAGTAACAAGCCTGCCGATGGCAATTGATAACAAAATTCCTCCTAGTTGTTGAAGGGCATCTTGAGTCGTTCAATTGTTGGCTGTTCAATATTCGGACCCTCGCCAATAACCCTTGGATGCCATTCCGCAAACTTCTGACCACATTGCCCTGAGCTCGGATTAATATAATTCCAGTATAGGCAACTAATGGTCACGTGGTATAATCCATTCCGAACCCCTTAATTGAGAAGAACTCAACCCCTGCCAGACTGCTAAAAAACGTAGCCCGACTCCTGTCAGTGCCTCCTGACATTCCTACACTAATTTACCTGTGAAGTTTACTTCTAGCAAATCTGAAAGCCTTCCAATTTACTCTACACCGCAGATGCTCTCACACGATTACTGAAAAAGATGTGTCTTCCACAAGCGCGGGAATATCCTTCGTCAAATTCGGATTCTGGATCAACGCCGATTTAGTATCAACAACCTTCATGGATAAAAAGCTCAAATCATTATGGACAAGTTCAGCGACAAGGACTCGAATTATTGCTAGTTTTACAGTCTGAGTTGCATACAAAGTCCATGTCTGACCCAAAATTTTGCCTATCAAAGACTTCCTTTATGCGCCCCTGAAGTCATCAAAGAGCAGTCTCTTCGCTATAATTTGGTTAGAAAGTTTTCCAGTCCTAGGCCCATACGCTTAAAGAGGCTGCTTACTGCAAGGAAAAGATCCCCAGTCACTTCCATCAGGGCTCAGAAAGACTTTAAACACACCTCCCTCCTCTTTATTCTGCATCTCTCCTGCAGGCCCTGGTGCTCTCCTTAGATTTTTCAGTCTTCCAAATACCTTTAACATACTGGCTGCTGCTGTGGTCACAAACGGCTTGCCAAGGCATGCATGCGGACCCCAGCCATGGTGAATGTAATTCTCCTCAGGACGGTCGAGTCTAATCTTTTCTGGTTCTGGGAATTTTGTTGGGTCCGTCCCAGCGCTCACAAAGTTTAGAAATATTGTGTCGCGTTCTTTAAACGGCAAGTTACGGGTACCGTCTTGGATGATTCCACTACTTGCAGCACTCCGGAGAACACCAAATGCTGGAGTAGCGAGTCGGAGCCTAATAAAGCATATTAGCGACGGTGAACTTGCAAATGAATTGCAGAACAATGTTACCCTTCTAGCGCAAATTTCCGCAATTTGTTGAAATCCTCGGGCGAATCTGACTGAGCAGCTTTCTGAATTGATGGCCAGTATGCGTGATACTGGTCAGACATGTAAAGATCGATAAGCTGCGCCCACTGCGGATATATAGTTAGCATTCACAAAATTGTGTAACAGAGTGCTACATACCCCTTGAGCCTGCGTAGCAACAGCCGCGGCCGCCGTTGGAATGAGTATCCAGGCCACCTCATCAGCACTTTTACCAGTTTCTGACAGCCTCTCCACCAATCGAGCTCCGTATTCGCTGAACGCCTTGTTGTTAGCCCGCTCGAAAGCTTGTCTGAGGATAAGAAAGCGGCCACCTTGCACCGCTTTAACAGCCTCAGAGACTCGCTCCCCGAGTAACTTTGAATCCCTACTAGCAACTACACCTCGTTCAAACGATTTGGCCTGATCAACGTCCAAGAAAACGTAAGCGAATAGCCGCGCCAGCGCATCGTACAGTTGCTGCTCTGTGTACGCATCAGAGCCACCACCGGCGCTCTTGAGCGGAATTTGAAAGAAATGACCAGCAAAATTCGCATGAACGAGGTTTCCAATACTGCTAGAATCAGCTGAGATGTCAATGCTACATATGATACATGGAGTTTCTTACTCTTGCACAACATCAACCTGGTAAGAGTTACCAGCTTTTTTGCTATATTCACGGAGGAAACTTGATGTCACTGCCTCATAAAATTTTTGTACCTCTTCCAAATAATTTCTGGGCTCAAAAAGACACTTCTTAACAAATTCTCTTTGCTGTGAGTTTGCTTTAAGATCACCGCTCAGCATGTAATCATGCTGTGTGAGCTGCAAGGTATGTGGGCCCCCTAACAGAAAGATCAGTGGGTTGATATTCTGTTAGCGATACGCACACACTCACAAGGAACCTTAAACTGTGCCTGATCATTTAGCACATCAACCACTCCTTGCCATGTCAAGATTGGAATTGGTGGCCCGATGAAAGATGGTTTATCATAAATGTACTGGCCCGCTCTTCCATATTTAGCAAATACCTCTTGATTCCTCCCTGGTGTCGTAAATGGGAATTGTGCATAGACTGAATTTGGGCGGTACCAGCCGGGGAATGCTCGCATTAAAAGTTTATACATAACTCCACCTTTTGCGGCTTCAAAAGACGAATTTGCAGTGTTGAATCTAGGAAGTGATTAGCGTTGTTCTATGGTGAGCTTCCCGACGGCCATCATACCCAAAACTTGTGAGATTCTCCGGGCTGTAATCGACGGTATAAAAACGATCGCCTCTCACCAATGCTACTGCATCAAACAAAATTGCTGTTGAGATAGTGAACCCGGGACAAAGGCCGGATCCAGGCTTAAAGGGTGTCTTTGCCTCTTCGGTATGGATTCCAGTGTACAGTTCAATATCATCTGGGTGTCCATAAATTGCCTCCACTAAACAGCTGTTAGCATAACATCATAGGGATTATAGGAATCTATTAGAACACACAAGCCTCGGCAATTTCCGGGTCCGAATTCACCTCAACTGACCAAAGAGTAAGCAAGTACGTAGGTATCACTCCAGTTGGCATTCACTCACGAAACGTTTCATGTGGCTTCAATTTGAAAAATGACCTGAACTCATTGAGAGTTGCAAGCCCCCATTGTCGTCCCTGCTCGATTCCAAGTATCTCAACCGCCTTCAAAACAGGAGGTACATTTCGAGCCCCAAATGCCCCTAATGGTACCATTAATTACGGTTGGCCTATCTTACGGGCATACTGTGAACCTACCTGCGACAGCTTCTGTGCTCTTTTGCAGCAGCCCCACAAGATCGGCATCCTTGAATCCCCCATCAGGCTGACGCTTCAACTCTCCAAATTCCCACTTTGAAGGATCCGATGGGAATTTTTTCATCCAATTTCCAATCCCAGAACGGAACTCTGATATCGTAAGTGTGTCTGTATTTGCCCTGGTCAGAGTTGCAACTGATTGTGTTTTGTCTAATGGGTGTATACTACGACTTACTTGGGTCCACTGCGCCAAACACATCGCTAAAGAACCCTTTAGCCCAGGTTTCATCATTGTTGCTTATTGCAGGGTGCCATCGATAAATCATGTTGAATTCCGCACTGACTTGGTTACCAATACCCCTGGGAACTCCAGCAGCATCGAAAATACTAATGGCTTGACGAGGATCCAACCGCCAATCAGAGTCAACAGGATTGTCATTTAAATTCAAAATACTTCTCAGATAATCATTCAGGATCACATTAATATAAAGGCCACATGTGACTCTATTCAGGAATCAATGAGTCAGTGCTTCTTCGGTAGGGGTACGATGTTAGTACTTACAGCCTACCGGTTTGAAACAAGTCATTGTCACGCTTAAGACAAGCCTTTTCATAGTCAGGGCTGCTTGGAGTAATACCGTGTGGTAGGCTAAAACGGCCCCGTTCGTTGATAGTTGATAGCTCGCCCACCACATAGTTGTGGAAACGATTGAATGCGACAAGTAAGGCGCAAACTCCTGGGGGTTGACCTAGAACTCTCTCCTCTGCAAAGACATCCTTCTTGAGCAAACCATCTCTAAAGGCCCGAACACCTTTTTGCTGCTCCTCGTTGTGCCCATAAAGCGGGCCCAGGTCAAGATATGAAGAATTCTTCAAGCGAGTGATGTTTTGGTCGTCCGTTCGAAAAATGTCTAAAGACGTCAATATTTTATATCTATACTAACGTGAGCATCCATACCGTGGATAATGATTGTTGCAAAATGAAAGAGCATGCTTGAAATCTTGCTAGGGTGGTCCTTCGTTGGCCCTTCTCGCTTCATCAACGCTAAGAAAGGTAAGTGTCTATACCTGATATTTGAGTGGCATACATACTATCAAATATGAATGATGGATCAGGAAGCGTAGACTTCTTAGGCCGCTGGGGTGTCACTGTTCTCGCATAATGACTACCGGCAGCCCCAAGGTGTGGGTACATGACATTCTTCGATACAATTAACAAAATTGTGCATAAATACCCAGGAATTCCACTTACATTATTCGAGCCATCGGCAGTCCGGTATTTGAATTCGTCACCCAAATATGAGATTGGTGGGTGCTCTAGAGTATCCCACAATGTGGTAACAAATTGATCAGTAAGTTTGTAACGGAGGTTTGATTCGTTAGGGAGTGATGCCGCCAATTGAACAATATGTTCGATCTAAAGCATAGGAAAGAGAAAGTGTCAGCCTTGCTAGGATCTTCAAGGATGTGAACGTCTCTTACAGTGTATTTGCGGTCATCAATGATACCCCCGGAAACTAGTGTTTTAGCACCCTCCTTTAGAATCTGAAGGTCCGGCCCGATGCGGCCGGTTTGACTGTATATATCCGCCACAGTGCCGCTTAGCACCGAAGCTAGGTGGCCATGAGTACCACTACTGTTTTGATGCACGTCCATGATATCCCAACAACGAGAAGAGAGGCTATCATAAGTAGTTTAGAATGTAAGAAAATCGATATCCAAAAGACAGCAGTGTTTATATAGATCGATTGCATTCTTCTTCCAGGGAAATTTTTTCCATGGTTTCTAGTATTCCATTCTTTCTTGTTTCTCCCCTCCCGGGGCGAGTTATGTAGTTCACCCAAATCGAGTAATCATTCGGACCCAGGAGCAGCGTTGATAATAGTGGCCCAACTTTGATTGGGCATTGGCTGCTATATTTAGGTAAAATTGGGTTATCATCATCGCCTCTCCAAGTGATTGATGGCGATGGTGTGTGTTCAGACCAATAACAAACAACATGTGAAGATGAAAGCCTCCCATGTTCGTTGAGTCCTTGGAGGTTAACAGAGTTTAGTGTTGCGGAGAGTTTGTCTTGAAAAGAACTTCATCATCGAAACTCTTGGCTAAAAGCCAATGGAAACGTCCGATTTTCGTATATACGAAAATGAGATAGAAAAAGCTAGACTCGAAGTAGATACTCGAATTTTCACATGAATCTCGAACTAGCCACCATAGGGGCCCAGATATAAATTCTAAGACAAGCTCTTCCCCAGACTTCCCATCTATATGTAGCCGTTTGGTTGTTTATTTATGCTTAAATAATGCCTGATTCGACGCTGTTTTCGGACCAACCGAATTTTACCACCTCATCAGACGCTCTGCCGTCTTTCATTTCGCCAGTTGGTCTCCTCTGGCATGACTTTAAACTGTTCTTTCGAATTTGGAAAACGATCCCAGGAATAGTTTTGCCGCTATATCCCACACTTTCAGGGGACTTAGACGAACTGTCCTGGACTTTTGGAAACGTGGCTGACGTTCTCTTCCATGTTGTACTCATTGTATCACAGCTTGGATTCCTTCTTTCATTGCCATTGTCCCTATTCTTGCCCTTTAACACCTTTTTGATATTCTTCATTGGCTTCCTATGTTTGAATTATATTATCTGTACGCCGTTCAACGGCAAGCCAGGCGCTATTTACCGAGCATTCCCGGGGTCTGGAATTCAAGCTATAGGAAAAGGGGAGAAATGGATATTTATCAACGGTGTGTCTGTTGGGTATGGACTTGTATCCGGTACATATTCATCACGTACTCACAATTAAATAGAAGACGCTGGCTTCAGAATAATATTCAGCGACTGGCCAATACTTTCAGACGTGAGATTGTCGCTGTTCATAATCCGACGTATGTCTTAAAAGACCATCGATATCTAAGTTAATATCGATCTGACGGGCAATAACAGGAGCGGAATTATTTTTGATTTAATTCAATGTTTGATTGAACGAGATTTCCAATATAATACCGATGACGTTCGCCAGGCATATGCTATGGTGAAAGAAGAACTCACCAAAACCAAAGACCCAAATGACAAAGTGGTTTTGATTGTTCATAGCCAGGGTGGTATTGAAGGCGGCATGATTATTGACTGGCTTCTCTCTGATGTATCGGAGGCCGCTTTGTCAAAACTTGAGGTGTATACCTTTGGCAATGCGGCCAATCATTTCAACAACCCGGTGCGCACAACAACAGTCAACGGCCCGGGGTCGCAGAATCTTTACCGAGCCATTAGGCATATTGAGCATTATGCAAACAGTGGGGATTTCGTCTCCAGGTTTGGTGTGCTGAACTATGCTAGAAAGGATGCAAACCAGAAAGAAAACAGATTTGTGGGCAGGGTTTTTGAACGGCAGGGCGATGGCCATATGTTCTGCCAACACTACCTTGATACCATGTTTATGATGAAGGGGAATGCGGTTGCAGAGCACAACCCTTTCATTGACTCCTATGTCGAAGTTGACTCAGAGAACACTGGGTAAGCTGTCATTCCATATCTTTTGAGAACTCTGCTGATTGGTATAGCCCCGGATATGCGCAGAGAACGGAAGATCGTACGATCAAGTCCATGAGTCGACTCTGGGAATATAGAAATGGAGGAAGCCCTAGGTCTTAATTCCAACTGGGCCTATTAGCACTAGGCGACCCTGAGGCGATTGTTAAAATCCAGAGCCCCGGAGGCGTTGGTGTCTAGCCTAAACGTAGTTTTGGGATGTAGTTAGTTAAGCCATAAAAGTAACTATTCATATAACTACTATGTACTTCTTATTCCTTGCCTGACGGCTCAGCATTGCACTGCATCTCAGGGCTATGTAAAGCCAGTGGTTGTCGGCAACATACGGGGTAAGCACTAGGTAGCTAATTAGTTAGTTAATTAGTTCACTAGCTAGTTAGTTGACGAGTTCAAGGATACTGAATAAAAGGTGACACACCTTCAGCTGTTTTGAGCGCCCTGGTGGCTTGCTTCCCAAGGCTGCGTCGTCACACAAAGCCGGCGTCATCATCGCCCTCGCTTCGAACGTGCGAAGTGAGAATCCCGTGACTCCTGTCCAACTTCCCCCTGCAACAAACGGCTTCACCGCTACGTTCATCGACCGCGCGGCCTTGGAGCAGCTGAGAAGTGATCATGGCACACCCTTTCACCCTGTGTGGCCAGGGCCGCAGAGGTCTGAGCCCTGCCGCTCTGAATATTCCGTCGGCCTTCTCTGCTTCGCTTCCGCCAGAACGGTTCCCAGCCGTCGAGCCGATAACTATATGCACGATGCCGCATGATATGCTCTGCCTTTGTCTGCCCGCATGGGTTGCGACTTTTGTGTACGTCGTATGTACGGAGTAGTCAACAACAAACCTAGTTGGTTACCCTTGTCTCGGTCCAGTCAGCGGCTTTTGCAATAATGTTGACCACTGTCCTTGCCTCCACCTTGGTTATCCAATAATAAGTGCTAAAGCAACTTGACTTGCGCCTGCAGCAGTTCCGATTTTGCGATTGTTGTTAAACTTTCCGGCAGACTGTGGTGGTGCTATCACTTAACTACAACTAGCGATACAAGACACGGGATACTAGTTACATGAAAGTAGCAAGATTCGCATGTGCGACGCCTATGTCGACCGTCCGAAGTACTTGATTGCCGTGAATTTTAATCGACGCCCACATTAGAATACAGCCAAGGCAGAGGTTGACTCGTGCTGTTCGTGGTCGAGCAGATTTATTCATATAAGGTCAGGGTGTGCACGAACTCTTGTGAATTGGGGTAGTTATTCGTCTGCGGCTCGCAATAGTGGATAGAGGGAATATCGTACTCCGTATTCCACAGGTTTTTAAAATACTAATCTGTGCTTCGTGGGAAGCCTCTATCTCCACGTCTCAATTTCGCGACAGTCTTTGAAACATCCGAGCCCGGGCCACGTGGCTTATTGCCTTGACGCCTCGACCTCAAGCTGAGTGCTACTAACTACCCAGGTGCGACCTCAATCGCCGCCCAAGCCCAAGGCAACAATGTGATTCCCCAATAATAATGATCTGGTGTCAAGTTGCTTGGCTGCGGTTCAGTTGCAGAGGCCTGCACCCTTGTCACCAATAATAATAAGCCCCAGGAAACTTCGCAGTGCCAACGCCAATGCCCGGTTTTGTGAGGTTCTTGGGAGCGTGGACCATGCTTAGCGCTAACCTTGGCTGTTGTTTTCTCTCACTTGGGTTGCGACTGTGAGCTTCAATCAGATCTCCGCTTGCTGCTGCCGCATTTGCGGAAAGCAAAAGCGAGCAGCCGGACTTAGTTATGTCTGAAACTTGAGAATGCTTTGTTCTTGCAGACCGCAGGCCTCAAGCTAATGTTACTCCGCTCCTTGTCGTTCCCTGGGGTGTTCTGCCGAATGATCACCACAGCATTGACCTAACTCTATATTCAGGTAAGGCTTCAAGAGTGTCTGCTGGAAACCGTTGTATTATTTCCTTTGTTTTTCTCTTGCTACTCTCTATAATAGTGCCACCATTTCTCTGGTCGGCCATTCCCCTCAACCCTTGACACCCCAATGTATACGTGAAACAAGCAGCAAAATGGGCCTAACCTCGGTTTCCCAAAAGTTCTCAAGGTCCGATCGAGAATCCAACGGATTCAACGGTACTATACCCCGGGAAACCGGTAGTGCAGGTACTGCCGCAATGGCTACAATCCAGGATGACGATGATCGTTTGCTAGCCAGAATTGGCTATAAGCAGGTGAGATCTCATGGAAGCAGCTTCTCAAGCCGGTGGACACGCTCATAGTACCATTAGGAAATGAGACGTGAGTTTTCGAAATGGTCCACAGTATCTTATGCAATTTCCATTCTCGGTGTTTTGGGCTCAGTGCCAGCAACTTTTGGGCCACCCCTGGCTGCTGGAGGCCCTGCGACAGCGGTATGGTGCTGGTTCATTGGGTCATTTATGGCCATGTGCATTGCAAGTTCCGTTGCTGAGCTTGTATCAGCATATCCAACTGCAGGAGGAATGTATTTTGTGACAAAACATGTCGTCCCTGAAAATCAAGTCGCAATATTTTCATGGATTCAAGGCTGGTGTAATCTGCTTGGACAGACCGCCGGCGTCTCCAGTGTTGCATATACGGTGAGCCAGATGCTTCTGGCTTGTGCAAGCATGAATTCGAACTTCGATGGAGACAAGTATTCTTTTTCGCCGTGAGTTGCCGAGTTCCAAGCACGTCTATTACCCGATTTCTCGCTCCAGAACATTTATCGCCACATACACTCGGGTATGGCATTGCTAATATTATAATAGAACTGCTTTACAGACAGTCCTTCTGGCAATTGCTATGTTGTGCATCATGGGAGTTATTTGCTCTTTAACCACAAAGAGCTTGCACAGGATTATTCTTTGGTTCGCCCCAATTAATAGTATGTTTTTTTGCCTATGACTTCATAGTGAGCTCCTATCCTCAACATCCATACTAGTTCTGGCATCCATTGGAATCTGCATTGCGCTTCTGGTACTTACGCCAAACAAGCAACCAGCAACATGGGTTTTTACACATGTAACGGATGGCTCCGGATGGCAGTCGAAAGGGTTTTCATTCCTTCTTGGATTCATATCCGTGGCTTGGACAATGACAGACTATGATGGAACAACGCAGTAAATACTTACTACGAAAGTCTTTATTTTTCTTTGGTACTAATAGTGAGCACCATAGTATGTCAGAAGAGACACACGATGCTGCTATTAGAGGCCCTGTCGCGATTCAAACAGCTGTCTTAGTGTCCGGTGTATTTGGATGGATGCTCACCGTGACAATGTGCTTCTGCTTAACAGACTTAGAGGCAATTTTGAACAGCCCCACGGGGCTTCCTGCGGCCCAGATTTTTCTCAACGCGGGTGGGCGCACTGGTGGCACCATAATGTTTGCGTTTAGCATACTTGTGCAATTCTTTACCGGATGCTCAGCTATGCTTGCAGATACTCGAATGGCGTACGCTTTTGCGCGTGACGACGCACTTCCCTTTTCGAAGTAACTGGCAGCCCCCATCACTCTTCTTGCAGACTGAATGGCTAATTTACATATAGGTTTTTTTCTCGAGTAAACAAGTACACACTGACGCCTGTCAACGCCGTGTGGTTTGTGGTTTTCTTCAGTATCTGCCTCAACCTGATTGCGATTGGCTCAACACAAACTGCAACGGCAATTTTTAACATCACAGCTCCAGCATTGGATTTATCATATATTGGCGTTATTTTGGCGCACCAAATATATAAAAATCAAGTTCGCTTCATCGAGGGCCCATTCACACTGGGTAAATGGGGAACACCTATTAATATCATTGCCATTGTGTGGGTATTATTTATTAGTGTGGTTCTCTTCTTCCCACCACAAAAACCAATCACCCCGCAGAATATGTATGTTCCCTGCTTGAAATTGTTTAGTGGTGGATATTAATACCACATTTAGGAATTACGCCATATGTGTCGCAGCATTTATTGCGCTCTTTGCAATGTCGTGGTGGTGGCTATCTGCCAGAAGGTATATACCTATACTCCAGCCAAATACAGGATTCTCCAGCTGGATCTTATACTGAATTGTCCATCTCTAGAAAGTATACTGGCCCACGTACCAAAGATCTATTACAAGAGGTTTCCAGCGAGGATCTTGACTCTTCATGTCACGACACCCCCCATGCATAAACATATATACGAGGTAAAAGTCAACCTTAGCTAACGTCTTCTTTTCTTTGCAATCTTGGATCTACCATGATATATCGTGTTCTAGTTCACTCTCCTTAAAGATTTCAAAAGGAGCATCCAGACTGCACTGGATAGTTAGATAATATATATTTATGAAAGACAATGGCTTGTATCTAATGCCGATAGTATTAGGGTGGCCAATGCACATTTGACACACTGTGTTGTACTCATAAATATAATTAGCATTAGTACATCGCTGATTTAGATAGACACTATAGGAGCTGTTCCTGTTTTACATCTAGGACCTATTGGCTTGTAGGCCAGGGGACAATAAAAATGAAGAATGAGAATTATTAGGCAACCTACCCACCCAAGTGTATAAAATACAATAGTGTAAAAACTCAGTAAACAAATAAGCCAATGAATATAAAGAATAAGTCATAATCCAAGCAACAACAGCAAAATGCCAAATTTAATATTGTACCCTGCCCGAAATATCCACTGCCTACTCATTTAAGAACCCCTTTCAGAAAGATGCCGAAGACAGTTTACTCAACAACAATCGATACTGCAAGCCAAATGGGCCGGGCCGTTGTTCCGCGGCTAGCGTCCCACCCAATTTTGGCCAGTGCTCGGTCAACCTTGGCCTTCATGGAATCACTATTTCCCTTTTCGCCAACCCAGAATTCGGAACCTTTCAACCAGACGCCGTCTCCTGATTCGAGACACTCCGTGATTCCACGGCTCTTTACTTTCTTTCCGTCAGGACCCTTCTGGGGGCACAGTTGTTCAATCAGCTCTTTGATTGTTAGGGTCGGGGAAGTACAAAAAGAGCGAAAATTAATTGATCGGCCGGGATGATCCCATGGCGGGAAGTTGGACTCAAAGACGTGAATGGTTGTATGGGACGATGGAAAAATATAACCCTGGCCTGAGGGGAGTACTAGCGGTGTATCGGTGGTTGTCGGAATATAGGCGCCTGGAGGAAGAGGGGGGGCAGTACTTGGAGCTGGCGTAGGAGCAGGAGTTGGATCTGGCGCTTCCGGTGGCGGTGGAGGTGGAGATGCAGCATGGTAGGGCGGCGGAACAATACCAGGAGGTGCCTGCCAGGGCTGCCAACCAGGAATAGCACCAAGATCTGGTTGAGGAAGAACTGGGGTGACTTGCGGCGGCTGGGCGGGGACTAGGATATATCTTTGAGGTATACCATGCTGCTGGCCACTCCTGGCAAGAAAATCCGGTGGCATACCGTCAAATGGGACACTCCCATCAACGGTGATATACCGTAATTCGGCCATAGTCGATGCGGGTTATGGTAAGGAGTAAGGGGGGAAACAAGGGTATTAAAACGCAAGGCAAGGATCTGCAGTTAGAATATGGATTGTGCTGCTGGTGGGTTTGTGTAGGATGCAGCTGTACGTGGAAGTAAAAAGGGAAGAAGGAGATTTTGCAAAAGCAGAGCTCTGTTGGTATCTATATACCATGGTCGTGACTGAAAAGCCAGCACTTGAAAGTAGCCTACTGTGACTACACAAACAGTCACCGGAGATTCCTCTATAATGTCGTGAATATCCCGCCCTGAGCAACATGCAACAATAATACATGCTCAAACAAATATGGATGAGGCTTTGTTTCACAACACCAAACAAGGGTGACAATGCTAGCAGGATGGCAAACGCCGTAACTCCCAGCAAAAATACCTGCCATTTCAGATAGGATATTGGATGAAGAAGGGAAGGTATAATAATACAGCCCATAAGGCGTCATAAACACATGGGCATGGCAAATATCATTCATAGATTTGGTACATTCTTTCACGGCCATCGAGGATTGATGACAAAGGAGCAAGGCACCTCGTCACACTCAGGAAACAACAGCAAGGCAGTCGTAAATTTTTCTCTTCACTGATAAAAAGGTCCCTTCATTATGTCGTAATGTCTTTGGGTTTACTGGAGAAGGGCGTGCCGAAGCTTCAATCTCGATCCGCCCGGCGCCAAACTTTCTCACAACAACGAAACCATCAATAAGCAACGTACCCTCGCCACGGAACTCGGCAGAGTGTCCTGCCGTTTGCATCAATTTGCGAAGGTCTGCTAGCCTAAGGTCGCCAACGTGAAGTGGCCTGGATACTTCCCGTGTAGCAGCAGCGAGGTTTGGTGGCAGAACATCGAGCAGTGGGAATATTTCTTTCTTGATAAGTGCTTCATTAGCTCGGCTTTCAACCACCGTCTGTGACTGTTCCTCAGAATCTTTCTGCAGCATGACTTTCTTCTTCGAAGGTTCATCGGTGTCCTCGGCCTCGGCCTCGGCAAGGGCATCAGGAGCCCTCAAATTGGCGGTAAGCGCTACGACTCCCAAAGTCCGAACGTTCTGCCAGTTCAGACGACGAACTAAGGCGCGGCTAAGTTTCACCATCCACGCATTTGTGTCCACGCTAGCGTCTACGGTATCTCCCAGCCGCGGAGTAAAAATGCTGATAGCAGATTCGGATTTAGTGATATCCAACCCGGCATTGGTGGCTAACAAATTTCGGCATTCCGTGGCGAGCGCAAGAGTTTCATCTTTCATACCGCCGACTAGTATCAGTTTGCGAGGCTGGATTAAGGGTATCAACATCTCCAAGCTACGCTTGTCATGAAGCCCCGCAAAGTCAACGTAGGCAATACGAGCATTCATGTTTATCGTTGAATGAGCTAGCGTTACCTTGGATGGTCCAGAGACATCCTGACTCTCGGGTTCTTCGTCAGAAGTATCAGAGTCGTCTACGCCGTTGAGATTCAAGTCGTTCGGTAGAGTAACATCGGTTTGTTGGTTTCTTGGGCCCTGGAGGTGCTGCTTTTTGTTCGGACTGGACTTTTCACCGGTTCTAGCCTCACCCCACCGTCGTTTCTGGCCAGGAGCAGATTGTATGTGGCGATCAGGGCCACGCTGTACCTGCATCTGTGCCTCTTCACGCTCTTCAGCCCTCAAATACTCTTCGGGTCGTATGAACTCGCCGTATTGGTCCCCTCGTTTTTTAGGAGCCACGTAGGGAAACATTCTTTCTCTACCTCTCTTCCCGCGCACGTCATAATCATACACGTTTCTTCGTCGGAGAAGAATATTCACGCCCAAGTCAGCATCGGTTAATGCTAGTTTGTTTCGATTAGAGTGGGCAAGAGAAGTTGAAAAATTCAACACTTTGCCTTGTTGTTCCGATTCAGAGTCCTCGGAGGATGTTGAGCTGGATGCATCGTCTAATGCGTCGGGTGCTTCCTCCAGATCAGTTTTCCCTCTGCCCTGGGCAGTATTTTGGAGTTGCCTTTGAGTGGCTAAGTACTGTTGATAGACAGGCAGCTCATTCGAGGCTAAAGGACCCTTCTGAACATCGACAATAGTCAGTTCCCTTCCACCACTGTGTACCTGCTCTAGAAGCTCCCCGTCGGCTGTCTTTTCGAGAGCAACGCCGTCTTTCCGCTCCCCAAACCATCTCCAGATGGTTCGAGCAAGGCTTTCTCCAGCCGTTTCAGACAAGCCATCAGCTGTGCTGCTCGAACACTCAGTCAGAATTATGAGATTTTCAGGCCCCTGTGCTATACGCCGCAGCGCATCTTTGCTCAGCCCCCAGTCGAAGGAACTATCTGAGGCGAGAATCACTTTCGGGCCGCTTGAGTCCAAAATGGTATCCAGCTTTGCTTTTCTCTCGATGATTTTCAAATGTTTAAATGTGAAAGGCCCAAGTCCTTTGTGTGCCGCTTGCCCCTCTTTATCTGCCGCTTGGCCGTGGGCCCCCTTTTGTTGTTGCCCGTTCGAAAGCTTTCCGGGAGCATCACCGGCATCGCCACCTTCGAATTCACGAACGATACTTTCATCCATCCACTCCAGCATACTACGAGCGAGCCTCATAGTGCCATGAACCTTCTTTCCTGCCAAATGTAATGTAGCCTTCTTCAAGGAATTCTCTTCATCTCCACTGCTGACTGCCTCTCGCCACGCATGTTCGAGCACATAGGCCAATTCGAGAACCCGAGCACTGGTATCCGTCGGTATTAGAACAGTTCCATTCTTTGCAACACAGCTTCGAATCATATCCAGCAATAGCTCGTCCCGCTTTTTTCTACCTCCAGCAAGCGCAAACTTATCACCACCATTCGCGCTGCAAACCAAGGCTGTGGGTTTCCGGAGCTGTTCGATAACTTCCGTCCTATTTGAGCCCGAAGTTCCAAACCAAGCAGCACCGGCGATCACATTTTCTCTGGCTTGGTTCCAGTCAACAGCGTACACGATGGATTCCATTCCATGTTGAATGTGCCAAATTGTGCCGCCCACAGTATGCCCGGCATTATACGCAGTGACTGTCAGGCCCGCGAGGGGAGGTGAGAAGGGCGACGGTATAGGTTGGTGTGGCTGTGAGTATTTTAAAGGATTTATACGCGAAAAGTAGCGAGCGATGTCTTCGGAAGTAGGAGTAGGAAGTAAGATTCGGTCAGAACCGGTAGGATCCGAGGTTGTGCTCTCGGGTTGAACAGTTTTGGGATCTGATGAGCTGGATGATGTTGTGGATTCGGCTCCATTTTCTTTCGGTATCGAAGTCGTCGTGGGCAGAAACGTCGATGCTAAAGGCGCGCATGCGTAGAGATCTTGAAGAAGACTTCGGCCAAATGCAATCACAGGAGTCGTCGCATAGACAGGAATCTGGGTGAATAGAGGAAATGTTTTGCAACAGTAGACAAAAGCGCCAATGTGAGATGGTGTCGCGTGAGTCAGGAGAATTAGTGAGAGTGTGGGAATATGCCTGAAACGCGGAGATGAAGTTAGTTTATTACAACTAGGTGTAGAGTGTGTTCGCAATGACTCAGTGGAAAGGGTTCTGGCAGATTGAGAACTGCTTACTTTTCAAGTTCTTTAAGAGAGGTGGTGTCAAAAGTCTCGTTCCAGCCAACATCGATCAGGATCTTCACGCCTCCATCAAGCTCAATAATCGACTGCGACGCTTTAGATTGCGAATACTGCGCGCCAAGCAGTGGGGTGAATGTAAACATGGCTGAGACTCTGAACGAACAGCGTTCTCCGCAAGTTGTCTACTCAGCTGAATATTCGCGAAACCGCTGCCTGCAAGGGAGAATTTGGGCTGATGTTCTATGATCAAATCATTCAAGACACCGGCAAGAGGAAGGTAGGAAGATGTCCATAGCTTGAGCTGCAAGAAAGAAAGAGAAATATATATTATATTGAAGCAAATTTATAAGACCGCCATGAATGCGAGTTTTCAATAGCTTCAATGCCGCCGCCGCCAACAATGCGAATTGGCTGATGAGAAGCTGCGCGGAAGGGGTTTATCCGGCTGCCGGTGATTAGATAAGCCGTTTAGTCAGATAATCGATCTGATAACGACGATAAGATAAGATTGCGGTTGAGCCTCACCCCTGACTCCTGACCTTTCGAATAACAAACATGCTGTGGTAGTATACTACAGAAGAACGCTGCCAAAGAAGAATATGAAACATATATATTGTTTAAAGAGTTTACTGAACTCGAGTGAAGCTTCTTTGCTTTTTGCTACTTCTTCTTACCGTCCTTCTTTGGCGGTGCTTTACTTCCCTTCCCCGACGTTTTAGAAGAGACCTTGGTCCCCTTGTTCGATTTGGCTACGCCTCCTTTTGGAACAGCTTCACCACTTTCTCCCTCTCCTTCAGTCCCATTAGCTTCCTCTCCCTTTGCTTTAGCACCACGGGCATTCTTAGCCGTTGTTTTCGCTTTCGGCGCCGCGGCCATTGTCTTTTTGGGTGCAGCCTTAGCAGCCTTTGCTTTAGGCTCCGGACCAGCATCCTGTACGCTTGGTTCTTCAGGTCGTTCCGCTTGAGCTGTTTTCATAGGCGCATTTGCCGCTGCTTCTGCCGCTGCCGCGGCTCTGGCGGCTGCGCGAGTGATTCGGGTCGGCGCTGTCGCTACTGTCTTTGGCGCACGTCTTCCTTTCTTTGGCGCGGCAGTTGCGTTAGGTTCCTGTATAATAGGCGGAGCAGTGCCGTTATGCAATCCCTCTTGGCCTTGACTAGGTCCTGCCGACAGCGTGCTTTGTGGAGGCCCACTCGGTTCCCCGACTCTTTTTGCCGCCGTATTTGCAGGCGTCATGGCCTTAGGTTCAGCACCTTCGGTCCGAGGCTGACCATTAATATCTCCAGCCGGTAATTCCACCGCAGGCGCAGCTACTGTACTTGGAGCTTCTGCTGCGAGCGCAGTATTTGGCGGTTTAGGCTTTCGGCCCGGCGGGGGGCCTCGTCTAGTGTTTGCCCTGCGTCGAGGAGCACCGCGATCCGCAGTAGATGTGATCGAGTGATTGGCTGCCGGCACTGCCGGAAACTCTCCATGCACAGATTGGGTTTCTGGCTTTACCTCGCTTCTTGCTTCTGGTAAATCGCCGACATTTTCGATTATAGTCTGCAAAGGAACTGCTGTATCAGCAGCAGGTACCCGCGTTTGTGTTGTTGCAGCTCCCAATGGCCTATTTCCTCTTCCTCGCGGAGGTCCTATTCTGATCCTCGCTCTCCGGCGCGGCGCGTCGCTGTGACCGGAGGTGCCCGTAGGTGCTGGGATCAGATAGTTCTCCGCAACTTCAATGGACGGGATCGGCACGTCTCTATTAGGTAAGGTTGGATATACATTCGTTCGGGCAGGCGGGGGCTCCTCGGCTGGAGATTCTGCGAGTATGCTGGGTGGAGGACGGGGGGGTATTATGATATTTCTTCTCCCAGGCCTAGTCACGCAAGGATAGGGGAGGAGTGTTAGTGCAGTGTGCAGTCTTCTTATATCAGGCCGCAGGCTCTGCCGTCCCGCCCACGTCCTCATCCTTCTAAACCTCGGCACTCTCGGAAACGCGGCCAGCAATGAATTCTTTCCGATCCTTTTCAGTCCATGAATCGGTGAGATCGGGCGCGGAGGCGGAGGGCTGGACTGCTCTCGACCGGTTAGTTCGTCGGAATCATAGTCAAAACCGCGATTGGTTCGGGGCTGGCGAAGCTCAGAATCGTCATTTTGTCCATTTGTAGCTGCGTTTATTATAGGCCGTTCTTGAACTCCTGGTTGCCACCTTTGCTCTATTGGCGAACAGGGCTCGTCGGCCACCGTCCCGCTTTTCCCACTCGGTTGTCTTGAGGGACTTTGAGCTTCCGTCGAAATCAAGCTCACAGATGACGAGTAAGATATACGTTGATCATGCTGTATTAATAGTGTATCTGATAGCCTTCGCACAGCTTCTTCAGCAATTTCTATCGTGCTCTGTGGGTCTCGTGCACCTCGTGTCTCGTTGTGTCCTTCTTCATTTGGATTTTTTATCGAGTGCTCTCCCTGAGCTGCAATACTTCTTTGCAATTCCTCCTCGAGCCTACTATGCTCAAGGTCTCTTTCTTGAGCTAACTCGATACCCTCGAGAAGAATATGAAGGCCACGATCTGGGAAAAAAAATTAATATAACGTTCACTCCATCAATATTGCATTGCAAGATATTGCCCATCCCAATTCAAAACGTAAGAGCTCAAAACGTCAAATAATTCCATAAAGCAGAAAGAAGATACTCACTTTCATCCACGTCATCCCTTAATTCTTGCTCACACTCCCCATTCGGCGTCAAGGGGCTAACCGGTGGACGCGGAGTACTCTCCACGTTATCATCCCCCACCTGCTCATCTTTCTCTGCTTCCCTACCCTTATTCACCTGCTCCACATCGCCCCTCCAACCCATACCCCCCTCAACCTCACCACCCCCATCGATGGGCAACGCCTGGTCCGCAACAAGCGCTTCCGCCACCATTTTCGAACCCCCACCTTCCCCCGGCTCACATTTCAGCACCACCGTCGTGCCGGGATTAATCTCCACGCCATCCCTCTCCGCCATGCGTTGGATTTCCTCATACAGCTCGGGATTGTGAATCGGCGGCTCCTGCCCGGGCTCGGTGACCGGCATCTCGAGCTCGAAATAGTGGCGCTGGCGCTTCGGCCGATTCCCGTCGTCCTGGTCTGCGCCGGCGCCGCCCTTTCTTTTAAGGCCATTATTATTAGTATTATTAGCTGCGGTATCCGCGTCAGATGATGGTAGATCATCGCTTGTATATTCCGGAGACTGGCCTTCGTCTCCGGAATAGGAGACTATTTCCATATGTACAAGCTCACGCTGGCCCGCCATTATGGAGGGTTACTTTTTGCTTATGTTTTAATGCTTCCCTGGCTGGTTACTTCTAGAAGGTGTCAGCACCGAGCAGCAGGTTCTTTGGAAAAGCAGACCTCACATTTCGAAGATAATTTAACTTGTTTAAGCGGAGCAGCGGCTACTATACCACAGAACTCCAGCAATAAAAAAAAAAAAAAAAAAAAAAAAAAAAAAAAAAAAAAAAAAAAAAAAAAAAAAAAAAAAAAAAAAAAAAAAAAAAAAAAAAAAAGAAAAAAAAAAAAAAAAAAAAAAAAAAAAAAAAAAAAAAAAAAAAAAAAAAAAAAAAAAAAAAAAAAAAAAAAAAAAAAAAAAAAAAAAAAAAAAAAAAAAAAAAAAAAAAAAAAAAAAAAAAAAAAA